GTGGTATGCATACACTTGTCCACCAACTCAAAATAGGTGTGATCCTCAACGGTTCGGGTTCTTTATGGCTAGTGTCACTATGGTTGTGGGCCTACTTCTCAATACTTTGCAAGACTCTGCCACAACTAGATAAAATGAAATCCAAACTTGCCTCCAATGACTTATATTATTCATTGGTCAAACCATTGAACAAGACCTTCATCCATTACTCCTCTATCTTCTACCAGATGAAAACTCTATTGAGTTTTATTCTCTTTGAGAAGTGTCTCCTTGACTCATTCTATTTTACTATCACTTTTGATGAGAAACCACCAAAGGGTTCTCACGCTCATGAGTGGTTCTCCTGCCAATGGTCAAGTTGGATACTAGCAAGGGATGTCCTCATTAATCCATCTGCCTCTAAGAATTCCACATAAGTGGAAGTCTACAACCCTCACTATGTTGCTTATCAATTTGGTTTAACACTAACTTGGCCTTTAAACATGGCCACATTCTCCTCAACTTGGTTCTCCATTAAAGTGCACCACGTTAACTAATGAAGACCTAGATAAGTTGGACATGTGGCACCAGGTAAGGTATACAAGGTTCAACTTCAAACTTTTTAATTCGAGCCATAGTAAAAGTGTTAGTCTCTTCGCCAAACTGCCCCCCTGAAAGAGTTAGAACTATTCTATGGGAATGCAACTTTTATACACAGAGTTTGCATGATGACATGTTAAAGTTTATCAATGTCAAGCACCAAGAGTACAAATATTTTAGTAGCAAAGATGAGGATAATGTGAGTCATCCCAAATCATCCACCCCTTCCTCTTTAAAAAAAAGCAGCACCATTCATGAAGGTGAAAAGTAAGACAAAGTCATCCAAGCGATCTAGCTCCCAATAAAGCAAAAAGTGACATGTCTCAACAGACGACGAGGTGATAAAACCAACTATGGAAGATTTAGATGGCGAAACATTTAAGGTTGTTAAGTTAGATTACGAAGACAATGAAAACCCTATGCATGAAATCAACAAACAAAGTGTTTAAGTTGACTCCCCCCTTAACCACCTCAAGACATATGAAGCACCTAAAACAATAGTTGTTGTAGAGTCCACCCATAATCTGGTTGGCTTCAAAACGACTTCCTGTCACAATGCCACTCAACTGGGTTTGACCATTTAGCAGTCAAGCTCCCTACGACACTTTTTCCAAACTCCATCGACCAATTTGTTTTTACAAGTGAGCAAACCATCATTATGTCAAAGACATCAGAGTCATCGCCCAACCAGCTAAGGACATCCCAACACCATAAACAACGGTGCCCATCATATTTTTTCAGATTTCATAAACTAATTTTCTTTCTACTAGTGGACAACTCCCCACCACCTCAAAGCCCACCTTGATAAATAATTAAGTGGAGGTACATCACATACAACCCCAAACCCAACATATGACTCGCTTGCTTGATGAGCACTCAACCATTTTGCAAACTTAACAAGGAAAAGAAGTGGCAGGAGGACTGAAGTTTTTTGTTTCTTCTAATCTTTGGGTATTCTTCTTTCTTTTAATGTTCTTCCTTCTTTAAGCAAAATTTTCATATTTTTTCTGCGGCTAGCACATCTATTCTTCAATTATAAGTCGATCTTGCTTTTCTATCACTTTATGTTTTTTCCTCCAACTTTTCTTAAAGCATTCTTTCAATTGGATCGTCGATGCCACTTTAGGTTGGACACCCTTTCCCTTATGTCCCGCTCTTCAATTTATAGCGTGTCCTACTTTGAGTCATCTCGCTAAGGTGTTCTTTCTCTTCTTCATTGGAGCTCCGGCGCCGCACAATATTGGCTTGCAAAGTCACATAGATCTGACTGTTTTTCGCCCTTTTCATTGTTTTTTTGTCTCCCATAGTGGGTTTTCATCCCAATTATTTTCTTTCTTTGGAGGAGAAATGTGTAATTCAAAACCTCCCATGGAGATGAGCTAAAAAAGCACTCATCAAGCGTGAGGTTAAAACTTACCACTAGCTTGGGGGCAATTATTGAAGGTTTTACTAGTGACGCCAAATCGAGAGGTCTGACGCTTCACACTCTATACAATTATATAAGGACTTCCAATCCCTCTGAGAAGGGGACTCACAACCTCTCCAACCTCACTTGACATTTTGTGACGAAACTCTTAGCGTTACGGGATGCGATGGACTGGTGCTTAACTAGGGGTGTTTATTCTGTTTGTTTTTGTGGGGACTCACAATTGGTGATCCGGCGCGTGACGGAGGAAACGACTTAGCATAACATTGGCGGGGCAATCCTGGATGAAGTTCGGTTGATGATAGCATCGTTCGCGTGTATTCGTTTTGTTTTTCCTCCTCGTAGAACTAACAGGCCTGCCCATTGCGTGGCGAAAAAGGCTCTTGCATCGGCTAATCAGCATTTGGCTGATTTTCGTTATTTACTTTACAATTATTTGTAATTCCCTATCTATTGCTCATCTATATATGGCAAAAAAAGTGCTAATACTCTCCGTTTGTAGTCCGAACCATGCCGTTTTGACAGTCTTCTGAAATAACCGAGGGTTCGACGAACTAGAATCCCAGATTTTGGGTTAATTGCATGGTTGGTCACTGAGATTATAAAAAGCGTTCATGTTTGGTCACTAGAAATATTTAAATCCAATCTTGGTCACTCAAATTAGTTAAATGGTTCAAGTTTGGTCACTCTCCGTTACCTTCCGTCAGTCTCCGTTAACACCGTTAATTATTTGCTGACGTGGCTAACAGACTCACCTAGTCACCTATTTTTTGACAAAAATAAAATAAAATACAATCCTGCCACGTCATTAAAGCTTGCCACATCATAAAAACTTGACCAATGTGACCCAACCCATTAACCCATGATCTGACCTAGCCCAAATTAAAACCCAAAATTGACCAATCCTCCAAATCCCTTGCCCGGAGAATCCAATCCGCCGGTTTCCCCTCTTCTTCTTCCTTCGACAAAAACAAAACATCAACGCCACGAGCACCACCATCTCCGACCCTGGCTCTACATTATGCCCCACACCACATAAAGCCCCCCCCTCCTCTCTCTCTCTGCTACCTCCCGTCTCCTTGTTCATTGATTTTGCTCTCGGCTCTAGCTTTGGAATCTCTGAGGTTCTTTCGGTTTCTGCCAAGGAGATGGCCTGCTTGGTTGGCCGTCGATGACAGCTGCTCCTGCTTCGGGCCTCTATTTTGGCTGTTTTTCTCGCCGTATTCGCCTTCCACTCGTCCTCAGCGGTCTCGTACAGAAGGTCGCGCTGCTGCCCCGACGTACACGTCGCTCGACGGTTGGACGAAAACGATTCCACTCCCCAACAGGTAATTATTTCCAATATCTATTATCAAATTACTAGTGTGAGCCCCGGCCAGTTGGCCGGAGGAAGGTGAGGTATGCAATTTGATAATGTAATGAGGTGTATAGCTTATTGTTGTATAGTTTTTTTGGGAAACACGTGATAAAAATAGTGAATTTTAGTAGGAAAGAGACATGAATGATGCAACGAATCAAAAATCGGCCTTATGAACCAAAATCAAGTACATGTTACCTTGTGAAACAATATTGTTTCTGATAATATGATGAGGAGGAGTAAGTTTTATATAAAACGAATTCCAGAAAATCGATTAAAAAATCGTCTATCCCGTTGGTTTTCGGGAAATGAGCATCTCACAATCGTTGCTAGCTTTTACTCGGTCCGTTGGCCGATTAATTTGCTTTATAAAACTTTCATTTTGTCGTCATTGGACTTTATGGTTTTTGTCAGGCCATAATAAAATCTAAGGAAATCAAGAACGAACAACACGATTTGGGATAGGAATTGCCGTTGTCGTATCCCTAGAAAATGGTGGTAAACACGGACTCACTTGACAAACTGGTTTGGATTGAGATTTTTATTGGGTATCAGGAAACTTGAAACTCAGCCTGTTTGACCGACCCATGTCAAATTCTAATTATTCTTTACTTTTAAACTTTCTATTTGAAAATAAAAAATAGCGAAAGAAAAGATATGACTGCAATTCGCCATTTGCACATCACTTATTCGCGAATAAAACCATAGAAATTCAAAAGGAACTGAAAATATTTAGGATCATTTTAATGTTTAAAATAACCAAATAGATCTTTCTGTTTAGTTTTTTACTAACAAATATCAAATGATTCCCTATAAAATAAACTATAATTTGATCATTATGATATCAAATAATTATATAATATATATTTGAAATGATAAAAATTGGACTAATTGGGTTGGTCGAGGTTGAACCATTGAATAACTTTAAAATACATTATATTTTAGCCACTAAGATATAAAATAATCGCATAATATATATTATGCCAGAGAAAATAGCTTGTTTTAGAATGTCAAACCAATGATGTTCATTTGTTTTACTTGATGGCCAAATCCCGTGTAGGTCAGACCCATCAAACTCTTTTATTTTATGGTTAGCGGTTAGCCCATTAGATACCATGCATTAGTTTATAGTTAAATTTTTTATGTTTAGCAATAAAAAGAAGTATTATTTTTGCCTTTTCATATATATTTTATCACCACGGAGAAATAAAAGGTCTTAAAGAAAAAAAATTGACACTCCTGGACCCGTTCAAATCCGCATGTGTACGGTAAGTTGGCCCGTTACACAAAGGAAAGAGAAAAAAAATTGTCACTCCCTATTCTACCCTTCATACAAACGCTCATGGAGTAGGGAATTTGAAATGGGAACGCTCTTGTTGTAGGAAATTTGAAATGGGGGAAGAGTTTTTTCCTCCCTACTATTATATGTTTTTAATTTAAAAGATACAACAAATGTACTTAGTGTGATTGGTTGTGATTCTTGTTTTTCTTTAAAATGATCATGGTTCAAATCCCAGTACTTGTCTTTTTAATGAATAAAAAAAAGTAATTGTGAAGACCAAAATGTCCTTCCTACTTTCACTCTCGTGGCTTAAAGAAAAAAAATTGACACTCCTGGACCCGTTCAAATCCGCATGTGTACGGTAAGTTGGCCCGTTCCACAAAGGAAAGAGAAAAAAAACTGACACTCCCTATTCTACCCTTCCTACAAACGCTCCTGGAGCAGGAAATTTGAAATGGGAACGCTCTTGTTGTAGGGAATTTGAAATGGGGGAAGAGTTATTTCCTCCCTGCTATTATATGTTTTTAATTTAAAAAGATACAACAAATGTACTTAGTGTGATTGGTTGTGATTCTCGTTTTTCTTTAAAATGATCATGGTTCGAATCTTAGTACTTGTCTTTTTAATGAATAAAAAAAGTAATTGTGAAGACCAAAATGTCCTTCCTACTTTCACTCTCGTTGCAGGAAATTTGAAATGGGGCTCCCGTTTTTCCCTTCGACGTATTATATTATATTATGTGTAGATACAAGGAGGCTGATTTGTGGTGGTTGCTTTTGCCATTTCTAGTGTTTGCTTGAATCAATCCTGCACTTGACTTCTAACTTGGGTTAAATCTAAAAACCGATAGGTATTCTCATCTAGTTAATCCAAGGTAACTAATATTCTAGCTAATTATAATGTTAATGCTTGGCTAGATTTAGCCAAATGCCTGGAGTGTTGGGGAGGAATTAATTAGTTCCACCAAAAGCAAGAAATCCAAACATGTACCAAATCTTGTGATAGATTGATGAACTTACGGTACTACTGGGTACAAGTACGATCGTTAGGTGCAGACCAGAGCCAGGGTCGGAGATGGTGGTGCTCGTGGCGTTGATGTTTTGTTTTTGTCGAAGGAAGGAGAAGAGGGGAAACCGGCGGATTGGATTCTCCGGGCAAGGGATTTGGAGGATTGGTCAATTTTGGGTTTTAATTTAGGCTAGGTCAGATCATGGGTTAATGGGTTGGGTCACATTGGTCAGGTTTTTATGATGTGGAAAGCTTTAATGACGTGGCAGGATTGGATTTTATTTTATTTTTGTCAAAAATAGGTGACTAGGTGAGTCTGTTAGCCACGTCAGCAAATAATTGACGATGTTAGCGGAGACTGACGGAAGGTAACGGAAAGTGACCAAACTTGAACCATTTAACTAATTTGAGTGACCAAGATTGAATTTAAATATTTCTAGTGACCAAACATGAACGCTTTTTATAATCTCAGTGACCAACAATGCAATTAACCCCCAGATTTCATTCGAATCCTGCAATCTCTTCGTTGCGAGTTGTAACTTGTGACTCCAATTCTCCATTGCAAATCATCAATAGCAACTCTTCATTGGAGATACAAGCTTTCCCCGTTGGTGCATTTGGGTAATGCAACTCTTCGTCAGATTTGACGGTTTCCCAGATTTTGATTCTTCTCCTTGCTTCGTTGTCCATTCAGTAAGTGATTAGCCGATTCGGTAGAAGTGGGTGATCTCTGCGCCATGGCATCTCGGTGAGTCTTCGAACAACACTTCTATTTCTCCAATTTGTTACTGGGTTCCTCTTACCGTAACTGGTGTTTTTGGGTTTTTGTTACTAGTTCCTCTTTCCGGCGGCGACCAGATGGGCAACTCACCTCTCTCCGAATTCCTTCGTTGACTGAGGCCTGAGGGCAAACTATTTCCTCCGCCGATCGACCCGTCAACGACGAAGAGACAGAAGCAGACCGCAGACGTCGAGATCGGCGATTTGCCCAACAACTCCTCTGGGTTCGAAGCTTCTGGTCACCGTACTAAACAGCAGGAAGCTTCTCTATCTGTCGTTCTGTTCTTCCACCTCACATATGAAATTCCTGTAAGCTCCTTTTCGGAATGATGCTTCCATTCAACTCTTGTCCTGTGGCATCCTCTATAAACAATCATCGCCTACAACTTCCCCTGCTGTGTTTCCCCTCTGTTCCTGCTAGTTCCTTCACTTTCTGTATTCTTTGTGGTAATCTGTAATACTGATTTTAGAGTTGGCTAATCAAGTTTATCAATTTGTGATCTGTTGTTTATCCAGTGGGGTGATTTTGTTTAGGTGCTGGAGTTTTGGGTTAGAAGACTATTTAGAGTAATGTACCTCCCATACATCCTCAAAGTATACCTTTCATGCATAGTTCTTTCAGTTTTATCCCCTTCTTTTTGGTTGACATATGGAACAGTGCAGTTGGCCTATCTTTGATCTTGTGTAGCTAGCTAGTAATTGTTCACAAAACTCCACTACTGTTGGATACTGTAGTACTGCAGGGGGAGTTTAGATGGTGATAATTAGGTCCCATGAATCTGTGTTTGCTAGCTATACATTTCAAGTGCATTACTGTTTACTAAACCGTATATGATCGAGTTTTTAATATAGATAGGGTTTCTTGTGAAATGGATTGGATCAGGTTTTCTCAATCATTGGATTCAGCTGAAGATTGGTAGTGGGTTCTTGGCCACTGGCATGTTCTTGGAAAAACCAGGGTCCAAATGGATGTAGGCATTAGCGATGAGAGCTTGTCTCCTCCACGTGCCAAGTGGAGGAAGGTGGCATATGGAGGGATGCAACCTGGATTCGATGACAATCACACTGATGAGTCGTTTCTCGAAGATATGGTGATGAATGCCAATGTCGTGAAAAGGGACATAGCGAAGGTGATCTTGGACTCTGTTTCCATCTCTCAGTACCTCTGCATTGTTTCGCTTGTCATCTTGGTATGGACCCACAGCCTCCAATCTACCCTGGACGAGTATTCCCTGCTGCTTCTCGATGTCTGTCTTCTGGCTTCAGGCTTCGTCATTCTGCTACTAACCAGAGAAATGTCTTCGCTCCGTCTGTTCTTCCACTATCTCCTCAACATTGCGTTCTTCACTACGGGATTATATGTGCTGTCGCCTATATACAACACCCTGACTAGGTCGATAAGCTCAGACACGATCCTGGCAGTGACAGTTTCACTTATTATTCTCCATCTCTTCCTCCATGACTATTCAGGATGTCCCATAGGGGTTCCAGGAGGAGCCTTATTCACAGCTCCAAGCTTGACCAGTTGTGTGAGCTTAAATGCTTCTGTGGTTGCTTCAGTATTTATTGCCTCCCGCCTTCGGTCGAGGCTTCACGTGTTTGCTGCCATGCTGTTCTCTATGCAAGTCTTCCTGTTTGCCCCATTCGTCACTTACTGCATCAAGAAGTGTTCTTTCACGCTTCACCTTGCCTTCTCCTGTGGGTTGATGGCCTTGACACTCAGCCTCGTGTATGCGCTGCACAAGCTGCTGTTTGTAGTGTTGTTGGGTTTGTTGGTATTTGTCAGCGTCGTTTGTCCTTGCTGGTTGATAAGAATCCAGGAATACAAGTTTGAGATAAATGGTCCATGGGATGAAGCTAAGCTTTGTTTTGACATAAGGGATTGAGATTTGAGAGTTGGTTGTTTCATGTTTGCTGTATAGAAACTGTTGTACGTTACTTTTGCGGGCTTTGTGTTCGCTCTTCTAGTTTCAATTGTTACTTGAACTAGAATCAATACAGCCACAGGATTTTTTTAGAGCAATGTAGTATTTTTTAGAAATACAATAATAGTAACATGAAATAGTTACAAACTATGTAGACCTAGTATGTCATAAAAATTATTCACAAAGCATAAATCAGGACATACTAAACTCTGCCAAAAGCGTTATTTTAAACTTAAAGCAAATCTTATGCATTTACTCTAATCAATATTAGATTATTATGTTTCATACTGAGACCACCCAGAGAAAATATATTTTACAAATCAAATTCATTAATATCACATGTTAAATCAATCCATACCCATCTTACTAAAGTTAGTTAATAGTTCATTAAAAAGCAACCAAAAAGATTGGCTCAAATTCTCAACTCTCAAATCAGTTGCCCATGCTTCAAGACGACAGTTGAAAAGAATGATGTTAATTGTTAAAGCTTCTCTTTTCCTTGTTCCTCTTCCCCTTCCCCCGACTATCTTCTTTCAATTTGTAAAAAAAGTTGTCTAAGAAGGCAGTAATCTTCCAACATTCATAATGCACTCTAAACATCTCATGCGGAGAAACAGCAAGTGAACATCAGAAGACAACTAAAACTCAAGCTACAATTACCAAATAAGAGATCACATGGTAATGGAGAATGAGTAGTATAGGTTGAGAATTAAGACCTTTGTTATTAGATTGTGCTTCAAAGTTTGAAACCAATCCACCACTGTTGCAACATCCAACAATTAGTGATGAGAGAATGGAAGTTTGGCTTATCAGAAAGAAAAGAAGTTGATGGCGTAAGAGTGATGGAGAGACGATTCTGAATGGTAGAAATTTGGGATGGGTGTGTCTGGATAGGGAATAGTATGGGAAAAGGATTCGACAGGGAGAGGGAAAGTTAAAAATTTGTATTTCATGCTCTCGGAAGTCAGAGGGAAGGTGAAGGATGGTACACTGGACCTTGTGGGAAGTCTAATTCTTTTCTTTTCCTTTTGACAGTCACTGGGTTTTTGTATATTATCAGTCAGCGAGGATTTTGGTGAGAACGGGGCAACTGGCAAGGGTGTCAAGCAATCAATTTACCAAAAAATGTTTTTATAGGTTAAAACAATAGCATCCAATAAATCTATGGGTGTCATGTATGCAATGTATGGCACAAACAAAACAATTAAATAATATTATTTATTCCACGGTATACAACGCTGGTGTATCATGCATTTTAGAAGTCCTTAGAAAAGAATCAAGAATACAAATTGAATGAACATAGGCTATTTCATAAGTTTTTGTTTTTAGACACACTTATAGGAATAGAACAAACAATTGTGCAACCAGGATGGAGGGGCAAAACAAACTCAACTTCCAACCTGATATGCTAATTGCTTGAATCATGGTATGTATGTATATATACCCTGCAAGCACAGGTGAATAATCAGAGCATAAAGCTATGTACAATTGTACGTGGGCACCGGGTCGTGCCACCCACAGGCTAGCATGGCATGGCACGGTTAGAGCACAACACAAGCACGAGCACGAAATAAATGGACCAGCCCAGCACGAGCATGAGTAATTTATGGGCCGTGCCGGGCCTAAACTTCATGGGCACGGGCACGACACAGTATATAAGTGGGCCGTGTCGGGCCTAATATTTTAGAGACTTTATTGAGTATAAGAATGGACATGGCACGATAATAATATTTATTTGATAGAAAATAAGTATAAAAAGAATTATAGGTTCAAATAGTACAAAACACAAGTAGAAAAATAATTATTTGTTGTTGTTAGAAGTGTTATAAAGATATGTACGTAATTACTAACATAAGGAAAAATGGACAAAGAATTAAGCAAAGCCAAATCACACTCGCTATACTTTCATTTTTATTTTCTCCCCTATTTGTTACTTTTCTCAAACAATACTAGATAAATGGCCCGCGCGTTGCCGCGGATTGTTTGAAAATTTAGCATTTATCAATTAGTTAGCATTCAAGAGTAATCATACTTTATTTGAGTTGAGGATTAAAATGAACGTTTTAAATTCGTTAATCTTCAAGATATCATAATAATTATGGATTAGATACTAAATAATTAGTTAAATAGATTCAATGAGAGGGTTGTACCTATTGACTTATGAGAGAATGGGAGAAAAACTTAGGATAGTTTTGGCATGCTACTGAGTATGGTTAGCAAAACTTCTTCAATTAGGCGATCACCCCTTTTCCTTTGTTGTTTTGTTAATCAAGCTCACCTCTTTCTACTCATATGTTCCCGTTTTTTGTAAATTATATGAAGAACCAAAGCTAGTTAATTATTGTTTTTAGTTATCTGGTCTTGGTTTTGGCAAGGAAGATGTTTAGATTCAAACAACAAATCTATTGGTGAGAAGAAAGCCGTTTAGACTCGTGAAATTTGAAGCATGCCCCTCCTCAAATTGAGAAAAATAAGCAACCGCGTAAGTAATCAACCAATTAAGTAAAAAAATATTTGATTACATGTGAACTGTTCCAATCCTGCATATGGAAGGGTTTACATTTGATGACACAGTTTCGAACAGTGTGGAATCGTATAATATCTTACTATGGTTCTCTTAGTACAACCATCAAAATTTACATCACTTGATAATCAATATGAATCCCTTCAAAAAGGAAAAATAAACCCTAATTGTGTCTATTGGCTTCACCTTTTGCGCAATGAACAGAACTGACAATGAAAACAAAAACATGATATCAAGGACGTATTGAGGAATGAAGAAAAAGCAACAACAGGCCGGAGTTCTCCCTGAACAAATCCACCCCCAACAGAATTTGCAATCAGAAAATCCTTTTTGCAGTTGAAACTGAGAAAGAAAGAAGAAGTCTTGGGCTTGGTTCTGCAGGCTGCAGCTGAAGTGATGCAGTTGTAGTCTATGTTGACTATAACAAATAATATTTCGCACTTAATCTCATCAAGATCCATTCTCAAACCATTGTCAACTTCTAGCTTGGGGAGAGCAGAAATTTCAACTGCATTTCAAACCTGATTTCTGTCATTCAAAGAAAAGGAACCAATGAAATATGCAATTCTCAGTAGCCCCATAGATCAATAGAATAAACATACTTTGTGTCTCTACGATTAAATTAAAGCATCAATTCTCCGTGAATCAGTTCAGTAGCCCCATTATGAATGGTCTTCATTACCGTCAAGCTTCTTAAGGACTTCCAGCAACCCATATTGTGTTCTAGATTTCTAGTACATGCATTCATTCCAGAAGAACAAAGGCTATCATGGCATGTGATCAACTTGCAATGACTAAGAAGGAAGGGGGTCTGGGAATCAAATGTACGTCTCAGGTCTTGGAACATTGCCCCACCATTTGTTCAAACAACAAAAATTTGCATTTCACAACATGCCCCCCTACGTAAAAGGAATTAATTATATAACAGAGTTGAATCACGAACTATTAAAAGGAAAAATCTGGAAAGAAATCAAATCAGGCGTCCAAATAAAAGCATACCCAAATTAGAGAGTTCATGGAGGAAGAAGGGAAAGAGATTGTTTGTCTTAGTTGTTGGCTTCCAGCGGGCTTCAAATAAGGATTCAAATCGAATACGGATTCAGCCTCACGATAGAGGATTTTGGAGCAAATACAATCGGCAAGTAGTTGTCCCAAACTCGGCTAGCCTACAGGGGAAGAGCCGTGGGGAAACAAACAGCCGACGGACTTCTTGTTCAGCCGCCAGGCCTATCACCGCAGGGGAAGGGTGAAACGACAATCGATGAGGGGCTTTGGAAAGGAGACGGAGACTCGGGCAGCCGCCAGACAATCATCGAAAGATGAGATTGAGGAGAAGTCGATAGGTGAGAAGGGCGCCCCAAATCAACGGTCGAGATAGACAGAAAGGTTGAGCCACGACGATCCATCTTCTCTAATCTCCAGGGGATCGACGGAGGGGAGAAAAGGGATGGGGATTGAAAAGGAAAAGGAATGGGTAAACCGGGTGCACCGAACTTGCTGTAGACCTGCCCTTATCCCACCGAACTCGACGGAGGGGCTGGGCTCTTCGCCGGCCAGCTCTCTTGCCTAACTGCCAGGGGGGTCGATGGAGAGGCTGAACTGCTGAAGGGTTTGGGGAACAATCGGAAATCGGCCGGAAAAGAGAGGTGACTTACCTAGCCGCCAGCCAGTCGACGTTGGGGAATCGGTGAAATAGGGAGGAGGTGGAAAGGAAAGAATCTAAGGCTGAGATAATGACATAGGAGTAGGACCCATCAGACGGTGTTCGGTTAGGCTGTAGAGAACTTATGGTAGACCTTTCTACTTTTTACTGAACCCCTTAAGTGTAGTCGCCTATTAATTATACTAAAGATTAGGTTTAGAAAAAGTAATCAGCTCCAGTTGTACACAATGATACATCTTCGTCTTGTTGGAGGAAGACAAATGGGAATTTTGAAACAAAACCCAACCTATGAAAGTAGAGATTCCAGTCGATCTATTATGAAGAAACCATGCCGAAAACAGGCAATCCAATAACCAGAAGTTCACATACCACAGTTAACAGATCCCAAGGAAGCATGGGAAAAGATCCATTCTTGCTTTCTATGTTTCAAAGTGGTGCATAAGTATCAAATTATACACTCTGCCTTAGCAACAATATAAAAAACATATATCAAGGAAGACTTCAACTCAGACCACCTGTCAATTAGCAATTTTTAAGAACAAAACCTTGGACAAAATCACCATACTTAAGGGAAAAGCTTTGCTCTATTATATCGACAAATCCCCTAAGATCATACTGAAATTAAAAAACAATGAAGCCATGAAAAGAAATTATACCAGTTCTGAGAAGTGGGAAGTCCAAGCTTCTGTTCGGCATGAACACATAGATAAGCATCTTATCCTTTTCCGCGCAGAATCTCACCATCCTGACCAGACTCACATGCACTTCCATCCATCTCAATCAACTAAGATGAAAGTATAAGCAACATGCCAAATCCATTATGATTGCATAAGTTTTAATACGAAAGGAAGAAAAGGCAAGCATCAATGGTTACCTGCATGGGAGAGCTCAAGGTCCTAGTTACTGGCATTCCCCAACTGGAATGCAATAAAAGCAGTGAGTCTCATCTCCATGGTGTAAGAAGCTTCCACTCTAATCGCGTCCACCCCTTCGAATTTGATCTGAGTCAAAACCAGAGTGAAGCAATTCTCACGTATGTTGCATTATACTTCGCTAGACCTCCAAATCTGTAGTTCCACTACCCTTGCTGGTACATCATAGTAGATCGGCTACAAATTGTAGAAGCAAACCTAATGGGTAAACCATAAATCCCTAGCTACAAACAAAACCAAAGCATATAACCTATAATGCTAGCAACCATTATAAGCAGAATGTGTTTCTATATTGCTAGCGACCATTATAAACTATACTTCTAGCAAAACAAAAGAAAAGTGGAAATCACCAACATGAATCAAAATGTGCTTGCTTCAAATCTGAATCGCCACTACCCAGCCAGGTTGACGTTGGCTTTTCCTTCCCTATCATGCTTTCTTCATCACCGACAGCAAATGCATATCGAATGGCAAGCAGAAACCAAGTCATATGTGTTTATAGACCCCATAAGTTGACACTTGCAGCCAAATGCATGACATGCTTAAAATCAAGTCATATGTGTTTCTTTTCCTACTGAGTTCAAGAGTAAATGGTGTGAGATGGAGGATGGAAGTTGACCTTTTGATTCTGCAAGAAGTGGAGGCAATATGAAATAGTGCTTCTGTTAGATGATGAACCCGTTCCGGTTAATTTTGTAGCTGCCACCAAGAGGAAATAATGGAACTGTTAGTACAGAAACCAAAATCCTCGACCATCAGAAACTAATCAAACTCGAACTCTACGTTCACCAATGAGCAAGGATAAATGAAATTCTAGATTTTCAAAACACCAAACGTTTTATAAATCATCAACAGAATGTAACCTTAACTCTAAACAAATGAGTCTGTGGAAGACCTTCTTCTAATTTGTGAACTACACTAAGGACAAGGTCCAGCAAAATGTTGTACTTCTCCACTCTGCCCTTCTTTGCCCTCTAATCACCCAGATCAGATCATCAACTCTTACTTGCGAACTTAGCATTAAGCGTTTGACCGGAAAAGTAAACTGAAACCACACATCCAAATCGATACAAATACCCCCCTCCAATTTCATCAGAAACCAATACAGTCTAGACCCAGTTCTCCAAAACTTAAGGGATAATCACATACAAAGGTAACAAAAGAAAGACCAATTATGAGTTTTAAGCTAATAAGAAAGAGGGGGAAAATCGATGGCCTGAGAATGATGGGGGCGCCCTCCACGGATGCGAGTAGCTGGAGCGATTTGGAGCCAGATTATGGACAGGCTGCAGTAGGGAAGAGAGAATAAGTAGGGTTCGTGACGTCGGCAGTAGTTACCATCAATATCCTCTCGGTGGTTTTGTTTCTTCTGTCCGTATGTCGACATCGTTATTCTTGTCCGACATTTGTACACTGTCTGCTGCAGCAATCGATAGAAAAGATAGCAGCGAATCTCTGGAGGTAATCTGGAACCTGCGATGAAGGTAGGTTGGCTGCCGGAGATGAAAGTCACACTCGTCAATAACCTCTCCGCCGCCGAGATCGTCCGCTGTACTCCCGATCGCGATCTCCCCACTCCCAAGGACTTCCGTCAGCGAGTGGGGTCGTCGATTTCCTTATAATTAGGGATTTTTATTTGTTTAAAATTGGGAACGGGAGGAGATTTCTGATGCGAGAAACTGAATGGAATAGGAAGGAGGTTTCTGCAAAACAATAAGGTAGAGGAAGAACGAAGGAGTTTTCTGATGCAAGAAAGTGAAAGGAATAGGAAGGAGATTTCTGAAAAACAAAAGGTGGAGGAAGAACGGCGGTTGCAATTTTACTTCTCACTCCTAAACGCGGGATTTTTACATTAATCCCGCCGAAATGCTGTGTTCCTACATTCACTCTACGGGCAGGAAAATTTGAATGGGGCTTGCAGTTTTACTTTTGGGCTATAAATGATACTGTTGATCGTTTAATACTATCTTCCCCCGTCCAATTTTCACCTTCTTTTTCATTCTCTCTTTTGTTTTTATCCTTTTCATTAAACACGAATACGAGCATGACACGAATAGGCACGGCACGATTCGAACTATGCCCGGGCCTGGGCCGGGCCTAGCAAAGTTGACAAATGGGCTTGCACGGCACGGCACGAAAATTGACGGGTCGTGCCAAGCACGACATGAAATAAATGGGCCCGAAGCGTGCCCGTGTCGTGCCGGCCAAAGCACGGCCCAGTGCCCATGTACATGTACAATTCAAGAAGTTAATCCAAAATTGGATGATATCTCAGTCAAGAAAAAAGCAAAGAGATTATAGGAAGACTCCTCGTGAACTCCTAGTCGAAGTGGTTGGCCAATCTGCTGTCAAAATCCTCTCACCAAGTTCAGTGTCTCAAGCAACTCGCTTCACTTTAAAAATACCCTCTTCAACTGTTACCAGGGAAACAATATGCAAGCATGATCACAGACTACTCTGCGAACTAAAGAACTTCGGATATGGCAAGAGTGTACTCCTTCCCAAATGCAACGTTTCATATGGAAAATAAGAGACTCAGTTCACTAATGGTGAAGATTTCAATGTCATTTGCAGCAGCTTTAAGTGTCTTTTTCTTTTGGATTCCTTTTCTTCAAATGAATGCATCTGTTTTCACATCTCAATACAAATAATTTCAATCAAAGACCACTATAACTACATTTTGTAAGCACAAAAAAGCTGTGAAGTAGCAACGTTGGACAATCAATAATCAACAAATGTTATGTTGTGTATGGACAGTGATTACTCATAAAACCAGCTTACCTCTCAGTACAATGTTGTCCTTGAAAGGCTGCTAAAAGGATTGGCAGCAAGAACACATTTCAGTGTACTGCTTCCTTTTGCCTAAGACTCAGTAACAGTTGACTAAGTTAGGCTTACATAACTTTGTGAGTGAAAGGAACCAACCTGAATTTTGGCTTGAACTTTCTCTGTGTTGAATCAGTAGGAGTGAATCACTATCCGTTGTTTCTGGAAACAGGTGACAGGCATTGTAGATACCAACCTACCAACAACATATACAAAAAGGATTTGGTTTATTAGGCAAGTCCAAACTCGAATAAGCTCAAAGGAAAGGACCGAAGACAAACCAATTAATTGTCAAGTCGAGGAGCGATGTCGGGTAGGTCCTCAATTGGCGGAACTGAAAGCTATCAGGACAATAGCTCGAGTCCTCATCATCCGAGGGGACAAAGGAAGGGTTTGAAGTAAAATGGAGGAGACACCACTGGAGCAGGGTGCCGAACCTTTTCTGGACTCACACTGGGAGAACTGTTTGATTCCGAACAGCAAGAACTTCTTTGAGCTGGGCCGCGAGATGTGTCAATGTCAGTCCCAGCACCCCCTAGGAAAAGAAGAGGAAACATCAAAATAATAATGGGCAGGTATAAGTGTCGGGTAGAAGAAACCAACAACGGATAGAGGTCACCAATTAGCCTGTCGAAAGCGTTAGTATTCTGAGAAGCCTTCTGACTGGTACGGGTTTCCAGCCATCCATGTATGGAGGAGACGTAATTTGAGGGTAGGAGCTTTGTCCGTCCATGCCAACTTCGAAAGTACGGTGTGATTCATGCCTGGAAGCAGAAGAGGCAAGAGTGGATCAGAGGATTGGCCGAAGCGTTTGGGTGAAAATGGGAATAGAGAAACAAAAGAATCGAATATGAAGGAGAAAAAATTGGACGGGGTGAGGCATAGGATATCAATCTTCCCCAAAGCGAGAGCTGCCGAATTGATAGGCGGTGGCGTGTGCAAGCAGTTGTGAAGGGATTGGAAAATCTGGAAAAGCAGAGTGGAATGGTAAAAGGACAGACATGACTGAAACACTGCTGGCTGAATGCTGATTTTGGTGCCAAAACAGCTAAGAATGGTACCATCACTATATTGCTGCCTGCAAGGTATGGGCACTAACTTGCGGTCGTTGATTCTAGGGTAAGGTAGAAGAGAAGGCAGGAAAGAGGAGGTATGGCATTTGGGGGTCGGAGAAGGAAGTGCGTGGGGGAAGCTCTTCTACTCGCCTCCCACAAGAAGCCAAGAATTGAAACAGTGGTAACAAAAATGGGTGAAAAAGCGTACCCAGCTTTCATGTTCTATATAATTTGCTACTGCATAGGAAACACGTGCTAATGGTGTTATTATCAAGCTGGAACATCTAAACTCTCAAGCATATTTCATCCAAACAGCACGCTAGTTATTTGGTAGCCTTCCAAAATTTCCAATTCGTAGATCAACTTTCAATTCTGCAATATTCTCAGGGAAAATAAAATCCTCGGAGAAAATGTCGTGTATTGGTGAAGGCATCAAAACGAATAGCATGCTAAGTAGTAGGGGTGTACATGGGTCGGGTGGTCTTTTAACCATTTTAATCACCCGACTCATGCACTACGGTTTGAAAAATATTAAACCCAAACAAAAAAATTTAAACCCTATGATTTGTTTCTAAGTGGGTTGGATCGGGTTAGCGAAATTTTTAAGTAAAAATCCAACCCAACACAAAATATGTAATTTTTCTACGCCATAAAAATATTTTATAACTAATTAAAATTTCGGGTTAATTGCAAAGTTGGTCACTGAGATTACTAAAAACGTTCATGTTTGGTCACTAAAAATATTTAATTCCATTCGTGGTCACTAACTTTGCAATTAACCCGAAATTTTAATTAGTTATAAAATATTTTTATGGCCTAGAAAAATTACATATTTTGTGTTGTGTTGGATTTTTACTTAAAAATGTTTGGCTACTCTCCGTCCAATTCCGTTAAGTTTGGCTGATGTGGCAGTCAACTCTTAGAGTTGACCGTTCAGTGTATGACGTGGCAATTTAAATTTAATAAAAAATTAATTTTAAAATTTCCAACTCATTATCACTGCCATTAACATAAAAATATATTCATTTTAATTCCCTAAACCTCGCGAACTAAGCTCATCCCTCTTTCTAACCGTTGTTCTACCTGAAATTTCTAGCCCTTAGAAATCCCCAATAGTGGGTCACGGCGAGGGGATGGGATGGTGAGCAGCCAGAGATGGAGGGTTGGTTGCGTCGGAGCAGCGGTGAAACCCGCGTTTGAAGTTGGTGAGCAAAGAAGAGGTGAGGTTGAGCTTTGTGTTCAAGATGAGCAAAGAATGGATCCGGGACCTAATTGACTTGGTACTTTTCATATGGATACTGATTGTTGCCATATCAGGTGCACACTTACCAGAGGAGAAAACATAAATTACATGCCCAGCTCCTCTCCTCACCCAATTAAACTCAAGAAACGAAACTTCTCTGAGACCATCGCCATTTCTAATTCCTTCCCCCGGCCCCGCCTATAAATAAAATCCCCTCCACTGTTCCCAAAAACTGCGTCTTTTGATTCCCCCCCCCCCTCTCCGGCCTTTCACAAATGGCGATGGTGCAGCATTGAAAGTAGCTTTGATAACCGGCATAACTAGGCAGTACGCAGGACGACTCTTACCTCACCGAATTCCTCCTCGCCGCCCAGTCCCACGTCGCCGTCTCCTTCGAAATCCCCGACTACACCACCAACGTCGTCGCCACCGGCGGCCTCCGCCTCCTCGAGGCCATCAGATCTAACCATCGACTCCTTGAGCAAGATAGTGGCATCGGTTAGTAAGAAGAGATTTTGCGTCGGAGCCCTTTACGTTGCCCGTCATGTTCGCAGGCCTGTTAGGAGAGCTCCACCTCTCCTCTTCTTCCATCACCAACGTGTGTCACCGCTGCTCGCCACTCCTTCCCCTTAGCCGCAGCTCAAAATTTGGGGGTTTTGTGAGGGCTAGAAATCTGGGGTACGATGAGAAAGAGAGTGAGATTAGTTCGTTAGGTTGAGGGAATTAAAATGAATTTATTTACTTTTTATGTCAATAGCAGTGATAATGAGTTGGAAATTTTAAAATTAATTTTTTATTAAATTTAAATTGCCACGTCATACACTTAACGGTCAACTCTAAGAGTTGACTGCCACATCAGCCAAACTTAACGGAATTGGACGGAGAGTGACCAAACATGACATGTTTTACTAAAGTTAGTGACCACGAATGGAATTAAATATTTTTAGTGACCAAACATGAACGTTTTTAGTAATCTCAATGACCAACCTTGCAATTAACCCTTAAAATTTCAAACAATAAACCAAGGTGAAATGTATCAACATTCACAAATGTTGTTTGAATTTAATAAAATGTGATTTACTTCAACATATGTTTAGTTTTTTTTTACGACATTTGTTGAAATAAGCTAAAAAGGTTATAAACATACGCATCCATATTATGTTATTCCATTAAAATTGTACACAAGAAAAAGGAATACATGAATCATAGTTATATTAAATTTATGTCTAAACTTTAAGTCGAAAAATGCATTAGATAGGGAGACCATGAGAGAAAAACATGGCGGAATATCTTAATTTTCTAATAAGTATGGCTATACACTACATAAATATTTTTTGGATACGAACTCATACTAATAGTTGGAATACAGGTTGGGTCGGGTTCTACGGATTGTGTAATTCAAAATTCAAACCTAACCCAAAAGAAGCGGGTTGTACAAAAGAATACCCTCACCCAACCCAAAACCTTCGTTTTAGCGATAAAAACGAGTAGATTGAGTCGGGTTGGACGAGTGAGTCGGCTTGCGGGTGGGTTTGTTACCTAATGTTAAGCAATCAATCTTCCTGAAACGTTGTCGTTTAGTCTTTCATATAAAATCCGGTTTGCAGCTCGTGTGGGCTCGATCAAGCAGCAATCTTCTCGGGTCCAGTTGAGCCATTGTGACTTGTGAGTTTGTGACCCAACTCAAAACAAAAATTCATTCTGCATCAATTCGAGTTTTCTATCTAAATTCTTGCTCTTCTGTTGTTACAATTCCCCTTTTGAGTTCTTAGGGTTCTTGGCTTCTTGCAGCTTAACGATTAAAATTGTTCCATGCAATCAGAAAAGAGAGATCACCGCCAATAAGAGTAGATTCTCACACTCGATTCCGCGTACAATTGTTAGTAATTAATTTGCTTGGTTTCGTTTCAATTGCATATTTCAATCTTTCAGTTTCGTTTCTTTTTTACTCATGTCTTCCATCCTTTTCTTATTTGCTTAGGCAGAGAAGATGCTTTCATGAACTTCAGTGGTGTGAATGGTTGCGGGGGGCTAAGATTAATGTCTTTGTCCCCAGCAGTCAGCAGATGAGCATCGATTCTGTGGAGAAGTCGGGAAGGGACACTAATGAGCGTGCAACTCCGTTCCCCATTTATTGGGATTCCAGTTTCTGGACCTCTAAAGGTTCGAAACAATGTCTGTTTACCATATTTGGTGGGGTTTAGGAAACGGAGGCGGCCTCGTGATAAGGTTCTTCGTGCCAAAAGGCAAGATGATTGGAAAGCACAGGCTGTTAGGTTTTCAGATTTTTGCGGTAGAAATGTAGAGTTGCTGAGGAAGGCCATTGGATCTAGAAATGGCTTGAAAGTGGACTTTGTGGCAGAGCCTTTAACTAGAAGTAAAGCCTTTGTGAGGTCCTTGACTCCTTTGTGGCAAGAAGGCTTGCTCCTAGTGAGATGTTCAGCTCTCGTAGCTGTGATATCTGGGGTTTGCTTGTTGGTATGGTATGGGCAAAACAAAGCCAAGCGTTATATAGAGGCCAAACTTTTGCCTTCTGTTTGCTCTATGGTGAGTGAGTCCATCCAACGAGATGTAAGTTTTGGTAAGGTTCGAGGAGTTTCTCCTTTAAGCATTACTTTGGAGTCCTGCTCGATTGGGCCTCATTCTACTGAATTTTCATGTGGTGAGGTACCCACTATGAAGCTTCGTCTTCGCCCATTTGCAAGTTTGAGTAGGGGGAAGATTGTAATTGATGCTGTACTGTCTCATCCTACTTTACTGGTCGTGCAAAAGAAAGATTACACCTGGTTGGGCATCCCCTCTACTGAAGGTGGTCTCGAACGACACTTATCCACCGAGGAGGGAATTGATTACCGTACAAAGGCTAGGAGGTTTGCTAGGGAGGAATTAGCTGCTCAGTGGGCTAGAGAAAGGGATAATAATGCTAAGGAAGCAGCAGAGAAAGGTTATCTTGTTCTTGAGCATGATTCTACTCGGGCTGAAAATGGTGTGGTAAATCATGACCCAACTCCTTTGTCAGATACAACTAGCCCTGAATCTTTTTCCTGTGTAGATGATAAGATGCACTGGAGAGACCATCATTGTGCCGACACTAGTGTTGATTATGATGTGAAGCATGCTGATCTCGAGAAATCATTTGGTAGAAGTTCAAGTCTTGAATTATGGAACCGAGTCATCAATGGACCCAGAAGAAAGTTTAAAAAGAGGAAATCCAATGGTATTGACAGCACTGTTGCTGGTATTAGTGCCAAAAGGAAAATCCTGGAACGTAGTGCATCTGCAACGATTGCTTATTTCCAAGGTCTCTCAAATGGCAAGTTTGATGATCCATCTCATTCACATGGGGGTGGCTGTGATACAGTGGATTTTGAGAACATTTTGGCGCCAAGCAAGGCTGTTAGTAGTGATATTGATGTTTCTGTTGATGTTAATAGTGGGAATCAATATCTTACAGATAAAAATAAAAACGTTGATGGGAATGGTGATTCAGGGATTGAGCCTTATGCCGAGAGAAAAAGTATTATAGGGCAACTAGATGACTTTGACCTCTTCCGAGATCCATTTCTGATGACTTTAAGTAGACTGAATGCAATAGGAAAGTTGAGTAATAAGTACCCTGTCGTTGGTCACAGTCTGGGGAGCACAAGAACCAGCATTTTAGATAAGGAAGATTTAGTGAATGTCGGTATAGTTGGACAGAACAATAATGATCTGTACAAGATTTACAGTGGTCCTCCTGCATCTCAGAATTCGACTTCTGAAAAGCCTGAGACTGAATCGTCAGTTTTACGTCCAGTTCCAGTTAAGCCAGTGAATTTGAAGTCTGCATTGCCTTATGCCTCAAGAAACATTGTGAATTTCTCAAACAATCCTTTTGTTAGCCCCATGGCGAAGTCAAAGTCAGGTGTTGGTCCAACATTCGAAGACATAGTGGCAGAACTTGCTGATGAAGTAGATATTGTGCATGCTGAAGGAATTGAGAAGAAGCTTCCTGTTTACCTAGATTCTATTATTTTTAAGGGGGGAACTCTTATGCTAATGGCTTACGGAGATCGAGAACCTAGGTAAGGAGCACGAACATGGCTACGTGTGCTTTTGTGCAATTCAATGAAATTTCTTTTGCATTGTGACATATCTGTTAAAGTATCTATGCCCTTTTAGTGGAATTGGCAGAATGTCACGTGGGTTTTGTGTTAAAATGGGTTTTGAATGTTATCTTGTTGCCTTCTCTTGCAAGTTGCAAGTATATGGGAATTATGATTTCGAGTTTTCAAGTACATATGCAATTCTTACTTTCGTACTTTGCATCTTTGTTATCCATCCTATGGATCAATTTGCATTAATGTTTCTTCTTCATCTTGTTTTTTTAAAGAGAGATGGAGAATGCCAGTGGACATGTGAAATTCCAAAACCACTATGCACGAGTGCATGTTCAGTTAAGTGGCAATTGTAAGATGTGGAACTCTGATGCAATTTCTGAAGACGGTGGCTGGTTGGCTGTTGACGTGTTTGTTGACAATATTGAGCAGAAATGGCATGCCAATTTAAAAATTTCAGACCTTTTTGCTCCTGTACGTTTCTCATTGGCTTTTGATAAGGCATTTTATCCCTAAATTTGAGATTTGGAACGCGCACCTGAGTTTCATCTTTCATTTCTGCAGCTTTTTGAAAGGATCTTAGAAATTCCAATCAGCTGGTCCAATGGAAGAGCCTCTGGTGAGGTGCTTTTCTAACTTGTTATTGATTCTGTTTCTAACAATTTGCTTGAATTTTATAATACCAGTGCTTTTCAGATCTGCATGTTTGATGCAGGTAATTTGTGTGCTTAGAATGATAGCCATTGCTGTGTCATTTATATATCTGAACTGAGTCCAAGTGAAACAAATTGTGACATTTACTTGCTCTGAGGATTTAGTTATGTCTCTTTCAATGAAAAGTTTCTTCAAGGGTCCCCCAAGTAAACTGTATTTTCTTTGGTATGGATGGAGGATGCTTTACGTGACACTTCCCTTCTTTCTCTGTCTTGACATCCCACACGTTTGAGCTCTATTTTTGACTCATGTTGGTATGCATATGTGTCCACCACTCAAGTGATCTGGATCCATTTTTTGTTCAATTACGGTTAACTAGGCTTCTGACTTTGTTTAGCTAATTTTATGTATTGAGCTGCTTACTGTCAAAGAAACTATGATATTTTCACTTTTGCTTGGGCAGTAAATTTATGCTTGTAAATTTATTGTCGCTGCATGTGGTTAAGTTTTAGTTGAGTGCCATTCGACTTCACTTGGAGCATTGTTGTGTCTGTAGAGCCTTGGTCTTTATCAGCAAGTTTTAAGGACTTGGACTGAGTTCGTGAAAGTGTCTATCTTTCATACGAAAGAAAGCAGAGATGTTTTACTATTACTTTTGAATTTATTGATTATGATTTATACATATATTTCTTTTGCATTGAGGAAGTTTTTTTTATAGCATTCTGAGATCTTTACACTGTTGCTGGTTCCAGGTGCACTTGTGTATGTCTAGAGGAGAAACATTTCCTAATCTTCATGGACAGATTAATGTGACAGGATTAGCATTTCAAATATTTGATTCCCCATCTTCATTTTCTGTAAGTTCTATGAGCATTTCATATATTCATTTGTCTTTATTGCGAGGTTTTATGATCCTTGGCTGCTCTTCACATCCTGTAACTTATAATGACCAAAAATCAAAGATTTTCCGAGGTAGGGTGTATTACGATTTATTTTTCCTCATTTTATTCAGAAACAGTATTATCTCTCAGAAAAGTTGGGACCAGAAGCATTCATCATCCTAAGGTTTCAAATCCTTGCCTCTGATTACTCAGCATTTTACAGGACATAGCAGCCAGTTTATGTTTCCGTGGTCAAAGAATTTTCTTGCATAATGCTAGTGGCTGGTTTGGCAATGTTCCTTTAGAAGCTTCAGGAGATTTTGGAATTCATCCAGAGGAAGGAGAGTTTCATATCATGTGCCAGGTAGAATCTGACTTTGCATTTATCAAGGCATTGAAGTCTGCTGTGTTTTATCTCTTTCCTGTTTTCTCTATAATCAAGTGCTTGACCCTTTATTAAATTGGAAGGTGAATCTTCACTGTGTTATTATAATGGGTTTATTTTTTGAATTCTTAATCAATAATTGATGACTGAAACTATTGGGCCTACTAAGTTTAAGAATGAATCAGCATTAGCAGCAGAATCACTAATATTCTGTTGGTCTTCACTAAATTTACTTGTAATTGATACAGTGATGACTTTCCTATTGTGTAGGATTTTTTATTTATATAAATTCCCCATTATAAGCTTCTGTATTATAGAGTATCAGGGGAAGTTGACTTTGTTCCAAAAGGAAATATTATGATATAGATATTTTCTGTGTACTCCTACAGTCCTAATTGATATTGTGAAACAGCTTGACTGAACTCTACTCATGAATCATCATGGCTCACCTCTTGCCAACATGTAGCTGATTATAGATTGAAGGGTAGATTGTGAAACAGGAGAGGATGCCATCATGTAATTCATCTTAAAGAATAACATGAGTCATAAATGCTGACAGTGAATTTGGGGTCTTACAACTGCAAAAGAGATTCTAAAGGGCTTAATCTTTGTTTTTTTTTGCGCAAATGCATAATCATAGTTCTTAGTGTGATTTAGTTTCAAGTTTGTTCTGTGTGGACAGAATATGACTCAAGATTGTGAAATGATTCTCTGAGCTCAGTAGACTTGTTTAATATTCTTGCCACATGTTGTGCTATTTTGTTATCCAACTAACTCCGGCACGTGTTGTTTGCTTATCAGGTTCCATCTGTTGAAGTTAATGCACTGATGAAAACTTTTAAGATGCGACCTCTAGTATTTCCGGTCAGTACATCTTAATTTTGTGAAGTGACATACATGTTCAGTAGGTTATTTCTTCAAGCCTTTGCTGGTACCTTTTTTTCTTTGCAAGATCTAGTGATGTTTTCTTCGTTGCCTGCTTGTCAGAATAAATTATTATAATACAAAAAAGAAGAAGCACTTATGTAGTTATAGTGTTGGGGTTGTTGCATACTTGCAGAGTGTTGGGCTGTTGAGTTTTTGAATTAAACCAGTCAAGTAGATTCTATCTTGCACATAATAAGATTATGAAGCATGATTGGATGAGCTTTTCATTTCTTTTTGAAGTTAATTTGGACTTGTTCCTCAATACAGGTGGCAGGCTCTGTAACAGCTGTATTTAACATGCAAGGTCCCCTAGATGCTCCTGTATTTGTTGGAAGTGGAATGGTCTCGAGAAAGATATCCCATTCAGGCTTAGATGTCCCCATATCCGCTGCATCTGAAGCAATGCTAAAATGTAAAGAGGCTGGAGCTGTGGCTGCATTTGACCGTGTTCCATTGTCATATGTATCGGCTAATTTCACATTCAATACGGATAACTGTGTAGGTTTTATTTATGACTCTTCTTGAGCTTATAGTTGTGTATTTCTGGTGCATATGGTTATTGGTTCCCAGTTGGCTTGGTTGTTCAGATGGACTTTCACCTATGTAATAGGTGGCTGATTTATATGGGATCAGAGCTAGCCTTGTAGATGGCGGAGAGATTCGAGGCGCAGGCAATGCATGGATATGCCCTGAGGTTAGTTCCTTCTGTATGGCAGACAGCCAATGACATGTGTGCTGTTATTTATTGTTTCGTGTTTTACTGGCAGAGCTGTATAGCATTCTGGGTTTTAATTATCGTCCGTTACGTTTTGAATTTGAGTGACTGACTGTGTTAAGACACTGACATGTGAGCTGTTATCTATTGTTTCGTGTTTTACTGGCAGGGCTGTATAGCATTCTGGGTTTTAATTATTGTCCCGTACTTTTTGAATTTGAGTGACTGATGTGTTAAGATGTGACCGCATAGGGTTTCCTTCGATGCATTATGATTCCTGGTTTGTACCTCTTGCAATAGGTTCGATTTTTTTATTGTAGACAGGTAATGTTGGTCTAAGTTTGTAACCCAAGATGAGTTGGATGTTTGGCATCCCTTGTTACTACTAGGCAATTCCTTTGGGGTTGTTTGGTTTTAGAATTTCGTCCATAAAGAAACAAAATTTGATGGTCCAGATCCTAAGTTGTATAATTTCGCTGTTTTATTGAGCCCTTAAATAATGGATTGCGTACAGTATTGTGCGAGTGCTTTCTAGGTTCATTATTTTCTTTTGTTTTTCGTTATGTCTTGCTTCACTTTCCAATTCATCATATTGTGGATATTCTTTTGATTCTTTTTCGTTGTAATAGTTCCCTTATATGCACTATATCTTCACCAAATAATTTATAAACAAAGTGGGTGGTTGCAAGGAGGGTATGATGACCAATAACTATATCCGCTTGCTCTTTTTATGGACAACGCCTATCACTGCCCCATACTTGGTCTAGTTTGGTTGAACAGGGAGGCGCAAGGTGGATACTCATGGAGAAACTATCATTTTCTATCTCTATTTGATTGACCTTTGCTTGTTGCTTCATAGCCCCGATAGAGTTTTGATAGCAGAATTTTCTCCTAAAGATAATAAATTGATGATCCTATGGTGGAGATGTACCATAACTTTCTTTCGTTCTCCTACTTTGTAGCTGGATTGTGAACTAAGTTCATGCTTTATACAACTCTTTATGACAGGCATGGTGGTGAAACTTGAATGGATGCCATAAAATATAAGTTCGAACTAAAGAAATCTCTATCATCTGTTTGATATCCCTAGCCAATTTGTGCAGATTTATGGGCTGATTACATTTTTTTAAATCTTAGAGTCAAAATTTAGTGTAGTCATTGCGTCTTGGATCATTGGTTTCATTCACCCTTTTCATATGTTCTAATCATATTTGATGTGCGGATTGCTGTTTTTAGCTCGTTGTTTCTGGACATGGGATGGATAGCTTTCCCTTTTTCTGACCCAGACAATCATTCTCCTTCAGGGTGAGGTGGATGATAAGGCAATTGATGTGAATTTTTCGGGAAATTTGTCTTCCGATAAAATTTTGGACCGCTATATGCCTGGTTATCTTCAACTTATGCCACTGAAGTTAGGTGAACTAACTGGAGAGACAAAGCTTTCGGGATCACTTTTGAGGCCGTAAGCTTCATGCACATTGCTTTCTTGTTCTTGATTTCCAGTTTAGTTAATTAGTTACCCTTGTTCAAAGTTGCTCATGATTGGCCTCTATTAGGAGGTTTGACATCAAGTGGATTGCACCTAAAGCTGAAGGCTCATTTGTTGATGCTCGAGGGGACATTGTGATCTCTCATGATTATATAAAAATCAATTCTTCATCTGTTGCTTTTGATTTACTTTCAAAAGTTCAGACCTGTTATCCTGACGATTATCATGGAAGAGAAGAGTCTTCTGCAAATACTTCTATGCCCTTTACAGTTGAAGGAGTTGAAGTAGATTTGCGAATGCGTGGTTTTGAGTTTTTCAGCTTGGTCTCTTCTTATCCTTTTGACTCTCCACGACCAACACATTTGAAAGCGACGGGCAAGATAAAGTTTCAGGGAAAAATTGAGAAGCCTGGCATTCCTGCGGAGGAAAATCTTTCTTCTAAGAGTGCGCAACATGTAGGTTTAGGAGGGTTCAGAGAAAGTCTTGTTGGAGAAGTTTCAGTATCGGGTCTCAGATTGAATCAGTTGATGCTGGCTCCTCAGCTATCTGGTCAGTTCAGCATTTCTAGTGACCATATCAAGGTAACAACTGAAATTTCTGTCGTCTTACAAGTGTATATGAGATGTTCTGTGTCGTTAGGCCTCATTTTGAATCTGGACAAAAGCGTCCCCCTGGCCTCAGCATTCTGTTGAGGTTCCTTCACTTGATTCTTGAAGCCTGTTTACTTTATTCTGTGTGGATAATATCTATGTCTATTGTCTAAAAGGACACCTGGACTAGGTGAATGGGATCATCTGTTTCTTGTTTGCCTCTTTGTGCTTTATATCTGTATGCTGACGTCAGTTTTCTGTGAGGCTGCAGTTGGATGCCACGGGTAGACCAGATGAAAGTCTAGCAGTGGAAGTTGTTGGGCCAATACGGCCCATTCTTGAGGAAACTTCCCAAAATGGAAAGTTATTGTCTTTTTCCCTCCAGAAGGGCCAGCTGAAAGTTAATATGTGTTTCCTGCCAATGCATTCTGCAACCTTGGAGGTATCTCTAGATACTATGGTTTCTGGAGGCAGGCTTTGATTATGATTCCGCCTTGATATTGTTAATTTTTTTCAAACGAATTTCTTCAGACTTTGTCACTTGCTGTCCTTCATTGCTTGCAGGTCCGAAATTTTCCCTTAGATGAACTGGAGTTGGCATCACTACGAGGAACCATCCAAAAGGTAAGCATTATTGTTTCGTCTTACCAGGTGATTCTATTTTTAATTTTTTTACTGCTATTCTTTGTCATGTAGTGCCATGATTTATGAATTTGAACTATTCTTTTCTTTTTGTTTCAGGCTGAAATTCAGCTTAATTTTCAGAAAAGAAGGGGCCATGGCTTGTTATCTGTGCTTCATCCGAAGTTCAGTGGCATTCTAGGTGAAGCTCTAGATGTGGCTGCCAGATGGACCGGAGATGTTGTAAGTATAAATTAAATGTCTCGTTACCTGGCATTTATCCCTTCCTTCTTGAGTCATAGCATCTAGACATTTCCCCCTTTTGTGGTTGGGATAGGGCCCTACACTGCCAGTGTGATGCTGGACGACCATCACTTAGTTGTCAAGTCTGAACAGTACTAGATTGTATAGTATTGTGAAACACGTCTGTAAACTGTAGTTTGATTTAAGTTTTAGTGCTTTGGTGTATAGATTGGTGAAATATACAATAGTTCCCCTTTTCCAAATACATCTTAAATGAGATATTGACACAATTATCTTTTGATATTTTTCTGATACGCATGTTTAGATCACCATTGAAAAAACTGTTCTGGAACAAGTGAATAGCTATTACGAGCTTCAAGGGGAGTATGTGCTACCTGGCACTCGCGACCGGAGCCTGTTAGGGAAGGACAAGGGTGCCGCCTTGTTTGAACGAGTGATGACTGGTCATCTGGGAAGTGTCATATCTTCCATGGGAAGGTGGAGGATGAGACTTGAAGTTCCTCGAGCTGAGGTTGCCGAGATGCTCCCATTGGCAAGACTCCTCTCGCGAAGCACAGATCCTGTTGTTCGCTTGAGATCTAAGGTTTGCTTCTGAATTTGCCATCACTTTGTGCTTTGATCACCGAGACTCATGAATGTTGTTCCAAAGCATTTACTTGGTTCTTCAGACCTAATTGTTCTCAAGTGCATAGGTACTCAGTCTTCTAGGACGAATGATGAAAGTTTCTCTTTGCAGGACCTTTTTATGCAGAATCTGCAATCTGTTGGACTCTATCCTGAAACACTTCAGGCTTTACTGCAGGTGCTTCATTCTTTTATATCTGCATGGTTCATGTGCATAAAAACACAAGCATTGTTTGACACATGGTTTCCTTATGTAATTATGGATCTGATAACTTGCACAAATGTAGGAAATAAAGGGGCATCGTACTGCTCCAAATGAGGTTATTCCTGAGGAAATAAGTCTTCCAGGACTTGCTGAACTTAAAGGTCGTTGGCGGGGTTCTCTTGATGCAAGTGGTGGAGGCAATGGAGACACGATGGTATGAACTAGTTCATGGGTTTCAGTAGTTAAGTCTGACACAAGCTATTTGCCAGGTGTCTTTAGAAGGATCTCTTTGCTTGATGATCTTTTCTCTTCCACCCTCTGACATGTGGATTGTGGATCATGTTATCTGGCAGGCAGAATTCGACTTCCACGGGGACGACTGGGAGTGGGGAACATACAATACTCAGAAGGTTCTAGCAGTTGGTGCATACAGCAACAACAATGGGTTGCACCTTGAAAGGTTGTTTATTCAAAAGGATAATGCGACAGTACACGCTGATGGGACTTTATTAGGACCAAAAACTAGTCTGCATTTCGCTGTCCTAAACTTCCCTGTCAGTCTGGTTCCTACTTTGGTTCAGGTAGTTGAGTCTTCAGCATCAGATACTGTTCATTCATTGAGACAACTGTTAGCTCCAATCCGGGGTATATTGCACATGGAAGGAGATCTGAGAGGAAGTTTGTCTAAACCGGAATGTGATGTGCAAGTAAGGCTCTTAGATGGTGCTATTGGAGGCATTGATTTGGGTCGAGCAGAAGTTGTGGCATCTCTAACTTCAACTAGCCGATTTTTGTTCAATGCCAAATTCGAACCAGTAGTACAGAATGGTCATGTGCATATACAAGGAAGTATACCTCTTACGTTTGTGCAAAATAACTTGGAAGAAGAAGATACTGAGACGGATAACAGTGGAGCAACTTGGTTTCCTGGTTGGGCCAAGGAAAGGGGAAGGGGCTCTTCTGATGAAGCCATCGAAAAGAAACTATTCAGAGATAGAAGTGAAGATGGTTGGAATTCTCAATTAGCAGAAAGTCTTAAAGTTTTGAGTTGGAATTTCTTGGACGTCGGAGAAGTTAGGGTTGATGCTGATATCAGGGATGGGGGAATGATGCTGTTGACAGCTTTATCTCCTTATGCTAACTGGGTTCATGGCAGTGCTGATATTATGCTTGAGGTTGGTTAAAGTCCAGATCGATTCTAATCATATTTCTTGTTTGTTCTACTATCATTTGAATTGTCAATTTCATGAACAGTTACTGAACTTGGGGGCAACTAGCAAGTTGGTTACGGAACTTTGATTTTTGACGATTTTGTCACTGAAGCTTGGAATAGCTGCTGAAACAGTTACACTGGCCATCTCCATCAAGTTTTCATCCAACTGTCTGGATTAGTGTCAAGTCACCCTAATTTACAACAAAAACATACGCTATAATTAGTGGTCAGCATGCATAGGAAGGGATTTAGGTGATTTTGGGCAATAAGGGTTGGATTTGGATGGGATATGAGGTGAAGTGGGTCTTCGTGTCTGCTAATTAGGGTCTATGTGCTTTCTTATGATTTATTTGGGAGTTGACTGACTAATCTTGATGACTAGTGAAATAACTTATGAAAAAGGAAGAAGTGGCTTTTATGTTACGTTGGTTATTCCAAACTTGAGCAACAAGTCTGTTAAAAACCAAAATTCAGTAACGTGTTAGTAACCGCTTTCTGTAAGTGATCCGATTAAAGTACATGCTTTGAGACTGATGTACAACTGTTCACATGTTTCAAAAAACTAGGTCAGAGGAACTGTTGAGCAACCTGTGGTGGATGGATTTGCTACATTCCATAGGGCATCTATATCTTCACCCGTACTTAGGAAGCCCCTGACAAACCTTGGTGGTTCAGTGCACGTAAAGTCAAACAGATTGTGCATCACTTCATTAGAGAGCAGGGTTAGCAGGAAAGGGAAGCTGTTCATTAGAGGTAATTTACCTCTTCGAACAAGTGAAGCTTCCACTGATGATAAGATTGAATTGAAATGTGAAGTCCTGGAAGTCCGAGCAAAGAACGTTTTAAGGTAATATAGTCGATCCCCTTGCTTGCTATCTGTTCTTCTTCCAGTGTTAACTGTTTCTTTTCTAAAGCTTGTCTATTTCCTTCATCAACTGGCTGCAAAACTAAATCTTTGTGATTAATTCAGCGGCCAGGTTGACACTCAGATGCAAGTAACAGGTTCCATACTGCAACCTAACATCTCTGGAAACATCAAATTGAGCCATGGAGAAGCGTATCTTCCACATGATAGAGGTAGTGGAGCTAGTTCGTTTAATAGACTAGCATCTAACCCAGCAAGACTACCTGGTGGTGTCAATCTAGCAGCTGCTTCTAGATATGTATCACGTTTTTTTGGTACGGAACCTGCTTCAGGGACCAAGTTCGCTCAGCACACTGGTATGTGCTCCTTGCTTGTTTTTAACTTTCTTATTGGAGAATTTCTTGTAGTAAACTGAAAAGTGAGGTCAAAGAAGTGTGGTTGTTTCAGCTTTTAGGTCAACTTGGTCCAAATCCATGGTTTGAGACTTCGAAATGCTGTCTATGCTAATTTTCATAGACCGTGTCTTCTAAAAGGACATAGGTTATTTGCTTTGGTATATTAATATTGTGATGGTTAGCAAATTTGGTGGAGCTATGCCCATTATTAAGGTTGTTTGGTTTCCTGCTATTACAGTCAAATCAACTCAAGTTGAGAAGGATTTGGAGCAAGTGAATGTCAAACCAAATGTTGATATTCGCCTTACTGATTTGAAGCTTATGTTGGGACCAGAGCTGAGAATAGTGTATCCTTTGATTCTGAATTTCGCTGTGAGTGGGGAGCTGGAGCTAAATGGTCCAGCTCATCCCAAGTTGATCAAACCTAGGGGCGTGCTGACATTTGAAAATGGCGATATTAATCTTGTTGCAACTCAAGTGAGTACTTACATAATCTGTTCTGTACTGCTATAAATCCTTAAAGTTATCCGCCTATGACAACTCATTCATTAATACAGGTGAGGCTTAAACGAGAGCATCTAAATATTGCAAAATTTGAGCCAGAGCATGGTTTAGATCCTATGCTGGATTTGGTTCTGGTTGGATCAGAGTGGCAATTCAGGATCCAAAGCAGAGCAAGCAATTGGCAGGACAAACTGGTCGTGACCTCAACAAGATCTATGGAACAGGATGCTCTTTCTCCTACTGAGGTGAACTGAAAATCGGAACCCTTTCTGATGGCTTGTACAAAAGAGTAGGAATTGATTTATAATTTATTTCTGGTATCATTCAACAGGCTGCTAGAGTTTTCGAGAGTCAATTGGCAGAATCCATATTGGAGGGTGATGGCCAACTTGCATTCAAGAAGCTTGCTACTGCGACACTTGAAACCCTGATGCCAAGGATTGAAGGAAAGGGAGAGTTTGGGCATGCTAGATGGAGGCTAGTCTATGCTCCCCAGATCCCAAGTCTGCTTTCTGTAGATCCGATGGTTGATCCTTTGAAATCACTAGCCAGTAACATATCCTTTGGTACAGAAGTAGAGGTCCAGCTTGGGAAACGCTTACAGGTATTCTAAGTTCCACTTTTGTTTGCTGAGCTTCATTATCATTTTATTGTCTGATTGACCCGAGTGTTTCTGTGTCTTGTTTGATGACTGTCCAAATCGTGGCTTTGCATAAATCCAAAAACTAGTATAAGATGTTAATCTTAAGATCGAATTGTAAAACCATAATTTAAAAAACAGGTTTTGTGCTAAGATCGACATAGTTTGGTCTTCCTAAATGGTGAGATTTGAAGCCCTAGGCCCGGAGTCTAACAATATTAATTCCTTCCATCTCTGGGCAGGCGTCGATTGTGAGGCAGATGAAAGACTCCGAAATGGCCATGCAATGGACACTCATCTACCAGCTCACCAGTCGGTTGCGTGTTCTTCTGCAGTCTGCTCCTTCGAAGCGCCTCCTTTTCGAGTATTCCGCAACCTCACAGGACTAGCTGCACACCATCGCCGTAGTTTTGCAGGTTTCTCGATTGGAGCAGTTAAAAAAGGACTCTCGAGAGCGTGGTAAATAGCAGTGTGCTGGTTGGTAGTAGCCGCGATACGATGATAGAAAGATGTACATATATTCCGTTTATTCTTTAGCTCATGGAAATGTGTGAGCTTGTTTATAATCTAGGCTAGTTTGTCATCACCAACAGTGTCTACATACGTTCTTCACCCCCCAATCCCTCAACCCACGTCTCGCTCCCTCTTATGGCCCTGGATTCCATTTCACTGTGATTGTTTACAATGTGTATTTTAGGCACGAATTCGCCCATCCACAACTAAGCGGGCGAACTTAAATTGGTAGGACAGTATTCTCCCAAAAATTGGTAGGACTGTATTCGGTGTTGGAGCCAGAAAATAAGTGAAGGGAGTGTCTTTCTTCATATAATAAAAAAATACTTCATGATGAAAAGTTGACTAAATAAAATAAAAAGTCAACAATATAAGTGACAAAGTTCGTACAATATAATTACAAAATAACATTTCGACGCATACTAGTTACAAAGAGTTGCGACTAGATTTCAGATTCTTTTAGTATTGCATAACACTTTTCTTGGCAAAACTAGCAACACAAATATTGTTCAATATATATGTCATCAATGCCTCGTTCAATAACTTATTGTTCATCCGATTTTCAGATAAGGCGTGTGTTTTGTGTGATGAAAATATCATTATTAATAGAAGATGTTGTCGCCCACGGGGGAAGAGAGCAGAGAAGCGCCATTCTCGAGGTTTGTTTTACTTCAGTGCTTCACTTCATCCATTGTCTCGTATTTCATTTCCTTTGAGATAGGACGACATCGCGCCATCGTTTAATTCTCCATCTACTAGTGATTTTTAAAACATCTACATCAAACTATCATATTTAATTGCAAAGTGATAGACAATGAATATATATATATATATGGTGGCTACTTCGGTGCATTCACTTTTTTGGGTGTATTCAGTGCACTCAACTCTAAAAGTGGTAATAATACATCGAATTTTGAATTTTAATGGATAACATTAGTCTAATATGATGATATAATATAGAATCACAACTAATCAATCATTATCATAACCCCTTAACCTTCAATTTTGAATTCCAACCCAAAATCTCAAATTGTAAACCCTAACCATAAATTCCTAAACCTTAAATCATTCAAATTAAAGTAAATCTTGAATGATTTTAGTACAAATTCATGTGTTTCTTGTTCATCAAAGCACAAGTGATGACTGATATCGTTTTCACATGAATCGCCTTCTCGGAATGATGATTATGAGCAGACGATTCATGTGAAAACGATGTCAATAATCCCTTGTAGTATGAGGGACAAGAACCACATGAATTTGTACAAAAATCATTCAAGATTCACTTTAATTTGAATGATTCAGGGTTTAGGAATTTAGGGTTAGGGTTTACAATTTGGGATTTTGGGTTTAGATTCAAAATTGAATGTTAATAGGTTAGGGTAGTGGGTTGATTAGTTGTGATTCTGTGTTATATCATCATATGAGACTAATGCTACCCATTAAAATTTCAAAATTTGATGTATTATGACCATTTTTAGAGGTGGGTACATTAAATTCATATATTAAACATATTATATTTTTTATTTTGCATAAAGGGAGGCTAGCGCCAAGAAAGGGGAACAAGGGGAGAGGGGTTACAAATCACGGGTGGCAATTACCCTTCGCTCAAAAGAAAGACCTCTCATATCCTCCTGCAGAATGCTACCAATACCAGTAGGTGGATTAACAAACTCATGCACACCATAGGGATAGACGAGACTGTGCTTCGAGAGCCAGTCCGCGGCTCTATTCCCTTCCCGGTATGTATGAGTTATGTTAACCAACCAGTCCTGCGCCATACGTCTCCTGATAGAGGCCAATAAAGAAGCATAAGGGTGTAGAGGGTCACTCCTGCTCTTTAACCACTGAATCACAAGTTGAGAATCTGTCTCGATCAAAAGGTTAGTGCACCTGAACTTCCAAGCGAGATTCAGTCCATGAAACAGAGCCCACAGCTCGGCCAAAGCCGCGGTCGCTTCCCCGATCATGGCCACAAAACCAGCCTGCCACCTTCCATGCTCATCACGGATTAGCCCTCCCGCACCCGCCTGACCAGGATTCCCAGCCGAAGCCCCGTCCACGTTTAACTTCATCCATCCTCTGTGGGGAGCGACCCAGCTGATGTTCGCCAGGACCCTAGGAACTGCATGGGAGCCTTGAAGCCGAGTAGCATTGTCCGACTTCCACGCCATGTGCCAAAGAGCAGCTTTGTAGTGGATTGAATTTGCCAGAGTGGGAGCAGTCAGCGCAGCTCCTATCCCTTTGAAACAAGCTGTACACCTGTTCTTCCACAATAACCAAATAGCCGAGGCAAAAAAATCATTCCATGCCATACCTGACTCCATTTCTTCATCCTGGTTAACATTGCTGCTGATCCAATCCTCAACAGAGGCCGAGAAGAACTTGTGGTGCTCCGCCTGGGGGACCTGTCTATACCAGAAAAAAGCAGCCGGCGGACAGTCACGGAGAGTATGCAGGATAGTCTCCGGGGTGCCTGCGCATCTGTGACAATCCGGGGAGTCCGCACACTTCCTGGTGAACCGAAGCACATTGGTCGCAATCTTTCCCAAGGCCACCAACCAGGTAAAACAACAAACTCTTTCCGGGACATGAAGCCGCCAAATCTTTCTCCAAAGGCTATCATTGTGCGCCGCATGTCTGGGGTACGCCATGAGGTACGCTGATTTAGCTGTGAAACGACCGCTCTCAGAAGCCGACCAGAAAAGAGTGTCCTCGGTGGGCGAGCCATCAATTGAATGAGAAAAAATCAAATAACCTAAAAATAATACGAATATAAAAAATTTAAATAGATAAAACGCATGGACACGAATCTTGGGGGGTTAATCGGTTACACCTTACACGTAAACCTGCCGTCACTTAACACTTAACAGACCCACAAAAGACGGCCGTGGATGGTCGTATCTTTGAGAAGCCTTTCTTTTCAATTTCGTTCTCGATCATTTCTTCTCCTTTAAATGCTTGTTTGCTCCCTGCTCGTCTGGAGAAGAAACCGAGCTCTCCCCGGCGCTCAACCGATCGGAACGACGAACTCTAGGACGTGAAGGAAAAGAATTCCGATTCCAGTTTCGTTTCCCGGCGATCTTTCCACATTCTCGCGCTTTCGCTGTCGAGGTACATCTGCGAGCAAACAACCGTCTTTGTTAGAACGGCGTGCTCCGCTCATCGATCTCTGCTGTTTGGAATCGGAATCCAGTCTGATCTTGTTTCGAATTTCCCGCGGTGGATACGTAATATAAAGTAGGGTTACGAGTATGAGAAATGAATCGTAAAGGCGATCTCTCGCTTGTTTCTTTGTACAGTGTATTTCTCTTTTTTATAGTTTCACTGTATGATTGATGTGTGTGGTGTTTAGTTGAATCGTATTTTGTTTCGGTAAAGTTACTCTTGAAGGTTGAAGAAACTTGTTATGGAGACTGCTTTCTTCAACTGCTAGCCTTCCTTTGTATGATTGCAGTTGAGATTCTTTTGGCTATCTTGCTAGTTTCAGCAGATTTTAGTGACTGAATGATTGATGAGGATGGATAAGAAGTGTTTAAGTAGCTAGCTTCCTGTCACATTTGCTTATGTTGTTTAATTTCCTTTTCTTTTTGTTTGTTCTTGATTCTCAGTGGTTCCTTTTCTCCGTTGTAGCAATGAAGCCAGGAAATTCTAGTTTGAACCCATATGCAGCCTCGTATATACCTGTTTCTAGGAGGGAAGTAGTTGAACATACTCAATCTCCAGGGGTGGTTGCAAAAGCTTCGCAGAGTGGCAATCAAAACGTGTGGTATGGACCTGGGTATGCCGTTGAGAACAGGCAGCTTGGGAAAGCTTCTCCAATTACTTCAGCCGAAAGCCATTATGGGAATGGAGTCTATGGTTCATTATCACAGCAGCAGGATGGAAGAACCGAAAAGCAAATTATGGATGAAGTGTCTGACTTTGAGTTGGAATTTCTACAGATGACGTTTCCTGGTGTATCTTTTGAATCACTTATGGATGTGTATGCAGCTAATAATGGAGACTTGGAAAACACAATTGACATGCTTAACCAGCTTGAGGTAAGTGAAGAGTAACCTTTGAATGGTTTCTGCTCCTTAGTAGGCGTTCAATGTCGGATGCTCTTGGCTTCGGGTACTGACTTTCTGGTACAGTAGTAGTTATCTCATCTTGCATGGTTGATGCTTAAGTTAGGATCTGATTTAGCTCGGTTTATTGCTCAATCTCTGATTATGCGACTTATACTTGCTCTCTGTACATTTTCACTGTTTTGCTCTTTGTTTAATTGTTATTTCTTATATTTGCTCGCTCTTTTTTCGCAGTTTACTTTGTATGGATAGGTTGTCTACTTACTCATCTCTCTTCACTAATTGTAGTTGTTTATCTCTACCAAGGCTGTGATCCATCCTGTTAAAAATTTCTTCTAGCTTCTAATTTTTGTTTATAATTTTCTTATATTTTCTGAAGGCTTGAAGGCTGTAATTTAGGTTATGTTGTTATGCAGTGACTGCGAAGAGGAAAGGATTATTCTCTTTAGATCAGGAAGTTAAAGGGGAAAGGCTGATTTTGTGTATGACCTACCATAACTGTTTGTAGGTTTCTTCCATTATTATTTTTTTTCTTAGTAAGTGGTAGAAAACTTTGAAGTGTTTACTTGGGTCTCTTGCAAGGATTGTGAAATAGTACCGGAAATGTCAGTGGTAGGTATTTTGTATTAAAATTGTGGTTTAACGATGATCCAGCCATGTCGTACCGGTAAAATCGCCTATAATTTGGGGTCCGATTCCCTATATTTCCAGTTGAACCAGCCGGCAAGGTAGGGTTTAGTAAACCATGGTGTCTTGTCTTCTAACTTTTCCCTTCCAGCGGCGGTGTAATTTATTTAGTTTTTGCAGCTTCTTTACCAATTGGTAGGCTACCATTGAATCTCAGCATATACTAAGACCTAATGAATATAGTCTCTTTTTGTGGAATTTATGAGGTGACTTCTGCTTCTGCTTCTGGTAGTTGACAAGTACTTCATGTTTTGTTTTCTTTGTCTTCCTGCAGGTTGACATTCCTCTCCCTGATTCTTTGGATATCTGGGATGTTTCAGAGCCCGCGTCGATAGTGAAACAGAAGAACCTCGTAGGCGAAGCCAGTGCCTCTTCATCTGGTTCCACCTCGGTCTCAGGCCCCGCTGTCTCGTCATCTTGATTCATTTACAAGGGGAAAAAGCAGAACAAATGTTGAAAGTGTTGTTCCTTCTCTTTTGTTTCTCCCCATTTCTGTGGATGGAGTAGAGTACATAGATAGAGGAATTCTGGGTTAAAGAGGGAAAAAGTTAGATAGAATATGTTGTGGTACAGAGTTTGCGCGGGCGGTTTTCTTTTGTTTGGATTCACAGGCATACAGGTTTCTGGTGTTGAATCTTCCTAACTGGAAGGTTGGTCATTTTGCGTTCTGCAGTTTTCCGTGTTGTTCAGTTTTGCTGTCCAGTAGGGTGTAAAAACCGTCGAGGATGACATTGGATGGCTTGGTTGTTGTAAGTGCCGATCAAATGTTTGGATTATACCTAGCCAACTGCTGAAAGATTTCCTATGGTAACCTACACACTATCTGACAATCATTTCTGTTAATTGTAGACCTTCCTTCACTCATTTGACAAGAAACGTCGGACTTAAGATTGGAATTGAAGGATTTGGTGGTTTCGCATTGGTGATGTATGAGATATAAGCCGACAGCTAATATCCTGAACGAGGCCAAAAACAACCTCCTTTTCCCTCCCAGCCACCAGCTACAGAGAAAACCCAATTCTCACCAAAAGGATGAAGTCCAGTGAACAACCATGAAAATGCACAATTAATTTTTTGAACACGGAAAGGAAAGCATAGAGGGAGAAAGAGAAATGGGGAAAATAATGAAAATGGAACAAGGCTGTTGTCTGTTGACGAGTTCCATGACTCGAACTCTAATTAGGCAATGGATAACATGATCAGGAGTCACATCTCAGTAGCTTCAGAAGCTGGGAACCTCCTCCAACTCCAATCCATCTCGACCGTAACGAGGTGCAGGGGAGGCTCTTGTATTGTAGCTACCTGTCTCGAGTCGAAGGACTGCTGCTGGGTTGTCTTGCACCTATCCTATCCTTCCCTTTTCAATAGCAACCGCACCTTCCCTCACGACCACAGTTCGTAAGACCCTCAGATTCCTCTGCACACGGCTGACTTGACTTCTGCACATCACCAACGCTGCAATATTCATCCACCTATCGAATTCCTTCCACAAAATTCCTTGCTCCAATTTCTTCAGCCGCCGTTTGGTTTCCTGCTCCGCCTCTATCCCTTTACAAACCCTATTGTGTTCCCACCCCTGCAACTACACCTTCCTTCGGTATTCCCGACGCTTTTCTTCATTCTCGACCAATTTTTTTCACACTTTCGGCTTTGGTCTGTTGTCCAAACTACTTAACATATCTATGCAACTTCACGAGAAGCCCCCCTCAAGTTTATGTTGCTTCCTCATAGAAATTATATATGTTGCATTTTAAACTACATGATGGGTGGGTACGCATGATTTTTACGTGAAGCTTGGTTCAACGAATTACTTGATGAGTGGAGTTGTAGCTTTTAGATCAAGTTTGATGGAATATATTTTGTTCCTCACGTATATTTTGAGTTTAAGGGCTAAGATGGAGGGAGCAGATCCATCCTGTGAATAACCCGTTCACATCACAATCCTCTCTCATGGAAAGCCTTTTTTTTTACCCTTTAATCTTTAACGGACGATTTCTCTTTTGTTTTAAGTCGAAATTTAATTTTTTCTGCACAGATAAATCAGATTAAATGTGGTCTTCAAAATGATATCCACTTTGATATATTTTTGGAAAAAAAAAAAAATTAAGCCATGTTTTACCAATCTATACCATATGGTATTGAGTGACTGGTATAGAAATAAAAGCATACCTATGGTTCGAAAAGCGTACAATGGTGGTATGAGCAAACCAAGACTGTAGGATGGTTGAATACATGATAGTAGAAGTATATTAACTGTCATTTACTACTTTTTACATTGTGTACCACAAGATACCACCTCGTACGACGAGGGTAGTATTGTGTGGTATTTTTTTGTCCTGTAATTTGTTCACCCAGAAATTTGTAGATCCAATAGATCATGATGAACTCGTTCCTTCTGTGCAAACGTTTTCAAAAACGAATTAAAAACTAAGAAGATACCATATGGTATGCAGTTGGTACCGAGAGGCATGCAATTTTTTTCTCAAAAATATTGAAAATGGATCTTGTTTTGTAGAGCACAATGAACTCTTTCCATATATGCAAAAAAAAAAAAAAAATTGAAATCCGAGTTAAAACGAAGAAGATATGAACCAATTAAGAAAGCTAGGGAAAATAAAAATGACATTTAATTCTTCATTCTTATATCTGGATTTTCTAAATGAAGGGTCCAGATTTATTTATTGATGGGTGCATAACCCATGGTTATTAGGAATGGCAATGGGGCAGGTCCGGGACGGGTTTCTTGGTACCTAGACCCGCCCCGTGGCAGGTCGGGTCCGAGTCGGGTAATTTATCACGGGTCGCAGGTCGACCCAATGGGTATGCAATTTATATGAAAAACATTAAAAATATTCGTTATTTTTATTATAAGACCAAGAAAACAAACAATATTAAGATAAATGTAGTTAAATTATTAGAGAAATTGAGGTTTTCACTAATTTATAACTTTATTATAGCTAAATTATGATGTAATAAAAGAAAAATGCAAAGTAATTTGACTAAGATTACACGTAATTTAGGCAAGAATGGGTCGAGAATGGGGCGGGTCAGGGCAGGTCGGGTCAATGAGAGTACCCATGCCCGCCCCGCCCTGCCTACGAGCACTGGCGGATCCAGGGAGTGGCCACCCCGGGCCCCGGCCAGCCCTCCTCTGGATCCGTAGTTAGTATAGCCTTTATGAAATTTTTCGATTTTAGACATTCGACGTAGTGTTATTTTATAATAAGATTGGGTATAACTAGAAAAATTAATAAGATGTACATATTCAAATCACTACTCTAAATTTAGCCTAGAAATTTTAGCCCCAAAGATTATGCGTCTAAAAAAAACAATGAAACATAAAATTCTAAAAAGTTTAAAACGTTAAAGACTAAAAGAAATATGAGGTTTGTTTCCTTGAAAATTTACTAGAGCAGCTCGTGGATGCATGGATGGACACACAATGCAAATTGATTAGTCGATTGATTTATCTAGTGTTGATGCTGCTCGTTTCAACCGCTACTACGAAGAGAACCTTTTCAACAATGAAACATGTGAGAACTGATTTGCTCAACAAAATGAGCGATGAATTTCTTGTCGATTGCTCAAATATTTTATTTGAAATAGTGTATACTATTGGTATGGTGTGAATCATAGCCAGGAGGCAGGGAAGGAGCAGCCTTGGAATCATTTGTGTCGTTTCTTTCTTTCTTTCTTTTTAATTGTTATGCAATGGTTCATCCCGGCGGGAAAAAAACGTGCAAACGAAGACCCAGTGTCCGGGAGACTGAACAATAAATTTGTTTGAAGACTAGGATGAGCAGGGAGTCCGAGAGGCGGCGGAAGTGGTTGATCCCGGCGGCGGAGCAGCATGATGGGTCGGGTTTCAGGTAGATTCTTGGTCTCGGATCTGGGCGAATTGAGTCCGCCATGATTATCAAGACCCGGGAAAATGGGTTTACCCTCTCCTTAGATACAAAAGCGGTGAAGAAACAGAGAAGAGACAGGGAAGCCCCAGAGGAGAAGAACCTTCCCAATTGTTATTGATGATAATGAGTGGACAATGATGCAGCCTGCGCTTGCGATCCTTCCAATTGCGCTCGACCACTTGCACCAAGCTTCTATCACCAAAATTCTCAGTCTCGAAGAACTCGTCTTCTCCAACGTAACTCCATGCATCCCACATTGGCTCCCCATGCAAGCCATGTACACGTATGATGGCATGAAAAAGGGACTTGCCCACAAAAAGTTGATTCTCTTGCGAACCCAACAATTCCCCAGCAATTCCGAACATCCATTCCACATCCTGCTCTTCCGCGCGGCCATAGCGTCCCGGTCCAAATTTCCTAGCCAAATGACCTTCAACTCGTTGCCGGATCAGAGTCCCATTATTAACCTCGTTAAAGCTCAGGCATTGGCTTACCTCCGCCGCTTCCTTAAGGCTGCCAAACGTCCATGTCCCTTCACACGAATTTGAGTCGGCCTCTTTTAAGGTTCCGTCCGCAAGTTCCATGGCACTATCAACCGTAGCCATCACCGACCCCACTCCGTACAAGAGAGCTCCAGTTAGGCCGCCCATGGAAGGTATGACGCATCCGCATATAGGTCCACTCGTGACTATCAAGTGAAGAAGAGGAAGAAGATGCTCTGCAGCTGAAGTAAACTGGAAAAGCAGAGCAGCTCGATGTTCGAAGAAGAAGAAACCTCACCCTGCTGAAACGGAAACGTTTCTGGGTTCTCTTCCATCCAGCTCAAGCAAAGGAACGAGGCGACGCCGTTGTGGAGTTCCGGAACTTACCGTTGGGTGGAATCAGTTATGACGAATGACGCGTTGCCAAGTGGCTTTACCTTTACTGTTAATTTAAATTTCTGTTTACCATTTCCATTTCTACTGTTTTGTATCGTGAAGCAGACTCTTCTTCTAGTTGATATAAATTGAAAAGCAGGAGAGATCTCTTCTCCTTGCGCGCTTCCCATTTTCATCGTGTCGTCGTTTATTCCGCTTAACCTAGCTCCAAGCTAGCTTTCACATGGTATCAGAGCGGTTGCTGATCTAGTAACCTGCGAAAATGGCGATGACACCACCAGCTGGTACACCTCCGAATACACCTCACCCAGGTGGTATTCCATTCGGCAACTTCGGTGGGATGGAATCAGGGATGAACAGCGCTTCCAACTCCAGCAACAACAAGAACAATCACGATCGTTCAGATCTACAATTTGGTAATCCATTCTATATCAACCCGAATGAAAATATTTCTCAAGCCATTGTTTCTGAGGTTCTTGATGGCTCTAATCATCAAATGTGGCAAAGAGCTGTTCGAATGGCGCTCAAAACGAAACACAAGATTGGGTTTATAGATGGTTCTATTGCAACTCCAGCTGTGGGTGATGCAATTTATAGCACTTGGGATGCTTGCAATACCTTGGTTTTATGTTGGATTATGAATTCAGTGAAAAAGGAAATTCGAAGGAGTGTGATGCAACATGAGGTTGCTCGTACCTTGTGGGAAGAACTCAGGGCACGTTTTGGGTTTACAAATGCCATTAAGTTGTCTAATATGGAAGATCAAATTATTGCTTGTAAGCAGGGAACCCTTAGTGTCACTCAATATTACACAGCTTTGAAGGGTTTATGGGAAGAACACTTACGGTTCAACCCAATTGTTGATTGCAACTGTGCTCCACAGAGGACACAACCTTGTGCAGCAGTGGAAGCGTTCAAACAGAAACAGGAGGTTGACTACCTCATTCGCTTCTTGAAGGGGTTAAGACCAGAATTTGATGTAGTCCATACACAAATCCTGATGATGAAGCCTCTTCCCACTGTGGAAGTTGCTATCAATGATGTCCTGCAACATGAACAGAAACTGAAGGTAGACAAAGGTATAACCCGAGGTGTGCAAACTGTTGCCCTGGCAGTTCAAGGTGAATCACAGGAAGGAAAGAAGTTCTGTCGTTACTGCAAAAAGGATGGACACACTAAGGAAGAGTGCTATAGATTGAAGAACAAGAAGCTTAGAATGGCTGGGGGTGTAGCTGCAGCAGTCACTCAATGAGAATCTTCCACTGAGAGTGACACTGCTAGTTCAGATTCTAAAGTAAGCACTGACTCACGCAGTGTAACTTCAAAGGAAAGTTTTAGCTTCTCTACTGAAGAACTGAACAAGCTCAAGTACTTACTACAAAGTGTCCCTTCTCCTGGACCCTCACCACCTGCTTCACCCTCCATCAATCACTTGGCATTCTCTGTGGCCAACAACACTTCTCCATTCCCTACTTATGCTGGTAAATTCATTCTCTCTTCCTATATTCAGCATAAGACTGATTCACTTTCACACTCCTAGATACTAGACACTAGGGCATCTGATCACATTGCCTGCAATCTTAGTTTGTTAACTGAATCTGTTCCAGTAAAAGATCAGTTTGTTTATCTGCCAAATGGTACCCAAGTAGTTGTTAGCCATATAGGTAATGTTCAACTTTCCCCTGACCTGACCCTAGACAATGTTCTCCTAGTGCCTAGCTTCACTTTTAACCTTATCTTAGTGAGCAAATTAACAAATGACCAGCCTATATCCTTACATTTTGAGTCTGGTTCTTGTCAAATTCAGGACCTGGTGACCCAGAAAAGGACTGGTTTGGCAAGACAGAGTAATGGATTATACCAAATTCATGCCAAGGCTAAAGCACCTCTCCTTCCCACACCACAAGCAGCCACTTCTTACAACTTTCAACCACAAAACATCCATCTTTGGCACTGGAGATTAGGGCATCCTGGCAAAGACAAAGAGAAGCAACTGTTACCTAGTGATGAGAATGTAGCTTCCCACTGTCAAACTTGTCACTTTGCTAAACATAAAAGACTTCATTTCCCTGTTAGTAGTAGTAGAGCAGTAGATGTTTTTGATTTGGTACATGTAGACATTTGGGGACCATTGGCAGTTAAATCTCATGAAGGATACTCTTACTTTCTTACAATTGTGGTTGACTGTTCTAGAGCTGTCTGGGTGTTCTTAATGAAGTTTAAGTCTGAAGCTAGCCATTTGTTGCAAAGCTTCTGAACCATGGTTGAAAGGCAGTTTTCCAAATCTGTCAAAGTTATCAGAAGTGATCAGGGTTCAGAATTTCACCTAGCGTAATTTTACACAGATAAAGGAATTATACATCAACAGTCTTGTGTTGAGACACCTGAGCAAAATCCTCGTGTTGAGAGGAAGCACCAGCATATCCTCAATGTGGCTAGATCACTTCGTTTTCAATCTGGTATCCCCCTCAGATTTTGGAGTGACTGTGTACTCCATGCTGTTTACTTAATTAACAGACTTCCCAGTTCAGTCCTTGAAAACAAGTCACCATATGAAATTCTCTACAATAGACCCCCTACACTTGCCAACTTAAAGGTTTTTGGATCCCTTTGCTATGCTTCTACTCTTCACAGGGATAGGACAAAATTTGATCCAAGAGCCAGGCGGTGTATCTACCTTGGATTCCCCACTGGAATCAAGGGCTTCAAACTGTTTGACCTTAACTCCCATTCCTTCTTTGTGTCAAGGGATGTGATATTCTATGAATCCATTCTTCCCTTTCTCACTTCCAATTCTACCTCTACTTCCTTTCTTGAACCAGTTACACCACAACTTCCTTCCACTCCTCTTATTCATCAGACTGCAAATCCCACTTCTCCTGTTCCAGCTTCTGCTGCTGACACAGCTTCCTATTCCAAGCCTACTTCCACTTCTTTTCCTAGTCCTGATACTACACTTTACCATTCTGATCCCATTTCCACTACTCTTCCTAATCCTTCTTCTACCAGTACTTCTAATGGTGGTACACCCATCAGTTTGCAGTCTGAGGGGGAGGATATGGAGATAGAAGTGTTTCCTGAGGACACTTTATCTGATGAGGCTGAATTCTTAAGAAAGTCCACCAGGAATCGCACTGTCCCAGTTTGGCACAAGGACTACCATGTGAGTATGACTGCCACATCATCCAACAAACATCATATATGTCACATAGAGGGTTATGATCATCTCACTGCTTCTCAGAAATTATTTGATTTAAGTGTTCTATCTGTTGAAGAACCAACTTCATATGCAGAGGCATGTAGAGATCCTCGTTGGTTACAGGCATGTAAGGAGGAAATCTTTACATTATTTGAGAACCAAACTTGGGAATTGGTTAAACTTCCTGCTTGTAAAAGGCCAATAGGGGCCAAATGGGTGTTTAAGGTGAAGTATAGGTCTGATGGAGCAATTGAAAGATTCAAAGCACGTTTGGTGGCTAAGGGCTATACCCAAATTTATGGAATTGACTTCTTGGACACCTATTCTCCAGTGGCCAAGATAAATTCAGTGAAGACTCTGTTGGCAGTGGCAGCTGCTAAGGACTGGCACATTCATCAAATGGATGTGTCCAATGCCTTCTTACATGGGGATTTAGATGAGGAAGTGTATCTTGAAATTCCTCCAGGAGTTGATGTCTCTAAAGAACCAGGTTTGGTGTTCAAACTTAAGAAATCCTTGTATGGTCTTAAACAAGCGAGCAGGCAATGGTTCTCTAAGCTTGCCAATGCCTTGTTAAAGAATGGATACTCGCAAACTGCATCTGACTACTCAATGTTTGTGAGGTGGATACAGGGAAGGGTAGTAGTGGTGCTTGTGTATGTCGATGACATATTAATTGCAGGAAGTAGTCTGGGAGATATTCAGCAACTTAAAACATTCTTAAGTAAAGAGTTCAAGGTGAAGGACTTGGGCCAGATGAACTATTTCCTAGGCTTATAAGTCATTAGAGATCACAAAGGAATCTTTGTCTCTCAAAGAAAGTACTGTTTAGAGTTGCTTAGTGATACTGGTTTTGTGGAAGCCAAAGGCGGCTTATCTCCAGTTGATTGCAATGTCAAATTTTCTGCAGAACAAGGTGAATTGTTGTCTGATCTAGGTATCTACAGAAGGCTAATAGGGAGATTACATTATCTCACCATTACAAGGTCTGCTATCACTTATGCAGTACAACAAATTGCTCAGTTTCAATCAGCACCTTGCATTGGACATTTGCAAGCTGCACATAGAGTTATAAGGTATCTAAAACAGACTCTTGGGCAAGGATTGATATTCAGGGCAGATTCAAAGCTTGAGCTTTCTGGATATTGTGACGCTGATTGGGCAAGTTGCCCTGACTCGAGAAGATCCCTTACTGGCTACTGCACCTTCTTAGGATCTTCTCTGATCACTTGGAAGACCAAGAAACAAACTGCAGTCTCTAGGTCCTCCTCAGAGGCAGAATACATGGCACTTGCTCAAGTGGTCTGTGAAGTCCAATGGTTGCGAAACTTGCTCACAAATATGGGAATCAAGGTACCTTTGCCCATCCCTCTATTTTGTGATAACAAGTCTGCTTTACACATCGCTGAAAACCCAGTTTTTCACGAGAGAACAAAGCACATTGAGATTGATTGCCATGCTATAGATTGAGATTCTTATTGGACAAGCTGGGAGTTCATAATGTCTACTCGCCAGCTTGTGGGGGAGTATCAAGTGAAGAAGATGAAGAAGATGCTCTGCAGCTGAAGTAAACTGGAAAAGCAGAGCAGCTCGATGTTCGAAGAAGAAGAAACCTCACCCAGAAACGGAAACGTTTCTGGGTTCCCTTCCATCCAGCTCAAGCAAAGGAACGAGACGACGCCGTTGTGGAGTTCCGGAACTTATCGTTGGGTGGAATCAGTTATGACGAATGACGCGTTGCCAAGTGGCTCTACCTTTACTGTTAATTTAAATTTCTGTTTACCATTTTCATTTCTACTATTTTGAATCGTGAAGCAGACTCTTCTTCTAGTTGATATAAATTGAAAAGCATGAGAGATCTCTTCTCCTTGCGCGTTTCCCATTTTCATCGTGCCGTCGTTTATTCCGCTTACCCTAGCTCTAAGCTAGCTTTCACAGTGACAGGCCCACTCGAGAGTCTCGTAGCTGATCGAAGACCGAACGAGACGGGCCCTTGTGTTGTCATCTCCCTCCTCGTGGTCAGCTCGGAGATGTGCTCTCTATCATGTTCCTCTGGCGTCATTACTCCGCCTCGCGCGAGGTCATGTGCGACCTTCCCCTCAATAGCATCGGCAAGCTCTTCTTTCCCATGTTCCATTGCTCCAATACCGTCCCATGGATGCGCAACTCCTCCTCCATCATGGCTCTCGTGTCCATGCCCACCTCTCAATTGCGTTCCAAGCAACCCTACGTCAACACAACATTTATTAATCGAGGTTGACTCGTTGGCTCCCGCGACTGCGCTCGACCTCTCCCTCGTTTGCGTGACCGCCATCGTTGGTTGTGGTGCGAAGCTTCCCCTTACAACGCTGCTCGACATCGTCGGGATCCCCTGGCCGTCTTCACGACCCCCTCCACTACGCTCGTGTTGACGCTTTGCGAGGTTGGTATCCCTATTCGTAGGGCTGAGAATACCCTGCAACCTGACCCATGAACCCTTTTCTTTGAAACGCACGGTCGCCTTCTTCCAATCGAACGATATTGAACTCGCTAGCTCAAGCCATTGACCGCCGAGGACGACGTCAACTCCACGTAGTGGTAGCTCGTACAAGTTGGCCTGAATTTGTACCCCTTGTATCTCGATCGGCACCACTTCATAGCATCGTTGGCACAGTAGGGGATCCCCATTAATTACCTTAACTTCAAACGGCGGAACCACAGTAGCTCTCAAAAACAATCTCCCGGCAGCTTCGCGGCTCACGAAGTTGTGCGAGGATGCACTATCGACGAGGACGGCAGCTGGTTCTTGATGGATGGTGGTGTCGAAGTGGATGATCGTGGGCTTGGAAACGCCGGTGAGAACGCACAAGGAGATCTCTACGTCGGTCGTATCCGGCGGCTCGTCAATCTCGATCGGTGGTTCTCCATCGACAAGCTGCAAAGCTCCATCCCTCGACAACTTCTGTGTTCGTCCATTTGCTTCCAGATGATAGAAGACCTCCCATTGATCTGCGGAAACGAATCAAATAGCTCATAACTTACTCGACGTTAGACTCGGAAAAAAAACATGTCGGTGACTCAACTCATTACTTAATGAACCTCCTTGCAAACACGAGCATTCATTCACGAATCACGAGTGAGGATTAAACTAGACCTTATTCGACTAAACCGGGCACATGAGCTAACTCAATAAAGTACATATATAAAACAAGTATATCAAACAAACAATTAATAAGTTATTAATTGACTTGTCAAATTACAGGTTATTTTCCAAAATTTCTTAAATTGGTCTAATATATTAGGTGAAAATGTTCATTCTAATTCTCTTACATTGAAGATATATAAATTTCGAGCATGAAAAGTAATATAAAATAAAAGTTTTGCTTTCAAACATTAGAGAGCAAACTTGGATTAGCTGAGACTCGACTATAGAATGAAGTGTTGTTTATTCGGTCAAGGCCTAAGATTTATGTCAACTAGGCTTGTTGAGCTCACCTTCTTTTTTTTTTATATAAAGGGGTACTTTATAGTACTTAAAACTGATCAGTTACAAAGAAGGAAAACAAATCAACAATCTGATTCCAACAAGAGGAAGACCAAGGGCATTCGGTTACAAACAAAGCTATGTAAAACAACATGCAGCAACAAAGAACAAAACACAGTCTGCAAGCAACCACCCAAAAAGAGCAAAACCCTTGACCGAAAACAAATCATCATGAATCTCTCTTGCAAACAACCAATTAAAGTACAACAAAACCACAATCAGCTTGTCCGATCATATCGAAATCCATGGTAAGTGAACATCATCACTCCATGTGCCGCCTCCCGGGGAAAACTCAAAGGCATCCATCACAGTGAATCTAGAAACTAGACTGCATGGCGGTGGAAGAGGATATGAACCAGATTGCTCCAAGCTGAAGAGGCAGAAGAGGCCGAGGTAGAGAGATCAGGTTCGAAGAAGAGCAGAAGCTCCCAAGGTAGCCAAAAAAACTCCACGGAAAACACATTTACAAGAGGGGGAAAATTATTGCTTAGAGGGTATTGTTAGCCCTCTTCTATTGAGTTTTGATCTATTTTAGGGGATGACATTATATTTGACATGTTTTTTTTCCATTTCAATAAAAAAATCCTAAATCAATAATATCATTTGAATGCTCTCTAATGGGGAAAAAAAACTTAAAGGACATATTAAACTCTATGAGAGATATTTTCTTTCATTCTAAAGGTTGATTATGTATGTATTATGAGAAGCAACTCTAATATTCAACTATATGGTTTAATTAAATAATGAATGATATTTAGTTATATTTATTTCTTTTTTCATTAATTAATTATATGTAATGCTTATATCATTTCCCCCCTCTTTTCATGTAGGTCTAAACACTTTATGCATAGTTGGATCACTTTCAAAGATGTTATGTGCATAAATAAGGTACAAAATAATCATTTCATACATTTTAAATAATGTGTTATATCCATTATTGTATACCATATTACTCGACAAATTTTTCCAGACCAACGGGCCGAGCCCTGTGCTAGTATTATAAAGGTGAAAGCCAAAACCCATTACTCCATTTCAAATTTCTTGCATCGAGAGTGAAAGTAGTAAGGACATTTATGTCTTCACAACTACTTATTTCTTTCTTATTTATTTATAAAAAATATATACATATGGGGATTTGAACCATGACCACTTTTAAGAGAGGGAAGAGCTACAAGCCTACAACCAATCACGCTATATATATTTGTTGTATCTTTTAAAAGAAAAACATACACAAACCTAAAATCTAAAAAATCAGAAGACATTTTCAGCGGTTAGCTAGCAACTAAATCTCACATAAATACTTATTTGGTGATTTGATACTTCGACTTTTATTTTTTTTATTATTTTAATTGTATTTTAATACTTAATTTATATTTCAATGTATATTATAAACATAGGATAACTTTAAAATTGTAACCCATATATCACTTGGTTGAATATTGCATATAAAATTAGAGTATTAAATAGGTCGAAGCAATGTCCAAATTTTAAATTCGTATTAATTTTTAGAATTAAATATGAAGAAATCATATCCTTATGTAGACTATATGGGGCTGGTTTTTTTTAACGTTTTAGCCGGGTTAACTGCTAAGCTTTCAACATGTTCCTAATCTAACACGATGAGATCCGATGATCATTGCACGAGATTGAGCTTAGTTATTGGTTCATTTCACCATTTTTTGACATGTTAATGAATTTCTAGGGCAATGACATATGTCTACGTCTAAACACAATACAGTATATAAGATTGGAATGAGAAAAGTATTTTTCCCGTTTCAAATTCCTACAATGAAAGCGAAAGTATGAATGGTATATTTGCCTTCACAATTATTAAACTTATTTATTTGTAGAAAATAAACAAGTATTGGAATTTGAACCAATGTATCTTCCAAAAAAGACAAGAATCATAAGCCTGAATGTCAACTCAAGTTTGACATAGTTGGGCGAATCAGTTTTGCCCAAACCCCAGTATTTGTTAGGATGTTGGAGGCCCAGTTGGTTATCAACCCAAACTTGGTCAAACTAAGAAAACCAGTTGAATTTGGAAATCGGGTTGATTCAACTAATTCATCTAAGCACTGAGTCACTTCAAACCGACATCATTTTCAACAAATCTAAACACTAGCTCTGTTGACATGTCGTCCTTTTCCTTATCAAATACTCATGCAGCAACATACATCAACTACCCGTTTTCAGTTTTCCCATAATATCTTTTCCTCCTTTACTATCGACAGCAATTTCAGTTTTCAAAGCAATATCATAAGCACCCAAATACTTTTATATATTTGGTTATATATATTCCTTTGTTGTATATGTTTTTCCTCCTTAGTATACTAACAAGAAACACATGAATTTTCGGTTATATATATATATATCAATTAACAACTCTATTATTCACTAAATAGTTTTATATATTTGGTTATCATATATTCTTTTGTTGTATATTTTTTCCTCCTTAGTATACGAACAAGAAACACATGAATTTTCGGTTATATATATATCAATTAAGAACTCTATTATTCACTAATGCATGCAATTTCAGTTTTCAAACATATTTTTTACTCAAATACTTTTATATAACAATGAATGACTCCCTAAATTTCACTTAGTTATCAATGAAAGATGAGATGCTGTTAATTGATTTATGAGATCAAATATACCTCCATACCACTAAAGCTACAATCATTGTGATCTTTAGTTGTTCACTCACCTCTGCCAATGTTGACAGGTTCATATTTTGCTATGAAATTTAGATAAAGAAACTTTAAATCTCACACATTTAAAAGTAGGAGATGGAAACTATGTAAATAAGTGATTGCAAATTTTCTATTTTGAAACCCAAAACTGAAGGAATTTAAAAAGTCTTATGGGCAAGTGATACCTTAACATTGGATGTGGTGGTGAATGAACAACTAATGCCAAACGTGGCCTAAAAAATTCCATCCACTATGAATTGCAAAAAAAACATCCTTCCCAAACCCAATTTATTACCAGTCAAATCATATTTGGTAATATCACTTGAAGGTCATACCAATAAACGACTATTTAGTTTGAGTCTAAATTAGACCTATTACATTGGCTACAAAAAAAATATATATCAACTCTAATGTAATTTTTGCAATTTTTTTTTGTATAACAAACATAAATGTGGAAACACCGATAATGAAGGTGTGAATTGGTTTAATGCGAATAGCTAGATGGTCGATATTTCTTTATAAGTATATTTATATGGACTCAAATAGATTCAAATTGTGGGTTCGACCCAAATAAAAGTTTTTTTTGCTCTAGCTCTCTTCCCAATTCCATAATTAGTAAATTAAAATAATTCGGCCAACAAGACGGGTCAAAGCTAGTTGGCTGATATATGTGAAGAATAGCCTTACAAATCGCTCTAGCATAACCTTTAAAAAAAATTGGTCAAAATCAATGGAAAATACATTCAAAATCGTCAAAGAACAATAGATGAAAAATCGTCCAAAATCTATTCTCTTCTCATCTTTCAGCCCACTTATAGTCTTAAATTTATTTACAATTAGAATTCTCATCTATTATCACTTCCCATCTTTTGCAACCGTTCATATTTACTTTAAAATTACTTTTGTACAACTAATCTGTTCGATAATTTTCTTGTACTTAACTGCCTTTTCTTATAAATTAATTATTTTTATCTATATTTTTAGATACTGAGAGTTCTGAAATATTATTTCTTTAGATAATCAAATAAGTCCCTTGTAAACAAATTCAACCAAAGAGTAGCTTTAAACAGGACAAGCCCCTTATAAACAAATTCAACCAAAGAGTAGGTTTAAACCATTATTACATCCAACCAAACAGTAATTTGAGAAATACATTACACTACACGAGCACTTTTACTATGCTATATAGCATTGGTGCTTTAATGTACAACTCAAAGTTGTACCATAACATTAAATGTATAAATTAAGGTTGTACCATAAAACAATTTGTATCATTATGTTATGGTACAACTTTACAACTTGAAGTTGTACCATCACGTAAAGGTACAAGTTCAAGTTGTACCATAAAAGAATTTTTACAAAAAGTATAGATACAATCTGAAGTTGTACCATAACGTAAATGTACAATTTTAAGTTGTACCATAAAGACAAAAACCTATAGTACCAATACTATATAGCACTGTAAAATTTCTCTACACTACACTCAATAACATGCAAAACAAATGCATGCTATCGGAACAAATCATGTTTATTTTTATTCTTCAAATGATACAATATCCGTGGGACCGGTTACTATAACAACACCCCTTATGTTGTTATTGTAGCAACACTAGTCTCCAACCAATAGGAAGCTAGGGTTGTGATGACTTTTTATTAGATGAGTTGACCTAGTATAAAATCAAAGCAGGGGTATAATTGTCATTATGAAAATATGTTTAAATAATAATAAAAAATAAAAAATAAAAAATATTTTTTTAATTTTCGGTCCAAAATTTTGGTCGCCAGAATTCAGCCATCGGTCGCCGGAATCTGGTCGCCGGTCACCGGAATATGTTTTTTTATCGCCAGAATATGCTCACCGTGGTCGGAATATGCTTACCGGCGTCGGAATCTAGTCATCGGGACCGGAATATGCCTATCGGCGTCGGAATCTACTCACTGACAGTCATCGGAGTTTGGTCAACGGCCAACGACCACCGGATGTTATGGTCTGTATTGTGAGATTTATGGTTTGGTTTCTCATATTTTTGTATGCCTTTTGTGGTTTGCTTTATCGTGTTTGTGGTTTGCATTAAGAAGTTTCTGGTTTGCTTTATCGTGTTTGTGGTTTGCATTAAAAAGTTTCTGGTTTGTCTTCAAAAAATTTGTGGTTTGCATTGAGGGGTTTCTGGTTTGTTTTAATATATTTTTGGTCTGCATTAGGACGTTTATGGTTTTTTTTTTGTGGTTTGATTTACTGTGTTTGTGGTTTGCATTAGGAGGTTTCTGGTGTGCTTCGCAAATGTTATGGTTTGCTTTGTGAGGTTTGTGGTTTGTTTTAGGAGATTTGTGGTATGCATTCGGAGGTTTCTGGTTTGCATTAAGAAGTTTCTGGTTTGCTTTCGAAACTTTTGTGGTTTGCTTAGCGAGGTTTCTGGTTTGTTTTAATATATTTGTGGTCTGCATTAAGATGTTTTTTTGTTTGCTTTACCGCATTTGTGGTTTGCATTAGGGGTTTCTGGTGTGCTTTTCAAAATATTATGAGATTTTTTGTATACTTTTTTGGATTGATTTACCGTGTTTGTGGTTTGTATTAGAAAGTTTCTGGTGTGCTTATGAAAGATTTGTGTTATTCACTTCCTCCGGATCATGTTCACAGTAGTCGGATTCAAATATATCAAGGTCGAATCAACGGTAAAAAAAAATAAAAATTAAGAAAAATAGTAAAACAAAAAAAAAAGCGAAGATTGTCGTTGTTTGCTTTGCATACATGGCTTTAACAGTTGAACTCTTTTCCATTTTGATCCAATTTGTTTGGATCCAAATATAAAGGCGAACAAGAAATCCAATGTGTTTGAATCCAAATATACCGCAACTATTTTCTAATCCCGGTCCTTTCACTGAAATGAGCATATACTACCGGCAACGAGGCAATCAATTGGATTCACGCTAACCAACACGCACTCCCGCGCCGTGCTGAAGTGGCTCCAAACGATACAATTCTTGTGGTCGTCGTTCCCGGTGCCCAGCCTCAGGCACTCAGGCGGCTCGCTGGTGAAATAATTAATACAGACGGAGAAGATGGATCTGGTAAGCGTCGGAGTCAGAGTCCTTGACGCAGACGGTTTGATCGTCATTGCTGAGAAGATTAGTAGAGGTCTGAGCAACCTGAGCAGATTTGTAGTTGTTTCCGGCAACAGAGCATAAGAAGGATATCGCCGTCGTCTGCATGAATCGGAAGGAGAGGGATGGAAGGAGATGCGACTGGCGGAGAAGATAGATCTCGTAGGTAGAAGGGAAGATCGGATATATAGGTGATAGGAATTTTCTATTTATTTTAATTTTGAATTTTTTTGGTTAGTTTACCCTTTTACCCTTAATGAATTCTATTGTTACTGTAACAACATTAAGGGTGTTGTTATTCTATCCGCATCCAATATCCATCCAATATCCATGCCCTCCAGCTCCTCACTATTTCCCCTGCCTACAAAAGCACAAAACAAACATGAAGAGAACTCAAAGAAAACAGTAATAAGAGGTAACAAGAGCCATTACAAGAGATGAAAGTCCAGACGACCAGACCGAATGTGGGTTTTTACCTGTTACGTTGACGAAGATGTAGACCACGTGCGATGAGTCCCAGAATATGCTTCACTCTCCAACGAGATGGCTCCCGCCCGACGAGACTTTGGTTGGAGCCTAAAAAGGGTAAACAGAATCAGAACCTCATTAGACCAAGAGAAGCTCAAAATAAAAAAGTACTTACATGGAGGAAGATGAGGAAGCTCTGCTGTTTGGTGAACAAGTGCCTGCTGCAGTTTTTCTATCTGTTTGCCAAGAATGGCTATATCAGCTTCAACATCTGCCAAATCAGCTCCCATCACATCCAATTCATTGTGAAATATTGGAGGAGACTTGCCACCGATTCGCTTCTGCCTGTGCTTAATGACTTCGGCCACCATGTGCACAGTTGCCTTTGCAGTGACATGTTCTATGTAGTCCTTGTAAAAGGCCGATTTCATAACACGATCCATGCTGAAAAGAGAACCAAAATCACATACACACAACATTAGCAAGCAAAGCAAATCAAATAAAATCATCCACAGGTGTCGGTTCTAAACCTAACAGACATGCAAAAAGCAGGAGGAGCAAAGCAATTACCAGTTGATGAGGGAAGGAGGGATGGGAGGAGTCCAAAAGCTGTCGGTCCCATCATACCTGCCTTGCAACTCCTCGTGCCTTGGAATCGGAATCGGCCAGCAGGAAAACCTTGGCTGGAACACGTGAAGGCGATTGCAATGAGACAGACTTTCTAATTTAGCAAACAACTCTAACTCTTCCCTTCTCAAATCGCAGCACAATATAGCATACTTATTATCACCCGCAGCAGAGTGAAAGAAAACAATTTCGGGATCGTGTGGATGCAGGTAACAATAAGAACCCTCAACTTTGTAGTCACAACACTCTGACGCCGATGTCTTGTTAACAAGCCCCTCACGGAGTTTCCTCCAAGATATACCATCGTCTTCCAGTCTCCAGACGCTGCAATGAATAGCTGCCGATTCATTTTCTAGTGCAATTACATGCAGCGCACTTTGCGCGCTGGAAATAATCCACCCATCCGGCGGAACTGCAGGAGTATCGATACAAGTGGGAGGCATATCAAGGCAGAAAGGATTAAACCTAGCCACCGAAATCTTGAACATGTTATCACAATACATCCAAAACAACTCGCCATTGCACGAAATGAGACTTCTTGATGTAGGTCTATATTGACGACCAGCACAGACAAGAGCCTCCTCAGACCATTCTCCAGACTCGGAACAGAACACATCTAGTTTTAAGCCCGAGTTTTCATACAAACACGCCACTCGGAAGCGGCGATACTCGGAATAAACGAACGCTTTGTAATTGCTGTGATGATCTGATTTATTATTGGTTATGAGAGTGGTATTTAATACCAACTCTAAAACAGAAAGGGTACACACGTAGCTACAAATCAGCTAACTATCTCTCCACTATACAAGCCACTATGCACGATAATGAGCAGAAATAATTAATCTAAAGTAATATCCTTAACACGCCCCCGCAAGATGGAGGAGGGTACGACACCAATCTTGGAACGAGGGAGCTGGAAGCGAGTGATGGGAAGTGGCTTCGTCAAGGAATCAGCAAGCTGATGAGCAGTGGGAATGTGACGAACATGAAGGGAAGCCGACTGCACAAGATCACGAACAAATAGGAAATCAAGAGCAAGATGCTTCATACGGGAGTGATGAATAGGATTGGCTGAGAAGTTGACAGCGCCGAGATTGTCGCAGTAGAGCGTCGGTGGGGAGGAGACAGGTTGATGAAGTTCGATGAGGAGATTTTGGACCCACAAGAGCTCGGATGTGGCGTGAGCAAGCGCACGATATTCAGCTTCAGTGCTGGAGCGGGCGACCGATCGTTGCTTTTTGGATTTCCAGGAGATGAGATTGCCACCATAGTAGATAAGATAGGCCATTGTGGACGTACGATCGTCAGGGTCACCGGCCCAATCAGAGTCGGCGAAGGCAACGAGAGTCGAGGTGGTAGGCGGGGAGAGACGAAGACCAAGGGAGGCGGTACCGCAGAGATATCGGAGAAGGCGTTTAACATGCTGCCAATGAAGTTGAGTAGGAGCATGCATGAACTGTGACAGCTTGTTAACAGCAAAGGCGATGTCCGGGCGGGTACACAGTAGATACTGAAGGGAACCAAGCACCTGTTTGTAGAGAGTGGCATCGGCGGGTGGGGAGCCATCAACGAGAGAGAGCTTTGCAGTGGCCGATAATGGAGTGGGCGCGGGATGAGAGTCGGCCATGTTGAAGCGTTGAAGAATGTCCAGGACATATTTATGTTGGGTCAGGAAATACCCAGTGGATGACGGCTGAACCTCAATACCCAGAAAGTATCCAACCTGGCCAAGACTTTTAAGAGAAAACCGGGCAGCCAAGCGGTCCTGAAAACGTGCCAGAGAGGGACCATGGTTGCCGGTGAGGAGAAGATCATCCACATACACCAAAAAATACATAGTGACGCCCTCTTTGTGATAGATGAACAAGGATGCGTCGGATTTGGACTTGATGAACCCCTCATGTTCAAGAAAACTGGATAAAGCCATATACCAAGATCGGGGTGCCTGACGGAGCCCATAGATTGCTCGGGAGAGGCAGCACACGTAGTCAGGATGGTGAGGGTCACGGAAACCCGGAGGCTGAGCCATGTACACTGTTTCATTGAGAGAGCCCTGCAGAAATGCGTTATTCACATCGAACTGTAAGATAGGCCACTGATGAGCAAGGGCGATAGTAAACACTGTGCGGATCGTGACCGGCTTGAGCACCGGACTGAATGTGTCGTGGAAATCAATGCCCGGACGCTGGGTGAAGCCCTTAGCGACGAGTCGGGCCTTAAAGCGATTAATGGAGCCGTCAGGATTCCATTTAATGCGAAAGATCCAGCGGCAGGCCACAATGTTGTGGGACAATGGACGAGGTACGAGGGTCCAAGTATGATTGGACAGCAGGGCCTGAACTTCGGCACGCATGGCGGCATTCCATCGCGGATCGGTGAGAGCCTCCTTGACGGAACTTGGTATAGTGGGATGCGTCACCTGCGAAACAAATAATTTTTTGGGTCGAAAAATCCCATGCTGACTTCGGGTTAGCGGGCGGCGAGGAGCCTTGGCTGGTGGTGCTGGCGGTTGAATTTGTTGGGAGGAGGAAGCGGTTGGAGGCGCAGCAGCTGGAGAGACCTGGGGGCGTCCATGAGCAGGTGACGAGGGAGAGTGCTGGGCGGGCGAGGGAGGCCTAGGGGGAATTTTTGGCAGCTGAAAAATGGTAACAGGAGGCGAGGTGAAGCCAATCCAAGTGGGGGAATCATAATTATTAGGGGAAGGGGAAGGGAGGCCAGGAAGAAGGGATTCCTCAAACCGAACATGACGTGAGGTGTAGATGCGATGGGTGGAGGGATCGTAACATTTATAAGCACTTTGAGAGGGCGAATAGCCAAGAAAAAGGCACCGACGAGAGCGGGGAGCCAACTTGTGATCAGAATATGGGCGGAGCCAAGGGTAGCAGACGCAACCAAACACACGAAGTTTAAGATAGTTGGGATGTTCGTTAAACAAGGAGAAATAGGGAGTAGAGCCGTGGAGCGTGGTGGAGGGAAGACGGTTTATAAGATAGACGGCGGTTTGAAAGGCATAGGTCCAAAAATGTAGAGGAAGATTGGCAGTATGGAGGAGAGTTAGGCCGGTCTCAACGATGTGCCGATGTTTCCGTTCAGCCAGACCATTATGTTGGGGAGTATGAGGGGGGGTGAGGAGATGGGTGATGCCATGGGTTCGAAGAAAGGAAAGCAACTTTTGAAACTCACCGCCACCATCACTATAAATGCGACGAATAGTGGTGTGAAAAAAATTTTCGATCATCGTTTTATATGTGGTGAAAATGGTGTAAACATCCGATTTGCGAGACATAGGATAGAGCCATGTATATCGCGTGTAATGATCCACAATGACTAAATAATACGAAAAATTATCATGAGAAATTATGGGCGAAGGCCCCCAAACATCCATGTATAACAAATCAAACGGTCTGGCACTAGAGAGACTAGAAACCGAAAAAGGCAATTTGTGGCTTTTATGGAGAGAGCAAGATTCACACGAAGAATGAGACAAAGCAGAGGTAATGGGAAGAGACTGTTTACGAATAACACGGGATAGGAGTTTGAGGTGAGGATGGCCCAGCCGGTTATGCCAGAGCGTAGGAGAGACCCTGATCGCAGACAACGCCAGCCGGATAGATGGCGACTCCCGTGGCAGCTCATAGACGTCACCCTTATTCTGGCCTCGAAGCAGCTGCGCCCCCGTGGCTAGATCCTTCACAACAAAACAATCAGAAAAGAATTCAACCGATACCGGATTAGTCTTGCATAACTGAGCAACAGAGAGTAGACGACGCTTAATAGCAGGAACACAGAGCACATTGGTGAGATCCAACCGCGAGACAGGAGAATATAAGTGAGAGGTGCCAACATGAGTAATAGCCAGACCTGACCCGTCGCCGATAAGAACCTCATCGGGACCTGTGTAATCGGAATAGAGGGAGAGTCCGCCAAGATCAGGTGTCATGTGATTAGTGGCGGCTGAATCCACCAACCAACCAGCATCAGAATGGTGCATAGTGGTCGTGTGGTGCACCTGTGGACGATCGCGAAGGCGATAGCAGTCTTTGGCTGAGTGGCCGGGTTTGTCGCAGAATTGACACATGAGCTGAGGCCGGCCAAGAAGGGAAGGCGCCGTTGGGCTGGACGAGTAGCCAGAAGATGGCCGAGAGGAGGATCCACGAGGAGAGTGTGGACTAGGAGGGCGGCGCTGTGTGTAATGATCATACCCATAGGAGAGCGGTGTGGGAGAACTGCGACGAGGCTGGGTATGCGCACGGGAACGGCCGCGAGAGGAGGAAAAGGCAGTGGTTGGCGCAGCCGGGACGTGCGTTGCAGCCAAGTCGGCTTCAAAATCAACAAGGCGGTCATGCAGGTCTTCAAGTCGAATTGTAGTGTCCCGAGCTCGTATAGCAGCCGAGAGCTGGCCATATTCCTCACGCAGGCCGCGGAGGATGTGGAGAATCAGATCTTCAGGGGCCACAGGATCGTTGACGAGAGCCAGCTCTGCAGCGGTGGTGCGCATGGTCTGAAGGTAGATCGAGACTGGGCGGTTGCCTTGCTTTTCACGATGGAGTTTTTCCTTTAGATGAATGACTCGTTGCCTGGATTGGCCGGCAAACATTCGTTCCAAAATTGTCCAGGCCTCACGAGATGATTCAGCCGCTGAGACATAGGGTGCAATACCGGGAGAGACCGAAGCAAGAATGGCATGTAAGAGGAGTTGATCCTGTCTGAACCAGTGAGTCCGAACCGCCGGAGTGGCCGTAGCTGCCGGCGCTGGATGTGTTCCATCGAGAAATTTGAGGAGATCAAGACCTCGGAGAAGGGTGAACAGCTGGGCACGCCAAGTGGGAAAGTTATCTCCTGAGAGTTTGGCAGGAAGTTGAGACGCTGGATTCAGCGTGATGACAGTGTTGGTGTCGTCAAGGTTAATCACCGATTCGCCGGAGTTGCTGGTCATGGTTGCGAGAGAAAAGAATTGGAGCAGAAGAGGAATATGGTTTGTTGTGTTTGATTGATGGTTTGTTGTGTTTGATTGAGGAAGAGGAAGAGATGTGGACGGAAGAAGTTGCGGAAGGAAAAGGAGGAGATTTGGACGGCAGGAGTTGGGCAAGATTTGGGAAGATTTTTAAGGTTAAGGAAATCAGAACTGCAGCTCTGATACCATGTAATTGCTGTGATGATCTGATTTATTATTGGTTATGAGAGTGGTATTTAATACCAACTCTAAAACAGAAAGGGTACACACGTAGCTACAAATCAGCTAACTATCTCTCCACTATACAAGCCACTATGCACGATAATGAGCAGAAATAATTAATCTAAAGTAATATCCTTAACACGCTTGGCCATCTCCTAGATCAAGCTTATTAGAGATATGAGGTTCACAAACTAACTTCGCCTCTGTCTTGAACCTCCTCGACACGGGCGCTACAGGAAGAGCAATCCACTGCTTCGTAAACGGATTGCAGACGAAGTAAGATCTGCTACGTTCCCTTACCTGGTAGGGATCTACATCCCAAAATCCGCATAGAACCAAGTCCTGGTTGCAGTCCAAAACTGTAATAGTGTCTGACACTTGCTTAGGCATGGGAGGAAGAAAGTTGCGGATGATCAAGTGCAGCTCGTATGGATCGCTCGGCATGGGTGGGTGGTTCAACTGGTTCGTGATCTGGTGGTAAGAAACGAAATTACGGTTGAAGCGAGGATTGGAGATCAGGGAGCTCCACAGCTTGCAGACGAGCTTGCCCCGGCAGGCGGATCTAGGATTTGGGAGGCCGCGGATCAGAATTTCAACGAGGAGATCCTCCCCGAGTCCGTTGATCGTCATGGGAGGACGGTATGCTTCTGAACTGATTCGTAGTCGTGTTCGGAAACGGTGCGACTGATCCAAAACAGAGATGTAGTTCTCCATTGGCATGGCCTACGCAGACGGATTGAAGGAGTATGACGCCGGCCGTCTGGGTACAAGGAGAAAGTGTTCGGTGGTGGCTTACAACGGAGAACCCCTCCCAGAGCATGAGAGATCTGAAGTCCTGTCTCGTTGTTTTTTTTTTTTTTTTTTTTTTTTTTGTACAGACATCTTAATCCTTTAGTACACGATGCCTTCACGAATATACGGCGGTGGCTGCTAGGTTAATACGCTTAGGATTTGGAATTCATGGATGGTAATGTGTCTAGGCCTAGGTCTTGTTCGGGCGGGTATTTCAGGTCCGCTTCGTGGCACAAGTCTGAAATTATATTCTGGGCTTGCTCGTCTGGGCCTGCCATATCCACTCAATACGACGGCCCACGTTATCCTAGCTGAGGCGCTTATTCTTCATGCGCATTCCAGTATTTTCCGACTAGAATCTCGAAACGCAAGCGGTTTTGGGTTGTTACCAATGAGTGGTTGTCCGTTGTCTTTTCCTCCAATACCACATCTGGAACGAGGAAGACCGACATAGTATAGGTTGCTTGAGCTTGAGCTACCGTTTTATTAGAATTTCCTTGGCTACATTTGATAAGCTCTGACCCTTCCACAATTTAATCTTTTTCCTGACTTTGTCTACCAATACCCCAAAAACTTACTTCTTTTCCCGGCCTATGATAGTTGGCAGCCCTAGGTACTTAGTATGTTCCTCGACTTGCTTCATCCCCGGTATTCCTGCCAACCTGACTCTCTGATCAGCTCGCACATTCAGACTGAAGTGAGGTCTGATTTCTGTAAGTTTACTTTCTACCCAGATTCCTTCTCGTACATCTTGAGAATACCCATTAACTGCTCACACTATGTTGAGCTAGTTCTAGTAAAGAATATACTATCGTCAGCAAACAGCAGATGAAAAATTATAGGTCCTCGTCTAGACACCTGAAAACCATGCAGCCTACCCTCCTCAATTGCTCTCCTAGTTAGATCTGAAAGCCCTTCCACAAAAAGTAAGAACAAGTACGAGGAGATGGGATCTCCTTGTTTAAGTCCTCGCTTTGGTTCAAATACCTCCGATTGCTGGCCATTAACGAGGATGGAGAAAGATACTGTAGTTATACAGAACATGATCAAGTTCACCCACCTTCCATCAAACCACATCCGTAGCATCATGGCTTCCAGATTCCCCAACTTACTCGATCATAGGCCTTCGAGATATCCAGCTTAGCCGCCATATCCCTATTTTGATCACCTTCTTCGTTTTCATGGTATTGAAATATTCAAAAGCAACCATCACATTGTTCGTAATGTACTGCCAGGTACAAACGCACTATGGTTTTCTTCTATCACATTGTTCATGATCCTTTTCAAACTATTAGCCAATACTTTAGACATAATCTTGTACAAAACCTTGCATAGGCTAATCGGTCTATACTCAGCTGGTGTCTCCGGCTTTTTGTCTTTGGGATTAGTGCAACAAGGGTGTGATTTAGCTCTTTTGGAAAAGAGCCACTCTCTAAATACCCAGTAAGCTCCCATGTTACATCCTTCCCCACTATATCCTAATTTTTCTTAAAAAATAGGATAGTCATCCCCTCTGCACCAAGAGCTTTCCCAAAACCCATATGTTTTAGCGCATTCCATATTTCTTCAACAGTAAAGGGTAGTAGCAGTTATAGTGTTCATCTCAGCTGTAACCTTTGGCTGAACCACTGAGAGAATAGTATCAGTCTGTATCTCCTCCTCAGGGGTGAAAAGTTATCGATAATGAGAGACCATGCAATTTGTGACCTCCTCATGCCCTACAAAAAGCTTCCCTGCGACATCCTTTAGTTGTTTTATCATGTTTCTCTTCCTTCTTTCTGACGCTTTACGGTGGAAATAGTCTGTGTTTTGGTCCCCCTCCTTCAGCCAATCCAGTCGCGATTTCTGCCTCCATTTGCTCTCCTCCTGTAGTAGCTGATCCGCATCAGCCAACTAGCTGATCCGCATCTTGGAAGATGGTACACCCTTGCTAGGGGGTAGTGCTCCATCCACCTCTTGTTTCCTACTACCTTGTCCAGTCTTTCTTCAGTGTAGGCCTCCTCTACTCTATTATTTTCCCAAGTGAAGCAACTTTCATGAAAACCCAAATCCTCAAGGTCACAATCTTCTAAAGCTCTTCTTAATTCCTCCATCTCCATAACATTTCGGTTACAGCTACCACTCTTTTCGATATAATCCATAATCAGATTGAAATCCCCCCATCAACACCCACGGTTTGTCCACCTGATTATGCAACCATCTCAGCAGCTCACAAGTTTTGAGTTTATTGCTTCCTTCAGGCCATCCATAAACCCTAGATAACCTCCATATTTCTTGTTGATTCTCGATGCACACTTCAAAATCCATATAGTTACTGGATCTTCCGCTTAGCTTCAGTTCCACTCCTGACTCCTTGTTTCCATAGCATCAATAGGCCACCAGCTTTGTTTCTTCCTGCCGCCACCCCTTTTCCACCTTCATAGCCAAACTCTTTCTATTTTTCTTCCCATTCTCCACCATGGAGGTGAGTCTCCATCAGAAAAACGATATCGGAGTTCTTTTGACGCAGTAACGCCTTTACTTTTCCAACTGCCAGGGCATTCCCCAATCCCTGGCAGTTGTAGTTCAGGAGATTCATTGGGTTAGGCAGCCCTAAACATTTTCAGGGTCCGCCACTCCGCTAACCAATGTGTTTTTGTTCAGTTCCTCTTATGTTGTCCTGCTTTCCTGTTTTCCTTTTTGCCCTGCACTAGCCTCTACCTCCACCTTCCTCATCGAGGCAGTGTCGTCCACTTTCCCTCCCAACTCCAGTGTTCGAGCCCTTTTCTGGCTCATCTCTCCATTGTTTTCCTTGGACACCACCCTTTGGATTTCCGCTCCTGCTCTTTTCTGTGGTGTGACTTGTGTTCCTGTCTTCACACGTTGTGAATTCTCTTTCTGAAGCCTCCACACCCTCTTTGTTGGTTTTCTCCCCGGTTGATTTCCAGAGCTTCCCATCACAAATCTCTTAAGGGCTTCCTCTTGTATGTTGAGATTTGTTTGTAATTGACCACTTTGGGTCCTCTACTCTCTAGTTTCTTGCTTCACCTCTACTTGTTTGTCCACCTCCATACTGTTCTCATTCTCCCTGCTCATTTGTGTTTCCTTATCTCCTTCTTTCTTCTTCCCCATCTCCTCCATCTTAGCCTCCTCTTTTTCTTCAGGTAAAGCCTTATCATAATCCAAGTTAGAGCTACTGCTCTCCACTTCGAATTTCCTCCTTAGTCTCTCCCTTTCCTTGAAACACGTGAAGCCAACTTCTATGTCCTGGCCCATCAGTTCGCATCTCCATCCCATATGGGTCTATTGCTAATTGCGATGGCTTGTCACATTTGAGCTTTGGGTGCCCTATTCTTCCAGAGGAGTAACAAAATAGGGGTAGTTTCTCGTACTTGATTTGATATTCCTCAAGTTTGCCTTGTATGTTAAGCTTAATCTTCTTTTTGAGTGGGTTATTTATCGATAGACTAACCCTGATTCTCTTGTGTTCATCCCACGGGTAGCCTGTGTCGTCAAATCAGACTAGCTCACCAAATCTCGAAGCAATTTTACCCGCCATCTGTGGAGTCCGCAACTCCCCTAGGTAACCCCTTATATGGACCCAGATATCAATCATATGTAAGTCCTGTGGGTTTGGTTTCTGGATATGTAGACACTCCTTGAACACTAGAATGTTGTTCTCGTAATGCCATGACCCTCCAAAGCTTATCTTATTCAAGAAATTGAAATGCAAATAGGTTGTCTTTCAAATATGTGATTTGGAACCCTTTACGTAGGTTCCACGCCTTCTCTAATGCAATCTTCATCGATTTCAGGTTTGGTTGCTTGTCAAACACCAAACGACTTATTAACTATAGCTTCCTGACTGCCTCCATTCTCACAACATCCACGTTAGAGTCTTCAACCTCCAATGGTGGCTCGTCGTCTTCAGCTAATTTGATTTTGTCCAGATGCTCCTCCAGGCTCGGAGGATGTTTTGATAGATCCTCCGATTCGCCCTACACCATATTGTTTGCTTCTATGATCTCGTCCTTGTCCATTGTTCCCGAAGTATTGCTTTAAAACTTCCCTCGCAAACAGGTTGTTGCTTGTTTAACAAGCCCTCCCCCCCTTTTCAGCTTCTGTCTTTCGAAACCTCTCTCTGATCGAGAAAACTCCTTGTTAGGATTCTGACACAATCCAACACTAAGAAGGAAGTCTAATCATTGCTCGACTCGTCCTCCTAAACTTTTTTCTAGTTGCAAATCGAACAGTAATCTGGAAAATCCCTAGGATTTCCGCCGCCTCCAAATCTCTCACTCAACGAGAGAGGAAAGTAGGATGATACTACACCTGCATATAATAATAGTTACTTCTATTTATATCAGTATTAATATAATTCCAGAGTAAATTGAATTATTGGTAATCATCGGATGTGATTTTTTGGTTTTAGTTATTTTAGTTAATTATTTTAATAATGTGAAAATATTAAAAGAATTAAATTTATTTTTGGGTAATGTCTATTTTTTATCCAAACCTTTTTCAGATTCTTTTATATTATCCAAACCTATCGGAATACTAAAAATTAGCCAAATGTTAACTTCCAGTTAGCAATTTTGTTAGTAATATTGACTTGGCAACATGATATTGACTTGGAAGAGACTCATGAAGATCAACATTCCAAAATTTTAGTATTTTAACTAAGAAAAGAGTTACAAAATTGTTAACGATAATGTAAAAATGGCTAATATTTTGATATATTACGAAAGATTTGGATAATTAATAGAATTTTAATAGGTTTGGATAATATAAAAGAATCTGAAAAAGATTTGGATAAAAAATAAACATTACCCTTTATTTTTTATTAATTTTTTAATTGCCACGTCAAACATTTAGCGGTCAACTGTTAGGGTTGACTGCCACATCAGATAAAGTTAACAAAGAATGACTGAATGTGAGTTGTTTTACTAATTCGAGTGACCAAAATTAATATTATATTTTTCCAATAACTAAATATGACACGTTTTAGTAAATTATTGATCAAACTTGACATTTACCCCGGAAATTCTTATGTGCCGCCACTGCACCGGTACAATTCACGATTGACCGGCTACTGTAAGTTGGCTTTACCGAAAACAATTTCTCTGCCTCACCATTTGATATGTCATTTGTTAATCATTTTCCCATTTTTTCTTGTTGATTTCATTTCCCCACTTTTCGTTTACAGGTAACTAGCTTTTGGCCCGCACGTTGTGCGGGTGAGTTCATTTTTCCAATAACATTAATCAAATTTCAATTTAGTATTTTAAATATTTTAGTGTGTTATACTATAATTTTTGTAATAGCAGTATTGAAAATGGTATATGTGTATTTGTGTTTTCCAATATTCGTGTAATAGCAATATTGAAAATTGTATAAAGGTATGAGTGGTTTCCAATATTTGTTAGATTTATTGTGTAATATTGGTTTCCAATTTTTCTAATTTGTGAAAATAATCTCAATAATCTAGATTTATTGTGTAATATTGAAAATTGTATAAAGGCATTGGTAAAATAGAGGGAAAATAGCTTTTTGGTTAAAAAATAAAAAAATTCCTAATTCTATCCAAACCCCAATTACAGCATGAGAGAGATTAAAATATTTTAAAGAGAATTAAATATCAAACTATAAAACAAAATTAAATAACCCAAGAAAAACTACAGGGAAGAAAATCCCGCAAAAAAATGGTAAGCACCCGGTATAAAAGATATAAATTAAACAAAAAAATAAAAACAGGAAATATCGAAAGTTACGGTCGTAGCTCAAAGGCTGACGTGGAGTGGGGCGTTTTCTGAAACCCCTTTAATATATTTAAAGATGTATTTTTCATTCCTCCATAACAAAACAAAAGTTAATATATAAGATAATTTTTTTTTTGAAGGGTAATATATAAGATAATTTTTTTAATATATAATTTTTTTTGAAGTTAAAATTATGTGTATCCTTTTATTAGAATATAAATTTCAATTAAGGATTTCATTTTTAGTATAATAAATCAATGTTCTTGTAATCAAATAATAAAGAAGTGACTTTCTAGTAGTAGTAAAATACCCTTATGTATGCTCCAAATGGCGAATAACATCGCTTGCATAAGTATACATGAGGATTTATTATTATTTTTTTTATCAAAACTTACTTGTATTCTCTGAAAGAGCCAAAAACCCTTTGGGTTCGACTATGATATAAGTTATATCATCATGAACCACTTTCATATCACCATGATACGATCTTATCCTTATGTACTAGTTACTATCAAGTATCAAGTACTACCACCGTGGTATATACTTGTAATAAATATCTCAACTCTCAATTTTTTCTAAAATATATCAAAGTGAGTGTTATTTTCAAAAAAAAAACATAATTAATCTAATTTTTTGTTACAAAATTGAATTACGACATAAAAATAAGAGATATAGTGCGTTTAACGGGGGAAAGTTATTTCTCCAATGGATAATCAATGAGATAATTATTAATGATTATATAAAAATGAATTATTGAGAGGAAGCTCCCATAGGCGGAACCAAAGTATTTTGGAGTTAGTTTTGGTTATAAAAAAACTCATTTATGCTTATGCAAGCAATGTTATTCACCATCTTAGGCAGTCATAAGGATATTTTTCCACTTCTCGAAAACCTCACTATTTGATACTAGTCACACGCCCGGCCAGTTGGCCGGATTCATTTAATTTCGTGAATTACATAAACAACTATAGTAATTAGTGTGCGATATACGTGTTTATTTAGTGTGACAGTTGGCTGGATTCATATTATCTTATCATTATGACACATCATACCAACATCACTTCACTATCATATCAACATCATACGAATATGAGAGGTATTGCCGTGATATGACAGAGGTAAGATGACCCAAAAATATTTTATTGAAAAAATAAAAATGAATATCATCTTATAGAGCACAAAAAATATGATATTTCTATATAGATATGTTTAAAATCCAATGTAAAACCAATAAGTTGAATTTTCAGAGAATATTTTAAAAGTGCTTTACAGCATGCCTAGAACTCCGTTCAACCACAAAAAAATCTGATCAACTACCCATAAATTATGGTCAGCTATTTTTCAAAACTATAGGGTTTTGCAGGGACGGAGCCAGGATTTTCTTATAGGAGGGGCCAGTTATTTTCTTGCCACAAAAAAAATATACATATATATAAAATAAAAATACAACTTTTAAATTATATATCCGAATTTTCACACAAAAATTATATAAAATTGTGTCAACTCTAAGCATTGTGATATATCTTGTTTGATATATTTTATTTTGCAATAAAGTAAACATCCCATAAAATTTCACTTCAAAATTACATTAGAATCACCTTATAAATGTGAAATAAATTGGAACATGGACATGACAATTAAAATGACAACATTATAATATAATATATCTTGTTCAGTGTATTTTATCAAAACATAGTAAAGCACCATCTAATTTTTTTAAAAGTAATACAGTAGTATCACCATTAGAAGAAAAAAAATACATAAGATTCACTTCATAAGGTAAGGCAAAGATATTTTGTTTGGAAGTAATAGAAGTCTGAAGTTGCATCACCATTAGAAGGAAAAAAAAAGATAAAGTTCATTGTTACGTAAGAAATATATTGGAAGATGAACATGACAAAATTAAAATGCCTTGAGAAAGGAAAGAAGTACAAAGATGAGGATCGAACCATAATCCCTTTCTTAAACAAAGAGAACAACACTCCTACTACTGGACCATTGAGGAATCATTGCTTGTTGGTTTTCCATGTCTATATTTAGCAAGTTTCAAAATTTTAGGGGGCTATGGCCCCTCCTTCCCCTAAGCTAGCTCCATCCCTGGGGTTTTGCATACTAACCTAAACTTTTTTGATAATATGTTTTTATATTTTCTTCATATTTTTTGGCGATTTCGGGGATAGGATTTGAGGATTTGCTACATGTGCGTAAGCAGCTCCAAAAGATTTGAAGTTTGAGTAACAAAATAATGAGATAAGGAAACAAAATTTTGTCTACAAAATTCTATAGAATCAAAATCTCCATCCGTCCATTAAATTTGATTTGGACAGTCCACAACTTATATGAGGACAAACAATGTAGTCAAAATCACGATTTTAATCTTAAAATCTTACGATTTTACGATCTTACCTATGGGTTCCGATCCTGATTTTACTGTAAAATCTTTGAACCTTAAAATCCCATAAAATCCCGATTTAAAACTCTAAAATCCATAAAATCTACGATTTTGTACGATTTCAAGGTTCATATCAATTGGATCAAAATTAGGCCGGTCAATTGGGTTATGCCCATGAACCGAGTCAAATTTACTTTCCCCAACCCAACATAATGAACAACACAACCCCAACCTGATAGTTAACCCTCAATTTATTTTCATTCTCTTCCTCGTATCTTCCTCTTTCGCACGTCGGCGCTCAACTCCTTCCATCAACAATATCTTCCACCCTCCCAATTAGCTTGTAGTTTGTTCCCACCACCCTCACAATAATCCAAATCTCCATTACATTGCAAGCTTTTGTTCATCTCCCAATCCTTCAGCACCACTAACCCGACCTTTTATCAATTAAGAAGGGAATGCATCAATCAATGAGTTATCTTTTCCAGATGATGGTAATCAAGGAAATATGGTTAATGGTGAAAGTACTTCAAGTGATCATAAGAGTAATGATATTAGTCCTTAAACAAATAAAAACGATGAGAGTGAGGGTGAGGTTGAGGATGAAGACGATGATGTGTAAGTGATGTTAATGTTGATCCCAACGATCTTATGTGGTTTTCTACTCTTAACAATTAATTAACAGTGATATCTATAATGTTTCAGGTTTCTTATTTGTGTGTTTCTATTATGTACAAGAAAAATATATGGATTAGTTGTGTTTGTTTAGCAAACAAACTTATCTTGGGAAGTAATTATGCTTTATGTGGTTGATTGTTATTCCAGATATACATTTTTATTACTATCTAGTGTTTTAAGTATTTATTTTAATATGAACCTTAAAATCTTACGATTTTACGATTTTAATCTACGATTTCGATTCTACCTCAATTTTCGATTTTACTTAAAATCTGGATTTTGACTGCATTGAGGACAAAGAGGGGGCGATCTGGTAAATTCTCATTCCTATCTTTTATTGCTTGATTGTCAGTTTGTTATGGATTTCAGAGGAGAGATGAAATTTTAGACCAGTCAAAATCTACTTTTTTCTAATTTTCTTAATCGAGTAATCTCATTGGTTTAACTTGGAATTTTTTAAAAATGACAGGAATAACACAGTAATTATTATCGTCGCAATGATATATGTTTTGCTATATTTTGTACAAAAAAGAAATTAGCCTTTCAGAATCACGTGTTTGTTGTAATCTTATCAGTTATCACTGTAAGTCATGATGTTACCACCATCGTAAGACTGATCACACCACATACCACTATCATATAGATAATATCATGGGTAATTAATCAAAATGGTAATGTAGATTTGGACCAGTAACAAAATGATCACAAATGTTTAAAACATAACAAATAGGTCATCTACATATCAAGATATACAAAACAATCATTTAATCTCTTTTTGGCTATAGTTCCATATAAAATAACCAATTAGTTTGCTGACACAGTGCATAATTAATAACAAATTCTCAAACATCTAACCAATATGTAAAATTACCTAGAGCAAGTTAACTGGCCATTTTGGATGAAAATACAGATTAAAAGACATGGCATTGATGTTTTGTTATAACGTGATACTTGCGTGACTTTTTTGTTCGTTTTAAACGTTTGTGATCATTTTGTTACTCGCTCGAACCTATGTTAACATTTTGATCATTTACACATAATAACAGGATATGAAAGTGGTATAATATCAATTTTTTCTCAAAAAATAAATTTATACTATCTTGCCATTGTCACACCAATATCTTATCACTATGATAAGATTTCATAATATCATCTCACCATTGTCATACCATGATCCGGTAAGACTGATAGCACCCTCATATTACTACCATATCATTATATGATATTGATAAGATGCTAAAAAAAAATTGCTCCAAAAAATATCAAACGGGATATCATATTGTAGAGCACCGAAAATATGAATTTTCTACAATATTTTATTAAAAAAAATTCGATATAAAACAAATGAGATATGCTTCTTTTAATATTCATAAGTGATTTTGAAAAGTGTTTAAACAACATGCTTGAAATTCACATCAGTCCCCAAATCTGTATCAGCTGCCCACAAATTTTGGTCAACTGTCCCAAAAATTTCTTATTTCCTTCTTTACTCAATTATGATATAATTCATTAAATTCCTCACTCCCCAACTACATGAAATATTTTTTCTATTGGAAACTAAACCATAAGAATATAAGATAACATATGGATTTGGAGGAAAGTGGGTACCAGTTTATACTATCTTACCATTGTCACACCAATATCATATCATTATGATAAGATTTCATAATATCATCTCATCATTGTCATACCATGATCCGGTAAGACTGATAGCACCCTCATATTACTACCATATCATTATATAATATTGATAAGATGCTAACAAAATTTTGCTCCAAAAAATATCAAACGGGATATCATATTGTAGAGCACTGAAAATAAGTGATTTTGAAAAGTGTTTAAACAACACGCTTGAAATTCACACCAGTCCCCAAATCTCTATCAGCTGCCCAAAAATTTTGGTCAAATGTCCCAAAATTTTCTTATTTCCTTCTTTACTCAATTATGATATAATTCATTAAATTCCTCACTCCCCAACTACATGAAATATTTTTCTATTGGAAACTAAACAATAAGAATATAAGATAACATATGGATTTGGAGGAAAGTGGGTATCAGTTTATGTTTTGGGAAATAGCGGGAAGGTATTATTAGTATCAGCATTAGTAATCACTATTGGTATATCAGCATTGTAGTAGTACTATATATCATTTTCATTATTGTTAAGCCGGTGGATACTGATCGGTTGAAATCGACTGGAATATCATCAGTATGATCGGCAAAATTGATATTCGATCTCTAAACAAAATGATGTCGTGAATTCAATTAAAAAATTTCATTGCTGATTTATTTTATAAATTTATAAATTAAATGTTTATTTTATTTGTTTAATTCAAGTATAAATATTTTGATATTTTACGTTAAATGTTGTATTGAAATTATATGTATTTTTTATTTTGTTTAGAAAGTTATATTTTATTTAAATATGAATGTAGATATTTTATAATGTGTTTTATATACACTTAAGTTCATTTTAATAAAAAATAATGTACCTAAGCTCTCAAGAGAGAAGACGATAAACATAGAGGTGCATTAGGGACTCCTGTGAAGCCCTGTATCTGTATGCTTTGGGAGCAAAAAGTAGAGTCGGACTTCATTTGTCAAGTTGGGTAGTAGGTGAATTAAATTGTGAACTCATGCTCTTAGACTTAGACTTAGAATATAATAACAATAACTCAATAAGTCTGCTTAGGGCCTAGAAGCCCATCTATATTAATCCAAAAGACCAAATGGTCCTTCCTTGAGTTGCGCATAAGGCAAGAAAAAGGGAATTGAGTGGCTAACCACGAAGAACCTCTTTAATATATTGTTTGATTTGATTACCAGAGTGCAGAGCATTGATTTATTATACCAAAAACGAAATCTCTTATTGGAATATATTTTGAAAAAGGACATACCTACATACCGTTTGGAAGGGTTGTAACGTTTGAAATTAGTTGAGTTTATACTTGAAACATGATTTCCAGTAATAACAATATTGTTTATACCGGAAATCAATAAGGTTATGGTTGGAAAGTTAGGATTTCATTCAATAATTATATTTGAAACATGATTTTTTAATTTATTTTATTTTAAAAAATTTGAATCTAACATTCCAAACATATGAATTTATTTAATAATAAATTTTATACATAAATTCATTTTAAAATTGAAAGAATTCTCAATTAATTTAATTCCAAACAATCTGCTAATTTCAAATTTTATCTCTATAATTCTCACTCCCCAATTATTTTATATTAACTTTTGATTTGTTGTGGAGGGATAGAAAATAATGCATGACTGGTAAAAGAAAAGTGGGGAAATGAAACCAACCGAGAAAAAAAGGTAGAGAAATTGTTTTCGGCAAAGCAACTCACAATAGCCGGTCAATTGTGAACGGCACCGGTACAGTGCCGGCACACAAGAATTACCCTACACCCTTTCTAAAATAGACTGAGTTCTCACTTTCGTTCAGTCGACTGTAATGTGCAAGCCCTAAAAGAAAAATCTTCATACCCCAAGATGGAGCTCGTATCAACTCCCGATCCATCATCCTCCTGTCATTGACTTGCTCATTAGATAAATCGATTTACCAGTGAGTCCTTTCTTGCCGCAACTTCAGCTCCTTTCTTCGAAGGCTTCCGTGAATCGCCCAACCCCTCGACAAAATTGAACCACCTGAGCTCCATTCTCTTCTTTAATGTCGGCGGTTCCAGCAAGACTCTCCCTGTAAAAGTTCATTGAATCGGAGCCATCCCTTCCCTTGCTGTTTCCCCTCGTTCTTTCTCCATTTAGCTCATTGCGCCTTGCTCATTTTCGGCTTCACATCATCGACCGTCTTGCGGCGGCTGCGAAAGAGGTGGGTAATTGCTGTCTAATTACGGAGAGCTATTGATCTCCTCCTTATCGTGGATGCTCTTATCTTACCTTTTGTTTTCGTCGATTTCAGCCTGTCTCTACCAAAGTTCCCTGAATCAGTGTCGACCCTTCCCTTTGTGTTTCCCCTGCTTCTTTATCGGTTAGCTCCAACACAACTTGCTCATCGTGGTGGTGGATATCATTCGACAGTCTGGTGGCAGGTGAGTGTTGCTTTTTCAGAGAGCAACTACTGATTTCTTTCTTATTGTGTGTCCTGAAGTTTTCTTGTTCTATTTCGTTGGGCTGCAAGGAAATGACTGGTTTTATTTCTAATTGTAATTTTGATGTTACAATAGTTAGTTTTACTTGGAGCAATCTGAAAAGAAAGATTTGTATGCCTAAGGGGTAGGGTTTAGAGCAATGTTGTCAGAACCGAACCGGAGCATGACCCGGTAATGCGAACGGCTCGCACTTTAGTGGTCCAACCGGCATTAGATCGTTTAAAAACCGTTAGAGAACCGGTACCTAATAAACGTTATTAGTATAAATAGTGGACATTTCTTAATCAGAGCTCATCTCTTTCCTTCAAAATTGTGAAATGGAAATAAGGATTCAATTTGAGAGCTCGATGTTTTAGGTTTTTTTTTCAATTTTTAATTTTCTACAATTATTTTAATTAAATTTAGTAGTTGAATGGCAAAAACCGGACGAGCGGCTCGAACGGCTAACCGCCTCGGCCGCTCGCCAACCGCTACATAAAACCAAAGCGGCTTTTAGTCTGTTCCGAGCCGATTTTGTGACCGGGTGGCGGTTTTACTCGTCAGGCCGAGCGGCTCGGCTCGGATTTAATAACACTGGTTTAGAGGACTTGGTTATAAGTGTGATGAAGTAAATGCTCCTTTGTGGAGCTGGTTACTGTCTAGAAACTCGTTGCCGCTGTAGAGGAGTTGTTTTGTGAAGCTTTGCATGTGTTGGTGAATGGATGATGTGTATATTTTTACCTAGGAGTCGTTTGGTTGTGGAAATCTAAAAAGCAAGGAATTGGCCTTAATTCCCACGTTTGAAGAAACTGGGAATTGGCAAATGATAATTGACCAAAATTCCATGTTTGGATAGAGCTATGAGTATAGGTGTCAATCGGGTTGCGGGTCAAGCGGGTTCGGGTTGCGGATCAATCGGGTTACAGGTTGATCGGGTTGCGGTTCAATCGGGTTCGGGTTGATCGGATTGCGGGTTACAACAGGTCGGGTTGTGGGTTGTTCGGTCCAAACCATCGAGTTTTTTTATAATTAGTTACTACACTAATTTAAAACAAACTCACTGATCACCATATTGCAATTAAAAAAACCATCGAGTATAAGCTATAACGTATGTTATGTGAAGAATGTAAGTTGAGTCAATTTTATATTCGGTTATTGAGAAGAACATACGTCCTATGACTCCAAACTCTAAACCACGAGTCCACTACCGTATACCCTATACACTAACCTTAAACCATGAACTATAGTTATGTGTTATGAAATTGTTGGTATAAAGTATAAATTATAACGTATGATATGTGAAGAATGTTAGTTAAGTCAATTTTGTATTAAGTTACTGAGAAGAACATACGTCCTAAATCCTAATCTTCCGAACTATAAACCACGAGTCCACTACCGTATACCTTATACATCATAGTTAGTAAATACTCCGTTTAATAACACGTTTAATATCCGTATTTAATGAAATGAATTATTAACTTTACTATTTTTTACATATTGATTTATTTATAAAAGTAATTAGTTTTATATATTTATAACTATTAACGTACTATTAAACGTAACATAAACTAAGAGAAAAGTATAATACCCGTAAGTATTTTATACGTAACTTTCCCGTACCGTATTTTACTAACTATGCTATACATTAGGTGAATTTTATGTATACGTTGACACATAGTTAGTAAATACTCCGTTTAATAACACGTTTAATATCCGTATTTAATGAAATGAATTATTAACTTCGCTATTTTTTACATATTTATTTATTTATAAAAGTAATTAGTTTTATATATTTATAACTATTAACGTACTATTAAACGTAACATAAACTAAGAGAAAAGTATAATACCCGTAAGTATTTTATACGTAACTTTCTCGTACCGTATTTTACTAACTATGCTATACATTAAGTTAATTTTATGTATACGTTGACATAAAATAAATTTTAAGGATAATCTTACTAAGTTGTGAACCATTAATTACAATCTAACTACAATATAACTTTTTATTTTCAAATTCAGTTAACAAAAACATGTCAAAAAAATATGCCTCTGCTAAGCTTTGAACCATGTACCTTGAATAACCATGTACCTTGAATTGAAAAGACGATCATAGAAGCCAACTAGTCCACGCAATTTTTTTGTTACAATTCGAACTTATTCTTACTTGGTTCAACTGAAAGGCGGAGAGACCAGCAAAGTAAAACGAATCCCTAATACCCTAACCTCTCGTGTCTCGTCTATCATCCAATATTCTCACTCTCGTTTCTTGCCGACCTGCGCGGCTGCGCCGAGAAGAGGACGACACTCACCTACACCTGCCGCTAGATCGTCTCCGCCGTCGATCCTCACCTGCGCCGAGTAGAAGCCCCTCACCTACAGTCCTACGCCGCCGCCGCTGCTGCCGCTAGATCGTCTCCGCCGTCGATCCTCACCTGCGCCGAGTAGAAGCCCCTCACATACAGTCCTACGCCGCCGCCGCTGCTGCCGCTAGATCGTCTCCGCCGTCGATCCTCACCTGCGCTGAGTAGAAGCCCCTCACCTACAGTCCTACGCCGCCGCCGCTGCTGCCGCTAGATCGTCTCCGCCGTCGATCCTCACCTGCGCCGAGTAGAAGCCCCTCACATTTACAGGTAACATCGTCCAAACTATCAATCTTTTTGTTTAATGTTTTGTTCGACTAATGAGTAATAGACATAGAACTAGACGCAAAGGGAAATGGACGCAAATTAATGGTTATTAATGTTTTGGCAATTGCAAATAACTCAGAAATGGACGCAAAGGGAAGCATCTTGGTTTATTATTCTCTGTTGTGTTTCACTGGTTATTAATTCTGGCTCTGTCTTGTTGCGGTGGAATGAATGCTAGCATTGTAGAATCTCTTTTTATGAATTCCAATCTGAGTGTTAGCAACAAGAAAAAACACCAGTTTGGGCACAGCCATGGAATGAGATTTTCTTGATTTCTTATCTTTTTTTGTCTGTGTGCTAAACAAATCGAAACCCTCACATATGTAGAAGGATTAGACTAGTCATGTCATTTCAATGGTCACGTGTATTTGACTTGATGTTTGTAAAGGCTGGATGGATATATGTTTCTTGTTCTGATGATTTTGAAGAACCTGTTTGGCACTGTGTAAAAGCAAAGACAAAGAGATGGACAAGAGACGTCTGGCCAATGGCTGCTTTGGTAAACTGAATGTAGCAAGAGTGAATGAATATACAAATGTTAGCCTTTCTTGTTTGATGATTCTGAAGTACTACTATAACATGGCTTCGGGATATGCTAATCTACGTGTATGCATTAGTATCTATGGCGGAAGCAGCCTTTAAATAAGTTGTGAATTCTTCCTTGCAATCTCTAGTTTGATTTGCTTGATGTCCGACCTTTCTATACTGATTTTTCAACTCCCTTCACTTCATAAGTTTCAGACTTGCAGTAATTAAGAAGCTTTGTTCGGTTCTATACTTATTGTTGGTAGTGCCTTAGATTGTTAGTCCTTTCTTTTGCAGTTTTGCTTTATTGAAACACTCTAATATGTCTTCAGCAGATCAGGTGATCATTTTGTAGTCCCCTGCACTATCTGTGTTTCCCGAGTCGTTTTCTTCTTCTTCCCGACCCGAGATCAGCTTCAATGGCGTGCTCAAGTAAGTTCTTTACTCCTTTACTTTCAATTTTTGTATTGCAACAATCATCTCATATCATCCGTCTTTTTTCGTGTATCAGTCACTGGCGAGGAACTTGCTCAGGCCGTAGCAAACCGTAAAAACGGATTGCTTTAAGAGAAGAGTGTGATTGAGAAATACATCAGCTTAGGTTTTCTTTATCCTTCTCCTCACTATTGCCTTATTAGAGGGATAGGGTTATCGCCTCCTTCTCGTTTTTGTTTGCCTTTGAGATACCCTTTCCTTTTTGTCTGCCTTATGTAGCTAGGTTTCATTGAAGTTTTGCCTGCCTTTGAGAGAATCCATTATTGGCTAGTTTTTGCTACCTTTTTACTTCTTGGGATCATAAATTACAAATAACTGTTCTGTTGTTAAGAAAAGTGTTCATTGAGACTCTTATCTGTTCTTCCATTTATTCTTTATATTCTTATTTGTCCAGGATACTGGAGTTTGTCCTGTTTCTAGTACACCAGTTACAGCTGAAGATCTAGTACCATTAGGAATGGGCAAGGTATGTGAGGAGAATTGACAATTTTGTTTGTTTATTTTTACTGCCTTTTCACCAAGTTTGATTGCTGATGTTGAATTTTCTTTTTGCAGATAAAGGTGCAGGCTAAGCTACCCCACCTGGATCCGCGGTTGGCAGATCCGGCTGTCTATCAAGTCTTAAAAGAATTGCTTTCAGATTCCACTACTAATCAGTTCTTGGAACTTCAGATGTCTATTCATCTGCATAAGTTTCTGGGAAGTATTCTTGAGCGAAAGTTGGTTTTGGCTGGGCTGGGTAGCAGTTATTCTAGCATGTCGGTCTTGCGTGATCCCTCGGCTATATTGCAGGTTGCCATCAAATCTGTTGAAACAAGTTTAAAGCCACTGAAGCAGCTTGCAAAAGCTATCAAAGTACATCAGGTTAAAAGGTTTTCTCTGTTTCGCTTTACATTTGACGGAGAAGTTATTACCGGTGATATTCAAGAGCTATTGAGCAATAAAATGACCAATGATCTACTTAATAGAATGGAGAAGGTAACAGATCCTTCGAAAGGGCGGCCATGGAAGGACTTGATTTTTGATGGGCTGCGCAATACTCAAACTAAATTGGAAGTGGAAACACCTGAAACGTTCCAAAGGAAAGTATGCTGAGAGAGTTGCAGCTTTGGTTCGAAAGGAAGTACAGGGGGTTGTTTCGTCGGAGTTGCAGTAGCCCTTGAGCTTGACGACGAACCAGCAAAGAAAGAAGTTGCCACCTAAACGGGCATTAAGGAGTCCCATAGTTGGACTCACCAACTTAGGGAACTCATGCTTCTTGAACGTGATATTGCAATGTTTGTCAAACTGCTATCCTATAACGAGCGTTGTTGATGATATGCATTAGATAGGAGGATGTGGTGATGATGCGTGTCTGGTTAAGGCACTACAGAGTCATTTTCGAGATTGCAAGGATTCTTCCGGAGCTGCGATACGTCCTCTGTGGTTTTTTGAAAAACTTGATGGTATCTTTTTGCTTCTTTTCTTATTTCTATTATGATGAATTCTATGTTCTACTTCTATATGTTGCTTATAGAAATAAGAAACCACAGAGGACGTATAGCAGCTCCGGAAGAATCATTGCAATCTCGAAAATGACTTTGTAGTGCCTTAACCAGACACGCATCATCACCACATCCTCCTATGCAATGCATATCATCAACAACGCTCGTTATAGGATAGCAGTTTGACAAACATTGCAATATCACGTTCAAGAAGCATGAGTTCCCTAAGTTGGTGAGTCTAACTATGAGACTCCTTAATGCCCGTTTAGGTGGCAACTTCTTCCTTTGCTGGTTCGTCGTCAAGCTCAAGGGTTGCTGCAACTCCGACGAAACAGCCCCATGTACTTCCTTTCGAACCAAAGCTGCAACTCTCTCAGCATACTTTCTTTTGGGGGAATGTTTCAGGTGTTTTCACTTCCATTTAGTTGAGTATGTTGGAACAAGCTAGTCAAAGATCACTTGAGAAGGAAAGAAGATCAGGAGCAAACATGGAAAGGAGGAAAATAAGAGGAGAGATCAGATTTGGTACAACAATGCAAATCAAATCAGAAGATGAACTCTCAAGCAAATTATCACTAATAAGGGAAGGAATTTGAATTAGCAACGGCTACATTGCAGCCTATAAAGGTGATTTGAAGGAAGAGCAATGGTCACCTTTTCGGAGATCAACAAAGTTAGCTAAGACAAAAGGGGATTTTGTGAGAGAGTGGCAAGGTTGATAGAAAAGGGGGTTTCTCGAAGGGTTCGGGGAGAATTGCTTTGAGGCTTAGTGTTGGGGAAACACTGTTACGAGTTGCTGGGGAAGCAATTCGGGGTTTGAGAAGAGTGTTTGATCAATTGGGTTGAGATTGATCAAAGGGCTCTTGGGTAGATAGACTTACATCGAACTTCAACGTAATATCTTTAGTGAATCGTCGGAGTTCACACAACAGTGAGTCTCCGACCGTGGAGTAGTCAGTATTGGGATCCTCTTTCTCCCAATACTGGAAACCACGTAAAAATCGCGTGCTGAGTTTGTATTCTGCTTTCCATTTTCCAGTCTGTACGTGCCTCTACTTGTATTTTGTTCCAGGTCTGATTGTGCAGCGGAATTAGTTCCACGAGCAGCTAGGGAAGGCGACGTCCCTGGACATAGTTGAGGAACTCGTTGAATCTGGGTTTGGCTTGACTAATTTCATTCTTGCCTGGGTTTATATTGCTGTGCTATTGTTCTTACTCTGTTCTTCATTCAAAAAGGAAGCAGGTCCCTTTCTGATCGAAGACACTCAAGCGGGAAAGGAAGATTTGGTTTGAGTTAATACATTGTCCTTTTAGGGTTCTTTAATCAGAAGACTGACCGGGTATAAAGTCTCGCGCTCGACGCAACCAACAGAGTATTGCGCAGGAGAGGGGGGACTTCTGTCCCCAATGATTTTGAAGATTACATGTATAATATCTAAAATTAACTACTTTTATATATGTACTTATATTTAGTTTTCTATAAACTCATGATTTTATCTAAATATATTTTTTTTTATAAAAGAAGTATATTATCCATCGTTCTCGTGCTCGTGGCTCATGAAGTCTAGGCTAGATATGATCCATAAGATATTCGTATTGATCTATATATTTCGTACTCATACTTGTGTACCCTAATCATACCATGTCATATTAGCCTATTGACTTCCAAATTTGTGATCATGTGCATGCTGGTTTGACTAGCGACATTCCTCTGCACAGTTGTCAAGTCATCAAAAATCCAGCTATATTGCTTATAAAAAAAAATCCAGCTATATTGAGAATTTTTTTTTCACGTACTACTAGATTGAAATTTAATCGTAGGTTGCCGCTATATACTGGGAATTTTTAAATAAAACGTTAAAATTGGGGGAAATCCATTAGGAAGTTGCAAATGACCAATTGTTGGCGGAAAAAAAAGGGTTAATAATATTTTGTACCCATTCTATTATTTTAAATTAACAAACATACTCTTCTACTAAAATTACAAATATATCCTCTTAATATTAAAACGTAACAAGTTTATCCTTTTATCTAATTTTCTGTTAAATTTGTGCAAAAATTAGACGATAGGGTAAAATTGTTACGTTGTAATATTAGAGAGATACATGTGTGTAGAAATTAAATAGAGTGATACGTGTGTTAATTTACAATAGTATAGTGGGACAAAATGCTATAAACAGAAAGAAAAATAGGAAACTTTGCATTTGTACCAACAACGATGTTGGGCTTGCTGCTGGCCGAAACTAAACAAGACATTTGGGCTAATATAAGGCCCAAGATTAGGTAGTGAAACTTTTGTGATATTGGTTTCCTCTTTCCTGCTTGCCAGCCGACTGCCCTGAACTAGTTGAGTTTTGCCCTCTTTCCGCTGATCTACCACCGTCGTTTCCTTTCGGCGCTCCGCTTCCGGCGATCCTTGGCCATCCACCTGCCGATACCACAGGCCGCATTCTTCGAAACTGCTGCTTAAGAGGTGACCTCCGAGCTAAGAGGGTCGGAATTAGAGGGCAAGAATGGCTGCGGCAGCCTCTTTCAGGTGGATTCTGCAACTTCACAAGGATGTGCCCAAGGCTGCTCGTTTCTACTCCGAAGGTCTAGATTTCATGGTCAATGTGTGCACTCTACGGTGGGCTGAACTTCATTCCGGGCCTCTGAAGCTCGGCCTCATGCAATCTACCGAGTAAAACCTATTTTCTCTATTACTCCCATTAATTAATTGGATGCCTGCTAGGTGTTCGATCATTTGTCTCTGAGAGTCAATGAGAGGCTTCCCGCATTTCAATTTTCCGTTTTCATCCAATGGGTGGAAACTAGAAACTCACAGTTCGGGGCAGATTAACACTTTGCCCATTAAAGGCTGTGTCTTGTCACACTGTGTAGCTAGTGCTGGACATTGAAGAGAATACTGACCTTCTGGCTGGCTATCACTGACTTTATGAACATTGCTATTATTGTACATCACCTAGGCAACATCCTTTCTGGGTGGAAAAGATGGAAGTCGTGTCATAATATAATGGCTTAGTTCCTTGTTAGCTGGCTTTGTAGTGGAGCCGTGGAGGGCCAGCTGCTGACTCCTATTTTCCAGTGACCATGTTCTGCAGAAGGGGTATTCTTCTTTGCTATCATTTACAGTCACTGATATCAACAGCACTGTGACAAAGCTGATGGCTTTAGGCGCAGAGCTAGATGGACCCATCAAGTATGAAATTCATGGAAAGGTAATCAACTTCCTGCTTAAAATCTTCCTAAGACAAGAGAACTGCTGAAATCACTCCCTTATGTCTTTCTACAATGAAAAGAAGTAAGATTTGAAGATATTTGTTTGTATCAGGTAGCAGCCATGCGTTGTATGGACGGCCATGTCTTGGGGCTTTATGAACCAGCATAAAAGGGTCTACAAAGGAAAGAATAAAGTAGTCAAATTTGATGCCAAGTGTGGGGTAATTGCTGCCGACTTGCTGCTGGCTGGCGGGTTTTGTTCTTATTGCAAAGTCTTGGAATCTGCTGAAGACACGGGAGATTTCTCCATGGTTTGGGTTTCCTTTGATTATTGATAGCGTTTGTTGATCAAGATCTATAATTGGTGTGCATAGGGTGTATAGAGTTGGACCTGGAATTAAGGCAAAGCTGTGAGATGGACAGGTGAAATGATTGAATAGAGAGCACAAAGGCCCAGCATTTCCATTTTGTTGACCTACAATTCATGTAAATGGGGTATCCTTTGTCCCCTGTATCTCCTAGAATTGACAGGAAATCCTCCTTTGGTCTTTTCTAAAGAACAGCAGCTCTTTCTTGCCTGCTTTTTGAGTTGTCATCTTGTGCTTATGCTGATGAAATGATTCAATAACAGTTTTTGTGGTAGAAAAATCTCATTGACCTTTCGCAGTTCATCACCTGAACTACTTGAAGGTGGAGATATATATTTGCATGAAAGAATGGTGTTGTTTCAACCCCGTGAACTGAAACCCGTTTTCTCGAGGCTGTTTCAACCTCCAAATTCTAATATCTTTCTATCTGGCATGTAGATGAGAATGTAGCAGTGCCCTTCTGAAACTTCACATGAATGATTTCTCTGCAGAAAGAAAAGTTGAACTCTTTACTTAAACCTCTGTAATGACGAATCACAGTGAAAATGACAGTATTTTCAATCCACCAATCTAATCCATTTGCCATTTATAATATTAAGGGGTCGTTTGGAAGTTGAGATTCTTCAAATATGTGTATTTGATGAATACATGTAATGTAAATACAAAGATTGTAATAATTAGATGATTGAAAGAATGTCTTGTTTGTTTGTAGTCATTCAAAAATTTTAAAGAAAATAAAAAAATCACTTTATGAGCTAAAAGTGGAACAAATTAAAGGCCACAATCTCAAGGAAAGAATCTCACCTCTTTGTTGAGATTTAAAATAAGTGATTTGTGGGTGATAAGAGATTTGAGGGTCCACTTCAAATGCATGTATTGAATAAAGTTTTAGAACAAAAAACGATGAATTCTCCAGAAAAGATGAATTCAAAGAATCATTCATTTAGAATCATAACTCCCAAACCAACCCTAAGTAAATTCTGACGTATTTACCCATTCAACAACCGAACCGGGGCCAGCCCAATGGCACATGAAGTGTTTTTGGTGGGCAAGTTGAGGGGTTTACTTTGGTGATGTGATTTCTATGGTTGGTGATATGGTGGACAAGTATAATCCAAGAGGGGTAGGATACCAAACAGTGATGCAGAGAAGAAATGAAGGCACTTTGTTGGGCATCCAAGTAAAATGCAGTGTTTCCAGGAACCACTGGGGAATTGGAGGGACCTGGAAACAATATATATGCATGTAATGTACTATTAGCTGCTGGAATGGAGGGGAGGGGAAGGGAAGGAAGACTGAACTCCTCTTTGATATGTGTTCATGATATGACTTACTTCATTTCATTTCATCCCTTTTCTCTTTCTTTTCGCCATAATTAGGGTTTTGATGGGTGGAGGGGAGGAGAGAGCAGAGCACTACAATTTGCCTGTTTAGTGCTTGGAGAGATATGTGGAGATCTCTTCAAAGTTCAAACATCTCATATGCAATTATGAAGCATTTTTTTTCTTCCACCCCCAGCTATGTGTTCCTAAGGCATTGCAAAGCCTAAGATACTTTTCTTTTTAAAATTTTGAAATACTGGATTGATTTCATTAACCGTTAGTTACAGGCTTGACCTGTTACATGTGATGAGAAATCAGATCAAGAATGTAAACTCGTGTCATTGGGAAGCATCTCGCTAAGTCAATTACTAATGAATTATTACCTTCTTTTCTAAACTAATCGTATAGTGGTGTGGCCTGAAGTATCTCACATTGTCAACACTGCTATTGCATTTGACAATCTCCAAATATATAAATATATAAAAAGAATGCACTACTAAGTACTAATGCATGTTGTAATTCCTCAAATAGAGTTGTTCTGAAAATTATATTAATTAACAAAGGTCGTTAATTTTTTTGTTTAATGCTGTCCCATCAGGAAGGTTTGCATGGCTGGCTAGAAAGAAGTTCCCAGTTCCCACCCAGCAAAGCCACAAAGGTTTGTCTCCATTAGTTAGAAATGGTGATTGTGGCTAAATTTAGATGTGCCAATGAGGACATAGTCAAATCCCAAATTCCCCATTTTGCAAGATCTATTCTAGAGTAGTGGCATCTTAATGAGATGATAGTTTAGAATTTAACAAGATACTCCAAATTCCCCCCATGTCATTCATAAAACAAACCCCCATTTCATTAGCACTAATAGTAACTAAAACTTTTTCCAAATGGGTTGGAGACATGAGGCCCCAAAGAATAAAGGTGAACTCCATTAGTATGATCATTTACTAATCAATTCAATAATTTTGATTGATCCTTGTGCATCCACTCAAAAATATTCATCTTTTCTTGAAACTTTGATGTGTTTTTTCTGGAAGTGACATTTGTTAATCAGGCTATATTTGTGTTCGTGAAAAATATTATATGCCAAAGTTGTTTTAGCACAAAATTGTTCTTCTTTCTCAAGCCATTCATGAACAATAAATTTCGCCATTTTATTTATCTGCTATTTACCATTCATATTAATTACTGGTCATGACAGTTATCTATCGATCTAACCTGGATTTATTGTTAATTAAATGTAGGCAATTAATTAGTAAGGAGCCTAGTTAATTCGTTAGCAACTTATAGCTTTGTGTTAGCCATAAAAGGCTGTTGTTAAGCTCTATGTAAGAGAACATTTATCAACTTCAATGGAAGTACTTTGGTTATCAAAGATAAGGGTGTCATGTTTGTTTATTGTAATTTAGACAAGCAGGGAAAGGGCACGTGGAAAATTCGCCACATCCCATGAATAATAAGAATTGGGGAGGACAAAAGGAAAAAACCGAACCTCACAAGAAAGCAAAATGGTACACATTTGTGCTTTGTTAAAGATGGTGCAAAAGACAATTCGATGATCATGGCATGAAAGAAAGAAAACTCCAGAAATTGGAGTGAAAAAGGCAATGGGGAAAAGACTAGTCGGTTCTCGTTTTATTCAAATAATGTAAGAAAAGCTTGTGGTATATCTAGCATAATAATGATATTGCGAATCTTGAAGAAGAGAGGCAAAAGGAAAACGTATAGATGTATATATATTTGTCCTCGCAGCTTATACGGAGAAAGAAGTAAGCTATACAATGACACAAAACAGAATATATATGGAGGAGGTGGCTCAAGAAGTTATAAGCAAATACACACTGACTCTGATATTTAAGTGCTACATTAACTTGACATAATTTACTTCTATCTATCAATGTCTTTTTTTTTTTAAGTGATAGATGCTATTTTTTGTGATTAAGAACTATTCAAGAGATACGAATTAGAAAATTTTAAATTTCAAGACTGATAGTATTTGTATTACCGATTCAACGAAAAAAATATTTGTATTACCACTCACCAAACTCTTGTTCGTTAGAGAAGACATTTATCTCTGGCGATGAGAGTACATACTAAAAAATTCAACCAGGATTAAAACTTAAAAAAATTATACAAACTCTTCTTTTGACCATTTTTATATTAATAGTGCAAGTTTTAATTTACTATAAACAGATATTACTACAATATTCATTTACTATTAACTAAATATTCACCATCAATTTGTATTATACAAAGGTTTCATAATGTAAGTTAACTTTTAAATAATAGTTCAGTCAAATGCGATACTAAATAGTAAATATTCATCATGATGTAAGTTAACTTTTAAATAATAGTTTAATCAAATGTGATACTTTTTATAACTTCAGTTTATTATTAGACCACACATTACAGAAGTTTTACGCCCCACCGTTCTACCACAGTTACGTAAATATATATGTCACGCATTACATAAAAGTTATGAATATAGTGTTACTTTTATGTATCAATCAAACAAATATATTAAGTAATTCTTTCGTGATATAAGTTTGAACAAAATTTTTGTTATTATTAATTAAATTATTGATCATCTCATCAATGTGCATCACACAAAAACTATATGATGCTAGTTAAACAGTTTAATGAGATGCCATACTTTTTTATATCTTAATTATTTTATTATTAACTAAATTTCCTGAATTATTACATATAACATTCACCATCTCATCAGTTTGTCTTACGCAAATGTTTTGTAAGTTTACATAAAAATTTAATTAAATGTGATACTTTTTTGATAACATGAATTAATTATTAGACCACAAATTATAAAATATTTACGTAACCTCATTCTATAACAATTACGTAAATTAGAAATAAGCTACATAAACTTATGTAGGGATAATTATTTCTTATGTATCAATACGTATTGTGTAAGCTTATCATTAAGACACTACATAAATTTTATAAAAGTATTTTAAACCATTTTTTGACATGTAATTAGTTTATTCCTACCGCCAAGCGCGGTCCAACAAACTAGTAAATGTAATAGAAAAAAATTGACACACTACAAAAGAGCACCATGAACCATTTATTTGGAACCCAAAACTTCGTATTTTTCAGCAAGTCAACAGATTCGTGTGCTATTAATCATAAACCAAATAAGCAAATGTGATACATTCCAATAACAAGTAGGCTTAGTTAGTAAATACTCCGTTTAATACACGTATATTTACCCGTACATACTTTATCTGTTTAAAACTATTGTATCCGTATTATTGTCATGTCGTTTCATTTTTTCCGTTCATTTGATGACTCCCGTACTAAACACGTATAAACCCCGTATAACACGTTTAATATCCGTATTTTATGAAATAAATTGTTAACTTTACTATTATTTATATATTTATTTATTTTTAAAAGTATTATTTTTATATATTTATTACTATTAACGTACTATTAAATGTAACTTTAGCTTAGAGACGAAGTATAATGCCCGTATGTATTTTTGAAGTAACTTTCCCGTATTGTATTTTACAAACTATGCAAGTGGGATTAATTTGTTTTGGAACCCTGAATTTTGTATTTTCCAAGGTTGTCAACTTGTGGGTCGCCCCGCCGATTGATCTGTTTTGATCCTGACATGGTAAGAAAGATTGTTTAATGTTTACACACACCTGCAGGTCGACTGGCTACAAGATTATCGAGTTGGAGGCCACGCGACATTGTTTTTCCCCTTTGCTTTGCGAAATATGTCTTTTTTTTTCGGTTTTCCTTTTCGGCTAACCCTATCTTTGAAATGTTATGTTGACCATTTGAAATTTTTTTTTTTTTTTGTGCGATGACTATTTGAATATTGATGTTATATAAGTGTGTGATGACTATTTATATTCAAATTAAAGCAATCAGATCATTAACACTCAACCCGTTTACTCGACCTGACCAACGAGCTAAATCGAGTTGATAGTCGTTGATATTTTCCAGTTTCCATCATCAGCAGTGAAGAAATTAAAAACAAACAAAAGAAGAAAGGTGAAGGTAAAAGGAACAGAGAAGATTAATAATTTGAGGGGCTGGGGAGGGAATAATATTTGGGTTGCTTTCCTGGCTATCTCCCATGTCTCTCTATCAATAAGATTCGTTTTGGGGAAAGGAGAAGAAACAAATTAATTCTGCAGAAGCAAACAGCAGCAGCAGCAAGCAGTGGCGATGTTAGTGGGCAGTGGCAGTTTCTGTTGAAAGGAAATGGGCAGTGAGTGGCACTTGTCACTCACTCACTTGAAGGCATTAGGCTGAAGTCTGGAAACACCGCCAAAGCTTAATAAATAAAAGTGGTTTCTAGCATGCATAGGACCAACTTTTATTGCAGTTTAGTATATATTAAGAAAGAATGTCAATTTTGTTGGGTTTGTAAATATTATCAAGTTCCATGTTGCCAAGGTGATTCAACAGGTTTAATTAAATTCATCTTTGGGTCGAAAACTAGGGTGCATGACAAGAATTACAAATTAATTCATCAAGATGGCTAATTCATTAAAAATTTATGGATAAATACAATTTAATATCCAAACCTTTCATTTTAAACAATATAATAGCCAAACCTTTTCGAAAACAATCTAATATCCAAATCCTCAACTTTCCGTCCGTTTGACACTTCAAAAAAGCTTTGTTTAGGGGAAATTGTCACAATACAACTTTGTTTTCTTGTTTTGGCATTGCATATGACTGAATATTTAGATATTCTATACCATCATGGTGGAGTCATGGACTTCTTGGGTTTGGAACCACGATATGTTGGTGGTTTTTCAGAGAAGATATCGATGGATATTGATGAAGCGTCGTACTTCGAACTTTTTTGAAGTGTCAACTAACGGTCAAACGAACGGAAAGTTGACGATTTGGATATTAGATTGTTTTCGAAAAGATTTGACTATTATATTATTTAAAATGAAAGGTTTAGATATTAAATTGTATTTACCCAAAATTTATTCAACAACGTATTTATTTCTAATCCATAGTCAAGCCTTTATTTTTATATATTTAAACTACATTTTTTTCCTACACAAACGGGCAACCTTCGTTCCAAGAATCGAGACAATGAGTCGGCAAATTCATTTTGTGCTGATGGATATACAAAAACAAGGTAGATCTAGAATCTTGCTTCGATTTGGATGAAAAGAGTATGTGTTAGTGAATTGCGCTTCCCACCTAGCCTTTGAATTGGCTTGACGAGAGTTGGAGAGAAAAAAACTTGTTACAATCTGTTAACTCAACTGAATAATTATATAAAATCAATAAAATAACATACATCGCTATCACAAGAGCGGTGACTCTACAATATTGTCACATAAGCAATCATGGATAAATCTACCATTGTGAATGTCTCTGAAGAGGTTCTTTAAGTGGTCCAAGGATATAAAACCTAAGATTCATGAAATTCTAAGCCAATTCAAGCACCATACAATGAAGTCCAATACAAATATATATTCTAGAAGAAATGCCATAGTGCATTATCTGTGAGTACACACCATTTGAGGTTGAACAACAATTGCCACTTTGATTGGTTACCTTCATTTTCGTATATTTATGAAACAAGAACCCACTTGCACAAAGTTGTATACCTTAAGCATCGTGTTTTTCATTTCTTGTAATTAGTTTGATGGTAGTAATATTGAACATTGTGTTCTAGAACTGAAGATATCATCATGAACATAATTTTCTTAAGAAAAAGGCTAAATTAATTATTATTATTATTTTTTTGTAGGAATTTTTTCTCTCTCGATATGCTATTGAAAATGAGTCTGTAAAAAGGAAAAGATGACACTCTAAAATCTAATCCTAAGATCTTCATATAGAAAATCAATAAATTATAACACAGCCAGATCAAACAATTTGTTTATAATTAATTTTGTTATATTTTGATGTTGCTTGGAAAAAAGGTTTGAGAATTAGACCTACCAATCAAATTAAGGGACTTTATTTTCCTGGATCTGGAGTCAACTTCAGCTGCTACATGCTAATATATATACGGTGGGACATGATTAAGATTCACCATTATCACATTTCACACTGAGATCACATTGGTTTGAATCCAAGCACCTTGCTGCCAGCAAAAAAAAAAAAGTTCACCACTACCAACCATCACTAGAATTTCCACCAACATGTACATCCCGTTGCTAGCTTTACCTTGTCTTATTCCCACTTCCACGTCAATGCTTTTAATTAACTGTTTCATTCTACGTCAAAATTATCAGATTTGCGGACAACCCGGATATTGTGCTCACAGTTTATCGCAAGAACCATCTAATAGGGACGGACTGTTTCAAACGCGAGAATGAGGAGTTCATTATGTATATATATAATTTGTGATTATACACGTGGAACAAATGCATGGTTTCAGCTACTCTCTATTTCTACATATGCTATACAATTATTGATCATACGCAGATTGCATATGGAGCTGTATCTTCCATGGCGATCTGGGTTTGTTCATATTCACTTCAGTAACAACCGACGAGGACATGCAGAAGTAGAAGTAGAACGCATTCAGCTGAGCAGTTTATACCGCCTGGAGATGAACAAAACCAAGTGGGTTTATCATTAACAAATGAGTTAAAAAGCTAGCAGCTTGGGGAAAAGGAAGAGTAAAGTACAAAGACTAGTAGCTAGGTTGCAGATATATGGGTAATCGAACCACGATTAAGGGGAGTGGGCGGGCGCAGGGGTTTATGGGAACTTGTTACTGTTCTTTCTTCTAGTCTAGTCATTTAAAACGAATAAAACAGCCAAAAAGTCCCGCAGCCGAAACCAAACCCAAGAAACAACCACCATGTTCAAACATCATGTTGATTTTTTGTTATTAAAAATCTACCCAAGTACAATTTATTTACCGATAATATAGCTTTGGAACTCTGATCAGATTCTCTGTCTGGTCCGGTGGTTCCCTCGCCTATCATCATGCATTCCCTTTTACAGCCCAAAAAAAAAAAAAACCTTTACTAAAAAAAACAATAACCCAAAAGCCCCAAAAAAAAAAAAAAAAAAAAACCCTAGCAAAATTTATTACAGACAAGGTATTAATCCACCAGCTGGGATTCATTACCACCGCTTGTCCCAGCCACTCATTTGAATTTTGAAACCACCCTTTTCTTAATTATCACAATCATACTTGTATATGTCGAAGGCAATAACATTGAGAAATAAATAAAATTTCAGAAAGCTCAATTAGAACGTACATCATCATCACGAGCTGAATTCTTCTGTTCCCAAATAGTATCATCCATGAAACCCTTCTTCCACACCATTATTTTCCTGCTGCTGCCCTACAGGAACGGACAGCTACAGAAGATCCAGATAGATCCATTAGCTTTTGCCTATACTAGGTTTTTTTTTCTCCTTTCTTGGTGAACAGTCTTCCTCATACTATAACTAGGTCATGAAACAAGACACTACATTTACACAAGTATATATAGTACTACTACTGAATCACGCATTCATACACCTACACAAAAATAGTACAAGAAAGCAGACGTATTCACATCGGGTAAAAGAACGCTCTACCAATTTAAGGAACCAACTTCTAGCTAGACCCATCAAATGCTAATTACAAAATATAGAGTTTAAAGGTACGGTGATTAATTAAAATATATACTTTTTGAGTTGGTGATTACCTCCGAATAGAATCGATCTGTTTTGTAAGAAAGCACAAAGTAGAGAAGCATCTTAAGGACCGCTGCCAAGATTACAACCCGCAAATAGAAAACAAAAATGGAACAAACATGCCTCAAAAGAGAGAGCAAACCAGATTAATGTAATCGAGCATACAGAATAAAATAACTTGCCTAGCATCCTATATATAAGAGAATCAAAATAAATAAAATATGCAAGGTAATTAAGGGAATAGAATGGGAAAGGAAAAAAAGGGGTAGGAAAAGGGAGCTCCCTTCAGTCCAAGTACAGGGAGCTTAAGATCCAATTTGTCTCCCGCATCATTCACTCATTTACTGCGCTGCAAAATCCATTCGAATAAATGTCCTTCCTTGTTGTTTCTTCCTTCCGTAGCAGGCAGATAACGCAGTATTTGGATGAATGAGTCGGCAGCTAATCGAACCTCACTGCTGCCCATGAGTGGACTGAAGAAAGCTCCCTTTGCAAGTTTTTTCCATGTTCCCACAGAAAACCCTAAATCTAGGTACGTAATGGCACATCACCAACTAATAATGAAGCTGCTTCTCATATACATAGAAGAAACCCTAGCTCCTCGTGGGTTTCCGTCGAGGAACTCGCTGGCTAGCAGCTTCCGCGGCTTCTGACTGGTGAACTTAACCCGGCTACCACTCAAACCCTAAATAAAGGGACAGTGGAAACAAAGGAAATTAAAAGAGACGGTAAAAAGGGGAGGAGCTTTGAAATTATAGGGAAAGCGACTGCTGGAAAAGAAAGGGAAAAAAAGAAGAAGATGAAGAAGAACAAGAACTGCATATATATATATATTAATTAAGGGGGAAAAAAAACAAAAAAGAAAAAAAGGGTTTTTTCTCAACTAAAAAAAAATAGGGATGATAGAAGAGAGAAAGATAGGTTTGAGCTTCTTCTCCCTTCTCATTTGCTGCGAGAGAGAGAAGTAGAGAGAGGAGAGGGTGGTGGTGGTGAATGGAAGAGATGGAGTGGGGGGTTTATATAAAAGCTTAATGGAAGGGCAGAGAAGCAGGCAAGCATCAGACACAGACAAGAACTGGTTGAGGTCTTATTGTTGTTATTATATTATATATTGTGTTATTATTATTATATATATAAAAAGAAGAATGCACCGCTTCATCATGATATTATTGAATATTAATTCCAATTCCGTTTTTTGTACAAAGAAATATTTATTTCTTATTTCTTTCCAATAATAGGTTTGTTTCGCTAAAAAAAATATATATATAGTGTTGTTTGGGGAATGAGATTAAAGAGTTTTGATTCATAAAGTTTATGGATATGGAAATAAATTATACCTTGCCTTGCTTTTGTATAATCGTATTACAGATTTTAGGTTAAAAATTCAAATTCCTAAAAGTTAGAAAGATGAAATCTCTCATAAATGTGAAGATTTTTTATATGTGAATTTTATGGTAATTTGCATTTTTAGATTGTTTAGGATTTAGAGATTTAGACTATAATTCTCCAAATGAGGTATTTTTATTGCCAACATAATGGATATAGTACTTAGTTTCACTAGCTTGAGTTGTTGAGAGATGTGAAAATATAAAATTTTGTATTATTATTTACTCACTTACACATTATTGATATTAAATAAAAACCAAACAACTAAGGAATTTATGATCACTAACTCTCATTACTAATGACTGTATTTTTAGTGAATATAAAAGAAGTAATAATATCCATAATATCGAACGACTACAATCCATGGCGGAGTTGTTCAAACAGGTTCAGGGTGCTTGTAGGCCCTTTGTAAGGGCGGAAAAATTACCAAGAATGTGGTTTATTGGAGTTTCGAACTCCTGACTTGTCGACAAAGTCGTCTACTTGACCAACTCAGTCATTGACAAGTTATTTTTATTTTAATCAACATAACTATTATTTACAAAAGTGATTTTTCCTAAAATTTAAACCTACAACTAAGGGTTTATCGTTCCCACCAGCACACTCCTGCAATTTTATTTGTGTTATAGCGACACGTCTAACAACGGAGAAGCGATGTTGCGATGCACGAGGGCTGTCCATTCTCCTCCAAGCCCTACCATCTTTGGGAATTAATTATTGGGGACATATATTGTACCAGAATTGTATGCTAATTTAAACGATAAATGTGCTCTACAATGCCTTTATAATATGAAATTTCATCATGATTTGTTATAAGCAGTGTGTGTTTTGAACTATTGTAACTACACGAATCTTGAGTATTTTGTTATTGACTTTTTACTTCACTTATAATTACATTTTTCACGGAGAAAAACACCTCATTGACCAATTTTCTGACTCCACTACTAATTACTACAATATCCGAAAATCTCGAGTAGCCCTACAATACTTCAACAGCGGCTTATCTTGCTGATCCATCCTGGAAATGCAGGCCAAAGAAAAAGGCGCCTTGAAAATTAATAGACATGGCAAACAAGAGAGCACATGCACAACGTGTATTGTCGTTAACAGTGATGACTCTGCAAGCTTGAATTAGCAACTAGTAATTATAATGTCCTTAAAAACATGTTTATCCTTTGGGAAAAGCTTCGGCTTTTTAGTTTCGAGATGAAAAAGAATTAAGATAATTAAGTTTAGCAGAGCATTCGGCACAAATCTCCGGCGGAATTAAGAATGAACAGGTCATCTTGTCTGAAGAGAATCAAAGTGGTGTAGACGACATTCAGACAAGGAGCAGATATGTATATGCTTATCGTGTAAAGAAAATAATAAAATAGATGGCAACATTCAAGCATCCTAAAACGTTTGATTCTTTTAGTCTTGTTTGACGCCTAAAGAAGTTGTTGTATAGGGAAGAAGGAGATCGAAGAAAAAACAATAACAAAGCATTCGGGGGATTTTTCCAATAATAGCACTTTTAAAAAAAATTACAAAAATAGCACCCATGTAAAAAAAATTACAAAACTAGCACCTTATTTTTTGGAACGCACCCCTAAGATGCGTTTTAAATGTAAAACGCACCAAACAGATGCGATCTACATGTAAAACGCATCAGAGGGGTGCAATCCATATTATAAAACGCACCAAACTGATGCGATTTGGGGAGGACGCGGAACGATCTTCAAGATCGTCGGATTGACGGACGATCCAACGGCTCAGCGCACGCCAGCGGAGCGATCCGCGCCGAGGATCCCAGATCGCACGCCAGCGGTGCAATCCGTGCCGAGGTCAGTCAAACCGCATTGGGAGGGTGCAATCTGCGCCTGGAGAAGCGGAAAACGCATTGGAAGAATGCGATCCGCGCGGGGCAAAATTACCGCCTCGTCCCTGGAGCCTGCGATCTGAATCCTATAGATAGCCCCCCTTCCCCTCTCATTTCTTCACACCACAACCCATTCTTCCTTCTCTCTCTAAGTTTTATCTCTCTAAACCCTCCCCCTCCCAAAAGCCTAGGAACTAGTGGTCTGTTGGTTGCGGCAAAGTCCGATCTGCCATCAGAAAACATTTCGTAGGTTTTTTCCTCAAAACCCGCCGAGCCGAAGCTCTGTCCGAATTGCGCCGAAAAAATGGCCGATTGGTGGCAAGGAGAAGGAGTTTTTGTTGATGAATTTCAAGCGGTACGTACTCATTATTCGGGTTTAATTTTTGTTGTTGTTATCTTGCTTTTTAATTAATCTATGTACTAACCTCGTTGTTATTTTCTCGTAGGCTGCGGAGGACGTCGATATTTACAACCAACGGTATTATCTCGAGCAAGGACCGTTGGATCCAACCGACTTGTACGACCAACCCAACCATCGGTCAAGGGATGTTTGGAACGCTCACCCGGTACATACAATTCTTTATCATTTGTCCTTCTTTTATTTTGTTAATGTATTTAGTGGAATATAAAATAAATTAATGTTGAATTTTTAATCGTGTTGGTTGTTTTCAATAATTTAATCGAATACATAGCGCCACTTACTTCGACTCTTTATAAAGAGATGCACGTCTAAGGAAATGGGGTTTTAAGCGATTATCATATCCTCCCATTCCCTGGGAAAATCGGGTATTAAGAGATCCTTGGATCCCCCCCTTTTCTGTCAACAAAACTGCTTTTCTAAGAAGATGTATACCTCTTCTAAGAGTCTAACGAGTGTTGCTTTGTATTCGACTAAATTATTTAAAACAACCAAAATGATTAAATAATTTACCAAACAGTCCTTACGATTTATTTTTATGTGTACAAATGGAATTTTATTAATTTCAAACAATTGAATGCATATGATTCTTCCCAATCACCAAATACGGCGGCCAGAGCTTTCTGCTTTCCATGCCACGTCTTCTTATAGTTAATCATATAACCATAACGACTTGCAATGTCAGCGATTATGACTTTCACCTTTAGGTCTGGCTCTTGCTCAATTAGATGCTTGATAGCCGCAGCAACCACCCTGGATTTCAACTGTCGATGGCCTTGGGAAGTTATGGATGACACACATGTGTGTGTGTTCACCGCACGGGATATGACCCAGCAACCATGTCTCTTGCTGTTGATGGCCCGAATCCTAACATTGCACCCCTCGTGATGATTACGGCATCTGACTAAGAGCCTTTTAGTGTTGGAATGAGTTGTGAGCCATTCAAAATGTCGAGTCATTGCTTCTGTCTCAATGGCGTGACGCACATCCTTCTTCGAGCCAAATTGTTGGCCCTTTATAAACCCAGTGAGTGGACCCCATATTGGGACCTCTGGCGGCTCCATGTCGCTGTCGACCATCCAATTGTCGTCTGGAATGTGATTGTAGTAGGGGACTGGTACACGGTCACGAGCCCCCTCATCATCATTAGCTGAGTCTGACTCTGGTCCGGAATCATCGGCACCTTCAAGAGGGTCGGAGCTGTCTGCACTGACGTTGTTCTCTCCTTCTTCATCGGAGGGGTCACTGACTGGTGCTGGCATGACATCCTCCCTCTGATCCAGCTCATGAAAGGCACCTTCATCAGCTCCATAATGGTAGTTGTGAAAACTACCGTTGCCTGAGAGGAAGTTGTACTGAGGTTGGTTGGGCCGGTCCGGTTGAACTTCTTCTTCATATGATTGATGATGACCTTCACCTTGCTCTTGGTACTGAAAATATGAATGAGGATCATGGTAACTTTGGTAGGGATGATCGCCATATAATTCACCTCCACCATGGATACCAGATGTTTGACCGTGTCCAGAATGACCTCCAACGCCTACGACCGGCTCAGTGTAAACGAACATCTCGGCTTTGGAAAGATTGTTGTACCTCATGAATTCGAGCATGGCGTCTACCTCATCCTGAGTGGTTATGAGATATTCCTCATGCCACAATGACCCACTTTCTCTGTTTGGATATCGGTACACCATACGATCAACTTTTCTCGTGCCATCCATGCAAGTAACGTTAGTGCACATTTGATGGAGGTCTTCAAGCAGCGGTCTGGTAGCGACCTTTATCTTCTGAAAATTGCCACCTACGTAGGTGGCATCCTTTCCAGTCTCTTCCGTATAACCATTCCACCGTAAGCCAAGCGTGAACTTTTGGAATTCCATCTGCGATAAAATCGTAGTTAAGTTAATATCATAAAAATAAAAAATAAAAATTAACAATAAAAGGTAATACTAAATCAACTTACGAGTTAACGTTAATCGCAAAACTACTAAAGAAATATGTAATACTAAATCAACTTACGAGTTAACGTTAATCGCAAAACTACTAAAGAAATATGTAATACTAAATCAACTTACGAGTTAACGTTAATCGCAATACTACTAAAGAAATATAGAGTTACAACAGAAAATTGAAAAGGGAAGGGAGAAGGAGAGGTGTGAAGAGAAATGGTTGTCCGGGAGGCCTTTTATAGGCAAAATCACTGATGAAAACCGCACCTTAGAGATGCGATTTTCGTCTGCCATGCAGGCCCATGCAGACCCACGTCTATAACGTCTGCATGGTATGTCGGAAATTGATTGACCAAAACCGCACCTTTAAGGTGCGGTTTGCATGTTAAAATCGCATCCTCATGGTGCGATTTTGTCTGGCAGTAACAAATCGCAACTCGGCCATGCGATTTTACTAGGTCAGACTTAAAATCGCTCCTTGGCCATGCGATTTCAGTAGGTCAGACCTAAAATCGCACCTCAGCCATGCGATTTTACTAGGTCAGACCTAAAATCGCTTGGCTAAAGTGCGATTTGAGTCCAGATTATTGGAACGCATCTTCAAGGTGCGTTCTATTAAAAAGGGTGCTATTAGTGTAAATTTTTACGGATGGGTGCTATTTTTGTAATTTTTTTTTTAAAGATGCTATTTCTGGAAAAATCCCAAGCATTCGGTAGATACGTACTTAGCGAGGCGTTGAGTGGATGTGGAGAAATGTTATGGTTTTTTTTGACAAAGGGATCACTTATATTGCTCAACTAATAAAATCGGTTACAAAGAGGGATACAACATGAGAAAACAAATCAAGAAAGAACAACCTCAACATCTAGAGGAACACACAAACCAACGAGGGGAAGATCAGAACAAGAGAAAGCCAAGCATGATCCAACTAGACAAGGGCATTCTATTCTTGAACCGCAAACCAAAGCATCTGAATCACTCTTTGCAACCTCATTTATCAGAAAAACTCAAAGGAAAGCTTCAGCTCATCCAATACAGCAATGACCATGATGATTGAACATTGCAACACCATATGCCGCCTCCTGGGAGTTGTTCGAAGACGACCCATCACAGTGAATCACCGAGGAGATTACATGGCGGTGGGCAGCACTATACAGGATTGTTCAGAGCTGAAACAAAGAGAGGGAGCCGGCAGCGGAAGCATCCATGACAAACCAGAGAGCAGGGAACACAAAGGGTTGAAATGCCCACAAAAACCACAAGAAAGAAGACCCACCAGCATGAGCCTCACCTGCAGAAACACAAAGCCAAAAAGAGTTCCAAGAACAGGAACACCAACAAGCAGCACAACCCAATCCATCAACAACAACCCACACCCACACTGCAAATCAACCCAAAAGAAGAACTCTGATCTCATAGAAACATGGACCATCCGCCACGACAATCGGAAGAGACACCGCCACCCACACTGACGATTGGCAAAGATGCAGAGATCAAGCAAGGAGCACAACAGCAGAGGCGCAACAGTGAACGTGATCGCCCACGGGAACGACCACACCAAGAAGGAGGAAATCTTCAAACCGAACCAGCAGAAGCACCCCCAAATTGCATCTTCTGTACCCAAAACAGAGGAACAGATCTAGAAAACTAGATCTGAACAAGACACAACATCTCCACCAGGGAGGAAAGTGGGAGGAACCACTAAGGAACCGAGATAAAGCCACCAAGGGCTGGAAGAGCCATCGAGGGCTGGAAAATCAGAATAGATCTGCAAAAGCCGAGAAGGGCAAAGGAAACAGGAAAAGCCAGCACTGATCGGAGAGCAAGGAAACCACAAAGGAAATCCGGCGAGCAAGAGAAAGGAAGAAAAAAGAGAGAATTTGGGCCACCGCCGGTCATTAGAGTGGTGTCGGCGGCAGCCCTGTGAAGAAGATGATGGAAAGCTAGAGAGAAGGTGGAGGTTTTGAGGAGTATTCTGCACCAAAGAACGAAGCAAGTTACTGATGTACTAGTGAACTAGTCCAAGTTGGTGGAGGGATGGGTTTCTCAATGTGGAGGTGGGTTAGAATTTTGGTTGGTCGTGTGGTCTTTGGATTACAGATTTGGGATTGATCAATAGTTCTTGTTGGCGATGAGAGAAGAAAGCGAAGAGAGGAATGATAAGAGTGTTGAGTGTGCGAACTGAGTGGGAAGTAATTGATGTAAGAAATTGGGGTGCTCTCTTTTCAATCTTTCGTCCAGCAAAAAAGGTATGTGATCTTCTCGATCCATCATTGATGCATACATTAACAATCGTGGAGTCGGCGATTCTATTTACCTATTTCAATTGCAGTGCGAGGGAAGACGAAGAAGGTGGGTGCGGAGGAGATTTTTTGTTTGATGTTTAAGAGTTTGTTTGGGAGGAACGTGATCGTATTAGAGGAGCGAGAAACATCAGAATTTATACTTAATTAGTTTTCAGTTAGTCATTAAGAAGTTATTTGGTTATTGATTACACAGGAAGCCATTTAAGTATAGCGGTAATCGGACCGCTAACTTATAATCGGTCAACAGTTATATTGGTTAGTTTAACCGTTAGTTCATTTCCGACTACGTTAGCTAGGAAGGGGGGACGGAGCAACGATCGTCGATTTGCATATCGAGAGATGAGAGGGAGATGGAGAGAGAGTGGGAGGGGGGAGATGGAGAGAGAGTGGGAGGGAGGGAGACCGTGGGGAGAGTGAGATTAGTCATATATGGAAAGTGTGTAGCAATTAGATGCTATACAATTTTCTATTTTAAATTACCCTAAAACAATCTTGGTCGTGAATTTTTTCTTAAAAAAAAGTAAAACAAACAGTATATACAGTGGTTATCATAGTGAAAAAAAAGTAACGCTATTCCATCACCAAATATTATAACTATCTAAAGAAAACTATCATCAAAATCTAACAATCGCTTAATTACCTAGCTTTTACTCCTATTTTGAACGTATTTCATCTAACCAAAACTAGCTATTGTTGTTTCTAATTAAAAATTAATTTTAAAATTTTAAATAATTAGAACCTAAATTTCACTAATTTTTAGAGAATTATAATTTAACAGACCGTTTGGTACCAAATGAATTAAAAATTCATTTCATTGGGAAATGAATTACCGTGTAAAATTCATTGTCAAATGAAATCTTGTTTTTTGTATGTCATATTCAAATCTTTAGAAATAAAATGAATTGTCGTGTAGAATTCATTGTCAAATGAATTCATGCGTTTGGTATGTTATATATATAAGTAATTAAAAGAGGATACTTACATCATTCCGTTATAATTAGTAAATACTTGTGGAATTCATTTGAAAATTCCATCTCAATTCCTCGAAATTGTTATAACTGGCTCCAGTTTCATAGAATTTAAAATTTACAATTAAAAAATAAATTCTTTCAAATAGCAAACACAAAAATATTTCATTTCAAAATGAATTCCTCCAAACTTATAAAATTCATTTATATCATAAATTTCCTCGTAATTTTTAAATTATTACCGTAGTTTTCTCTGTTGAAAGAAAGACCACCCAAAAAGCTTTGAAATTATTTTTTGGCTCAGTTAATTGTCCAATCACCACTTTTCCCTGATCTGTCCATCCACCCCATCCCATCTGCCATCCCCAGCCCCTGCCTTTACTACTGTTAGCTGAATGAATCGGTGCATCTCTTCATCATCATTATATTCCTGTTATATTCTCCAATCTCAGCTTCTTCTTTCTTTTTCTGGAATGATTTTTCCATGGAATTCTTTCTACTCTCTGCACTGGATATTTCGGTTCCCCCAAGCTAGCTACCTCCTCAGTTCGTCCAATCAGTTATACCTCAATCCCTAGTTCAACTGGAAGTCGCCACATCCTAACTGGAAGCTATAGTGAGTTTCGGGTAAAATAAATGTCACATTTGGTTACCGTAATTACTTAACAGTGTTATGTTTAGTTACTAGAAAAAATTAATATCAATTTGGTCACTCGAATTATTCAAACATGTCACATTTAGTCACTCTCTCGTTAGCCTCCGTCCAACTCTAGTCACTCGAATTACTTTTTTATTTATTTATGTATGAATGTCACTTGAATTATTGAAACATGTCACATTATGTCACTCTCCGTTAGCCTCTGTCCAACTCCATTAACAGAGTTGGAAGGATACTAACGGGAGAATGACTAAATGTGACATGTTTCAGTAATTCGAGTAACCAAAATTGATATTAATTTTTTCTAGTGACTAAACATGACATGATTTAGTAATCTCAGCGACCAAATGTGGCATTTACCCGTGAGTTTCACTTTCACCACAAACCGTCAATTAAGTCTATTCTCATTTATCTCGAGAAAAGATGACTTTCTTTTCACGTGATTAACGAAAACAAAATAATACTATTAGTATACATGTCATCTCAATTGTTAATATTTGAGGTGATTTTGAAGTGCTTAAGATTCGAATATGATTTTTTTTACTATGATTTCATATAAAACATTATTTTATTTCAATATTTCGAGTTGTTTTATGATATTAGATTAATGAAACTGTACAAGAACACAACTATTACCCATGGATAATAATAGCGTGAGTAGCTAGGTTATCATTTCTATATAATCTATACAAAGAATATTAGGGCTGCTGCTATTTTGTTAGTACTTGTAAATTTGGTCAGTCTTAGTATGAGGAGAGTATCTTCTAACACCGAATTGTCAAGATTACACACTGAATTGTGACAAGAAATCCCGTAGTTTATGCATGATCACTTCCGAGATTAGTAACTAACACAAACATTTGTTTTCTTTCTCAGCACAGAGAGATTAGAATGAATATAAAATCCTTGTTTATTATTTCTGAACTGCATATTCCAATATGATTAACACCAGCTGACCTCATCAAAATTAAGATTCTCTCAACTTATTAAAAGGGTTTTCAGAGAGCTGATTGTTCTCTCTTTTGTCAGTAGTAGATTGATTATATACGTACGAATTATTGTCGTGGGAAGTGCATAGAATCTTTTTTTTTTTACTTTTGTTCGAGATTTGACAAGCCACTACAACCTGATTATTAACAAGTATAGAGATGAACGACGAGCAATATCGGAACATCTGTAAGACTAGGCGAAGAAAGAAAGAGGGAAAGAAGACAAGACAAGTTTTGTTTTTGGTTCAAACATTTTGCACCAATAATGGTGTACTTTCGACACCCCATGGGAGTTGTATTCGAAACAGGGAAAATTTTCATGTCAATGGATTGCACAAGACATGGAGACAACAACAAGGCATAGGGTGAAAGATTGTTTAAGGTCGGTTTGTTGACATATCGTTCATTGGTTGTTCCTGTGTATTGGAAGCGACCCATCTACATCAAGCCAAGGCCAAACATTTTGCTAACGGATCGATTGTCAATGAACTACGGTTACGTTTCAAACCTTTCATGCCTTGTAGGATTCAACCGATAGTGTGAACCATTCGATTGATCTCCTGTTATTCAATAGGATGGGCGTACAAAAATAAGCTGCATCACATACGATAACTTTATGTATTTTTACAGAAAATTAGACACGAGAAGTAGAAAATGTGTAAATGGATCCGAAACTTCTTTCTACCACATGTACTAATTAAGGATCGCCTACTTACATTGAAGAATACATCAATGTTACTATAACACACAATTTACGTATAAACTAGACGATATTCATCGTCTCCTTATTATCTTATATGTCAAACCGAAGTCGAAAACTCAACCATCTTCCTCCTCCCACTTCTTCATGCTAGCTAGGTATGCATGGCAGATAGATTTCCCCTCAACTTCCTCTGCCCTTCCTGACCCTAAATCCTTGTTACCTAGTCGAATGGATGTTCACTATAAAAAAACCAAGTAACAACCCAGGCTCTTCACATTGTTATTGCATGCACTACTTGGCATATCTACAAACCCGCAATGATTGGATATTTAACCTCATTATCTTAATCCGATTTTTCGACAATGATAAGCTCGGCTCTTCGCTCTCTGGTAAAATGGTAGGGACTTGCTCACAACTCTTAGAGTCACCCAAAACCAAATGTGGGAAACTGTTCACGATCTTGTTCATTGTCGATTGAATTTGGCTGAGAATTAACTATATATAAACTGTTCATTATTTATTGATTTGTTACGACTTGTGGGTTAAAAGATTGTTGTGGCGAATTTTCATGATGAAAAAGTATGCAAACGAAATTAACAAGTGACACTAAACAAGATTATCAAACATGTTTGCGTAATTTATAGGAAAAAGAGGGAATTACTTTGAATGACTAATTCCTAACCATCCGCACCGAGAAATTCTTCCTGCCGGACATTTAGCAAGAAAGCAAGTTTTACAACTTTAATTTATGAAGTTACTGCATTTATTTATTGGTTCCTGTCTAGTGTGCTTTGTGATTTCATCATTCTTGGGTTATTCCGGCTGTGTGATGTTAAATCACAAATTAAAATAACCCAATGATTAGTGAACTATTCCCACTACTTTAAAAGGGAAGCTCTTTGATTGACATTTTTGGACTGTTTTATTTCAAATTATACTATGTATTATCAATTATGGGGTTCTTATTCTCTCACTCTCTATATCTACCAATTTAATTACTTCTTTGTTTGGAATAACTTTGATACGCTTTTTCTGTTTCAAAAGTTGAAACCGAACCAAACACTTTTATTAGTTTCATTTTTTTCAAAAAAAGGAAAATTTATAATACAAAAGTTGTTTTGAAAATAAAAGATTATTCTCACCATTTTCCCCCTTGAAAACCACTTTGTTTTCCAAAAAAACACAATTATGTTCATTTATATATTTTAAAACTAAAATAAATTATAAAATAATATTGTTTAATATAAAATAAATCCAACAATATTCATTTTTACTATTTTTATTTTCATTCATATTATTTATGAAAATTCCTTTTTAGTCATCTTACGATAGCTCTGATGTTAAAAATATTTATAATAATTTATCTACCAGAAACTCCTTTTTAAAGGATTTCTATTCAAAGTACTGATATAAATCGTTTTTCTTTCGAAACTACAACAAGGCTAAACAGACTCTATGTATTTTTTCTAAAATGGCTAGCATGCAACAAATCCAAAACTTAAGTAGTTTCTAATGGAGTTAGCCTTTGGAGTTTGCTTATTTGAATATGATGCGTTAGAGAAATTCATATTTATCATTTACTCCATTTTCTGCTTACGATTTCCAGTAACCCACGTCATTAATTTGTTTCGAGTATCCTTGTCCAAATCTGTCACGACAAGGTCAATCCAGGGTTAGTAATTACTATCATGCATGTATTTGTACTTACAATTCATCTTTCTTCCTAAATGACTCAACCTGAAGGTTTCAAATTCAAATATCTTAAGTAGTACTTAATAAATAAATAAATAAATAATCATTATCACTTTTTCACAAATTGGCCTAGTTAATTAGTCTAAACTCATTAACAAACTGATCCATACATTTTTTTTCAAATGGGATACGGGATATTTAGGAGTTGAATTGAGCACCAAAACCCGTACATTGGAGGCAAGTTAGTCATCCAAATTCCAAAATGTGTTTACTAAATATCAGTTGATCCTAATTTGCACGCAATTTTCGAGTGAGATTAGAAATATAAACACAAAGCAACTATAATATACTGCTAATGTGTTGACGCGTCTTTTATACACTCTTGATTTTGTGTTCATGACATTTCACCGCGCCATCATTCGTAAATTATTAACAATCGTAAATCACGCAAATGATCATATATTTACGTATTTTTAATTTGATATATGATTTGCAAATCGTGAGTTAAAAGTCAAAATCCGCCAAAAACAAGTTATATTAATTGGCGAGTTTTGCTTAATGAATCTAGTGGGATACAGGTAGGGATGGCAACAAAACCCGAACCCACGGGTACCCACCCGACCCAACCCGGTCAACGTGGGTAAAATCCGTGTTGACGGGTTTTGGGCTGGGTTCGGGTTTAAACCCGCTACACTGTTCACCGGGTCGGGTTGGGTTTGAGTTTAGGTAAACCCGTCCCATGGGTACCCGCCCACACACATATAATTACTTTCCGGACATATTTAATATTCTAAATAATATATCTTTCTTAAACAACTAATTTGATTTATGTTTGTGGAGACATGTATAATTTGTTCTTTCTAATTGTTTAGAATGAAGTTGATATTATGAAGTGGAGAGTGAAGAAATTTAGTTGATGAGGAAGAAGCTTTTAATTAATCTTATTGTTTATAGATATTTATCTTTAATTTTGAAGAATTTGTATTGATCATTTGCGGTTTGCTTGTATTCTCTATATTGGTATTTTTTTTTTGTATGAATAATTTGTATGAGAAAATTGATGTTAAACTTTTATTTTGAAAGAAACTTGTTATTGTAAATTTTTTACCATAAAAACCCACGGGTACCCATGAACCCACGGATACCCAGCGGGTTGGGTTTGAGTTTTTCAAACCCAGCGGGTTTTATCCCGGGTTTTTTTGGAGGATAAACCCATGGGTTTGGGTTTGGGTTTGACAAAACCCGCCCCAACCCGACCCATTGCCATCCCTAGATACAGATTAGTATATCGCGTTCTCCCACGCTTACCACAATTTCGTTTTGATCTTCTCCTGTTTCTTCCGTTCTTTCTGCCCTTACATCGATCCCCTGGAGGCTAGCCAAGTTGTGGGAGATGGATTGAAGTGCCGACGAACGACAATGATGTTTGTGGTAAGTCAATACACCAAAATAAAAAAAGTGACTTGAGGCAGTGCTGGTAGTAGCAACTAGCAAGTGCTTGAGTCCAATTTCTGCCTTGAGTAACTAACCTACATATCAAAAATGGATTTCTACTGCTCAAGCGGGCCTAAAGGCCCATGTTAACATGGACGAGTTGCCTCTAGGGTTATTTACACTGTGCTGCGAGTGGGTCTAGTCCAGAGCTATGGATCTGGGTATGCCCAACTCCATCAATTCTATTTCTTTATATTCCAAAAGAAATATATATTTTTTTACAAGGTGAATCTGCTTATATTGGACTCTGAAAATAACAGTTACAAGAGGTTGATTACACCAAGAGAAATGGAACAAACAATAATGAAACTCTAATAACCGGAAGCACAATCCCAACCGAAAGAGAGCCACAAGAACGACTGAACAAATCAGTAAAAGAGACCATCACAGGAGCCAAAACAGAGTGACATCAAACATCTCTTGCTTCCACTACCAACAAAGCAGCAACAAAGCATGGTTTCAACTCTCCCGAAACAGACAAGACCATGGCGATTGAATGAGCAACGCCATAAGCCGCCACCTGGGGATCATTCGAAGATGACCCATCACAGTGAATCACAAGATTGAGATTGCTCGGCGGTGGGCAGGGCTGAAACCGAGATGCTCAGAGCTTAAAATGGTCGAGGAAGCCAGAGGCACGATGGACTGAGACACGAATAGACACCATCAAGGTCTCCAAAGAAACTCAGAACAGCCGCCAACGACGCCACGGAAGTGACCCCGAAGCCCACAACAGACGAACGTAGAGGAGGCATAGGTGCTCAACGAAAGACGACTGAGGGAACAACAGTGAATGTGTTCATCAGAGGAGAAGAAGCCACCAACAAGGGAAGGCAACCCTAACTTCGGATCTTCATCAGAGGCTTCCTAAGTTGCAAAATCCGAATCTAAAAGCAGAGCAACGCCAGACCAGCACAGAGAAACTAGATCTGCAGAACAAACAAGATCCATCTCCATAGGAGAGGAATGTGGATGAAACCACTTAGGAGAGAGCCATAACGGCCTGGAAATGCCATCAATGGCTGGAGAAACGCAGAAAGCATAAAGAAAGATATGAGAATTAGAACGGGGCTGCCGCCAGTCACCTAAGGGTGCCGGCGGCTACCCAGGTGGAGAAGAAGCGAAAAGTAGAAAGGTAGAGAGAGAAGAGGGCAAATTTCAAACTAGAGAGAGATTTTGGGTTGGTAAAAAAAAAATCAGGATAGGAGAATATTCAAAATTTTACAAAAGGTCAAAATCAAGAAAAAAATAAAGTGCACCGGTCAACAAGATACCGAAACAACGATAACAAAGCCTTTTTCGCCCAACTTTATCAATTTCCCATTTATACTTATATTTTGCTTAAAATTTCCCCATTATTTTAGATGACAAATTCAAACTGAACTAAGAAGCAAGGCAACTAAAAAATTGATCGGGTAGTTGCTACTATTTGGAGTTCGGTTCGGAAAAACCAAACTAAGCATCCAGATCGATCACTCAACGGCTCAACCCCAATGATCATAGCCCAATAACCCAACTCCAACTATTTTCTCAACCCAGCCCATCCCCAACCTCTAGCTTTCCTGAATTGGCCAACTACTCTTTCTTATGTGACTCCTCTATTCTCTCCCAAAAATTGTCACCACTGATCTCGTCTTGATGCTCTAGACTTCAAAATTCTAAGTCTCGTTCGACGATTACTGACGCTATCATTTTCATTTCCAACCCATATTCGAAAAACCCATACTAATGTCGATCTTAGCATCTCCTCTCAGTTCTCATTATGCTCTTTGCCTCTATCACTTTCTCCTTCTCCCTCCCCACTTCATCTAAAAGTTCCAATTAAGTTGTGCTGATTTAACTATTCTTCAGCTCAAAATTCATCCATTAACAAATCTGATATCTGATGTGAATTCAATCAAAATTCAAATTGAGATAAGCCCTTGTTTATTAAAAAAAAACAATGATTTATCTCAATTTGAATTTTGATTGAATTAAAAAAAAAAAAACAAGGGCTTATCTCAATTTGAATTTTGATTGAATTCACATCAAATTTGATGAAACCAAGTCAATGCAAACTCCGATCACTCATTTAGACCATAAAAGGGGAAAAAACAGACAATCATTAAATCTGCCCAATTTTAGTACTGCATTATTATTTTTCGGATCACCAACATGAATAACTTTTTTTTATAACCACATGAATAACATTTTCACTTTCAGATAGATAAATAAAGGAAATTAATTAATTAATCTCCGTAAAAAATATACATTGCCAGAATTACCCTCCCCAGTCTCCCTTTGAAGATTTCGTTTTCTAATTACAGAGTCTCTCAAGCACAGCTCAAGGAAAAGTTTGCCAAATCGTTTTGAGTTCCGTGGCGATCGTTCGGTCCAGTGGTGGCAGAGGCGGTGGGCGGCCTATGAAACAGCTCGGCGCCGACCTCGTCGAACCTCAAACACCAATGGACTCGGAATTCTCTACGACGAAGGCGCTTGCTTCCGGTACGGACTCCGACTTCGGGTTCGCTTTCAACGATCAGAATTTCTCCGATAGGATCCTTCAGCTAGAGATCATCCCCGACCTACCGGAGTCCGAAATCGACGGCGGAGATGGTAGCGTCACCCTCACCGAGTGGGCCAGAGATCGGAAGCGTCGGAGGGAGGAGATCAAGAAGGAGAACGGTTGGTTTTCTGGGTCCCCCTCTTTATTGGGAAATGAATGCTCTGCTTACTTGATTGCTAGTTTAGGGTGATGCGGTTGGAATTTGTTTTTGTGCCTCCTGGATTTCCAATGTTCAATTTGTGGTGGTACATCTGCTTTCTGGATTCAGAATGTTTCTGGGACGGGCAGAGACTATGAACTTTGTTAGGGTTTCATACTAGCGTGTGAGATTTTGAGGCCTATCTGCGAACCAGAAAATTTTTCTTGGTTAGAATTTGTGGGGTTTGGATAATCATTGGTTTCCATCTAGCAGCACGGACAGCTTGTGAAATGCGTTGGTGTGATCCATGTAGAGAATGCTATAAAGTATTGGTCTTTCCATCTAGCGGACACTTTTCTGATTGAAGAACGTTTGGTGTTTTTCTTTTGGGTTGTTAGAAGCTGCAGAATCTACAGGAATAAAACTGGAGCTGGTGGAAGATTTGAGTATCCCACAAACAGAGGAAACTTTGGCCTATGACAACCAAGATGAGGAAGCTGTTGCTATGATGGAGGATTGTGGTGAAGATGGAGGAGTACATTTGAATGATCAAGGTGCTAACTTTACATGCTTCCCCTTTTTTTAATTGGCCACTACCTGCATATTGAACGATTAAGATGTGTCGATACAGGCATTGACTTGATCGGCCTTTTTCTATTTACAGGTGAAGATTCCCCTCGTGGCAGTGAATCGAGCTGGAGCAGGGATTCAGCTGTTCTTAGGGTTAGTACTATACATATCAGCTCACCAATATTAGCTGCAAAGAGCCCATTCTTTTACAAGGTGAGCACCTTTCTCCTTTCTTAATATTCTTTGATTTTTATTGATTTGTGGGTTATTGTTCTTTATTGTTTTTCTTGTTTACCTCGTGCAGTTGTTCTCCAATGGAATGAAAGAGTCGGATCAACGCCATGTAACTCTTCGGATTCACGAATGTGGTATACTTAATATTTTCTTTTTCTTTCCTGCCTAATGCTAGTGCTAGTTATGGACTCTACATTGGACGAATTTGATCTGATTGTGTTCTCTGTTTTCCTGTATTGAGCAGAAGAAGCAGCCTTGATGGAACTGCTGAATTTTATGTACAGTGGCACCTTATCGAAGACCACAGCTCCAGCTTTGTTGGATGTATTGATGGCGGCTGACAAGTTTGAGGTTTCATCATGCATGAGATATTGCAGTAGGTTACTGAGGAATTTGCCTATGACTAGTGAGTCAGCGTTCCTGTATTTGGACCTTCCTTCTACTGTTATAATGGCTGAAGCAGTTCAGCCATTGACTGACGCTGCAAAACAATATCTTGCTGGCCAATACAAAGACGTCTCTAAGTGAGTTGCTTTGCAACTGATGTTTCATCATCGTTCTCTTATTTTTGGACTTTCTAAGTTTATTCTTTTTCACATTATCCACTAGGTTCCAGGAAGAGGTGCTCAACATGCCATTGGCTGGTATTGAGGCAATATTTTCAAGTGATGATGTCCAAGTAGCTTCAGAGGATGCCGTGTATGATTTCTTGCTTAAGTGGGCGCGCCTTCATTACCCCAGATTAGATGAACGCCGAGAAGTCATGGGAACGAGACTTGCAAGACTAATCCGTTTTCCCTTCATGACATCCCGAAAGCTCAAGAAGGTATTGACTTGTAATGACTTGGACCATGAACTTGCCTCCAAGGTTGTTATCGATACTCTGTTTTTCAAGTGTGAGACGCCATATAGACAACGTGCCCTTGCTTCAGAGGAGTCAAACACCTCCCATCGTCGGCTTGTGGAGCGGGCGTACAAGTATCGTCCTATTAAGGTGGTGGATTTCGAACTCCCCAGGCCACAGTGTGTAGTGTACCTGGACTTCAAACGTGAGGAATGTTCGCAACTATTTCCAGCTGGCAGGGTGTATTCACAAGCATTTCACCTCGGAGGGCAGGGTTTTTTCTTGTCTGGCCACTGCAATATGGACCAACAGAGCTCTTTTCACTGCTTTGGACTGTTTCTAGGGATGCAAGAGAAAGGATCAGTGAGCTTTGCTGTTGACTATGAGTTTGCTGCGAGGTCTAAGCCAACCGATGAGTTTGTCAGTAAGTATAAAGGGAACTATACTTTCACTGGAGGGAAGGCTGTGGGTTACCGAAACTTGTTTGGAGTACCGTGGGCAACGTTCATGGCTGATGACAGCCCTTTCTTCATCAATGGCATTCTCCATCTCAGAGCAGAACTGACCCTCAAGCAATGAGTATTCTCAGCAAGCCACTGACTCGACTTACCTTGCGGATTGATTTCTTGAATGCTCATAAATTTACATTTGCTAGTGAACTGTGAGCTGCAGTTTAACTAAAACTTGCCAATTCTACACATGTAACCTACTTGGTTGAAGGATTCTATAATGGAGCTAATGAAGACGTTATTTTTTTTTTTATCCCTAGTGATCTGCCACGATGAATGTGTGCTCTGTTTGCATAGCTTTTGTAGCTTGATTTTTTTCATCATTCATTCATCCAAAAGACCTCTAGCCGATGCTCGAACTCCAGAACTTACAGTGAGGCTCAGGCTTCATAACAACGAAATGAGTTCGTCATCGGCTTGTAGGCTGTAGCTTGAGGATTGAGGTTCGTGTTAGTTGCCCGAGCTGTACTTGGAAGAACGACGAGTTCTAACTTCTAACACCTTCCGTTTGGGCTCATCTCTAGACTGTTAAGACTTAAGACTTTGGGCACAATTCAAAAGCGAACGTACTCTCGCTGAGCCCAAACTTGCCGAACCGCTTTCCAACGAACAGTAGAGGCAGAGCATTTCCCCCTCAAATTTCTCGGGAAACAAACACGCAACAAATAATAATTAAAAAGAAAATGTAAACAGACAACAAAATAGAAATAACTATTCAACGACTCTCTGCCTGAATCTTTCTTTTTTATCTTCCCTGTCTCTCTATCTCTTGCTCTGTCATTTCTTCCTTGCTCTCTAGGTTTTCGAATCACACCATAAATATGACAGCGAAAGCATAAATTGTAAAATCTGGCAGAAGGGATTGAAGTTTGGGGCGATTGGGTTTCCATTTCTGCGGTCGTGGTGGTGGTGGTGGTAGGGTCGCGATGAGAGAGCTGGGTGCCGACCTCTTCGAGCCCCGGACGCTGATGGACTCCGATTTCTCTCCGACGAGAACTAGTGGCTCCTCCGCCGATTCTGACTTTGGATTTGCTTTCAACGATCGGAATTTCTCCGATAGGGTCCTGAAGATTGAGATAATCCCCGATTTGCCCGACACCAAATCAGACGGTGATGGTTGCATCACCTTAGCCGAGTGGGCCCGTAACCGGAAGCGCCGGAGGGAGGACATTAAGAAGGAAAACGGTTAGTTTCCGGCTATAAACCCTGGTGCTTTTCTTCCCCGTTGAAGTGAATGTTCCTTGTTTCTGGATTTTGAATAAATTTTCGGGTCTTATGTTCTGTTTCTATGTTAAGTTCGTCCTTATTTCAGACTCTGGTTCGTAGAATTCAAAGTATGAAACTGGCTCGGTCTAGGTGGTTGAACTTGAACCTGCTTGTAGAAATTGTGATTTGCGGAAGCAATAAAACGATAACACATGCTATTTACGTGGTTTCCCTACTCGATGTGAGTAGTACTATTCCACGAAGAGCTTAGGGCTCTTAATCCGATTTTATTGATTGATGATATGGGAGTCATAGCTTAGGTTTTACAGTGAGCTTCTCTAAGCTATAATGAGAGCAGCTAGGTAGACTCCTAGACGTACAGGAGGATGGAAGAAGGGATTTATCCAAGGAGAATAGGAATTATCCCAACAACAACAACTCGAGACTTCTGCCGAGTGAGGACACTGAGAGATTACTTCCTACTCAAGGCAGTTTAAAGACACGTGTTCTCTATGACACGTAATACTCCCCCTCAAGCGAAGGCGTGGATGTCGAGCATGCCAAGCTTGGAAAGAAGATGATGGAATTGATCGTGACCAAGGCCTTTAGTGAGGAGATCAGCGGGCTGCTCAGAGATTGCGATCTTGCAGGGAGCAATATCGGAAGACTGAACGCATTCTCGAACAAAATGGCAGTCCATCTCAACGTGTTTTGTACGCTCATGAAACACGGGATTGGCAGAAATGTGCAGGGCGGCTTGACTGTCACAGTGAAGAGGTGTAGCCGCAGGCTGCGGGCAGCCAAGATCGGAAAGAAGCCAGCGTAGCCAGATGAGTTCGCTAACGGTGGTAGCCATGGCCCGATACTCGGCCTCTACAGAGGAGCAGGCAACAACAGTTTGCTTCTTTGTGCGCCATGAGACAGGAGCACGGCCGAGGCGAATGAAATACCCTGTGGTAGAGCGACGAGTAGTGGGGCAACCTCCCCAATCGGCATCGCAATACGCAGTTAAGGTGAGGGAAGACTGTGCCGGAAGGAAAAGGCCGTTCCCAGGAGACTGCTTGAGATAACGGAGGACACGAGTGGCGAGATCAACATGAGCCTGGGTCGGACTGTGAACACCTTGACTGAGAAGATTAACGGCATACTGGATATCAGGGCGAGTAACCGTGAGATAGAGAAGGCGACCAACAAGCCGCCGATAACCAGAGGGATCCTGCGCAGGAGCGGAGGGCAAGCGACCGAGTTGGTGATTCTGTTCAATAGGAGTAGCAACGGGACGACCCGCCTCGATGCCACAATCAGACAGGATGTCAAGAACATATTTGCGCTGGTTCAGAACCATGCCGCGTTTAGACCGAGCCACTTCAATGCCAAGAAAGTATTTCAAGGGGCCGAGATCCTTGATAGTGAATTGCTGGTGAAGGAAATCCTTAACCGCTTGGATGAAGGTAGAATCATCACCAGTGAGGATGACATCGTCGACGTAGATCAGTGCTGCCACAAAACTGGTAGAAGTCTTGCGGATGAACAGAGAGTGATCAGCATGACTTTGAACAAATCCAAGAGAAAGCAAGGCAGCCGAGAACTTGTGATACCAGTTCTGTGATGCTTGTTTGAGGCCATAGAGTGACTTGTGAAGGCGACATACACGGGTTTCACCAGCCTTGGCGAAGCCCTGAGGAATCTCCATGTAAACTTCTTCAGAAAGGTCTCCATGAAGAAACGCGTTGTTGACGTCTAACTGATGGATAATCCAACCTTTGCTGACTGCAACAGACAAAAGGCAACGAACAGTGACTAGCTTAGCAACCGGAGCGAAAGTATCGTGATAGTCAATTCCCTCAACCTGAGTAAATCCTTTGGCGACTAACCGAGCCTTAAATCGCTCAACGGTGCCATCGGGGAGATATTTAACTTTGTAGACCCATTTGCATGCAATTGCACGCTTCCCGGGCGGCAGGGTCGTGAGGGTCCACGTGCCATTTGCCACGAGAGCCTCAACTTCAGCACGCATGGCAGCCCGCCATTCCTTGATCCGGACAGCTTGGTGGAAATGACGAGGTTCAAAGATGTTAGACACAGCCGCGACGAAGATCTTGTGAGCAGGAGACAAGCGATCATACCCAACGTGCTCCTCCAAAGGATATTTGACATGGGAAGAATTAGCTCGCCCAGGAACCTGTACTTCATATCCATCAAGATGAACGGAGGGACGTGGAACACGATTGCCGCGGCGAGGAAGGTCGGCAGCGGGTGAGTGGGGAGGTGCCATGGGTGATGTCGTCGCATCGGGAGACGAGGTGAGAACCGGTTCCAATGATGAAGTGGAGGAGCTAGAGGAAGCTAGCGTGGCATCCCCCGAGAGATGATCCGTGGACGATGATGGCACCGAGGGAAGAACCGGCTCGATTTGCTGAGGAGAATCAGCCGAGGGGTCTGAATTCGGTGTGGGCAGGACGTCCACTTGCTGCTGTGCATGAGAGGAAGTGGCCTCGTTGGGAATGGAGGAAGGCGTGGGCTGGCCAGGTGCGAGTATAGCTGGAGAGTGCCCGCCAAGTGGATGATCATCAATGGTCGCATCTTGGGTGAGTGCAGGATCTGGACAACTGAGATGCACAATGTCTTTCTGGAAAGGGAACACGTGCTCCAAGAAGAACACGTCTCTGGATGTGTTTATTTGGTGAGTCTCCAAGTCATAAACTTTGTAGCTGCGCTGCGGGGAAGGGTAACCAACGAAGATACCAGCTTGTCCGCGTGGTGCGAACTTAGAAAGATGAGGATGAGTATCCTTTGCATACAAAAGACAACCGAAACTGCGGAGGTGCTCGAACTGAGGAGGCTTGCCAAAGAGAACATCGTATGGAGTACGATTCTGAATGGAGGTCAGTGGCAGCCGATTGATCAAGTAAGCTGTAGTAAGGACACACTCGCCCCAGAAGCGAGTGGGCAGGCCAGAGTGGAAACGAAGTGCTCGAGCAGTGTTCAACAAATGGCGGTGTTTCCTCTCGACGACCCCGTTTTGTTGGGGGGTGTCTGTACAGGATGTCTGTAGAATGATCCCTTCCTGCTCATAGTAATCCTGTAATGCGGGCACCCCAAACTCCCTGCCATTGTCAGTTTGCACACGCTTTACACGTCCAGCGTATTGAGTGCGAACCTGATTAAAAAACATGAGTAGATAACGAGCAACTTCCGACTTATATTTCAATAAATAAACCCAAACGGTACGACTATAATCATCCACAATGGTGAGAAAATAATGTGCCCCACTGAACGAAGCTTGTTTGTATCCTCCCCAAATATCGACGTGAATGAGTTCGAAACAAGACTGAGTTTTGATAGAACTGGACATAACAGGAAGCCGAGTTTGCTTGGCTTGAAGACAAGAAGGACATGGATCCTTATGTGAAACTAAAATACTGGAAATATGAGGTTGTAACGCCATGAGCTTAGCCAGTGAGGGATGACCAAGCCGCATATGCCACAACGAAGTGTCCCGGACTGCCTTTCGCGCGTTGAAAGCCACTGGATGCTCACCATCAAACACACGAAGGTAATACAGCCCGTCAACGTGTCTACCCGTCCCAATCATCCTCTTCGAGTGCAAGTCCTGGATAACACAGAAATTACTCATGAAAACGACAGCAACCGAATGATCTGCTGTGAGACGACTGACTGATAAGAGGTTGCACTGGAAATCTGGAACATATAATACGCGACGTAGAACTAATCCATTGGCAAGTCTAGTCGTGCCAATACCGCGAACCGGGACCCCTTTGCCATTAGGGATCGTGACCTGTAGAGATGGATGAGGCTCCAACTCACCATCGAACAAAGATTTATCTTTAGCTATATGTTCAGTACAACCAGAATCAATAATCCACGTATCTTGGAAGGAAAGATTCTTACCAGCAAGGTTACTTGTAGGTGTCGAAGAGGATGAGAGGAAGGCACGAAGTTGATCCACTTGTGATGGCGTGAGTCCAGGAATTGGTGTTGACAAGGCTTTCTCGACTGCTGCAGCTTGAGGGTCTGGTCGAGGGTCTGATCGAGGGTTTTTATTTGAATTCCTTCGACGTGGACGTTCACCCTTCTCGGCCTTGTCCCCACTGCGAGCTGGCCAGCCAATTAGCTCGTAACAGGTGGCCTTGAAATGTCCCGGTTTCTCACAGTGTGTGCAGAAAGGGCGCCCCTCCGGAGTTCGTTCACCATTGAGCTGCTGTTTCTCCCCCTTTCCCTGAAACGCGGCCGCTTCGGTACGAGGACGAAGGTCACTAGAGAGACTCCTTTGTTGCTCGTCATTAGCAACAGCATGGTATGCTTCGCCCAAGGATGGGATGGGCTTCAGGGAGAGAAGGTGAGTACGAACCGTGGAGAACCCATCGTCAAGCCCAACCAAGAAGTCGAGTAGCCGCATAGCTTCATGAGAGCTTCGCGTTCGTTCCTCGACGCGGCACTCACACTTGCCGCACGTACAAGCTGCAGGAGGGTCCAAGGTCAACCAGTCATCCCAAAGGCGCTGGAGCTTGGCGTAGAAACTGGACACCGAGGAGCGATCTTGACGCAGACCCATGATCTCTCGGCGAATCTTGTAGCGTCGCGGAAGGCTGCCAGTGCTAAACCGTTCCTTGAGTTCGTCCCAGATTTGTTTGGACGTGAAGCCGGAGCTTAAGCTGCTCCGGAGTTCCCTTGTCATGGCGCTCCGCAACCAGCCCACCACCATTGCATTGCAACGGGTCCAGGCATCCAGCAGCTCACCAGATTTCGGTCGAGGAATCGTGCCGAGTACGAAGCCGAGTTTATTCTTCGCAACCAGCGCATTAGAAATTTCGGCTGACCATTCGCCGTAGTTCATATCGGTGAGCAGATCGCCGACGAAGACTTGACTGAGCGCATCTGAGGGATGAAGATAGAGGGGTGATGTTGGACCAATGACATCTTCGAGAAGAGGCATCTCAGCCTCTGATTTGACGTCGTCGTCTTTTGCCATGGCGGCGGTTGAGCGCTACCTTGGTACGACGAGAGAAGAGCGAGAACCCTAGTTGATCGAGGTACGCTCTGATACCATGTAGAAATTGTGATTTGCGGAAGCAATAAAACGATAACACACGCTATTTACGTGGTTTCCCTACTCGATGTGAGTAGGACTATTCCACGAAGAGTTTAGGGCTCTTAATCCGATTTTATTGATTGATGATATGGGAGTCATAGCTTAGGTTTTACAGTGAGCTTCTCTAAGCTATATATGAGAGCAGCTAGGTAGACTCCTAGACGTACAGGAGGATGGAAGAAGGGATTTATCCAAGGAGAATAGGAATTATCCCAACAACAACAACTCGAGACTTCTGCCGAGTGAGGACACTGAGAGATTACTTCCTACTCAAGGCAGCTTAAAGACACGTGTTCTCTATGACACGTAATACTGCTGGATTTGATGAATGAATCAGACATCGTTTGTTGGTGAAAAGTTTTGAGCTTGTCATGTTCATTTATGTTGTAGATGCTAATACCATAGTTCTAAGGAGTGAAAATGAGATGTGAAAAGGTGTTCGTTGGTTTCCTGTGTTTGGGAGCTTGCTGGAAGTTTTTTGTCCTTGCAATCTTAGCTTGATCTCCTAAGTGCTGTTTCTGATTCAGACGTGTTTGGTTTCCTTCCTTCTGGGGATGTTGGCAGTGGCTGAAGTTATTGGGCAAAGCGCAGAGCAAGTTCGAAACTTGAATGTGCCAGATGTAGAGGAAACTTTGGCTTATGATAACCAGGATGAAGAAGTTGTGGCAATGATCGAGGAATCGGCTGCAGACGGCGGATTAAATTTGAATGAACAAGGTGCTTCTTTCATCCCTGACTTCCGTTCTTACAATTATTAAGTCCTATTAAATGGCAAGGTGGGATTGCCTGGGATTCTATTTGATGATTTTTTTTATTATTATTATCAGGTGATGATGCCCCTACTGGCAGTGAATCTGGCTGGAGCATGGACTGTTCAGCTGTAGTTAGAGTTAATACTATACACATTAGTTCACCTATATTAGCGGCTAAGAGTCCATTCTTCTACAAGGTTGGCTGCTGCGCCATTTTCCTGTTCTGTACTTAATTTGCTATTATTGCCTACTATAATTCCTTTAGTCCTTCCTGCAGTTGTTTTCGAATGGGATGAGAGAGTCGGATCAACGGCATGTAACACTTCGAATACATGAATCTGGTAAATTTAATTTCTCTTTGCTTGTAATTCTGGTGCTAGCTACTTATGTCACATTTGAAGGGGAAGGGTTCTGATTTTCATTATTTTTCTGTTTGCTGGATTGCCCCCCTGGAACAGAAGAAGCAGCCCTAATGGAACTCCTCAATTTTATGTATAGCAATACATTATCTTCAACAACCCCTACTGCTTTGTTGGATGTATTGATGGCTGCCGACAAGTTTGAAGTTGTGTCGTGTATGAGATACTGTAGTAGGTTACTTAGAAACTTGCCTATGACTAGTGAGTCCGCGTTGCTCTACTTGGACCTTCCATCTACTGTGCTAATGGCTGAAGCAGTTCAGCCACTTACTGATGCTGCAAAGCAATTTCTTGCTGGACGTTACAAGGATATGTCTAAGTAAGTTTCAGTCTGACTCTCTCTAAAGCAGGACCAGAGAATATGGTTGTGTTAGTCAATATATATGCTTCTTCGTTACTTAGTTTTTCGATTGGCTGAACTGTCAATTCTTGGTCTTTCATGTTCCTTTGATTTTTAGTCTCTGTATTTCCATCAAATGGTAGAAAAATGTTTTAATATACTTATTCTCTCTTAGGTTCCAAGATGAGGTTCTTAACTTGCCACTAGCTGGAATTGAGGCGGTATTAGCCAGTGATGATCTCCAAGTAGCTTCAGAGGATGCTGTTTATGATTTCGTACTTAAGTGGGCCCGCATTCAGTATCCCAGATTAGAGGAACGTCGGGATGTCCTGGGAACCCGTCTTGTCCGATTAATTCGTTTTGCATTCATGACGTGCCGAAAGCTGAGGAAGGTCCTGACATGTAATGACTTTGATCATGATGTGGCATCCAAGGTTGTTCTGGATGCTCTCTTTTTCAAAGGCGAGACGCCATATAGGCAGCGCGCTCTTGCTTTAGAAGAGGCCAATGCTCCCTATCGCCGCCTTGTGGAGAGATCGTACAAGTACCGACCCGTTAAGGTGGTGGAGTTTGATCTTCCACGCCAGCAATGTGTGGTCTATCTTGACCTAAAACGTGACGAGTGTACACATCTGTTCCCAGCTGGCAGGGTCTACTCTCAAGCCTTTCACCTTGGCGGGCAAGGGTTTTTCTTGTCTGCACACTGCAATATGGACCAACAGAGCTCTTTCCACTGCTTTGGACTGTTTTTAGGGATGCAGGAGAAAGGATCAGTGAGCTTTGCTGTTGATTATGAGTTTGCTGCTAGGTCAAAGCCGACAGATGAGTTTGTGAGCAAGTATAAGGGAAACTACACTTTCACAGGAGGGAAGGCTGTTGGATATAGGAACCTGTTTGGTGTTCCATGGGAGGCATTCATGGCCGAGGACAGCCCTTTCTTCATCAATAGTATTCTGCATCTTAGGGCTGAGTTGACCATAAGGCAGTGAGAATTTTGAGAAAATGATCATTGCTCTTGTGGTTTGACTGTTTCCTTCATATAGGTTTTTCTACATGCTCGGCAGAGAACTAGGTAGATTTGAGCAGCTGGTCTTGACTACCTATGTTGATTCCAGCCAATGTGGCCTACTTTGTGTTGTAAGAAAATCTTGGGTAGGCGGCTAACGACGACATGCTGTTTTTGATCTCCAAAGATGTAGCCAAACATGATGAAATGGAATTAAGAGCTCCTTGGATAAAATTATAAGCCTCTGCATTTTCTGTAATGCTGAAGTGTGGCTGCAATCATCTAAAAAGAAGAAATAACTTCTGCTGTTTATTTCACTTGTCTGCTGCCATGGTTGTGGATCCTCTGTACTGTGTTTACTTATGTAGTTCCATCATTGTCAGTTAGTGAAAAAGAACCATGCTTTCTAAAAGAGGGGGCAAAATAATACAACTTTTCTCATCTACAACAATCATATAATGATGGATATGCATTTACTTAGTGCAGAAGCAGAACTGACAATTACTCTGCCGAATCTCCATTCCATTCCTTTGTATGTGTGTTTTAACAGCCTGCAGATACTTCTGAATACTTTGATCAATCTCTCTATCCACTAGAAACCTAATGAAGGTGTTCAAATGGTGAAAAGAACATTGGGATCTTTCCAGTCATGCCGTGTGTGGAAATGCTGCCGAGGCAGAGCAATTACCGGCCATGATTGGGATTGGGAGAACCAATGGGAGAAAGATAGCTAAGCTTTTCCCTCAACTTCTGATTGGACTTCCCCTGGACTCACAAGTCAACTGCAACGGCTTCTTCTTCTTCTTCTTTAGGACCCCACAGTGGGCATGCTTGGCAAAACATCATAATTCATCAAAATTGGTTTCCTAATGCAGCTTTTGAAGGGGCAGAATGAATTATTGAGCATAATGACTTTTAAGGGGGGTGAATAAATAAAAGCAAAAGAGGAAAGAAAACCTTGGGAACCCATTAGAGCGGATGCTCAGCTAGTTCACATATGCACCATCAAACCAGAAAGCTTTCTGTCTTTTCTCAATCCCTGAAAGTTGTTCTTCAAAACCCAGAAAGCATTCAAACATGGGTCTGAATCTCATCTGGTTACTGATAATTCAACTATGCATTTCAGCATCAGCAGATGGCTTATATGAGTTCACTGCCGAATCTCTGGATGCTTTCCTCGAAGCTTCAGCTTTCCAAACCGTTGTCCAATACCGCCGCCACACTGGTGCTCTCTACCAAGCTCTGCTCCCTTCCAATCTATCAGGTATCCGGGTCTCGGTCGTAAGGCTGAGAAGCAGGAGGCTATGGAATCTTGGCGCCAACTTCAGCAACTTCCGGATCCCTCCAAGAACCATGCCCATGCCTCACGTCAAGAGGCTGGCGATTGTGTACCAAGACTTGGGAAATCGGTCGTCTGAGTACTACAGTGTTGAAGGCTATTCGTTCCTCGCTCCAGTAGTCGGGTTTCAGGTTTTTGATGTGTCGAATATCAGTGCACGAAACATGATCAGAAAGATTAGCCTTGACACGGGAGAGAAGTCTGTTGCTGTGAACTTCCCAGGAGGAAGAATCAAGGAGAGGTCTGGAGCACAGTGCATTGTGTTTGGTAGTGATGGGAGCTTCGATCTCAGAGAAATGGAGGAGTTGGATGCCTGTTATGTTAAGGATCAAGGTCATTTCTCTGTTGTGGTTCCAGAAGAAGGGTTTCACAGGAAGGAGAAGAAGCTCTGGTTTCTGTGGATGGTGGTGGGGATTGTGGTTGGGATGGCGGGACTGGTTCTGGTGGCGTATTTCGGATTCTTGTTGTCTAAGAAGCTTTTGAAGACGAAGAAGATTCAGGTAATGGAAAGACACGCTGATGAAGATTTAGTTCTTCAAACTGTATGGATAAGGAGTAGCAAAATGCCGTCTGCAGCTGTAACAAGAACTCAGCCAACAATTGAAACTGGCTATTTTCCATAGCTCTCTCTGATTCACGTTTTGCCTTTCCCTTTTCTCACTTGGTGCTCTGTATCAGCTGAAAGATTTCAACTTTCCATCATTTTCTTGTTGGGAAAGTAAAACTCGGATGCAGAACGAACATGGGAAGAAACAGAACTACTACTTGTCAAATTTTCATATACCTAACTTTTCTTCAGTCTTCTTCTTCCATGTTGATCACGGTATCCATTGTACCACAATCCCTTCTAAAGGTTGTGACTATATGAATGCATGGCAAGTAACAGATGCCCATGTATTGCTTTGTATCAATAGAAAGACTTCAACTTTCAATTACTTTTCTAACTGGGAAAATCAATTAAGTAGAAGCAAAAATAAACAGGCGAAGAAACATAACTATTTCCATTTCCATTGTAAACTCAATGAAGTCTAAAGAGGCAAGCATTTCTTATTAACGGTAAAGTAAACAACTAAATGGTCCTTTGTTATGCCTAGCCAATCTTTTCCTGAATGCGCAACATACACTTTCTTCTAAATTCAAATAGGCAAACAACCCAATCGAAACCCAGAAACAAGCAAGACAAACCCCAACAGGTCTTCAACATCAAAGCTTTAGTTCAAAGCATGCACACCAGCAGCATTGCTGTTGCGAGCGAGTTTTGTCCATTCGGTATGGAACGCACCAGGGCGATCAACCCTCTCATAAGTATGTGCCCCAAACAAGTCCCTCTGAGCCTGGACAAGATTGGCTGGCAGTCTAGCACGTCTGTAAGTGTCGAAGTAAGCAAGAGAAGCACACATTCCAGGTGTACTGATCCCTGCTGAGATGGCCGTACCCACAACTCTTCTCCAAGCTGCTTGCCTCTGAACCATCTCCCTGGCGAATTCTGGGTCAACAATCAAGCTAGCCAAGTTTGGATTCCTCTGATAAGCCTTCTTGATCCTGTCCAAAAACACTGCCCTGATAATACACCCGCCTTTCCAAATCCTGGCCATCTCTCCCAAATTCAAGTTCCAGCCTTTCTCGATACTCTTGGCCCTCAACAGATTCATCCCTTGAGCATAGCTACAAATCTTGGAAGCATACAATGCCTGCCTCACATCGTCAATCAACCTCTTCTTATCAATGCCACTCTTCACGGCTCCAACTTCCTCCTTCAATCCAGCCTCCTTCAAAATCTCAGCAGCATTCTCCCTCTCTTCCTTCAACCCACTCAAGTACCTGCAGTCCAAAGAAGCAGCAATAGTGGGTGCAGCAACAGAGAGCTCAGCAGCTTGCTGAACCGTCCACTTACCAGTACCCTTCATCCCAGTCTTATCCAGAATCTTATCCACCAACTCCCCATCGGCAAGATCATCTTTAACCTTGAAAATGTCGGAAGTGATCTCAATCAGGAAACTCTCGAGCTCCCCTCGATTCCACTCCCCAAAAATCTCACCAAGCTCCTCATTCGACAACCCGCCCACGTTCTTCAACACATCATAAGCTTCAGAGATGAGCTGCATATCGCCGTACTCAATCCCATTGTGAACCATCTTCACAAAATTCCCAGCTCCACCTTCCCCAATATAAGTAACGCAAGGACCATCCTCAACCTGAGCAGCTACTTTCTCTAGGATATCCTTGATGTTATTATAAGCTTCGAAAGACCCACCGGGCATCAAGGAAGGGCCGTTACGTGCACCTTCCTCGCCGCCGGAGACACCCATACCCAAATAAAGAATACCCCGATTGCTCACCTCCTGAATCCGGCGCTCGGTGTTCTCGTACCACTCGTTCCCGCCGTCGATGATGCAGTCGCCGGATTCCATGTGCTCGGAAAGTGCGGCGATGGTCTGGTCAACGGGGGACCCTGCTTTGACCAGGATGATGACAGATCTGGGCCGCTGGAGGGAGAGGACGAAATCGCGAGGAGTGTAGTGGCCGGAGAGAGGGAAGGGTCCTTCGTTCTGCGCGCGCTGGAGGGTTTCGTCGACCTTGGAAGTGGTGCGGTTGTAGACGGAGATCGGGAAGCCTTTCTCGGCGATGTTGAGGGCCAAGTTCTGACCCATCACGGCCAGGCCGGCGAGCCCGATGCGGGAAAGGGTGGAGGCTTCCATTGATGGGGAAAAGGAAAGATTTGAAAGGAAATTGGGCGGCGGCGGAGGAGGGAGGGAGGAGGAAACGGGGAAGGCGGAGTTCTATATAGAAGGAGTGGTGGGTGGGAATCGGGGAGTGTTGGCCTTTGGGGAAATTATGCCAATTTCAATTTGGACGGACTCGTCGAGGGAGCGAAGAGGTGCTTTTTTTCAACAACTAGCGAGGAGCTGGCTGTTGTTCTTTGTGAGTAGCGAAGAAGGACTGTCGATGATTCCTATGGAGGTAGCGGACAACCCGGAACGGCGGCGTTTGTTGGTAGTGTAGCGGCGGAGCCGGTTCAAAAGTAGTCAAAGTTAAGTAGGTGGGTTGACGGCGGGCGACGGCGATGGCCCAAGTTTGTTGATGCTCACGTGCGCAAAGGGCGTTTTCCCCCTTTAGTTTAGGGCAGCTCAAAATGAAAATAGTCGTTTGTAAAACAATATCGTATCTATGGTCTAATCGTGATTTTTTTATTGGAGTGTAAATCGACAGATAATTTTTAGTAGTATAAAACAACTATGGTTAAACTATCTTTAAGTCTGAAAATAACTTTTCGCTGGCTTTTTCCGTACAACATTCGATATAGTTTTACAATTATTAGAATATAGTATAAGATGGACTAGGACTAAGACTAGGTATGCAAACTGATCTAAGATAGTTTTTTCTAATTCAGATTAAGTTTACTATAGAATCTTTGACTCGTGTTTGATATGATTTCGACTTATTACGAGTTCACGAGTTTTACTCCACTTTGACTCATCAATTCCCACACAGTTTCGATCTAAACTCAGCTAATTATCATTCTAAATAATTGAAACTCTAGACTAATCTATAAAAAATTATAGCATAAATGTCCAAATATTTATATGTCATATATTATATGTTCGAGCCACAATACTTCTCTCTGCCAAACGCACCGTTTCCCTCCAAAGCAGGCCCCCAGACCCTACAAGACTAGCGCCTAGAGGGCTAAACCCGCCCGTTAGCACTCCGACGATCAAGTCAGTAGTGATTCTAGAGAGATAAGTGCAATAAGTGACCTTAGTGAGAGAAACCGACCTGCTTAAATGCCACCTACCGAGTGCTATTTATACTACTTGAGCTTCCGACCAGGCTCCGACCAACTCCTGTCACCCAGCCTTACGTCAGCCCAGCATTAAATGCCTGGTCTGGTCCAACATCCGAGCGCCTACACGTGGCGCGTCGTCCGGCTCTATCGTCAGGGCGCATGGGGGGACCATCTGCCTACGTGGCGCTTCCCCGACCTTTCTCAGCCGTACTTCCTTGTCCACGAGCCTATTTTGTCGTCATGCGCCCCTTTACCGTTGGTGTCACCTAGGTCATGCCCCAACGGGCCATTAATGGGCTTCAAGCCCATCAGACTTTTGACTTTGATGGGCTCATCTATGTTTTCCCAACATTATACATGTGTAAGATAGAAGAACATTACAAGACGGATGAAGAAGAACTCACTCTTCCTCTCTGCTAAAAAGGTCAAGATAAAAAATTAATAACATCTCAAATTTCATCATTGATTGATTTGGTGTCTATATACATATCAAATTTCTTAAATTTTAACTAGTTCATATAATGTTTATTTAATAGTAATTAACATCTAACCAATCTATCAAACACAATTTATCTTTTAGATTATAAATAAGACATATTTTCTTACATACTCAAAGTCTTAAACATCATATATGTAATGTGATATATAACTAATAAACAAACAAATCATCAACAACCAAAATACGCTACAAATAAATTCTCTCGTAAACTCCTAGTCGAGCTGTTTCGCAAGCCACGTTGTCGAGCAAGTTTATAAGCTCAAAACAAACCAACTCACGAGTTGAACTCAACAAAGCACTAAATCAAATTGGCTCACGAGCCTCACAAATTGAAGAAAGATCAGCTCACTAGTCAACCAGATGTCAAACGAATTTTCACTGAATCAAACGTCAAACCACTTCTTATATGTTCGGCTCTAATTAGGACCCATCGAAATGGGTGGGCTTATGATTTTGTCCTTTATTAGGCTTCAACCAACGAAACCATGCAGTTTGTACATTCTTGAACACAGATTTTAAATTTCCCATTGGTGAGTCAAATTGTTAAAAAAATATAATAGATATACAATAACGATATACAATACAACAAATGTTATATAATTTTGTGATAATTGACAATTCATATCAGTTTGGGTCTCGAATCTCGATACATAATGGATGAATGATGTGTAGCTAGTGATTGAGGTAGTTTGATTAAAGAAAATATGAGAATTTAGGGAAGAAGAAGATAAATGTGTGAAACGAAGAACAAGATGAAATTAGAATTTTGACTTATTAATTCTTCATAATAATCTGACTTCAATATCCAAATATATAAAGAAAATTTTCTTTCACTCTCTGCTGACAATATTTTTAGTTGGGTTTGGGATCCGGCTTGGACCGTCTAACCGAACCAACTATGCCTCTATCAATACATAACATGATAATGATGCACATTTAACATCACAAGTTCACAACAAACACTCATTAGCACACATTTCATACAATGATGTTGTCCGATGTACGCGACCAATACTCCTTCACAAGTTGTGCAAACAACGAACTCTCTCGCTTCATCAGCTCCATCGGCTCATCATACTCCACCACTTTCCCTGTCGTCACAAAACAATGCACAAACAAAGTAACGTCACTAAAAATCCTCGTATAACAGAGCTGGAAAACGAAGAAAATCACAAAGGAAACACATGCCATCACTTATAGCAAGCACTTTGTGGCAGTCCATGACAGTAGGGATCCTGTGCGCCACTGTGATGACTGTACAATCCTCAAACTCAGTTCTTATTGTTCTCTGGAGGATGGCATCCGTGGTGTTGTCAATGGAAGCTGTTGCTTCGTCCAGCACCAGAATCCTGCTCCTCTTCAGTATCGCTCTTCCAAGGCAAAACAGCTGCCTCTGCCCCATACTCCAGTTGCTCCCTTCTTGTGCCACTGCCCACCATTATAATCGTTCAAACAAAAACCCTAAAGAGTTCTCAACACGATGGCAAAGTCAATTTTTTTTTTTTTTTTTCTAATTACCTGGAGCATTCAAACCCTCTTGTTTTTCAGCAATGGCTTCCTTCAGATGGCATTTCTCCAGGACCTGCCACACCTCTTCGTCCGTGTGTTCTGATAAAGGGTCGAGGTTGTACCTCACAGTACCAACGAAGAGCGTGGGATCCTGAGGGATTATGGCTAGACGAGACCTCAAATCATGGAGTCCGATCTGGGAAATGTCGATCCCATCTATGGCTATCTTCCCTCCTTCTGGTTCGATCTCCACTAGCCTGAACAAGGCGCTGATTAGGGTTGTCTTCCCACTTCCTGTCCTTCCAACTATCCCAATTTTGTGCCCTCCTTCAACTGTGAAGCTTACTCCTTGAAGGACTAGTGGTGAATTTGGGCGGTACCTCACCTGGGTTTTGAGAATTTGTGGGGAAAATCAGAATGGTGTTAATAGAAAGGCAGCAACTTGATTGATTGTCATTGTGCTGCTACTTGTTTCTCACCTTTAAATTGGTGACTTCCACCTTGCCAATGGTAGGCCAGTTTGGTTCAGGCCTGTTGGAGGGCATGACTTCTGGAGCTTCACTATCGATGTAAGTGTATTGCTCCAGCCTTTCTACTGAGATTATCAGGTTTGAAACCAAGCACTGAAACTGGATTGAAACCAGCAGGAAGAGGTTCAGTGAGAGCCCATATGAAAGCTCCATGCCAATGAATCCTGTTTTACAACAACAGCAATAAAAGAAAGGTGAAGTTAGAGTTTGGAGAGGGGCTTAATTGTTCTCAAAGTTTGCAACTTTTTTCCACAAACCAGAAGCTGAAGCTCCAAGATCAAGCATTGCCATGGCCAGTGTGGTGGAAGAGAGGATTATTGCGCAGACAAACTGAAGCCTTAGGATGAGCCATTCGTTTGCAGTGAAGCTATGGAAGTATGGACTTGCATTCCTGTCTATGAGCTCCAAGTTCTTTGCAAAAAGCCTCTCTTCTTCTCCAAAGGCTCTGATTGTCATTGCTCCTGCTATCGATTCCGCCAGGTGGCTTGCTAGGGTCGACTTGCTGGTCCCATTGATCCTCATGAACTCCTTGGACGAAGCGATATAGTATTTCTTGCGATTGAAGCAACAACCAGATGTCATTCACCATTATTTCTATGAACTCATAGCAAATTGATGATTGGTAGTATCATGTTAATAAAGGAAGAACTCTTCAGTATCTACCTGTAATATTATGATGAGGTAAACCAAGGGAATGATGACAAACAAGACAGGCCAGGTAATGAAAGCTAGAACTCCAAAGATTGAGTAGGCGTTCATAGTTGATCCTACAGCAATCGTTGACTTGAAAGCCATTTCAAGGTCAACTAAACTCATATCAGCTGAGACCTATTCACACAGAAAAAACACAACTTTACATTGTTAGTCTCTCAAACATATAGGAAGGTGTGGGAGGAGGGATTCATTTTGTCTTCACTCACTCTGCTTAGAATCCTTCCCAAAGGTGTTGAATCATAAAATGACATCGGTGCTCTGAAAAGAGAAACTAGCAGCTTTGAGAAGATGGATTCTGACGTCGCACAGCCCAACTTAACCACAAGCCATGATCTAACAAGCAAGAAAGCTGCCATGATTCCTCCAATAGCTGAGTAAACAGCCAACAGATTCACTTTGCTAATCTTAGGATCTTGGATGCCTGCAGCCAAGTAATAGTTCTGCAAGAGGTTTCCCAGTACAAATATGGTGTGGGCTATGAGTGCCAATGAGTAGTAAAGAATCCCATTTCCATGGTTCAAATACTGCACATATGGCTTGAAACCAGTGTCTCCTGTTTCCTTTTCCTCTTGCTTTATCAGTTGATCTTGTGCAGGTGCATTTGACTGTTCAGTAGCGCGAATTCGCTGTATTTCTTCTCCAGAAGTTGCAGTCTTTGTGGTAGAAGAAGAGAAAGACAACGATGAGTCTTTTTCAGCAGGCTTGCTTTCTGAACCAACAGTGTTCTTGTGTGCATCCACAAGTTTCTGGAATTCTGAACTGGAAGACATCAGCTGGTCATAAGTAGCTGCTCTTATTATCTCCCCTCCAGACATCAGCTGTGAAAATGAGATATTAGCTCCATATGTCCTAATGGAGAAAAACCCATGATGATAATTAGGATAAGAAAGCTAACCAAAATGGAATCAAAAGATGGAAGGAAGTCAACTTGATGGGTCACCAGTAAGACTGTCTTCCCAGCCAAAGCTTCCATGACATATTCCTGCAAGAACACCATTAATCATGCAAATGCTTCAATTACAAAAGACAACCAGTGAAAATAATATGATATGTTTTTCTTTTGTTGACATACATTGAAGAGATTAGTTGCTGTATGAGCATCAACAGCACTGAAAGGATCGTCCAAGAGATAAACATCTGCGTTCTGATACAATGCACGAGCAAGCTGAACCCTTTGCTTCTGTCCACCACTCAGGTTCACTCCTCTCTCTCCAATCTGAGTTAAATCTCCATAAGGAAGCATCTCTAGATCCTTTACCAGCGAACACTTGTCAAGAACCTCATGATATCTCATTCTTTCCATAGCAGACCCAAATAGGATGTTGTCTTGTATGGTTCCAGTTTGGATCCAAGCTGCCTGAGACACATATGCTATCTTCCCATAAACTTCCACCTGAAAAATTGGAAGAAATGAATCAATTGATAGCTATGATAAAGTAGCAATTCAACTTTTGGTGAGAGTTTAGTTGACTTTACCTTTCCATTGATCCATGCAACTTCTCCAAGTACAGCAGCTAAAAGGGTTGACTTCCCTGATCCAACCTCTCCACAAATCGCAACCTTTTCACCTTTCTTGACCTCCAAGTTAATGTTTCTCAATGTAGCCTTGGATGATGGTAACTCAGTATACCATGAGATCTCAGTGGCACTAATGATTATGGACTGATCAAGCACAGTATTGAACTTCTGTTTAACACCTATGTTCAGAAGTTCAGGCGCTTCGAGAAACCTCACGATTCGATCCAAAGAAACCTTCGCCTCAATGAACACCCCAACTACATCTGGGATCAACCGAATAGGCTCCTGGAGAAGCCGAAGGCTAGCCAAGGTTGTAAACACATTGCTAGCAGTGAGTGGGATACCCAAAAGGTAGCTTGCCCAGAAAGTAATTGCTGGGACAAGAACTGGAGATGTCCAAAACAAGACCATTTGCAAACCTTTCACCGAAAGCACTCCAGATATCCATTCAAACTCCTCATTCCTCAACCCTTGTATCACATTCCTAAAATGCTTCTCCCATGCATACAGCTTCAAGACCTTCATATTAGCCAAGGCCTCGGAGATTGCCTTCAGCCTCTTGTCCTGTGCTGACATCAGGTTTGTCTGGTACTTGTGCTGCCATTTTATCATAGGGTATGTTGGGAGGACTACAAGCAAGATGGCAAGCACAGCTGCAGCAGTTGCCAAGCCGACAGCAGAGTAGATGATCACCAGTGCAAGGCACAACTGAAATGTCGTCGTCCAAATCTGATGAAACCAATATGGGAACTCGCCGATTCTGTAAGCATCAGCCGTCACATAGTTCACTATCTCTCCTGAAGAGTGACTGGCTTTGGCTGCAGTGGAGAGCTTCAGTTGCTTGTGATAAATTGCTGCAGACAACATGGATCTCACTTGGATCCCAATCAGCCTTGTTTCGAAGTACCACTGCCTTTCTGACAAAGACTCCAAGCATTTTGCTAGGAAGAGTACTAGAGTCAGGACATAGCCTTGGTACTTAAAGGCTTCTTTGCCTTGAGCAAGTTCAACAAAGGATTTCAGGAAGAGTGGGCCTGTGGATAAAGTGAGAATCTTGATCAAAGCCCAGATCCCAGAAACCCAAATGCCTGTCCATTGCCAGGAAATGATCGCTTTTAACATTGCAGGAGATCCTTTCTGTGTGTTCTTCCTCAGGTGACCCATCAAAACTAAGTAACAAGACTCGGCTCGATCATCCTCTCGTAGAAAGGGGATATCTTGATCATCAAGTAATTTGTTTTTACCCTTTCTCATCAATGGGTTCAGCCACCAAAATGTCATTCTGCTGAAAATTCCAGCTTTGGCAAAAGGAGTCACATTTTGATCATCAGCTTCTGCATTGCCTCGAAGCAAAGGCTCCTCACAGGAACCATCACCACCATGGCTGATTCCTTGAACACTGACAGATGGCTTGAGAGTACATACAAGAAACAGAATGGATCCAGGAAAGCACAGCATGTCCAGAACCAACTGAACTGAGACCGAATCGTTTCGAACAGCCTCCCCCAGTGAAATTACACAAAGAAATCCAGAATGAAGGAAGTTGAGGATCAAACAAACTTTAATAGCTGTGGCATATGAAGTGAGCAGACTCTTCAAGCTGACTGCCAGATTCAGCAGCAGCCATGTGAAGCCTTGGAAGATCAACACTAACCATGATCCATGAAGTGGAGAAAAGCAGCCATCTTTATCAAGTTCTGAAAAGAACATCCATATTCCCCAACCCAAGTAAGCCAAACTCAAGCTTCCGTTGAGAATGGCTGAAGTGCTAATCAATGGAGAGGTCGAAATCCAGTTACTTGGTGGGTCAACAAGCTTATTTCTCTGGTAAATTCTGGCTATGAATATGGAGAAGAGAATAAGAAAGAGCAGGATTTGAACACAGATTACTAATAGGTGATTGATGCATGAGTACGGATTGATGAGAGCTTGGAAGCTCGATGATGGTGAACTGCTGCATTTGTTCATTGCACCACCATAGCTGGATGAACACTCAGAAACACCACAGAAGGTAGCCCAGATACCCTCTAGCTCTTTCATGACTGCTTTCTCACTAGCAAAGCTGGAGAAACAGATGCCAATGTGTAAGGGGTTTAATACCAAGGAAATGGCAGGAGAGCAAGAAGCAAATGAAGTAAGAAACAGAGGAGGAAGGAAGAAAAAAGTTCTTTAATGGAGGGTGAACTCACTGTTGCTTGTTGGGAAATTATAGGTCTTTGTCTATCTTCGAGTCATTAATATGTGCAGAGATATCTGATGTATTTTGCAGTCACATTAGCTAAGCGTGAGTCATAAAATGAAAGAAATGGTCAAGCCCCACGGGAGAATGAAAAGGAATTTGATAAAAAAGGTGACCAACTTTCAAAACCTAATAAAACCCTTATTAAAAAAAAAAACTTTCAAACCCTAAAATAAAAATAAAAAAGTGATATAAGCATTGCAATCTATAATAAAATGGCAGTTCCTTTTACGTTTCATCCTCTTATCTCCTCATAAACTACTAATAAGAAAATCGGGAAAATTCTAATGGTGAATCTGCAAGTAAGTTTGTGGTTGGAAGTCGCTGATAATTTTTTTTATTTGAATAATGTCTAGTTGATTTGAACCTTCACTACTTCTCTCTTTTCCTTTATCAATAAAAATTATTCTTTTGAAACTTTAGTGTATAACGGTATCGTACGAGTCTATCAATTTCTCGAATCAAATATGAAAATGTGAATATATAATCATATTATAGGTGATAGTGTATAGGGATGGCAATGGATTGGACTCAATTGTCGTGACTAATGTAAGTATTGAGTTGGATCCAAATGGACTCATATGTACTGGTAATAATTTCGAGTTTGGATTGAGTCCAATTTGAATCAACCCATTTGGATCTGTATAATTATACATACAAAACAATCAATATCAACCATCTAGCTATTCACCTTAAATCAATTCATAGCTTTAATATTGGTATTTCCATATTTATGTTTGTTTTAGAATAAAGAAAAAAGCAAACATCAACATTAGAGTTGGATATTCATTTTTTTTTAGGTAATTAATAGACACGTACTAAATAGTTAAGTTGAGTATGAGCATGAACCAAAAGTAATATTATCCAGACTTGATTTGATCCCTGATAAATTGGGTTTAGTTAATACCCAAATTTGGGTTGTTTGCTTGATGAGTTTGGATCTATCATAGACTTTGTCCAAAGTCTATTGTTTGCTTCATGTATTGATGGCAACAAATCCGTGAGCCCCATGGACTTTAAGGGTCCAAATTCATGGATCCCATGGACGTGAAAATTTCACCTCTTAAGGTGAGACTTGATCATGGATTTTAAAAGTCCATCATTTATGAACAAACTACCCCTCTTTTATCTTTCTCATCTCATATCAATGAGGGTAATGTAGGTCATTTTCACTTTTTGCACACAAATCTAATTAACCAAATTTATCATTAAATCAATGAAACAAACAATGGTATTTTACAAGTCTATAATGAACCCAATACCTTCATATATTCATGGTTTTACAAAACTCAAGTTTTACTAAAACTTCCATTTTCAAATCCACGAAGCAAAAGAATATTCAAATGATTTGTTATATGTCCCTAAAAAAATGATTTGTTATATGATACCATATACCAGCTGCTGCTTCATAATTTAGTCAATGTAAGGTAAGTGAAATCATGAGGGTAGTTAATACCTGATAGTAATGTGGGGTATGAATCACAAAAGATCTCCTTTGATCCTTTTTTGCTTTTTTACTGACCAAAGGGAAATGATGGAAACACTTAACAGCCAATGTTTGTCGGCTAGTAGCTACCTCTTTATTTAGTCAACTATATATATATATTTTTTAATAAAGATTTCATTCATTCAATTCCGAAAGAGGAAGGATTTACAACTATGGTGCCACAATAGAAAGGACCGAGATCCAATCAGGCGGAAGAGAAAGACAACGTGCATTACGAGCGACCCAATCGGCACATTTGTTCACACGACGACAGGTGAAAGAGATATGAATCCATCTACACTGAAGGAGCAACTTTCTCGTGTGGACGACAAATAGTCAACTATATTTGCCACCCGAGTATTTACTATTTGCCGCCCACACTTTTAAATAAAATGACATTTTTGCCCTTTTATTAGATTCAATCCTAGATAATTTAACTTTCTAAATTAATTAACAACAACACCTCGCGTCTCTCATGGAGGTCACCAGAGTTTTAGAGGCATTTATTGGGTCGCCTGGAAATCTGGTCGCCGGTGATTAATTGAGGCATTTATTGTTAATTGTATTTTTTTTTTGGTAAGAATTGTTAATTGTATTTCAATCTCCTTAATTCTCGTGTGTTTTCTTTTATGGAATAGACAATTAACAAATCCCGGTGATGGTTTCCCCTTCATCTCGCAAATCTCGCAAATCCCGGTGACGGTTCCCCTTCATCTATTTTCATCCGGTGATGATTCCTCCGCCATCTTCATCCGCTTTCCAGGCATCATCATCTCTCAATCGTCCCAATGAGATGCGTTGTCCAACGTCGGAGTTCGGGCGCGGTCCGACGTCGGCGTTCGGACGCGGTCCGACGTCGGCGTTCGGACGCGGTCCGACGTCGGCGTTCAGACGCGGTCCGACGTCAGCTTTCGGACGGAGATCCCAGAGCTGATGTCGGCATTCGGACCAGTGACGGCGTTGGACCAGGTGCAGGCGCCCGATCTCCGACATCGGACCAAGTGCAGGCGTACGATCTTCGGCGTCGTCTTCAGAGGCCTTCCACCGTCAGACCATCCCTCTGGTTGCCGGAAACTGTTTTTTTCGCCGTAAAATTCTTTTAGCAAAAAAAACTTCCGCCTCTTTGTGTTGATTGGGATTCTGTTTTGGTAAATAATTTGTTGGAAAAATAAAAAGGGCAAAACTGAATTTTTTTTTCAAATTTTATGGGCGGCAAATAGTAAAATTTTGGGCGACAAATAACAACCCTCTTTATTTAGGCGTTTGACCATATTGGGCACCACCATAAGTTGTAGTCTCCCACTCTCCCTCGTGGATCACATGCATCGTTAATAATGCCATATGATTGATTAAAGTAAGTGGCAGAGATATATAAAGGTTTTCGTCAAACTTAAATTATAAATTGTGATCAATACATTGTAATATACATGTAACTAAGAAAATGATGTAATGTACTCTTTATATATATATATATATATAGTGATTTTTATCGTATACTAGACAGACAATTTATACTATCCGCGTCCATCATAACGGTTAGTATTAATGTATGTTCTTTGTTTGCGGGATTAAAAAATAAATTACCTCATTTATGCTAGCCGTTGAGATGGACGCAGACGTTGGAGATTGATTGGTGTACGACATACATCAGGTTTCGCCTGATGTACAATAGAACTATATATATATGACTAGGGGTATACAATTGGAACAAAAAAGAAACCCAACAATCTTCTCAAAACAATCTTAACAATCTCAATTTTTGTTAGAGATAAATGAGTGATAGTTTTCATCACATCAACAAAACGATGAGTATAATTTAAAAAAAAAAAACCAAAAATACGATGCATTGTTAATAATGCACACATTGTAACAATCTTACTATAACTTACTCGTAATTTTGTATTAAACTTAATAATATGTGTAACCTTGAGGAAGTACTATAAAATAGTAGAATAGAGATCATTAGTTCCCTGCTCAAAAAGCTAGAAGTTTCAGTCCCTTCCGGAACACCAAATGGTGTAGCAGGGTTTGAAATTGAGACCCCACACATCTCAGGTCTGAAATACCACACTCCCGACCAACTTGACTGTGTTATCTTCAATATTTCGAAACTGTAATTCAACCATTTCATATCGCTAAAAATCACTTACCTATTTAGCCTACTGTAAAAAAAAAAAACCCTAAAAATTGCTGATATGGTACTATTGTACCATCAGAGGATTAAATGAAAGGGCTATACATATGGCGCAATCCACGGTGAAAAGCTAGGGGGTTGGTGCATCTGTCAAAACCAAATTAATAAAGGCTGGCTGGCTGGCTGACTCCAGTGAGTAAAAAGGAATACGGAATACCCTGGACACGATAATAACGAGACATAAAAGGGTCACTAGTTTATTCTTTATTAGAATATCTCTTGATTAGTTTTTATTATGATTTGTCATTGGCTCTCCTTTTTCACTTTTTTTTTTATCTATAATTGTTCCAATTATGAGGGGGTGTGTACATATGATGATTTTTTTTATATATTTTTTCCAGACACATGATTTTTCATTAGATATTTGACAATCGACAAGTTGACATACCATTCGGACAAAAAAATAAACAGAAATTGACGGAATATTTTTTTTTTTTTGTAATAGAAACTAGAAAGTAACAATTTTACGGTCACATGAAAATTTGTGACCATTTTCTAAATCAGGACAAACTCAGAATGACCAATTTGTTTCACTTTAACCACACACCCAAAGCAACAGAGGCTCCAGTCACATTTATTTCACTTTTAGTTTACTTTGGGATGAACATTGGGCTTTGGTCATCATTTCTCTATTATTGGGCCTCGAGGAAGCTTCCTGGGCTGCTGCAGTTTGCTTCAGCCGTCAAGTCTCCGGGCCTATCCATATGCTCTCAATTCTCAAACAGCCCAACACAGTCTTCCATTCATGTGCTTTCCTCAACAGCTTCGCTAAGTCCAAAGTGAGAAAGGCCGCAAGTTCCCGCGACGAGCGAACGCGCGCTAACGGCTCTCTTGGTTTTTCAATCGTCCTCTCCATCTCCGATCGACTTCGCCGGTCGAAGGGTTATTTGCATTCATCGCTAGGAGTTCCGAATCAACACTTCGAGACCGTTACACCGTAAGGGCTTTCTCGATTCTCTCGTTACTTCAGCCAAGCCCTAGTTCCGACGCGTTCTCCGATTTGAAATTCATCGATCTCGTCCTTTCCACTTGTTGTTCGGGAAATTAGGGTTTCCGGAAACCCTAGATTCTTCAGTTCCCACTCTCTCCGGGATTACCGATGTTTCCCCTTACTGCGATCCATCCAGTGTGGCGGAGGAAACATCATGTAAATTGTAAGGGCGTTGTGTGAGACTGTAAATAAGGAAAGTAAAAGGCTCAGGATTGGTGAAGAGGGGGCTTTCTTGACTGTCATGGAAGGTGCTGGTGTCTCATCATCTTCATCTGGAGACCCTTGTCATATTCTTGATATAACAACGAAGGATGCTGAAGTGGAGACCATGTCTTCACTTCAAAGTTCAATCAACAATCCACGGCATCCTCTTCATCATTGATTCCAGTAGCTTTAGCTTCCGATGTGGATGTTTGTCAGCCTGAAAATGACTTTTGGGGAGATCTTCAACTTGGATTCCTTACAAGCTGTGGAACATCAGAGTTGATTGATCTGCCAATGTTCATTTCCAATGATAGCTTGTGCAACCTACTCGAGTTCGACACCGGTGCTGAACTCGGCATGATTGGTTTGTGGTAGGTGTGCTTTATTTGATTTCCATTTTACTAAATGCTAAGTGATAATGGCTTGACAGCTCGTCAAGCCTCTTATACAACTTAATGGTTGAGATAACTATGTTTGTCTAGATTATATGAGGTAATGGTCTTCTGTGTTTGAGGCAGAAGCGGGGGAGCGGTAGAGTTTGAGGTTCTTTTCCAAGGTTCAGGGTCGAAGTTTTGCTGGTAATTTAACCATTTTGAGTTTTCAATTGAGCGACCCATTTCTCCTCTGGAAATTCAGGAGTCACCTTTGGGGTTTCGTGTTTGTGCATCTTGCTAATGCGGTTCCATGAGCCACGTGCAAGGCAGCCTCGACTGGTAAAAGCTAACTGCGAGACCCCATACTTTGAGGCGGTTAGAAATGAATGGTACTTTCTCTGGTGGAAATCATTGGAATAGATCCATGCTTATTTATCGGTTATCTGTCACAAAAGAAACTGATGTTTTATTCGAGAATGCAGCCAGCTTATGAAGAGCATGAGGAGCATCACCCACATTACCTTGCTCGGCTTGACAGAAAGGATAACCTAAACAGGGATTTGAATGAATCATGACCTTTTTGGAGTGTTCTTGATTGAGGCCCTGCTGCTTCATATTATAACTGTGTTGAATTCATTAAAGTCCTATGGTGCAATTATATGCAACTTGGCTATTTGCTCAATAGCCACTTGCAGTTTGATTCTTCTTCTGTTTTATTTACCGAATGGATTGAACTCTTCGTCTAACGTCCATATTAACCTAATCTTGCAGGCAATAATATATTGGAGGATTGATTCTTCCCTCGTCACAGTATATGTCAGGGCCTAGCTGGGTTGTGTGCCTGGAGAGTGCTATCATGGAGTTTCGGTTTTTTTCCGCCTGGCAGCAATTTGGGAAGTCTGGTCTGCTTTAGTTGTTGATTTATGGCGAGAAAGGTGTAGGAGACTGTGGAGGCCTATCTAGAGAGTTTTCCAGTGGCAGCAGCAGCAGCAGCATTTCAGCACAAGCTTTGGTTTTGATTAGTCTGATTCTTTTCGGAGTTTTGATTAGTCTAGTTTCAGGAGTACTGATAGAATTTTGTATACTGGAGAACACAATGGATGAGTCACTGACTCAGTGTCATTGTAGCTGCGATTCGCTGCTCTATGTTCTCAGCATCCTGCTGGCTTTTTGGTAATAGTTTTGGGATGTTTTCTTTTTATGCAGCCATGTGATGCAGGTTGCCTTTACATTTCATCTCCTGTACTGGATTCCTGGTCACCGATTTGGTGGCCTTTTCGTATATAATTATGATATAATAAGCACAGTTTAGTCTTGTTGGGGGTGTTACTAAAGACTCCACGCGCGGACTAAGTAAGGGCGCGCTTAATCGGTAACGTGCTCCGCTCGAACGCCGCTACGAATATATAAAAGCATGAAACTCTTTATTGAGAGGGGCTTCTTCTCTCTCCTCACTTTTCACTATCTCCCTACACTTTATCTCTCTACATTATTCTCTCAACTCATTCTATACAATATACTGACTTGATTGTCGGAACTTAATTCGGGGGCATCCCCCACTTTCAACAGGTTTTCTCCCTCTCGACGAGATCAGACGAACAGATCGTGAGTCAACCTCACTCCAACAAATGATTATTGTTCATAACTCGAGTTAGATGGTACAAACAAGTGTCAAGGAAACTAAAACTTCTCTTCATATCATGAATGCTTGTGAATGGGATTCATTGGCGAACTGTCCAGAAAAGGGCAACAAGAAACCGCTGGAAAGATAGCTGAAGAATGTGTCGTTCATTGTAAAATTGAGTTTTACAGAATAAATATGTTGGTAGAACAAAAAAAGAACCAATTCCAATCTACAAACGTTGTACTTCTTTCCCCAAAGATTCCATCTTTCTTCATAATGGAAAGAAGAAGAAGGAGAAGAAGAGAACAAAGAGTATAATCAATCATACATCCCAAATGCCTGAAGAAATGAAACACAACAAATGCCACATATCATAATCAACAGCAACAATGACGACAGATTATGAGGCCATTCTCATTGCAATAGAGGCATTCACTCCACAACCCATCAGGGGTAGTGATTCGATGGCTACCACTGCAATTGAAACAGAGCACGAAACAAACTCCATTGCAAGCTTCACAAGGCTCAGTTGAGCTATCAACTGGTGGAAGCCCTTCAAAGAGCACCCTGAACTTCCCTTGCTCGTTCAAACCCAAAACTTCTTCAGCTCCACCAATGTACCTTCCCTTGACGAAAAGTCGGGGCGGCATCACTTTACCTTCCAGGACTTCCCAGAGCTCTTCCCTGTACTCCTTGTGCATCGACACATCCCTCTCGTGGTAGCGAACTCGAAGGCTCTGTAAGAGAAACCGGACGCCATTGCAGTCCTCGAATGTCTTCCTTATCCCTCTCAATGTCGTCGAGTAGAAAATCACTCTGTCTATTCCCCCCGGCGGGCATCTCTCTTCGAAGTTCAGTAACGGGTTTCCGCCTTCTTCTTCAATTTCTTCCTCAATTCGGCAGAATTTTAGAGGAGGCTCTGATTCACTTTCTCCCTGCTCTGTTTCTTTGATGCTCTGTTTCAGACTACTTGCTTGCTCTGTTACGCAGTCTTCTCTGCTCGCAATTCTCACTCTTCTTTCTTCCTCAATCCGCTGCATAAACTCCTTCACTGCCATCTTGAACGCAGCCAGAAGGTTTGGATCGAAGAGCGTACTGGAATTCAAGTCCGGTGGACGGAAAGACGAGATGTCAATCTCCGACAACGGCATCAGCTTGAATGAGCCCGAAGTTTCTTCATTTTCGCCAATAATCTCCCCGTCGTCGTCGTTGCCACTGCCACCAGAAGTCTCTTCCAATTCGCCGCCCGGAAACAGAGCCTTCACGGGCGGCCGCCCGAAGTTCTCCTTATCTTCAACGAAATCATCATCACCCGAATCATCAAGCTCCATCCCATCTTTATCAATATCTGGCTCTCCAAGTCCGATCCCGCCCTCCTTTATTGTGGGCAGAGTCTGATTCGGAGGTTCGACCCACTGATTCTCCGAAACTGATCGGAACTCGTCCCCTGAAATCGGCTGAAGAATGCGGCCAGGCTGCTTGAGGTACACAACTGGTTTGATGGATTTGAGCTTCTTCACGAGTTTCCCTTTCATTCCCTTCATTTTGACGGAGCTTCTTGCGGAGCTTCAGATGAAAGATTTGGACGCAAGCCGAGGATTTTCCCCAATTTCCTTAGAGAGAGAAAGGACTGAGGATTGGCAGTGGATTTGGAGTGCAACGGCTATAAAGCTTTACCCTTGTTTGGGTTTTCTGTTTTTTGACTTTTTCCCTCCCTCGCTCTCTGAACGAAACGGCTATAAAGCTGTTAAGAAAGAAAGAAAGTAGATTTCTTGAAATTCGAGAATTTTTGGTGGGGAGTCGAAGGAATCCTATGGAGCACGGAGTAGATCCCTGGTATATGCAACCCGTCCCTCCCTACCGTTCAAGGTTGTGTTGTCTAACCCGCGGGTTGACCCGACCCGTTCGAGATAGTGGATCAAGGGTTAATGGGTCAACCGTTTTAGCCGGTTTGGCCCGAAAATATAGAAAAAGTCATTATATTGTACTTATCCTCATAATTATATCAAATCAAATCTAACATATGACTTATAATAACATATAATATTACACCAAAATAACATATCGTACTTAGATCCAACATATAGTGAAAATTCACACACACTTATATAACATAAATATTCAAATGTTCAACTTAGGATTCCAAAGATTGAGTTAGGCGAAAAGAAAATCGGAAAATAGGCGCATTTCGCAAACCAAAGAAAAAAATGATACAATTTGACCTCCAACCCGATACCTTGTAGCGGTCGGCCCGGCGAGTGCGTATGACCCATTTTTCTCATCAGGTCAGGGTCAAAGTGGGTCGACCCGCGGGTTGACAACCGTTAGATGACGTCACTCTTGGAGATTTGAGTTCAGTACATTTCAGTCCCATTTGGGACCCTTTGTTAACATTTCGGTCCTTTCTCTTGTAGAGCATTTTATCAAGAAAATGTCAAATTACAATTAGATTCGCAAGCCAAAGTGACGAAACAAATATTAAAATGGGAAGTCAAAACCTAAGGATAAGAAATTTTATATAGGGGTGTTTTCTTTTAAAAAATAAAATAAATAATTCTTAAATAAGAAAATATATGATTTGTACGAAGTTAAAAAAATTCCACGAAGCGTTCTCATATTCTGAAATAATTGTAGAATACACTTGGTGCCTACACTGCTCAAAAAAATTATCTATGTATGTCCTACTAGACAATCATTCACAAAACCAATTGCATATTCGATTCTTAAAATTGTTATTGATGTAACGCGAAGTTGGAAAGACTCTTTCAACACTTACAACCATAAAATCAATAAAAATTAAGGGTAACTTGAAATTAGTTTAATTGTTAGATTTTCAAAATAATTAGAGATAGGGAATGTCATTTTACTATTACACTGTTTAAAATCAAACAAATGAGTTGTAACCTAATGGAAATTATGTTTATTAATAATAGTAGTGTCGTATGTTCGAATTACCCAAACTATCACTTATATTCTCATACACAAACTAAAAAATGAGAGTATGATTATCATTTTTTCAAATTTCAAAGGTGTCTTTCACTCTTAATTAATTTTTTTTTGTCCATACGCAAATTATCACCAGAGTTGGATAATCGTTTTCCCAAAATTTAGGGGTTGTCACGGGACACCCAAGCTCCCCTGGGTCCGCCCAGTTGACAACTGACAAGTATTTAGTGATAGGATTCTTATTCACAATTACACCATTCATAAGATTGAGTAATTCCCCCAAGTAGTATCATTTTGCCACAAGCACAACAGTCTTATGTGCATATTCATATAAAGATCTAGAGTAAATATAGAGCAAAAAAGAAAGAGGCCAATGTAACATTTGCTTATATGAATAGCTAGCATGAATTGAGTTATATAGTAAAAACTGGCTTAGAATGTTCTGACTTTCTATTATACAGTACTTGATTTGCAGACCTACCAGAAACTCATGGTTTAAGTTAAGCACTCGGGACGGGATACGGTGACAACCCCTTTGGGGGTTGTCAGATTCACAACCAAGGGTATTTTGGGTATGAAAAAAAGGAATATATTAATTACCTTTTTTGTATTAATTATATTGGGAATTAAAAACCCATATTAAATACAATTTTTTTTTCTGAAATTTAAATCCTATACATTAATATCTCTATCTATCTCTCTCTCTTCCTTTCTCCAGCAGCCACTCCGCATCGACCGACAAACTTTTTCTCCGACGAATTCTCTCTGGCAGACTCCCTCCGACAACCTGAAAAAATGTACCAATGCGTTAAAAAGTGTACCAATCTATTAGTCTACTGGTAATTAATATACTAGTGCTAGTGGTACGGTACCAGTATGTTAAAAAATGTACCAGTACTAGTGGTACCAGTAAAAAATGTACCAGTACTAGTGGTACGCTACCAGTAGAGAATAACACAACGCTACTAGCACTGGTAGCGCTACCACTAGCATTGGTAGCGGTACCAGTAGCAAATAACACAAAAAAAAAAAAAACAGATGATAGTGGTGCCAGATGATAGGGGAGCCACTGGTATTGGTACCAGTGAGTAGTGGTAGCGTACCAATAGCGCTACCAGTGGTATTGGTACCAATAGTGCTACCAGTGGTATTGGTACCGGTAGAGACTATCAGATCTGGAAAAAAAGGGATGAGTCTTGACCTCGCGGTGGCGGCGACATAAAAATGGTGGCGCCAGGGGAGGACAGCGGCGCGGCGCGGGGGGGGGGGGGGGGGGGGGGGGGGCTGCTTCTCCTTGATTGTCTTCGTGGTGGTGCTTATGGGAAGCTGCTGCAGCTGCTGTGATGGGGATGAGATCTCATCCATGGCGGCGGAGAGAGGGGGAGGAGAGATGGTGGGTGGAGAGAGGCGGCAGCGGTGGTGGAGGCTGGCGGCAGTGCTGTCTGGAGAGAGGGAGGAGGGAAAGAGAGAGGTGAGGGGGAGAAGAAGGAGTTAGGGTTTTTATTTATATGGGAGGGAGAATGATTGGGTGTGTTAACATTTTTCTTTTCCAAAAATACCCTTCTTTTAATCCTAACCATCAACTTAAAAAAAGAAGAAAGAGACAGGAGAGAGAGTGTATCCAACGGTTAGTGAGTGGGGTGTGAATCTGGGGTTGTCACCATATCTCATCCCTAAGCACTCACTCCTCTCTTTTTTTGCATTAGTTGTTTGTAGATAGAGACCAGTACTCGTGCACGAGCTGGCGAAACATAGATCCTTCCTCTTTCATCAGATTACCCGGTTCATCATACTCTGCCAACTTCCCTGAAACAAACCCACAACAACCATTCAGGATTTTAGGAGGACGGAGTTAGAACAACACTGAGTTTACGTACTATTGGTAACGTACCGTCTGCGATGGCAAGAATCCTGGTACTATCCATGACAGTAGGGATCCTATGGGCCACAGTGATGACAGTGCACTCTGCAAATTCTGTTCTAATGATCCTCTGAAGGATCGCATCCGTTGTATTGTCAATGGAAGCTGTTGCTTCGTCCAGCACCAAAATCTTGCTTCGCTTCAGCAGTGCTCTCCCTAGACAGAATAGCTGCCTCTGCCCCATGCTCCAGTTTGATCCATCTTGTGCAACTGAATGCAACACCAATTTCAATGTTGGCAGCACAACACAATTTTTGATCCTTCTGAAGTACCAACTCTGGAAACAGTCACTAATTTTAGTAACTTTTGGTACAAGTTATCCTACATTTCATATATTTGATTTCACTATATGATGTGCAATACTAACGAGTCTACCACAAAAAGATCAAATTGAGTAGACGGGTCTTCTTTGTTAGGAGTTAAGACGAATGAATTCATTTCGAAAAGCATAACAATATAGCTATTCCGTTACCTGATGTGTCCAAGCCTCCTTCCTTCTGTTGAATGGCTTCCCGCAGCTGGCATTTCTCTAGAACCTCCCATATTTCTAGGTCAATATGCTGAGACAAAGGGTCCAGATTGTACCTCACAGTGCCACAGAAGAGAGTTGGATCTTGTGGGATGATTCCTAAGTGTGATCTCAGGTCATGGAGTCCTATTGTGGAGATATCAATCCCATCTATTATGATCCTTCCTTCTGTGGGCTCCACCAGCCTAAACAAGGTACTGATTAGAGTTGTCTTGCCACTCCCAGTCCTTCCCACAACACCAATCTTATCTCCTCCTTCAATCCTGCAGCTTATCCCGTGTAAAACAAGTGGACTGTTCTTCTGATACCTCACCTTTAAGTTACAGATCTCCACTTGGCCATGACTTGGCCAGTTGGCTGGAGGCCTTACACTCTCAATCACTTGTGGAGCTTCACTAGGGATATGCATATATTGTTCTAGCCTTTCTACTGAGATGATTGATTCTGCTATGAAGCACTGGTACTGAACTGATATTATGAGGAACACATTTAGTGATAGACCATATGAAAGGGCCATTCCGACAAACCCTGCAAAATGTGAACAAATATTTCAGATCATTTCACCTTTAGGATTTTTGGGAAGGAAAAATACTTATTCTGATGGTTTTTTTGTATTTACCTGAAGTAGAAGCACCCAGAGGAAGACAAGTCATCACAAGTGCTGAAGTCGAGAGCACAATTGCACAAGGGATCTCCAGACGTTGGATCAACCACTGGCTCGCTGAGAAGTTGTGGAAGTAAGTGGTTGCATTGTTGTCAATGAGTACCAGGTTCTTGGAGAAGAATCTTTCTTCCACCTCGAAGGCTCTGATAGTCATGGCTCCAGAAATGGATTCAGCAAAATGGTTCAACAAACTTGACTTTGTCGTCCCATTGATCCTCATCAACTCTTTCGCCGTATTGAAGTAGTATCTCTTTGTGGATAACAAATGCAAACCAAGATAAGTGTTCTGTATAAAGAAAGATGGCTTGCGGAACAAGAAGGGTCAATATATAAGATATCAATAAATTGAGTAACGAAGTTCATAGCAAGTACCTGTAAGATCATGATGAGATAAAGAATGGGAGTGATAATAAACAAGACAGGCCATGCCAGAATGGCTAATAGGGCTAAGCTAGTGTATGCATTCAGAGTCGATCCCAGTGATACTGCTAACTTAGATGCGACCTCAAGGTCTATGATGCTCAAATCAGAAGAAACCCGGCTAAGAATTCTTCCTAGAGGAGTGGAGTCATAGAAGGACATCGGTGCTCGGAATAGGGATATTATGAGCTTGGAAAAGATCGCTTCCGATGCGCCACAACCAAGTCTAACTAAGGAAAAGATCCTTAAGAACATGAAAAATGGCAATGCACATCCAATTACACCGTATAGAGTGAACAGTGTTACTCTACTCACTCCCGGGTTCTGAATGCCTGTAGCTAATAGGTAGTTCTGGGCCAATTGGCCAACCACGAACAAGAAATAGAACAGGACAGTCAAGAAACAGAAGAATAACCCCTTATTCTTGCTCAAATAATCCATGTAAGGCTTGAACCCTGTGTCTCCTGTTTCCTTTTCTTCTTTCCTTATCAACTGATGATCTCCTGAGGCTGCCGCTGCAGCTAAATTGTGATCTCTCCTATAAATCTCCTTTATCTCTGTGGTGGAAGCATCAGTTGTAGACTCTCCAATGGGACCAATGTGTACTTTTCCCCCTTCAGTTGTATTCTTGTGAGCATTGACCAGTTCATTAAACTCTTGACAGGATTCCAGCATCTGGTCAAAAGTGCCGGTTTTCAAGATTTCACCGGAAGACATCAGCTGCAAAAATGAACCAAATGAGAATCAGTTGAGACTTGAGAGTAAAGAAAAGAAAACCAAGTTTCAGAAGGAAGCTCATTACCAGAATCAAGTTGAATGTTGGAAGGAAGTCAACTTGATGGGTCACAAGTAAAACCGTCTTCTCCGATAAAGCTCCCATCACATATTCCTGCCACCTGAATCGTGTTAGTTTCTAAGAGAGAGACCGAGAATATGCTAAGGGATAAGTGGATCGATTACATTGAATAGCCTGGTTGCAGTATGTGCATCAACAGCACTGAAGGGATCATCCAACAAGTAAACATCTGCATTCTGATATAAAGCTCTAGCAAGTTGGATCCTTTGCTTCTGGCCTCCACTAAGGTTGACTCCTCTTTCCCCAATTTCAGTAGAGTCCCCATTTGGTAGCAATTCCAGGTCTTTTACCAGGGAACACCTCTCAACTACCTCCCAATATCTAACTGGGTCCATAGAAGACCCAAACAATATGTTATCTCTTATTGTTGCCGTTTGAATCCATGCCGTTTGAGAAACATATGCTATTCTTCCATAAACACTGATTGTGCCATTAATTAACGGAACTTCTCCAAGAACTGCAGCCAATAGTGTCGATTTCCCTGAGCCAACCTCTCCACAAATGGCCACCTTTTCTCTCGGTTTCACTGTCAAGTTTATGTTCCTCAATGTAGCCTTAGATGAAGTAGCCACTCTGCTCCATGAAATTGCAGTAGATTGGATGAAGATAGGAACCTCAACAGCTTTCTGAAAGCCGCTGTTGCTCTTCTGCCTAATTCTATTGTGCTGCAACTCAGGCGCCTGGAGAAACTTTCCTATTCGCTCCAACGAAACTTTAGCTTCTATGAATATAGTAGCTACCTCAGGCAACATTCTTACTGGTTCCTGAACGATTCTTAATGTTGCCAAAAATGTGAAAACATTGCTAGCATTGAGGGGAATACTGAGCAAGTAGCATGCCCAGAATGTGATCACTGACACTATGACCGGAGATGACCCGAACAGCATCATGAGACACCCTCTTCGGAACAGAAGCTTAGAAATTGACACAAGCTCTTCTTTTCTAAATTTCTCTACCATTTCCATAAAATGATTCTCCCAAGCATACAACTTCAACACCTTCATGTTAACAAGTGCCTCAGTTATTGCTTTCAGCCTCCGGTCTTGCTGCTGTGTGAGTCTTGTTTGATTAGTAAGCTGTGATGTAGTCAAAGGAGAACTCCCGATCACTGTTACTATAATGGTGATCAGAGCTGCTATGGTTGCCATCCCAATGGAAAAGTAGATAATGAGCAATGCAAGGCATAGCTGGAGGCCGGTGGTCCATATCTGATGAAACCAGTAAGCAAACTCTCCTATTTTATATGCATCTATGGTGACGTAGCTCATAATTTCCCCAGGGGAATGAGTGAGCTTAGCAGCATTTGAAAGGACTAGTTGCTTCTGGTAGATGGCTGCAGATAATAGAGACCTCACTCGGACACCAACTAACCTTGTTTGGAAATGATATTGCCTCTCTGAGAATGATTCAATGCATTTTGCTGAGAGAAGTGTTAATGTGAGCACATAGCCCTCATATTCAAAAGCTACTTTATGTTCAGCAACATCAATGAAAGCTTTGAGGAGAAAAGGGCCGGCGCATAGAGTGAGTAGCTTGAGCAATGCGAAAAACCCAGATAGCAGAATCTCCTTCTTGTAGCAAGAGAGTAGTGTTGACCATAATGCAGGTGCTGGCTCATCAGGTGATCCTTTTTTGGCAGATTTCCACTTATTTAATCTCTCCAAGTACATTAAGTAGCATGTTCTGGCCTGATCTTCCTCCCTCATATGTGGGATGTCCTCATCTTCAAGAACTTTCTCTTTCCCCTTCTTCATCAATGGATTCAACCACCAGAATGATAGCTTGCTGAAGAATCCAGCTTTGGCAAAAGGGTTTACCTTGTCATCACCGTCATCATCTGAGGCCATAGCTTCTTCACCAAGCAAAGGTGCATAGTAGTAGGGTTCAGAGTTGGCGTTTGGATAATTTCCTGCATTGATCTTTCTTCCTCGAAAGGCACATAACAGCAGTAGAATTGCCCCTGGAAGAGACAAGATGTCGATAACCATTTTAACTGACACTAGTTTCTTCTCCGCGATTATGGCTTGCCAAAGATAGATAAAACATAGGAAGGCAGAGAGACAGAAATCCAAAGCTGAACACAGCTTCACCACTGCAATTTCCCAATGGGTTTGTTTTCTATTATGATTCAGGCTTACAGACAGATTCAGCACCAACAGAGCCGATCCTTGGAGAAGCACCACAATCCATCCTTGTAACGGTAGAACATCGTTGGAGACTCCCCATATGCCGACCCCAAAATAAAGCATGCTCAGAAAGCTGTTGAAAATGGCCGACGAAATCATCAGTTTGGAGAAGCTTTGTGGTAGTGGCTCCACTGTGAACTTGCAGCTTGCTGCTGATTTATTGTAGATGAAGATGCAAAAGGTGATCAGCAGTAGCAGGAGGTCTATGCAAAGTATGAAGATGTGGTTGAGACACGAATCTGGATCGAATATGTGAACACGCCAAGACCCGTATTCCTTTTCATAGCCATTTGAATATAATGAAGCTCTGCAGAACATAGTCCAGAGCCCTTCCTCCTTCATCACAAATCTATCTAACCAAATGAATTTTTTTTTTTTTAACTAGTAAGAACTGCAGGATGTTCCAAAAGGCCAACCTGAGATCATGAGTTCATGTTGTTCAACAGAAGTTTTATTGATGAAGGGAAACATAAATGCAGTCCTTGTTGGGCAGATATCAAAAGAAGATATTTTGGAATTTAACTGTTCCATGACTATGGCAATATCAAGAGCAAGGAAAGCATGCAGAATAACACCCAAAAAAAAAAAAAAACTCAATACAATATTATTCATTCTTCCTACCAGACCAACTATTTTCCTTCATCAAAATTATAATTGGCCATAATGTTCTCTTTTCCCACTGACCTGCTGCCTGCTCTTCCTACCTGGTTCAGGTTGCATGTCTTTTTAATTTATTTTTCTCTTTGCTTGTTCCTCATTAGTATGTAGGTTCGAGTGGTTACACATTGCAATCCTGCATCTGCATTTAAATATCAGACCACGTTTATCACTGCTAATAAAGTCCACGGTCCTACGTTGTCGAAACAAAAGAAAAAAAGCAGTCTTAATCAGAAGTAGAAGATTATTACGGAGACTTCCACGGTGACGGTGGAAAATGGACGATTACCTTCGGGATTGCACACTGACCTTGGGAGATGTACAATTAAGTATTGTGAGATAGAAATAAAGAATTCCAGAATAAAGCCTACCATAAAACAATTTTTTTGGTAGAAACCATAAAACCATTTGATACATCATCTCACGGCTAAAGCCATTTGCACCTAATTAGCCATATGAATTGGATTCCTCTAAGTTCAATCACACACTCAGTTCCAAGCAGTAAGTTTTGTTCCAGAAGTAGAAATCAAGTGAGAAGATTGTATAAGAGGGGAAGAGAATGGTCACCATTGGAAATATTCCCCACTGAATCAAACAAACCATAGGGAAAGCACCAAGAAATCTGGAATCAGCAGCAGAAGCATATGCATTGTGCCCCTGAATCCAGACGTAGCCTTTTGGAACCTGGAATTCACTGATTCAGCGAATGATTACCCACGAATCAAACAATAATCAAAGATTGGGAAAACCCCTAGATTTCCCTACCATGGAAGTGCGGGGGCAATCGCTGTAGGAGGGCTCCGTCGGGAATGTGAATCGATCGCCCTCCATTCCGACAATGCGGTTTCGTCACAATCCCAAGTGTCGGCTCAAGTGCTCGTAGCAGGAGTAATTCCATTTCCATGGTGGTGAGCAATGCCAGGCCCCTGGACGTGGACGAGTGGAGCGGAACAGATGTTTGAGTCGACGTAGGGAAGGAAGGAAAGGAATTCAACGGCGATTGAAGCTCCGACTGCGATTTCTCGAGCGGGCGGCAGATTTCCATTTGGTTGATGTAATCTATAAGTTTCAAGATAGACTTATGTAATCGCTAATGGCGGCGTCGGGGATGCGGGCGGCTGTCGATGGGTAATAGTCGCCGGCAATTTTCGCTCCCCAGCACCCGACTTTGGTTGAAGAACGGAAAGCTTACAGAAACAGTCAACAAATCTTTATTTAGTACAAATGATCACCAAATTTTTAGGTTCGCTATCAAATTGTACACTAACTTTTGATTTTGTACGTACTCAGCACTAAAATAGTAAAATATTGCTTCAGTGCATAGTGGCAACAAATCTTTATGTTTAGTTGTTTACATTGCCAAGGTTGTTAACCCGGGTCGACCCACTTTGACCAAGACCCGGTGAGAAAAACGGGTTGCATGTACCCGTCGGATCCACCGTTACAAGGTATCGGATTAGAGGTCAAATTGTGTCATTTTTTTGTTTGGTTTGCGTAATGCGCCTTTTTTCGATTTTGTTTTCGCTTAACTCAATCTTTGGAGTCCTAAGTGAACATTTGAATACTGTTATATAATTGTGTGTGAATTTTTACTATATGTTGGATCTAAGTACGACATGTTATTTTAGTATAATATTATATGTTATAACTCATATGTTAGATGAGATTTTATATAATTTATTAGGATAAGTATAATATAATAACTCTTTCCATATTTCCGGACTAAACCGGGCTAAACCGGGTGACCCATTAACCCTTGACTCACTAGCTTCACCGGGTCCGGGTCAACCCGCAGGTTGACAACCTTGTATATTCCTAATACTTTAGTATGTGTATATCACGAAGAAGACCTGGCAAATTCACAGCGTCATAGATTGATCAACATTAACAACCTCGTCCATCTACCTAGTTGCTCAACTTTCTCTGAGATAGCTTTAATCTTGTTGCTTCTATGGATGATTCAATTGAATCGTTCGTCGTTCTCTATTTCGTAATCAAAACAGTTCATCAGTTACGCACAAAATTTAGGAGTGAAATAGAAAAAAGAAAAGTTGGGTAGGACTGAACTGTAATATTAGAAAATACTGCTCAAATGGTATTGGCGGGATCCAACAGAAAACCTTATCCACCACCAGTCTGACGCCAACAAGGCAATCTCGCGAAGCATATCAATGCATTTTTCCCACCACACAGATACAGAGACCAACCCACTACCTGCTTCAGGGTAAAACGAACGGAAAAACTGAAAAGCCAGCAGCTTTGAGACAGTTCAGTTAAAACCCTGGAGAGGAAGGAGTTGGCGAGCGTGAGAGAATGGGAAGCGTGGCGGTCTCAGAAGGGCGTTTCATCGCACAGTGTTCATTGCCGCCATCGCCATGTGTTCTCAACGGCAAGCCTCTCAATGGCCAGTTGCTCCCTCTCAGACCTCTTCTCCCCAGGAAAACCAGTCCTTCCTCAACATCCTCCCGCCTTCTCCCCAGGTAACTTAATTGAATTCCCTGCTGCTCATTGTCGTGGTAGTTTTGTCAAAATGTGATTGGAAAACGGCAACCAATTTCGTAATTGTGATACTACTTATCAGGTGTTCGACAAAATGGCTCAATGAGCCGTTTCAGAAAGCACTGACAGGGCTACTTCCCATAGTTCATGACAACAATTATCAGGATCCTGTAATCCTTCTCTCTCTCTCTGTCGCGTTCTTTTCACCGTGAATTGTTCATCAATTAGGTCGTAGCCATTCGTTTATGGGGATATGTTGCAATTGGTCACAGGGAGCTGGCAATGGCGTCAACAAGCGCCAGGCGCAAGGAGAACTGGTTCGAATTATGGACGGCATTGAGAAGAGAACTTCATTGCAAGAATTTGGCTCCTTGGATTCTGTTACATTACACGAGGGCTCAATGAAACTGTTAGTATTCCTCTCTGGGTGTCTAATGTTCCAGGGCTCTGATCAAGCGGCTGATGCTGCAATGGAGCTCTCAGACAGTGGGTTGCAATCCATTCCCTATCTTGGAGATCTTGGTGATATTAGCACAGGTTTTGCCTCAGTTAGGAGAATCTCCTTGTTCCTTCTACGATTGATCGTCCATTGCTCGAAAAATCTTATCTTAAGCATAAATGACATTTCTGTTTATGAGTTCCTGACTCCAACGTCACTACCAAAATTTTCTTCTTTTGTGTGACACCTTTTAATACTCAAATGCTGCATGGTTATGAAATCCCCTCTACAATGTCATATTGACGCATAGCGTTTAAGGGTTTTGTTGTTGATGAGGGGTTCCATATGTTATGTTTAGCATCAATTTGTAATTGGAGATTCAGTGTGGCATTTTGACGGGCTTCAATTTGGGAATAAAAATATGAAAGAGCTTCTAATTCTGAATTGTTGCATTGCAGGCATTCTTGCTGATATTTTTCTCGGAGTTGGGTGACAAAACCTTTTTCATTGCGGTAAAGACCTACCCAGCAGGAGAACTCTTTCTTTGTCTGTGAATGCATCCTGAAACTGTTGCTTTATTCAACTTATTGCAAAAACAAGTCTGTGCAAGCCAGCTTGCATTTACCTTCTTCATTTCTAGGTTCACCAGAGTCACTCATTGTCCCAGTGGTGTCCTTAATTTCTGAATTTAAGGTGATGCTGAGTTGTTCGGTCTTGCTTGCAGGCACTTTTAGCGGCTAGGAATTCTGCTGTTGTTGTATTTGCAGGGACCTTTGGCGCCCTTGGGTATGTTCTTCATCTCAGATGTTTTATGTACTCTCAAAATGCTCATAGTTGTACGTATCTGTTGCATACACAACTAAGCTATTGTGGAGCAATTGTGGAAGCTCTGTTTGTATTAACATGCAAGCATCTGACTGGATATTAATGTAACATATTAAGATGGTGACTACTTGACTCGTATGTGCATCTATCTTACCGCTGCTTCCTATGTGTTGTCAACAGTATAATGACTGTCATATCCGTTGTACTTGGAAGAACTTTCCATTATGTGGATGAGATCCTTCCATTCAGGTACTTACTCTGAGACTCTAGTGAGAAGAAATTTGAAGTCTGACTTGAAACCGTTGCTCCCACCTCTGCATTTTTACATGTAATAATAACAGAAAATATGGATCTGCAGTTTTGGTGGCACTGATTTGCCTATTGATGACATTGCTGCAGTTTGCCTTTTGGTGAGTGTCAAGAGTCATGGTTTTGGGGGTGTTAAAAGGTGCATTCTTTGAGAATGTGTGCTATGATTGAACTGGGAAAGTTCATGGTCTGTGAAGTAAACAACATTCAAGCTAACTTGAGTATGTTGCAGGTCTACTTCGGGGTATCAACACTAGTAGATGCCTCTTCAAGTGATAGCCTCAAATCTGAAGATGAGCAAAAGGAGGTGGGCGTATATTTCATGATTCCATTAGCTAGCTATGCAACTCTGCATGAAAGTAAAATGTGATTGCTTGTTCTGCTTATTGCATTGAACTAGGCGGAGCTAGCAGTTTCAGAATTCTCGGGAAGTGGTGCAGGCATTTTATCCGCTGCCAATACCATTATTAGCACATTTGCTTTGGTTTTTGTTGCTGAATGGGGCGACAAATCATTTTTCTCCACAATCGGTTGGTTCCTATGCTGAAAATTGTGTAATTATTTTAGGATTTATCTTCTCCCTTGGCATTGAAAGTTGCTTTTGTTCGATTGCTCTGTTGTTCCAGCACTTGCAGCTGCATCCTCACCTCTTGGTGTCATTGCTGGAGCATTGGCTGGTCATGGTGTTGCAACCTTGGTAATTAACACTTGAAACAAATCTGCATTGCATATACCAAAACCTCCACACTGGCCATTACACATACGCATGAACTGCTATATGATACCACAAGTTCATACCATTATTCATTACAGAACGTCTAGGACGCCATGGTTGCGTTGATTCATGAATTCGTTCTTTTTTCAGATTGCTGTCCTGGGAGGTTCTTTACTGGGAACATTCCTATCAGAGAAGGTACATAAATTTTCTAAATCTCTCCAACTCTTTTTGATATGCATATCTTGAAATAAAATGTCAGTTTCATAGGTTGGAATTTCATATCAAATAAAAGTGAAAAATCCAGAATATGTTATGACTTTTTAACGACTGACATGTGATCCCCTTCCTGGTCCCCAAAAAAATGTTCCTGATAGGAAAACTCGAAGGTGCCATCAAGCATCTTAACTCTCAACCATTGAAGTTGTCATCTAACCCTCATCAGTCCTTTGCCGTTTGAATACTGATTTTCTATTCAACCAAAAGAAAAAGAAAACCAAGATCAAGACCAATTGCCATAGTTATTGTGAGTGGAAGAACCATGAACCAAGTACACAGAACCCAACCACAAAATGTCTTGCGTTTAGTGTACTCTATTTTCCTACTATCACCACCACCAATAATGTTTGAAATTTCTGATCACCTGGTATATTTGTACCTTCTTGTAAGATTCCCCAGAACTGGAAACGACTTCATTGGACGACAGCCTGAATTCGCACCCTATAGAAACATAAGCTGCTGGGCTGGAATATATCATGTTGTCGATCTTTACGCTTCTAATAATCTAGCAACAATTACACGTGCATCTACAGAATGAGCTTCTTATTCAACTTCCGTCATTATATTTTAATGGACTGAGAAAAAGGAAGAACCTTTTGGTGCTTTTTGACAGGTCATTGCATACACTGGTGGGATTCTTTTCCTTGTCTTCGCCGCCATGACACTGATCGAGATTTTGAGTTGAAAAAACGCAACTATGACAGTCATGGATTACTATTGCCTCAAAGTCTTCAGTTCATGTAGAGGCATCAGAAAGTCTCAGGTGGCGCTGCTAAAGTATAAAGGAGTTTGAATTATTTGGTTTTGTTCATCGTCATTGTAGTACTCAACTAACATTTGTTTAGTAAATAGAGCTTGCACGCTGTCCTGTCTCTAAATTTCAAGCAGCTAGATCCATCTGCTTGGCATTTGTTGTGTAAAATTGGCAAGAAAGTCCAAGCATTTCTGGCTTTTTGGTCCGACTGTGGGAAGCTGGCTCCGAGTTTCGATTCAACCCTTTCTATGAATATGCAGAGAATAGAGGAAGCGAATGCGATGGAACTTTTTTGTTTCTAAGAATAACAGTGTGATGAATTGTTGATGGACAATTGTCCTATCAAAGTAACCACTAATGCTTATCTTGTTGACTTTTGCTATAAGATCTGTTGTCAATGGCACACTAAAAATTAGTGTTTAATTGTTTTAAAACCATACGTCTATACTGGTGGTTCGATCGAGAAAACCTTCTTGAAAACTAAATTGGTAAGTAGTTTTTAGTAGTTTGAAACGATTAAATTATGAGTTTAGTATCAAATATTCTATCGCTAACTTTTTCAATACCCTCTCAGACAGGGTTTTACGATTTTTGTTAAAAACATGTTAGGTTATATTTTCATTTGTTGTTGTGGTAACAGGAGTTGGCAACACAACAAAAATTAGTTGAAATTTCATTCAAATTTCAATGGGTCTATTAGTTGTTTATTGTAGGACCCTAGTTGTGGATTAATTTCATTCAAGAGAGTCTGATCAAATCTCACTACACTCACTTTCTACATATTTTCTCTCTCTCCATATCCCCATAACTAATTTCTTAAACCTTATTGCTAATATTATATTGATATCTTTTCTTTAATTTTCTTATAACTCATTTATTTCTCCCATTATTTTCTACTTTTGTCTCAACATTGGTACTAAACAGGATCTAAACAAGTAACTAAATGTATATTAAAATAATTGTTGACAACTTTCGTGATTTCTCAAAATTGCCAACTAAACAAGTTTCTATTTTCTATTTTCATATTGTAATTGTATCTCTGTTATCGCAACTTTACTGCAACCACAATAGTTACAAAACTATACTAATGCATCATTTATCTTGCAATATCACATATTCAACAATGACCTTAAGTTAATACGTTCATAAATCATTTTGACTGTTTAAATCTCAAGACCTAAGAATTCGGATCAATCAGAAAATTCAAATATTTTTTCTTCCTATCAACATATCATGGCTCAAAATAAAATGAAAAAATGACTTATTCTCAATAATACATGTATTGGCTAAATACCTCTTCTCAAATCTTTTGCTTGTTCCACGTATCCATTAAACTTTTATCGACGACCGCACTCCATAGTATGTTTGTATCATATCTTCGCTTTTACTTATTGCTCTTCGAGTAGCACATTCATCGCAACATACATCTTAAATTTGAGAGTTATTCCATTCAATATATAACATTCATAATTCATACCATCGAACCCAATCTTTTACAGACTTTCCAAAAACGAAATTCTAAATCCAAATTGTGAGAGAAACAATATAGAATGAAAATTCAAAGCTGAAAGAATTACAATCGAAACTAGAAGAATATGAACGCGCGTTTATTATGCAATCGAGGACGAAAGACATACACACATAGATGAGAGTGGTTGTGGTTTCTAGTGGGGCTTTTGACAATTCGTGTGAAGATAAAAGAGAGAAAGGGATGAGATAAAACGATATAGAAAAGGAAAAGGAAGAAGGAAAGTTGGCAACAAAGAATGGTTGGAGGACGTGGGGAAGCCATACCCATCCAACCGACCTTTTTCCTCCATTTACCTATCTATCTTCTCTTCTGCCTTTTAAAGAGAATCGTCCATTCCTATATCATGATGATTGAGGACCCCCTCCCTTAAGTCTTCCATATATATGCAAGGGGGAAGTGGGTTTTTTAGCAAAAAGCATAAAGTCAAGTTTTGATCGATGGTTGAAGAATATAACAAGCTCGAAACTCATAGATATTTCGAATGTGCGAACAATATGGGGACTAGAAGTGGACTTCTCAAACTAAAATGGGTTATTTAGTTCGTTACGTTGCTGAGCGATATTTTAAATATTGTTCCCTTCGAGAAATGTCAGGAAAAAAAAATAACAATTCGAAAAACACCTCACTTTCTGTAAAACCCAACCATACCTATTACAACAATAATCGGGCGTCAAAATTAAAAGACACCCAACTCTATTAAAGACAAGGGAAGGGATTTATGTGTCATTCTATAGGGAGCTCAATTGACAAGTCTGGAAACAACTTTAAACTCCATACCATTGGACATGGTCGAGATCCGTTGGAGACAATCATGCAGCACGGGTCCACTTAGGGCATCCAAGGAGAAACTCATCTGGAGTTGATGAATAACAAACTCCGAGTCGCCTTCAACCACCACTCTAGCAATCTAACGAGAAACCGCCAAAGAAATGGCATCTGGAGCTACAAGAAGCTCAGCAAGAGATATTTTAATATTTGTTTGAAAGGTATTTGCCTCAAGAGAATTTACGAAGAAATTGATTTGTTTTGTGTTTTGTTTTTCATAACGTATACTCGAGCCCGTAGACAATCAACTCCGACTTAAATTCCGAGGCGAATATAATCACTGAGCTACCTGTTAACATTCTTCCCATCATAAGGAATCGTTTATTGGATCTTGTGTGATCAGAATAGTACTTCTTCTAGTAGTGTTGGTTATTCAGGTCATATATAGAGCTTTGTTGGTGTAAAAGAAGACTTGATAAAATACGATCAAGATGTGCAAAAATATGAGGCCGGAAAGGGAGAAACGTGGGAAAGCAAAGGGGAAAAAAGGAAAGGAGTTACTAATTTAAGGTTCTGCAAATGAAAGAAAGTGGGGGAAAGAAGATCTTGGTAGGGTCTTCATATAAAGCCTTTGTCTATATTTTTAGATTCCCTCATCAAAATCTAAGATCAGATAAACACACCATTCTTATCTATCTTCTACTTTGCCCCTCCCTCCTAGCTAGACTTTTTATACAAACGGAAGTGAAACAAATGACGATACAACATTACCAAAACGACATCTTTAGGCTCTAGGTATGTTTGGCCGGAAAGAACAAAAAGATTGTAATTCAAAATCGAATGGTATGATAACCAATGTTGTCTTTCTTCTCCTTCTCAAATGTCTTTATAGAAGGTATTGTTGGAAGTTTGGTAGTGGACTATTGGAATTCGAGATATACAGAGTATTGCATAATATACGTATTGTTTTATGGATTAGAATTGAGATTGAATTTCAACGGTATTAGAGATTATGGGATTGAAATCGATATATATATATATATATATATATATGTGTGTGTGTGTGTGTGGATGAAAGCAAAAAATATCCCAATTAGCCTCCCTCACTACTACAAGATCCCCAACCGCCAAAATATCCCATTAATTACAAATAGCACATTCCTAACTATTTGATAGGGCAAACCAAACTCATTAATTTTTTTAACTGAGAAATGCCAAGAGAGAAACAACAAGCTAAAGAGATATCCACCCTCTATTAAAGCCCAAACTCTCCAACTACAACATTAACTAAGCATTAAATCATCCTTAACAAAGACAAAAAAAAAAAAATTTACGTGTCATTCTATGTGCAACCCAAATGACAATGCTAGGAACCGCCCTAAATCTCATTCGTTATTTGTAGCATGATTATGGGCTGCCTAGTTGTCCGTTGTTTCAGTTTGTTACTTTAGTTTGTTGATGTGTTTCTTAGGCACCATATTATACTTGGGGTTTATATTTTGAGAATGGTTTGTGGAGCTGCTAGCAGAGAAGAAGTTTTTGTTTTGATATATTTGATTGGTAATTTGAAAGGAAATTAATATGGTTTATACACTAATATCGAACAAAATATTAGGAAGTGACATTGAAATGCCAAATCCATTTTGCCATCGAGATTCATTTAGCTATTGATATTGGACATTTCGATATTTGAAAGGAAAAAAAAATTGAGAGAGGCTTAGTTATTAGTAACTGGTCGGATGGGGAAGTCAGCTCTCTTGATCCTACTGCCCCCTTGACCCTGCACGTGGCTGGAAATATTTTTGTAGTAAAGAAAAAAAAAAGTTTATTAAAAGGTAAGAGCATATCGCATATTATAAAAGCATATTCTTCTTCTTCAGCTGCAGAGCTTGGTCAAGCAAAAGACAGAAAATGGCTTGGTTTTGTTAATTGGGATTTCTGGCCTGGCCTGGCCGGGGGAAGATAAAAATTAAAAAGAAAAGGAAAAGGGGACAGTGTGGCTGGCTGGCGGCATATGCTTTGCTTTTCATCAGCCTTTGGCCTTTGGGTGCTGGAACGTGTTTGTTGATTTGGGGGAGAAGAAAGAAAGAAAGAAAGTGCAATACCAATACCAGCCAGCACCACATTTCCCTTTTCCCATCCAAGGAATATAATATCAATCAAAATGTTATGAGCTTTTCATCCACTGGTTTATACATTTGTTATGTTCTGATTTATGCACATTGGTCGTTACTATTTTAGGTCAGCTATTTTTTTTTCCTGAACTTTTTTACTTTTATCTCCGCACGCATTGATCTGTATGATTTATATTTTCAACCGTTAACACTTATCATAATCGTCACGTTATCACTTAAGACAACTAAAATCTTAAACATAACTTTAAATTTTTGCTTATTTCCCCTACCTAGTTTATAGAGAGGTGAAGGTTTAATTTTCTTCCCCTTTGCATTGTCATTCCGAAAGTAAGCATTCGCTACGCCAAATCTGAATCCATGATAGATCACTTCAAGATGAAGTCGGTTTAAAATTGAAATGTTTTTATTTAGAAACGAGCGAAACTCGGTTGAGGGTGCATGTGTAAGTATATCAACGTAAAGACAACTTACTGTATTAAAGCTAAAATAGTCCCCAATCATCTGAATAGGAAATAAATCATAGATTCGATGACTTCAACAGAAAAGTCTCAAGTTCAGCAACAATGATAAATAAATTAATTAATTAGAAAAAACATGTCAATTGATGTACCTAAATGATACCTCATTATATTACACAATTTTTTTGATCAATCTGTTGGAAATCCAGCCAACAAACAACACAGATTTATATATTCATCCAGGAAAAAAAGAAAGGAAAATTAAACTTAATAATGAAAAGAATAGCCCCTTGGCGGAGCGGAAATTGCAAATTCGTATCGCCACGTACGGGAGGTGAGGTGGGTTTGCTGGGGATGGCAATCAAACCCGAACCCACGGGTACCCACCCGATCAACGCGGGTAAAATTCGTGTTGACGGGTTTTGGGTTTAAACCCGTTCACTATTCACCGGGTTGGGTTGGGTTTGGGTTTGGGTTTAGGTAAACCCGACCCGTGGGTACCCGCCCATACATATAATTAATTTTCTCGGTATATTTAATATTTTAAACAACTAATCTTATTTATGTTTGTGGAGACATGTCTAATTTTTTCTTTCTAATTGTGTAGAATGAAGTTTGTGTTATCGAGTGGAGAGTGAAGAAACTTAATTGAAAGGAAGAAGCCTTCAATTAATATGTTATTTATGGATAATTTATGATTTACTTCAATTTTCTTGAGTTTTCTAGATTAGTGTTGAACAATTTGTATAGTTAATTTGTGATTTGCTTGAATTTTCTAGAATGGTGTTTTAAATATGGATAATTTGTATTGAGAGATTGATATTTGACTTTAATTTTTATAGGAACTTGTTATTGTAAATTTTTTACGACAAAAACCCGTGGGTACCCATGAACCCGCGGATACCCAACGGGTTGGGTTGGGTTTGAGTTTTTCAAACCCAGTAAGTTTTACCCCGAGTTTTTTTCACGGATAAACCCATTGGTTTGGGTTTGGCAAAACCCGACCCAACCCGACCCATTACCATCCTATTTGCTGGCCTCCCCGCCGCCGCCACTCACCCTTTTTTCCAAACCATATATAGTTAGTGATTGAGTGAGCTGTTGCTTACTCCCTCCCTAATTACGTCTACGTTCGATGTATCTCATATACCGTCACACTACTCTATTCTTGTGCACCCACTCTTTTTTTTTTTTTTTTTTGTTGCTAGTGGAGTGTGCTAAGAAAGAAAGAAAGATGTAGTGGTGGGTAGTTTTGCTCGAGACGTTTGGATGAGTCATTTGATATTTATCGAATTGAGTCATGTGATATCGAATGTCTTTTTAATCAAAAGAAAGCGAAACATTTGGTTATATATATATAAATTTCCGGAGATGAAATAGTTAATCATATATAATCTTATATGAGTTTACCGAAAGTTTAAAGGACACTCAGCCACCGTAACAGATTTTGTCAGCGAGTCATTCATAGAAAAGGGATTGAATCTTTTTAGTTCTACACGTGTTAGTAGATTACTAGATTATAAAATGTTGATAAATTATCTTATATATGTATTCGCTTTATTTTCTGAAGAACTTCATAGGCAAATCTGGCAACACAAAATTTCAGTAGCACAAGAGAACAACGGGGAAAGAGGAAGGAACAAAGAAAGATGAAGGAAAACATTTTTTTCATATTGGTATGCGAAAGTCTATTGGATTTGTTACAAGTGAGTATGCATTTATCGAACACCTTTTACAAAAATGATAATTCGCAGTACAATTTTGTTAGTTCAAAGAATAAATAAAAGATACTATAATTTAGTCGTCTAATCTTGACCAGTACAATTGTGTTTCATAAAACAATAGTCCGGACCACTCATAGATTAGGGATCATAAGTCTAAAGCTCTGGAAATGTCAGTGAATGATAGCTTCTTGACTAATAGCTATATGTAACGCTTGTTTCATATGGTATCATTCCATTGGTGACTACGATCTTAAAGAGCCAATTGATTGGCGAATAGGAATTTCCTTCCGTATTATTTGATCGATGAGAGTTGGATGCTTCATTTTGAATAAGGCATTTTACTTTTTCCCTGAGCAACAACAGAAAAATATGTAGCTATAGGAGAACAAAAGATGGATAAAAGAGCCAATAAGATAAATAGACAACGGAGCAAACAAAGAGAGACAAGAATTATTTTGTTCATATTGTGCTATGAAATTCCATTTTCATTGAAAAAAAACATATTTGCAAAGTTGGATTCGTTACAAGTGATTTCACTGATTTGATCAAAAACTAAAAAGGTGATAGTCGACACTATAATTTTTCCGTCTAGTCTCGCCCCACCAGTGTGTTCTGAAGGGTAGTCTCAACCACTCACGTATTAGGGATTGGAGTCTAGATTTTTGAAGTGTTGGTAGATTATAACTCCTGGCTACTAGCTATATGTAATGCTTTCTTCATAGAAGCCATTTTATTGGTGATTTTTTTTTTGGGTAGTAAAACGGAGCGCTAAGGGCACCCCAACCTTTAATTAATAGTAACCATGCGAGGGGTCTGAACCCCAATCGTATCAAAGTACAGCAAATGACTCAAACGCGAACATGGGAGTTCGATGATGTGATCGCCAGGCGGTAGCCCATGCCCTAAGGATGCAAGATAGTCTGCAACCACATTTCCTTCCCTGAACACATGTTGCAGGTCGACTTCCCAATCACGGCCTAATAGTCCACGAACTTCATTTATAAGTGTGAAATGAGGATGGCAGTTTCTTGCCTCCTTAATCAACTGAATGATCACCATAGAATCCACTTGTGCCACCACTTTTCTATACCCCAATCTCCATGCTGTATGCAGGCCGTACACCACCCCCGCTAGCTCCGCTCTCGTCACAGTTCCTCCTCCCAAGTTCCTAGAGAATGCCATAATAAACCTTCCGTCCTGATCGCGGATCACCCCCCCAGCTGCTGCATTCCCCGCCACCACCGAGCCGTCCGAATTTAAATTCATCCACCCCGCAGGCGGAGCCCTCCAGCCGACCAACACTTCAGCACTGGTTCCCGTAGCTAGCCCAATCCTAGAGAGTTTCTCGGCAGCCTCTTGGATCTGTATTTGAAGTCGCATAGCTCTGTTGCATAGCACATCGGCTGAATCCATCTGTTTCTCAAACACAAGTTTGTTTCTATTTTGCCACAATAACCAACATAGAACCACAAACCTCGTGGGGTGAATAATGGAGCTTTTCCCTGTGATATAATGTAACACCCACCTTTCCAAGTCTGGTTGGAAGAAAATTGAGTCAGGTTCATCTTGTAGAATTTCCGCCCATGCCGATCTCGCAAATGGACAGTCCCGGACAACGTGGAGAGTAGTTTCCCCTTCCGCCCCGCAGGTCTGGCAGTTGGAGTTTATTTTATTGGTGATTTTGACCATAAAGAGCTAATTGAATGACCGTGAAGAATTTTCTTTTGTATCATTTGATTGAGGAGATTTCATATCAAGTAAGACATCTAATATTTTTATTTTCATAACAAAAGCAGAAAACACATAGCTATAGGAGAAACAATAGAAGAATAAAAGAGCGAAGAAGAGAAAAAAAAAACAGAGGGGATGAAGAAAGAGAGGAAACTATATTTTCATATTGACTTAGGAAAGTCAATATGTGTTGGAGAGGGGGAGAACCCTATTCAAAGTTGGATTAGTAAGTCGTGCTTAAAATTCTACTAGACAACTCCAAATGGTGTTTGTCAACACAACAATTTTGTCGCATAGTCTCAACCGTTCATAGAAAAAGGAACTGAAAATATATATAGAATTTTTGCAAGTGTCGGGATACAATAACTTCTTAATCAATTATCGCTATGTAACGGTCTTTTCAAATATGTCATTCTACTAGTGGCTGATCTAAAAAGCACTAACTAAATGACCGGTCATAATTTACTCTTGTATAGCTTGTGAGTGAGGAATTTCATTCCGAACAAGACATCTAAACCTTATCTTTCCAAATCGCGCGCGCGGCGGGGGGGGGGGGGGGGGGGGGGGGGGATGTTACCTATTACGGAACAAAAAGAACAAGTGAAGGGGAGAAGAGAAGCGGAACAAACAGAAGACAAAACATACTTTTATGTTGTCCTCATAGCGGTTATTTTCAATGTTGGATTCATCCCGTCGAAAAGTGAAGTGAGTGAATCCACATGTAACTTGCAGTATAGGACCACCTTTACAAAAAATTATGTTCGATCTGAGTGAAGAGGTCAAATCGAAATGATCATTGTACAAATTTTGTTATTTCACGTTTCTTGAAGTACGGGTTGACCCCAAAAATACTTTTGGTAATGATGTTAATACATGCCATTTACTCGAGAAATTGACTAGCAAAGAGACGTGACCAATGGAGCAAAGGAAAATTCCATAAGTGCTTATGGCATCAGAATGAACGCATGCAAGCAGGCTTATCGAGATCTCAAATATTTTCCCTTCTTTTCCTATTTTTTATAGGAATTTTAACTCTCCAAATTTAAACTAGATGAAATTTATTTCTCAATCGTTTTATCATTACAAACATAAAGTTTGGAAATTAAATTCCCATTCCTTAAAAAAAACTATCCAAAGAGGCTATCACCAATCCAAACACCCATTTACAATGCATTTGAGACTCGAAATGGGCATATGCAATGAATGATTGAATGAATCTATCAATTTGTTAAATTTCCTGAGATGAAATAGTTAACTATATATAACTTTATATGAGTTTACTGAGAGTTTAAATGACACTCTGTGAAATGTCAAGAAAGAAATGCACTCTCTAAAAAAAAAGAGTTTTAAGGGACACAACCACCATAATAGATTTTGTCTTCAAGTCATTCTTAGACAAGGGGTTGAAAATTGATAGTTTTACTGTTTTACACGTGTTAGAAGATTGTGAATTATTGATAAATTATCTTACATATGTATTCACTTTATTTTTTTTCCCTCCAAACAACACAAATTTAAGTAGCACTAGAGAACAGCAAAAGTGAACAATCGGGAGAAGAGAAAGGAATAAAGAAGCAAGAAAGAAAGAGGAAGGAAAACACATTTTCATATTGATATGTGGAAGTCGATATTTAAAGTTGGATTTGTTACAAGTGCGCAAACATTTATTCGAACACCTTGGTAAAAAAAAATTGTCGTATAGTCTTGACCAGTACAATTGTGTTCCACAAAAAAAAAAAGTCTCGACCACTCATAAATTAGGGACCAGAAGTCTAGAGTTCTAGAAGTGTAAGAGAATAATAACTTATTGACTAATAGCGGCATGTAACGCTTTTTTCCAATCAAATCATTTCATTAGTGACTATGATCTTAAAGTGTCAATTGATTGGTGACTAAAAATTTCCTTTCGCATTCTTGATCGAGGAGAATTCATTTCGAATAAGACACATGACTTTTCCCCCATAGCAAAAGCGGAAAAATACGTAATAGTAAGAGAACAAAAGAATGATAAAAGAGCCAAGAAAATAAATAGATAAAGGAACAAACAAAGAGAGAGTAACTTTTTTTGTTTATATTGTGCTAAGAATTTTCATGTTTATCGGGAGAAAAAAGTGCATATGCAAAGTTGGATCTGTTACAAGTGCTTTGATAAACAATTGAAAAGGTGATAGTCAACACTATAATTTTGTCGTCTAGTTTCATCCCACAATTGCGTTTCGAAGAATAATCTCAACCACTTATAGATTGGGAATTGGAGCCAAAATTTTAAAAGTGTCAGTAGATAATAACTTCCCACTACTAACTATACGTAACGCGTTCTTCAGTCATGTCATTTTATTGGTGACTTTGATCATAAGAGCTAATTGATTGACTGTGTGGCATTGTCTTTTGTTTCATAGGATTGAGGAGATTTCATTTCATGTAAACACATCTAACATTTTGATTTTCAAAGCAAAAGCGGAAAAATAAGTAGTATAAGAGAAACTAAAGAAGAATAAAAGAGCGAAGAAGAGGAAGAAACAAAAGGAACGAAGGAAGAGAGGAAACTATACTTTCATATCGCATTAGGAAAGCCAATATTCGTTGGAGAAAAAACGACCCTATTCAAAACTGGATTAGTCATATGGGCTTAACAATCTAGTAGACAACTCAAAATGGTGTTGGTCAATACTCCAATTTTGTCGTGTAGCTTCAATCATTAATGGAAAAAGAAAATTGAAATCTAGAATTCTGCAGGCGTCAGGATGTGATAACTTCTTAATCAATTATCACTATGTAACGCTCTCTTCGTAGATGTCATTCTATTGAGTATTGATGGCTGATCTGGAAACAATGATTGACTGACAACCGTTAAGAATTTACTCTTGTATAGCACGTGGTCGAGGGATTTCTTTCCGAACATGACATCTATCAACTTTTCATTTCAAAGCAGAAGGGGGGAAACGGAAAATGGAACAAATATAAGACAAAACATACTCATAGGCCATAGCGGTTATTTTCAATGTTGGATTCATCCCGTCGAAAAGTGAAGTGAGTGAATCCACATGTAGCTTGCAATATAGGAACACCTCTACAAAAAATTATGTTTAATCAAATTGAAAAGGTCGAATCAAAATTATTATTGTACAAATTTTGTTATTTCATGTTGTCTTGAAGTACGGGTTAACCCCGAAAATACTCTTGGTAATGATGTTAATACATGTCATTTACTCGAGAAATCGACTAGCAAAGAGACGTGACGAATGGAGCAAGGAAAAATTTCCCAAGTGCTTATGGCATCAGAATGAATGCATGCAAGGAGGCTTATCAAGATCTTAAATGTTTTCCCTTCTTTTCCTATTTTTTGTAGGAATTTTAACTCTCAAAATTTAAACTAGATGAAATTTATTTCTTAATTTTTTGAGATAAAATAGTTAACCATATATAACTTTATATGAGTTTACTGAGAGTTTAAATGACACTATGTGAAATGTCAAGAAAGAAATGCACTCCGTAAAAAAATGAGTTTTAAAGGACACAACTACAATAATAGATTTTGTCTTCAAGTCATTTTTAGAAAAGGGGTTGAAAATTGACAGTTTTACACGTGTTAGTATATTAGAAATAGTTGATAAATGATCTTACATATGTAATCTTTTTTTTTTTCTTCCTCCAATCAACACAAATTTAAGCAATACCAGAGAACAACAAAAATGAACAACAGGAGAAGAGAAAGAAATACAGAAGCAGGAAAGAAAAGAGGGAGGAAAACATATTTTCATATTGGTCTGTGGAAGTCTATATTTAAAGTTGGATTTGTTACAATTGCGCGAACATTTATCGAACACCTTTTAAGAAAATAAATTTTACACTACTATTTTGTTAGTAAAAAACAATTTTGTCGTATAATTTTGACTAGTACAATTGTGTTCCACAAAAATAGTTTCGACCACTCATAGATTAGGGACCAGAAGTCTATAGTTTTCGAAGTGTCAGCGAATAATACCTTATTGACTAATAGTGGTATGTAACGCTTTTTCCTTCCGCATTGCTAATCGAGGAGAATTCATTTCGAATAAGACACATGACTTATTTTCCCATAGCAAAAGCGAAAAATTACGTAGTCATAAGAGAACAAAAGAAGAATAAAAGAGCCAAGAAAATAAATAGATAAATAGATAAAGGAACAAACAAAGAGAGAGTAACTTTTTTTTTGTTCATATTGTGCTAAGAAATTTCATGTTTATCGGAGAAAACAATGCATATGCAAAGTTGGATTCGTTACAAGTGTTTTGATAAACAATTGAAAAGATGACAGTCAACACTATAATTTTGTCGTCTAGTCTCATCCCACAATTGCGTTCCGAAGAATAATCTCAACCACTAATACATTGGGGATTGAAGCCAGAATTTTGAAAGCGTCAGTAGATAATAACTTTCCACTACTAAATATACGTAACGCTTTCTTCAGTGATGTAATTTTATCGGTGACTTTGATCATAAGAGCTAATTGATTGACTGTGTGGTATTGTCTTTTGTTTCATAGGATTGAGGAGATTTCATTTCAAGTAAAACATTTAACATTGTTATTCTCAAAGCAAAAAGCGGAAAACTAAGTAGCATATGAGAAACTAAAGAAGAATAAAAGAGCGAAGAAGAGAAAAAAAAAACAAAAGGAACGAAGAAAGAGAGGAAACTACACTTTCATATCGCATTAGGAAAGTCAATATTTGTTCGAGAAAAAAAGACCCTATTCACAACTGGATTAGTCAGATGCGCTTAAAACTCTACTAGACAACTCAAAATGGCGTTGGTCAACACTCCAATTTTGTCGCGTAGTTTCAATCATTCATGGAAAAAGGAACTGGAAATCTAGAATTCTGCAGGTGTCAAGATGTGATAACTTCTTAATCAATTATCACTACTATGTAACGCTCTCTTCACAGATGTCATTCTATTGGTGGCTGATAAGGAAACACTGATTGACTGACAACCGTTAAGAATTTACTCTTGTATAGCACGTGGTCGATGGATTTCTTTCCGAACAGGACATCTATCAACTTTTCATTCCAAAGCAGGAGGGGGGAAATGTTACCATAGAGAACAAAAAGAACAAGCGACGGGAAAAAGGAAAACGAAACAAACATACGACAAAACATACTCTTACATTGACTGCGTAACATTTTATTTTCAAAAAAGCTGGATTCATTACAAGTCCTTGAACTTCTATCGAATAACTTAAAAAGACGATAATCTACACTATAATTTGGATGGTGGAGATTTCATTTGGTTCTTTTTTTTTTTCAATTGACAAGTATATGCTTACACTACTGTTGCACATCTAATTTTCCTTTCCCCTGCAAGCAAAATCACAAAATTAAGTAGCCATTGTCCATGGCAATTTATAGAGAAGAAAAAGAGAACCGAGAGAGTGAGAGTGAGGAAAACCGAAACAGAAACAGGGAAGAAAACAGCGGCTGTAGCGGGGACGGCACAAAAGGTCAAACAACCCAAAAACCGACGCCGATAGAGGGTTGGCACGTGCGTTCCATTTTCGCTGGCACGTGCACCATCCTATTCCTATTCCTAAGCCTTCCCCTTTCTATTTTTCTTTCCTCCCCTTCCCTTCTCATCTCATTTTCTTCCATCCTTTCCTCTGCCGTCTATCGCTTTCTCTCTGCCTCTCTGCGTTTTCCTCTCTCTCTCTCTCTCTGCCGCGCCGTACCTCAATATATATACACAAAGCCCTAAAGCCCCCTTCGCCGCCATCCAGCCCGCCCGCCATCGATCCCTTCGCCGCGTCTTCTCTTTTGTCCATTGTCGTCAATTATTGGGTTCTCAGGTAATTACTTCCCGCCTCTTTCTCTCAGTCCGCGCCGCTCTTTCAACCCAATTCTGGTTCTCTCTGAATTACCCTGTTTGGTTACGGGGAAGGCTCTTATTCGCCTCTTCGTCTCTGTGCTTCAGTTCATATTTTGGGGAAAGGAATGCTCAATTGAGCCGGGGATGATTCTGCGCTTCTCGCTTCTGTGTTATCTATAATTTCGTGTTTCCTCGTCATTCTTTTGGTTGTAGCTATTGATTTGTGTGTTTGTTATATTTTGAATTCTCTGGGCCTGGGGCCTCTTATTCCTGATGTTCTGTGATCTAATAAAGGTGTTTCTCGTAAAAACCCAACATTTGTGATGGATCGATTCATTGATTTCTCGTGTTGAGCTGGATTCATTAGTTTTGCTCTGTCTGTTCCTAATCATCATAGTATTTTTGCGTTCTTCTTCTCTTGGGTGACAAAGTGCGGATCTTCATATTTTTTGCTTGCTAGATTTGTAACATGATGGGATGATGGGGTCTTCTTTTCATTTTTATTGAAGGGTTGAATCTGTGCTCTGAATTTGGTTTTGCTTCGTCTTGAGTTTTTTTATCGGAAGGCTTTATCTATGGCAGCCCAGATTTTACGGTCTTAAATTTATTTGTCCTTTTTATTCAATCGGGACTTCAATTCTGTTGTTTTGTTTCAATCTGTCATGTTGTCTTCTAGTTTTTGCAATCGGTTAAAGTAAAGCCAAGTTTGAATCTGGCATTCACTTTTTGCTTTATCATGCTGCAATCTCCAAAACGTACTGATTTTCTGTTCAGGGTGAAACCGTCAAATTTGCTGCCTACTTTCTAATGTTTGTGGAAGAGGGAACGTGGTAGTTTTTATTCTTTGGCTTATTGATTGAAAGTCTCGTTGTTATTGGAAAACTTTGTTCAGCTTTAGTACTTGGTCTAATTGTTTTGTTTCTTCTTTCTTGTTGTGAAAACAGGATGCTTGGCTGCCTGGGTATTATAGTGGAGGAGATGTTTGGCTGCTAATGCTCTTGCTGTAGTTTCTTGGGAATTACTTATAAAGACAACAATGGATCGGTGTGATACATCCGGCTTTGTTAGCGGGGGTTGCACATGCTGGCTGGTCGACATCTTCTAACTTAGTTTTGTAGCTGATATTTGCAACACCCATAAGTCCGGTTTACTGTTTGTTGGTGTACAGTATTTAGGTTAGGAAAATTACTTCAAAAGTTGGGCGGCTGATTGATGGACAACAGGTTCCGGAACTTGGACTTTCCAGCTAATCATCCTTCAAATGCATTCAAGATCATGCAATTTGGAGGAGTCATTGGAGCTACCGATTCCAGGGCCGATACAGTTTTACGGCTAGATTCCCTTGGTTCTGCTGCACCATCTGTGCCACCCGCAAAGGGGATGAAGCGGAAATGGAGTTTAGTCAATGAATCAATGAATCAACGGATTTTTGGCTCTTCATTGTCTCTTGGGTTGGGCCGCTCATCAAGTTCATCAGATAGCAAAGGAAGTTCTCTCATGGGTTGCACTACAATTTCATCCGCCAAAGAAACCGACGAGGAGTCTTCCATGGATCTCGAGCTGGATTTCTCCCTCCATCTTGGCAATGGAAAAACTTTCAACCCAAAGAAGGCTCTCACTTCACGTAGTAAAGCTTTGGAATCCTTGTCCAAAGTTGACCTTGAATTGAGTTTGTCAACCGGACCTGCAGAATCCGAGATAACAAGTCTCCATGTTGTCTCCAATCATCACAAAAGTCCCCATGCTGGTTCTACTTCGATCGAGTTTCCCAAAGAAGTACCTCTTATGGCTGGTGGGCCTTTCAGTTTTGGGCCCCAATTGATTCCATTACAGATTCCTTGCAACGAAGATGGGGGCTTCCTTCTCAACAAAGTTCATCAACCTATCGTCCCCATAGTTCCAGTTCCTTCATCAAGTGTGGTAACACCAAATGGCTCAGTCACTTCTACTTCTGGGATTTCTCAGCGGTCTTTGCGTGGCTCGGGCTCTAAAACATGTCAAATTGAAGGATGTGAGAAGGGGGCTAGAGGTGCTTCTGGCCGGTGCATATCCCATGGTGGTGGTCGGAGGTGTCAGAAACAGGGATGCCATAAGGGAGCTGAGGGACGCACCGTGTACTGCAAGGCCCACGGAGGTGGTCGACGATGTGAGTTCCTCGGATGTACCAAAAGTGCAGAAGGCCGCACCGACTTTTGTATCGCTCATGGGGGTGGTCGGAGATGTAGTCATGATGGTTGTAGTCGTGCTGCTAGAGGTAAATCTGGGCTTTGCATCCGTCATGGTGGTGGGAAAAGATGTCAGAAAGAGAATTGCACAAAATCTGCTGAAGGTCTTTCAGGTCTTTGCATCTCTCATGGAGGTGGTCGACGATGTCAAGCACCTGATTGTTCTAAGGGAGCTCAAGGAAGCACAATGTTCTGCAAAGCACATGGAGGAGGGAAGAGATGCACAGCTGTAGGGTGCACTAAGGGAGCCGAGGGCAGCACACCTTTCTGCAAAGGTCATGGGGGAGGGAAAAGGTGTGCTTTTCAAGGGGGCGGGATTTGTACAAAGAGTGTCCATGGTGGGACCAACTTTTGTGTCGCGCATGGAGGAGGGAAGAGGTGTGCAGTTTCCGAGTGCACAAAGAGTGCAAGAGGAAGGACGGATTATTGTGTTCGTCATGGTGGTGGGAAGAGGTGCAAGTTCGAAGGGTGTGGAAAGAGTGCGCAAGGAAGCACTGATTTCTGCAAGGCGCATGGAGGAGGGAAGAGGTGCTCGTGGGGCCATCCTGGTTCGGGTAATGTGGGTGATGGTGGTGCTTGCAACTCTTTCGCCAGGGGCAAAACTGGTCTTTGTGTTCTTCACAGCGGATTGGTGCAGGATAAGAGAGTTCATGGGGGTATCACCTTGGGTACCATGGTCCAAGAGGATCCAAAAGCTCACAAGAGTGGCAAGATGAAGGAAGTCGTAATGACTCATGAGGATATGGTTTTAGATGTGGGAAAGATGGGAGTTACTACTAATGTCTCTTCAGAAGATGGAACTAGCTCAGAGTTTGAAGAATCTGGAGGGGAAGCAGACCATTCAACAACACCATCATCTGCAACAGAAGGCAGGGTCCACGGTGGTAGTTTGATGGCCATGCTGCAAACTGGTTCTTCTTGTGCGAGCTCGAGCGGCAACCGCCAGCTTGAGCAGAGTATTTCTTGCTCGGTACCTATCAAGTGGATGTGATTCCTGAATTTCTTGTTCCCAAAATACCTGCTGTCTTAGTTCTCATGTTTTGTTATTTGGTCTGGAGTCTGCGTAGTTGCTGAACGCTTTTAATCCCTTAAGCACTGAATGTTTTGATCGAATGTTGAGGAACATGTTGGGAATTGGAAGCCCGTTTGTCAGAGTTGTGATACCAAAGTAGGGTCTTAGTTAGCGTTCTGGGTCTGGGTAAGTACTTTGTGTTTGTGCTGTAAATATCTTCGTCATATAAACAAATGTCCAGCAGGGGTTAGTGTGTCGGTCAGTTGTATTTCTCTGTAATGTAAGGGTTGGTCGTTGGTTTCAGAACATTGTGGGTGGTGGTAATAAATCCTTGTAGTTGGTGTTAATTTCCAAGGTTGCTGTGATGCTTGAATTTGGCTATTGCAGCTCTGTCAGTTTCCATTTGCTGTGGTGTGTGCAAATCACAGGAAGCCAGAAGATATAAAGATGGACTAGCGGGATTGCTTCTGAAGATGTGATGATTGTGATACAGGTAAGAAATGAAACTTGAGTGAAGTTAGAAAGTAGAAACGAAGTTGTTGAGGGGGATAGAAAATGAGCAGTCAGTATATGATAAAGTAGAAATAAGGAAAATGCATACCAACCATTTTTCCTTCTCTTTACCCCTGTGGTAAAGCACTTTTTATTTTTATTTTTTGATGAAGTATTTTTCTTTCCTGAGTATTTGCAATAAGTTCCGCCACAAGATGAGTTTTTACTCGTTTATTTCACTTTAGCGGCCAAAAGATCTACGGGCTGCTATGAGTTATGCTGTTGTGCATTCCCAAAAGCTCATTGCTGGTATGCTTGAATTTGGCCATCTTTGATAGCTCATCGACAGCTTCAACCAGATGATCAAGCCTTGCTACCAACTCAACAAGCAAGGAAGTAAAAGTTGCAAGTGACAGCACTTCGGTGCTCCTCCATGCCATCATTTTTGGAAGAGGTTCTTCCTCCGACGGTGGAGCAGACTGCTGGATTTCCCCAGATGATGGCTCTCTCTCTCCACTGCTTGCTTGGACTGAGATTTTGCTGACGAACTTGGTATCTCGAGCCTGCTGCTTGGAATAGTTGTAGTCTGTCACTAGCAGCAAGTGAGAATGCATCTCCATTGCGCGTTGAAGATTCTCAGCAGAGTCATGGACTCTTTTCATGTTTCGAAGGCTTCTTCTCATGGTGCTTATATCTTTGCCCAGGTCACGGATGAGTGCCGCAGCTACATTGGCCATCTCCTGAATCTGTGACCTGAATATAATCCGCAGGTTGTGTGGCGCCTGCCAGGTAAAGAATGAAAACCACAAACCACATATAAAGATGAAAATGGTCCGTTTTGCTATTTCACGAAGCAAGAGTACCTGAATCTCGGAGTGCACAACACCATGAAGTGCCATAACTTCATAAGCACAGTACCTCAAAACTGCTCCAACTTTCACATATTCCGACCATGGGTACATGTGTCTGAACCTTCCATGTGGTGGCTCCCATTTCGCTGAATTCGCCTGAAAAATCGACCAAAAACCAAATCTCTATTACTACTGCAACTTGGAATCAGGCATGTCTTCAAGTTATGTATTATACATACACGCACCAGGGATTCAAGTTTGGCGGAGGAATTCGCAGCACTAGTACACTTCCTGTAAGCTGGTTCATCTGGGAACTCTTCCATCACAGTCTTTAACTCCAAATGCTCTGCCTCATCATCTTCCAAGTATTTCTTCACACATGCTAGCCATTTTTCAAATTTTGGGTTTTAATTATAAGCATCAATCAAGAATCTTAAACTATGGTTTTACTGATTAGTACCTTCGAGAGAGTCAGCAACTGAGTTGAAGCTGCCTACAAGCTCCCTATGCAGCTGCTCCCCTGCCCATATGGGGAATACCAGCACATTGACAGCAACTGCTACCACTGCTCCGATGGCAATGCAGTATAGCCGTTCCAATGCTGTCTGGATCGGGTTTCGGAGTCGGTATCCATACGCAATCACCAAGCAGTAAGTTACGAGCATGATCCTGAACCCGTAGTCGTATGGCACTAGTGATGGCCACAGTTTCATGAATGACGTTAGAGCACCTGCAAATGAGGTGGAAATCATGCGTAAGTTAAAATCCAAAATTCAAATTGTCATTCATTTTTTCACTAGAGCTCAGCTAAATTACCAATGATGAAGATGCTGATGGCAATCACAATCGGCTCAGCAGCGGTGCCCATGTGAATGGCCATCTCTGCAACTCCAATGGCCAACACCCCTGCCAACAGGCTTCCAAGCCCTCTGTTAAACCCTCGATTAAAAGTGGCACCTTTTGGCAGAAAACTCATTTGGGTTATCATCAGAATCAAATTGCATCATCATGGTAGCAGAGAAAAATCGATCCGAACTGTCGCCAGGACGGTTCGTTCGTGACCTACCGACGGTGTATTCGAACATGATGGTTACGGTGAGGATAGCCCAGACGATGTTGATCCCAAAGACGTGGTAAGGCGCATTGAGGAGAACAAGGAATGACACCAAAACTGCAGCCAGCCCTGCTTTGCAAGAGAAGGTTACTCTGTTCCTGTCTTCCTTGGCAAAATCCCATACTCGCTTCAACAAAACAGGACCCGAGTTGGCGATCGTAGGTCGAACCGGCCTGGTCGCTCCGATGGTGGCATCACCATCGTCCCCCTGTCGTTGATGATCGGAGGATTGGGGGATGGGAGTCGGTCTGGATAGCAGTATGTTGATCTCCACATGATCATTGCCGCCACAACTACTGCTACTACAACCGGTAGGCTTTTGCATAATCATGTTATCTCTCACATGTAAAAAAACTGTTAACTTGTTTGCAACTTTTCTTTTGTTGTTTGTTCTTCCTTCATCTCAAGTATCCCTGCTTCTTTGGTCAAATTGGAAAGCTTAACCGATTGAGAATATACAGGGGGCGATTCTTGTGGAAGAGAAGAGCGGAATTCATATTGAGAATATATAGGGGTCGTTTTTAAAGGAAGGGAAGAGTGAAATTCATGGTAAGATGTTTGAATTTTTCTTGTTAAAAAAAGAGTGACACTGTAATTAGAATTATAAATTTAATAAAAACAATAATTAAGTATTATAACGATATATTTTGTGGTATCAAAATAACGTAAATCACTAGAGTTAATTTAATGATAAAAGAGGTAGCAAAAGAAACAGTAAATTTGGGACAAACACGATTTCAATGAGTTCGAAAGCTGCTACACATTCAAACACTAGGGCGTACTCAAGTAGCAAGATATGACGTTGTTACACAGTATTTGTGGTTCAATTCTTATATAATTATCTTTGTTTAAGGAATTTTTCGAATGATCATACTTAGAATCGTGAGGTCGAAATGCTCAGTCCAATTAATGTATGTGATATTCATATGGAGTATAATACCCGGCTCGATACCGTCAAGAATTACTGACTGTTGCGTGGGAACAGGTTCATTTTTGAAGTATTTTTCCCTTCCAATATTTTTCCATTGGGGCTTCCCTCATTCCGTTTATCGAGCATAATGATGCTAATCGGAACTACTTGACGTTGCATATTTGAACTCATCAAAGCTCGATTAGCATCATTATGCTCGATAAACGGAATGAGGGAAGCCCCAATGGAAAAATATTGGAAGGGAAAAATACTTCGAAAATGAACCTGTTCCCACGCAACAGTCAGGAATTCTTGACGGTATCGAGCCGGAACAACCTTCTCCTCTTGAACACTTCGATTGATCGCCAAAGAATTTCTTACCGCTACCATAGAGTTCTTTTTGGATATTCCTTTGTAATTCTTCGAGTTTTTTAGGTTTACCCTCTATTAATAATTTTGGAAATCCCATATATATTATGACCATAATCACGTCGATTCGTTTTTTAATCTCTATACGTGAAATTCCCTCAACACCAGAAAAAAATTTCATATTTTTTTGTACATAATTCTTGATACAGTTTCTTATTTTTTGATCTTCTTGTAGACCTTCAGAATAATTTTTTGGTCGTGGTGGAAAAATCGGATTGTTCGGGGGAGCTGGGGTATGTAAAACAGTACTAATTATGGAATTAATAATCAACATTGCGAAAGCTCATGGGGTGTATCCGTCTTTGGCAGAGTAGGCGAACGTACTCGTGAAGGAAATGATCTTTACATGGAAATGAAAGAATCCGGTGTAATTAATGAAGACAATATTGCAGAATTCATAGTAGCTCTAGTCTCTATATTTTTATGTTTATGAGTTGAGTCTATTTTTATGTTATTTCGTACTGTACAATTCCTTTTTTGTGGGATCTTTTTCTCATGAGAGGTAATTAAAAGAAATTCTCAGGAATTCTTTCCAATGCCTGTTGAATAATTTTTACGGATTCCGTCATTTCACCAATTCGGACTAAATAACGAGCTAATGAATCTCCTTCTTTTTGCCACGGAACTTCCCAATCAAATTCGTCGTAAGACTCATAATGATCAACTTTACGAAGATCCCATTGTACTCCGGAAGCTCGTAGCATTGGTCCTGATAAACCCCAATTTATTGCTTCTTCCGCGCCAACAATCCCTACCCCTTCAACTCGTTCTAAAAAAATAGGATTTCGCGTAATGAGTTTTTGATATTCAGTAACTCTTGTTAAAAAATAATCGCAGAAATCCAAACATTTATCTATCCAACCATGAGGTAAATTAGCTGCTACTCCTCTGATATGAAAAAAATTATGCATCATTCTCATACCAGTGGCAGCTTAGAATAAATCATATACTAACTATCCTCATGAGTAGAAGTTTGGTTTCAAACCACGGTTCGAACAGGAGAAGTACGCCATGCTAATGTGCCTTGGATGATCCACATCCCCGGGTCAGGCGTTGATGAGCACATTGAACTATCCATGTGGATGAGAGCCCTTACAGCCCAGGCACAACGACGCAATTATCAGGGGCGCGCTCTACCACTGAGCTAATAACCCGTCGTGCGGGGCCCCGCTGAGGGCCCGCTATGCCAAAAGCGAGAGAAACCTCATCTCTCTCTTTCCTTTTTACGTCCTCATGTCGCCACGCGAGGGGGACATGGGGACATCTAATGTATATGATGGTGTAATAATACCCCATAAAATGTAAAAGGTTAGCATTTTAATAAGGGGGTGATGGAAGGAAGATATTTTTTTTTTAACTAATAGAAGGCAATGGTTAACCCAAAATTTGGCTTTTCTATCTTTCTCAACCTAGTCACTAGATTAACCCAAAATTTGGCTTTTCTATCTTTCTCAACCTAGTCACTGGTTACGTTTGACACGTTATTAAAAAACTAACAACGTTAATGGAGTTTGAGGAAAATTGACAACAAATGATTAATGGTGTAACTATTTTTACAATTAATGACGAATAAGAAAAAAAAATTAATTCGATTGGGAAATGTGAAAAATTTATGTAATTTGAGTGATGAAATTGTTAGGTTAGGGAAGAGATGGTACCAACTAAAAAGATAGTTATGCCAAATATTTTATGGACTTTGCAACCCTCCATAAGAGAGAAAATTATATTTCATCCGATTTAATTCGTTTCTGTATGGACCAAATCTTATCAATATTACCTTCTATTCTAATTTTTTTCTCCCGATCATATTACCTTCTAATAAACTTACCATCTTCGTAAATTCAAAATTCTAAGAGAAAAAAAGAAGAAGAAAAAAAGAGAAACGTAGCACCCGGGCTAAGCTAAAAGATGCCCCAAGTCCATATTTGTGGCCCAAATGATTAGCAAAGGAAAGTACTAGCAGGCCCAAGTCCATAATCGTGTTTCTTCTTATAAAACCTCTTCACAGTTGAATTTGGCCAAGTCGGCAAGCCCATCGACGGCTTCCACCAGGTGATCCAACCTCGCCATGAACTCAATTAGCAACGAAGTGAAAGTCGCCACCGAAAGCGCCGCCTTCCGTTGTTCAAAGTTCCCTATAATCAACTGCGACGACATTTTATCATCATTTTCGTCGCCATTTGTCGGCGGTAATGCTTTAGCAACGACGGCGCGTTGAAGCCGCTCGGCCGAATTATGGACCCCTTTTAGCAACGAACTTCTGATGGTGTCGCCAATTCTCTTCATGTTGCTGATCTCCTTCCCCAAGTCCCGAATCACCTCCGTGGCTTTCGTCACTGCGTCTTCAATCTCTGACTTGAATGTGATCCTCACATTATATGGTGCCTGTATTTATGTTAATTTTGTTTGTTGGATGGCAAGAATTTATTATTTATGAATATTCCCTTATCATGTTATGGGTACCTGAATTTCAGAGTGAAGAACACCATGAAGTGCCATGACTTCATAAGCACAGTATCTCAGGACTGCTCCAACTTTCACATACTCTGACCATGGATAGAAGAAGTGCCTAAACCTGCCATGGGGCGGCTCCCATTTCGCCGAATTCGCCTTCACTTAGCCATACATTGTAAAGTTCAATCATATAGGTAAGGATGTTTGAATCAGACAAAATGTGGCTTGATGAATAAGTTGATTTTGCTACCAAGGATTCAAGTTTTGCAGAGGAATTGACTGTGCTTCTACATTTCGTGTACGCCGGCTCGTTCGAGAACTCATCCATCACTGTCTTGGTGAACTCTGGATGAGCTAGCCTCTCATCTTCCAAGTATTTCTTAACACATTCTACATTGGGACATAATTTTGATGTCATTAGTTTCTGAATCCTTCTTTTTAAGTGTTTTATCATCTTGTTAGTGGAGTACCTTCAAGAGCTTCTGCAACTGCATTGAAGCTAGCAACAAGCTCCTTGTGGAGTTGCTCCCCTGCCCAGATGGGGAAAACTAGAACATTCACAAGAACCGCTACGAACCCTCCAATGGCGATCGAGTAAAGCCGGTCCATGGCAGTTCGAATTGGGTTCCCCATCCGGTATCCGGAGACAATGATCAAGCAGTAGGTGAAAAGAATGACCCGGAATCCATACTCATATGGCACTAGTGATGGCCATTGCTTCATGAATGATGTAATAGCACCTTCAATAATCAAGGTTACGTTGTTAAATGTTTTGATGAGGGTTTATATATTATAGAAGTAATTAACAAAATGTTGTGTAAGAGATGATACCAACTAAGAAGATGGTTATGCCAATTATGATGGGTTCTGCAACCCTCCCCGAGTATAGAGCTAGCTGACCAACACCAATGGCCAGTACACCAGCTAGCAAGCTTCCAAGTGCGCGATTGAATCCTCGATTGAACGTTGCACCTTTGGATATAGGAACATGAACAATTTAAGGTTAAGGAGGTCTAGTAATAGTCATTAGCTTCGTTTGTGCACTGATAAGGTGACATGAAAAGAAGAAAAAAATTGTACCAACAGTGTATTCAAACATGATAGCAACAGTGAGGATGGACCAGATGATGTTGGTGCCAAAGATGTCATAAGGTGCTCTGACTAAAATGAGCAATGACACAAGTAGAACAGCTAGTCCAACTTTGAATGCGAATGTGACTCTGTTGCTGTCTTCTCTCACAAATTCCCACAACCTCCTGGTCCAAGCTTGGCACGATGACGACGAGGCTGTGGATGAGGATGACAATGCTCCACTCTTGGATTTGGTAGGCGCCTTAGGCATGGATGTTAATGGTGGTATGTTGATCTCAACATGATGATGACAACTTCCCTTCTTTCCATTCATTTCTCTTCCAGATGCTTAGGAGGAAGAGTGAGTGATATGAATGAGAAATGGGGGAGATGGGGGGAGAGTGATTTATAGAGTTGAGGCTGAAGAGAGAGGCTACCATTTGAAGCAAGTAGTGCAGAGTAAGGAGAAAAAGGAATAAGCTGCAATTACAGAAGTGAAGATGGGAACTACTAATGCAAATCTCATCAGGATCAAAGATTATGCTTAGCCTCAATAATGCATACATGAATAAAAGAACAACATTCTTCTTCTGTCATTTTCCAAGGTATCTATTCAATCTTTCATCTCTAGATCGCCTTTCGATCCTTCTAAGACAACGTAGCTAACACCAATTTAACGCGCTTTAGTGTCTGCGTTATCCAGTGGTGCAAGCAAATCTCAACAGGATATCAGAAAAAAAAGATGCTTAGCCTCAATAATGCATGCATGAATTCAGGAACCAGAATCATACTGTTTAAGGCATGTTGGTAGTAAAACATTTAAACATGTAATCTTAGGGTCAACATTACTGGCATCAAATGGTATTCTCCATGTACTAGTAACTTTGATCTTCAGAATGAATGCTGCTTAACATTTTACCTTTTGGGAATGAGACAAAACCCAGGAGGGGAGCAGAATAATTTTGGGAAAGCACCAAGCCAAAGTGTTGCTTGTTTGGGGAGCTAGCAAGCTAGCTAAGGATGTCACTGATTGTGGGGGAATATTAACATTGACTAAGACATAGGAAACTCTGAACGAACAGCACTGTAGTGTTGTTCTCTGTCCTGTTTCAAGGTATCTATATATTCAGTACTACACAATCTTTCATTTCATTTCTACCAGGCCATCAGCTCGATCCTTTTCATGCTTCAAGATCGACACGGGATTAACACCAATGTGGATCACTGAGCACTAGGTGATGATGAAGCTGCATATATGCTTACAAATCGTCAATCTATCAGACAAATTAGAAAGATCTGAAATGTGTGCATGCATGGCAGGGAGGGAGGGCGGGCGTCACTTTGTGATCCTGGAATTCATTCTTATTCCAAAAACTGTGCAGTTCTCTCACGAAATCATCCAAGTAGCTAGCGGGAGGAAATTGAGAAGGCAAATTGCAGAGGTGAATTCAAAAAGAAACGTGACAAAACATAGTGTGTTGACATCAAGTTGATTGGTTGAGGAATATATTCCAAGTGCTCAGTGTGAGCAAGCAAAGCAATTCAGGTGGAGAATTCTGTGATCATATATACATGCGAATGAGAGACTGTGTGTTGTATCTTTTTCATGCCATCAGAATCCAGCCTCCCTCGGTTATTTACTCAACCAACAAAAATAATGTGCAGCAGCCATCCAGACGACATGATTACATGCATTGGTTTCCTGTATCAGGTAGATGGTCACTTCCTTTACAAAAGCATGTAATTCTGATTCTGCCACAATTTTGGTGCAGTTTTTTTTTTTTTTTTTTTTTTTTGCCTTGGTGATTTTGACAACATATGTGATTATTATATCTTGTTGAACGTTATCAACAATCTGCGTTTGTAGTCCAACGGTTAGGATAATTGCCTTCCAAGCAATAGACCCGGGTTCGACTCCCGGCAGACGCATCTATATTTTTTGCTATTTTTTCATTAACTGTCTGGAAATAGAATTTGGTTATGGTATCTCTGTATCAGCATCGAAAGCGTTCAAGTTCGCTTTGGAGAAGCAAATATGAAAGGGTTTTTGCAGGTAAAAACCCAACAATGGATTATTATTTTTCTACCAACGTGCAAAGGCTTGGATTAATGTGGGTCAGCATTGCTTTGAACAAAGGCAATTTCCTCCACAATGGGAGGCCAGGCCAGTCCACCAGGGAAAGTGCAGCAACATGTTTCGTGGGAAGCCCCTTCAATTGATTGAGTTGCTTTAAACACAGATGTTTCTTTTTACTCTAACTCAGGCAATGCAGCGGCTGGAAAGACTAATTGAGAGATTTCACAGGAAGATGTCTGGCAGCCTTTACTTCCAATCTGGGAACATGTTCTATCACGCAAGCTGAACTGCGAGGTGCGTTGGGTCAACCTTCAATTTGATTCCCTTAGTGTAGTGCAGCTGTTACACAATGACATATCCGTGGGCAGTAAATATCCAACATGTTTATTATCGAGAATTCAATAAGCGTGCCGATTTTCTGACTAATCGGGGGCATGCACCTTCTCCCTTTTCTTTGTCAAAAAAAAAAACCTTCTCCCTTTTGGTTTTCAGAGTGTTTGGTTGATGGTTAAGAAATTCTTCCGTCCGATAAAAGGAGGGTGTATAAGTTTTTTTATTTAATTTTAAGAACGAGTGCTTTATAAGTTGGATGCGAGCAATTGGTGAAATTTGACGCTTTTTAAAGGAAGTTGATATATATATAACCCGTCTACTAAAGAATTAAGTTTTGAAATATAACTCGTTCTTTGTTGTCCAAAACAAACTATTTAATTTTTTTTATTTTCTAATTACTCCAAAGTCTTAAAAGTTGAATTAATAGAATGTACTTTTTCTCATTCTATCTCATCTCAGAGTATCCATTTGCTTGAAACGAATATGCCTCCAGTTAGCGGTGGGCAAACGGTTCGGTAAACCCAAATCGAACCAAAACCGAATTAAATCGAACCAAAACCGAATTAATGTTATTTGGTTCGGAATTTGGAAGGAAAATATGGATAGTTCAGAAATTAGGGTTCTTTCAACAGAACCGAATTTTCGAATTTCCGACCGAAAATCCGAAATACTATAATTGCAAGCTCCAAATGGTGGATTTTTATGTTTGCAGTTGTTTTTAGACTTAAATATTTGAAATGTTTTATGACTTATGTGTTGAAAAGTTTGGTTTTATGATTGATGATGCATATAATTGATATTTATTGTTTATATTAGGGGTGAAAAATAATTTAAAAGTGAGAAAATACAAGTAGTCACAAATTCGGTTTTGTGTGAAAAACCGAACCGAACCGAATTATAGTTCGGTTCAAATCGACCGAACCGAATTATAATTTGGTTCGAATTCGGTTTGAGGTTTGAGAGAATGCGGGGACCCAGTATTCATAATTTCGGTTCGGTCGAAACCAAACCGACCGAATGCCCACCCCTACCTCCAGTTACTCTATTGCCTCCTATAATTCTTCCATATTGCAAATAATATTTTTTCTGACACAAATCTTTCAAAGCTTGTCTCGAGAGGAAGCTTATATTGATAACCATTTTAAGGTAAAAACGGGTATAAGTAAGAATATGATATCTCTAGTTACTTAAGTCAAATATATCTTTCATAAGGTTAATTTTACTTCTAGTTACCACATCACAAGGTATGTTCATTTAAAATAAGTCAACTGAAAAAAGACATCTATTATCCTTCTACTTTTCTCATGACAATACATTGATAAAATTGAGAGACGAGGTGAGTATAATGATATATAGTTGTATTTTTCTGGTACAAAAGGGAAGACAATGAGTAGGGTGAAGTGAGTACAATGGTAGTCGTACATAATTGTATTTTTCGAACACAAATCACAACATGTTTACTTGAATCCATATAAATTATTTGAGAATAATATCCACACATTGTCAATTGATAACATGGACTATGCGAGTATTTTGTGGGTATATGTTTTTATTGCAAATACTATGTTATGAACAATAAGGAGTTATTAACACTATTACTCGATCTAACTTAGAATTATACTCATCGAGTCATGATTAGTATTTCTAGTCTCATCACTCCTCGTATTTCGAAATCCAAGAATCTGCATACTATCTAAAAATCTTACTCTTGCCATTGCAAATTAAATTGAATGCAGTCAATCTATAGTGAATAAATCTAAGTGATTCTCTTAACATATATATTCTAATTTTAATACCCATGATGCACGCCCTTCTTCCTCTCTACTTTCCAAATCGAGACATTCATCCAAGAAATTTGTCAAATTTTTTACATCCTATGTATTTTAATTTTTAACATTATCACGGTTACTACAACATTCTAGGTTGCTCGAATAGTCAGAATATAATCCATAGAATCATTGCAATTTGCAATCAATAATTTATTATATAAATATATACAATTTTCTACTTTGCTCCAGTTTAACTAATCTCTATGATTAAGCAAAGAATAGGACTAATCTGTCAAATCAGTATATTCCTCAAAATGAAAATGCGCCATTATTAGTTAGTTAGTAATTCGCCGAGGTAGACCAATAAGTACCTCATTAACTGCCAAATGGCAATTAGTTGGCCGGCCTGCTGAGTCCACACACAAATTTCCGCTGTACCACCTCACACAGTAACCCAAACTCTTGAAGGTTGTTATCGTAAATTGCCCCCTTCCCTGCCTCCACCTTCTCCGTCCGATCAAGACACCGCTGCGCAAAAATCTCCAGACAAAAAATCTTGCCCATCCAGAAAAACGCTCCCGCCTCCGGTCATCTTTCCTTCCTTCCCTTTTCACCGGCTGTCTCCCTCTGTTGACTTCCGGATCTGACTCCTTTTCAACTCAACCCCATTCCTCACCCCCTCGCCGGCATGGGTAGCTGTAACAGCGTGCCTTCCTCCTCCTCCGCCACCGGTGGCGGACGCACCAACGGGATCACTGTCCTCCCTCCAAACGCCGCCGCCGCGCCCCGCCCTCCCCCGCCGCCGACCCACTCGCAACCAGCCTCTTCCGACCACCCCGCCCCCTCTGCCGGCGTCGGCCGCGTCCTGGGTCGGCCGATGGAGGACGTACGGTCCACTTACATATTCGGCCGGGAACTGGGTCGGGGCCAATTTGGAGTTACCTACTTAGTTACCCACAGGGAGACTAAAGAGCAGTTCGCCTGCAAGTCAATCGCATCGAGGAAGCTGATCAATCGCGACGACATCGAAGACGTCCGCCGCGAGGTGCAGATTATGCATCACCTGACCGGCCACCGGAACATAGTCGAGCTGAAGGGTGCATACGAGGATCGGCATTCGGTTAATTTGGTGATGGAGCTTTGCGCCGGCGGGGAGCTCTTCGATCGGATCATCGCCAAGGGACATTACTCCGAGAGGGCAGCAGCTGGGCTTTGCCGGCAGATGGTCACGGTGGTGCACAATTGTCATTGTATGGGGGTTATGCATAGGGATTTGAAGCCGGAGAATTTCCTCTTCTTGAGTACCGCCGAGGAATCGCCTCTCAAGGCTACTGACTTCGGGCTCTCTGTGTTTTTCAAGCCAGGTAGGGAATCTTTTTAGTTGTTGCAATCTTTGAAAGTGTCGAGCTGGCTGGATTCCCATCTTTGTCCGGTGAGCTCTGGAATTGGGAATGTTTGGCTTGTTATGAAGGTTTGATCCTTTTCAGTTGATCTGCCATTGCAGGAGATGTGTTCAAGGATCTCGTTGGAAGTGCATATTATGTAGCTCCTGAAGTTTTGCGCAGAAGCTATGGTGCTGAGGCTGATATTTGGAGTGCTGGGGTTATCTTGTACATTCTACTTAGTGGAGTTCCGCCATTCTGGGGAGGTATGATGCTTTGGGACATTTTGGTAGGGAGAACTTTGAACTTCTGAGAGATTTTAGAACATTCAATTCTGGCAATTTCCTCGTTGGTTTATGGTGTTGGCCACATTTGCAGAAGTAAAATTTTCATTGGTTGCTAGTGAACTTGCTAAATTAAGCTAGTAGAACTGCAGCTGATGTTCGTTATGGTCCATGCTCTAAGTGTTCTTGGTCCTTCCTCCCCTGCTAGCATCTCATCTTTGGCTTCTGTTCTTTGGTTTGCAGAGACAGAGCAGGCTATCTTTGATGCTGTTTTGCATGGGCATATTGATTTCTCTTCAGAGCCATGGCCTTCCATATCAAGTAGTGGTAAAGATCTCGTCAAGAAGATGCTGAGGGCTGATCCAAAGGAAAGGCTATCAGCAGTTGAAGTGCTCAGTAAGTGTCATGTCCCTAATGCAGATGCAGAAAGGGAGAGTCATTTGACTTCCTTGGACGAGAGAAGTCATGTCCCTTGAGGCCTTGACTTCCTTGGCTTCTGAAAATGAGGGAGAGACGTTTGACAAGAGATTGAATTTTTGTTCTGCAGATCATCCATGGATGAGAGAAGACGGTGATGCATCCGATAAGCCTATTGATATTGCTGTTTTATCAAGAATGAAACAGTTCAGGGCTATGAACAAGCTAAAAAAAGTAGCTCTGAAGGTATGCCCTCATATTGTTTTGCTTGCCTACGCTTTTTCCTAGCTTCTGAGGTATAGTTTAATCTCTCCTCATTTTCTAGGTAATCGCAGAAAATCTTTCCGAGGAAGAAATCATGGGGTTAAGAGAAATGTTTAAATCCATGGACACGGATAACAGTGGAACCATAACTTACGAGGAGTTGAGGGCTGGTCTTCCAAAGCTCGGCACCAAGCTGTCCGAGTCTGAAGTCAGGCAATTAATGGAAGCGGTATAATCTCTGCTCCTTTCTCATGGTTTCTTATCTTTGCATGAACTTAGCATTGCTTCAGCCATGGAGTAAAAGACCATTGATGGTAGTGTCAAATGTGATCTCCTCTCTTTAGGCGGACGTGGATGGAAATGGAACAATTGACTACATAGAGTTCATCACCGCAACCATGCACTTGAATAGAATGGAAAGAGAGGATCACTTGTACAAGGCTTTTGAATATTTCGACAAGGACAAGAGCGGGTATTCTTACTGTCTCAATGTTTTTCATGTAATTTTATGGATTCTCTTCCCTCTACCAAATCTTTCTTTTCTATGCCTCTGTCTTGTTCTAGGTACATCACCATGGAAGAGTTGGAGCATGCGCTTAAGCAATACAACATGGGTGATCCCAAAACGATGAAGGAGATCATTGCAGAAGTAGACACTGACAATGTATGTGTTCTGGTTGTTTCGGTTTGTCGTGCTTTCTATGCACACACAATCATGGAGGGTCGGATCTCTGATATGTTCTTTTGACAGGATGGAAGAATCAACTACGACGAGTTTGCAGCAATGATGAGAAAAGGCAGTCCAGAGTTGGTCCCCAACAGACGGCGCAAGTAAGCTGATGGTATCCGTCTGAGATCCATTCTCGACCACTTTAAGGTTTTGTAATGCATTAGGAACGAGTGTCTGTTGTTGAGAGAAGAGTGTGTTTGGCACATTGACTGTTTCACAATAAACGCGATAGTAAATTCCTCTTTACATTTGTTTTTTTATTATCAGTGTCCGAGAGCAATGAGCACCCATATCTGCTATCTTTTCCCAATTGCATTATGACGTGGATTGGAAGTCATCAATGTCATTGATGTAATTATGCAAGCTTTCGTAGAAAGACCAATTGCAATGCCAACGTAGATGGACATCATAGGGGGTCTGGTCCTATTTTACTTTGTGTCATTTAAATGAATTAAAATATACTTGATATGAGTTAATTTTTTTTTAATATGCAATTATAAATGAATTTCATTAATGTAGGGGTAATGAAATTCAAATGAGTTAGATTGCAAAAATTTGATGAGGCGTCGATAGAAATCACATCGCAATTGACTTTGTAATTGTATGGATGTTGATGCTCTAACAACAACCTTATTTGATCTTCACTCTATGACTAGTCATGAGCTATATTTTTGTGTGCGGCACGCGAAGCGTGGTCGAGGCTTAGAGATGAACAAAAAGAGCTGCAACCCAAATCTACTCGTTCTATTGATCTATTCGATTCAATTCATTTATATTTACGGTTCAAAATAAGATTTAAGGTTGAGTTAGCATTTTTTTACGAAATCCTTCCTTTTGAGTTGGGTACCGGTTTTGCCTTTAAGTTCGTTTCATTGGTGGCGCGTTGGTGGTCGGAGAGCTGGAAGAAGGTTCGTGGACTGTTAGGGGACTGAGGAAGAAATGGGCTACCAACTAACTGGCAATGTCGCAAACCACTCGAGTGTGTATGACAGAGAGCAACCATACCTTTTTCCATCCAAAAACCAAGTCTTACGTTGTGCTTCCATTTCCACGTCGATTTCTTCATCGTATGCTGTTGAAATATACTAGTTCACTTTGCGCATAAAATTTTGTGTTTAGTTTAGATAAATATTTCTAATTTGTTGTAAAAGCGCCTGTTCACGTATATTGAAGTAGACTATTCATTTTTGTTTGGTATTGAGTTAAACTTTTTCAACATAATGTTTGTCTAAATATGTTTTAGAGTTGGCTGTCCATTGGGCGACAAAAAAACTCTTCTTTGGCATGTCAATCAGTAAGTATTAGTTGTACTATTTATGCTGGTCCTAATGTCTATTTTTATTCAATTTTTTTCCGTATTCTTTTATATTATCCAAACATATTAAAATGTTATTAATTAGCTAATCTTTCGTAATGCATCAAAGTATTAGCTATTTTTACGTTATCGTTAATATTTTTGTAACTCTTTATTAGTTAAAATACTAAAATTTTGAAATGTTGGTCTTCATATGTCTCTTCCAATTCGGTATCATATTGACAAGTCAATATTACTAACAAAATTGCTAACTGAAATTAACATTTAGCTAATTTTTAACATTTTGATAAATTTAGATGATATAAAAAAAAATTGAATAAGAAATAGACATTACTCATTTACAATTTATATAAATAAAGTTCACATTATTGACTGTAATTGTCTAATTTTAACTGTATTTTAATAATTCTCGTAATTTATCCTAATTCTCATATTTTACACGTAGTTTCCTCGTCTCCTCGACGACAGCCGATAAAACTCTTATACTTTGATGATTGATATCTAACATATTTCCCCCCAATTTGTACTATTTACTGTTTTTCTTCAGCATACACACTTCCTTGCCTTCTTCCCGATTTGTAGATTTACTTCTCCTCTTGCTGGTTCTCTCGATTTGCACAGCCTTATCTTCGTCTTCCCCAAAACCCTAGCTCTTAAGAGCTTTTCTACATAAGCTCCGAAACAAGGCATAATCCGAATCCCGTAAATCTTGTTAGATTCGGGTTGCACTCTCGTCACCCAGCTGCTGCTCTAGGTCCAGTGTTCTTCCCGACAAAATCATGGTAACTGTCTCAATCCCCTGTCTTTTTAATAATCTATTAGATTCCAATTTGGACCCATTTGCATATCGATTCTCTTCGGCTTGGCATATTCGAAAGTTACTCAATGATCTCCACTTCGTCGTCAATACGTAGACAAGACTTTCATTGAGGTCGGAGTTGGAACACATTATGTAACCCGTTCGTGGGTAGTTTCCGTTGATTTCCGCTCAATTGGAGAGATATCAAATACGTTCGGCATATGATGAATTTGAGTGTTTGACTACCTTAGGCATTGTTCGTGTTACTTCCAAATCTTGGGACTCCTTTCCAATGTTGTGGTCTTTTGGGGTTACTGAAAGATTCTTCCTTTCCGTTTTGGGAATTCCGAATTTCTGATGGGTACTTAGCTTTTTGCTTTTGTTTTTTTCGTATCTGGAATGCATATGGAACACGATCAATTGCAGAAAGACCCGATGTAATATTTAAATCCGAAAGAAACGATGGCATTTTCATGCTTGCTAGAAGTAGCTGCACTGAGCTTGCTTTAGATATGAAGTTTGAGTCTTAAATAGCAGAGATATTCTGCATCATTTCAGAACTTGATTTATGCTGAACCTTTTGTCGAACTTAGTGTTCTCTCTTTTTGTTATTTAAGCAGGATGAGAATAAAACTCGGAGCAAGCATTCCCTTTTGTTAGTGTATCAGAGCTTTGGCATAGTGTTTGGGGACTTGGCCACTTCCCCTCTCTATGTCTATAGAAGTGCATTTGCTGGAAGGTTGCGCCATTATCAATCTGAAGAGGCAGTTTTTGGGGCTTTCTCCGTCATATTTTGGACCCTCTCTTTCTTTTCATTGTTTAAATATGCCGTCTTCATGCTTAGTGTAAATGATAATGGTGAAGGTAATGAGCTGGATCAAATTTACTGGATTATTAAACCATTTGTTTTTTTTCTGGCCAAATAGATACATTATGATCCTATTTGTTGATTTTGCAGGTGGAATTTTTGCTCTATATTCACTTCTTTGCAGGCATGGGAAGTTTTCTTTGCTCCCTAATCAACAAGCTTCAGATGAGGAGCTTTCAACTTATCAGCATGCGGGTTACTCAAATAGAAGTGTGCCTGCCTCTTCGTTCAGAAGGCTTCCTGACCGTGATAAGAAGTCAAAGTTAGCTCTACTTATACTGGTCCTGATGGCTGCTAGTATGGCCATGACTCTTGGTGTCCTTACACCAGCTATATCTGGTGAATTCAGTGTTTTTGGTTCATCAGTTCTACTTCCACTTGGTTTTCTTGTTTTCCTTATCCCTTTATTGTCTGACAGTTGATCTTATGCAGTTGTTTCATCCATCGAAGGACTCAAAGTTCAATCCAATGATCTGAATCACAGTGAGTAGTTGTTACTTGTGAAAGTTTGATTACTCTTATTTGACATTTTAATGCTGGAATGGTAATGATGCACACCTTAGATGTTAGTTCCCGTTGGATAGAAATTTTATTTTCCTATACACGATTACTAGAATTCTGAGTAGAATTTTTTAGCTAACCCCTCAGAGTTCCCATTGTGGTAGAATATTGTTGATTATGACATAGTTAAGTGAATTATAAGTATAAAATTTGCTATATTATCATGATAGGCATTTTTCAGTAACTTCTCTGAGCTGGTTAAACATAATTTAAGTTTGATGCATTCCAAAAGGTCTAGTTAGTTTTCAATTCCGGTGGCTTAAAGATTTTGTCAAGAGTGGAAGCCAAGATAAACCAATTAGTATTCTTCTAAAATTTTACTGCATCCATCAAAACTACTCTTATGTTTCATCTTCTTGTGGACTGTTCAAGACACTGACACATTTTATGTGTATACAGGAATTATGGTTGCCCTTGCAGGTGTTTTATTACTCAGCCTTTTCGTTCTGCAATATCAAGGCACACATAAGGTGGCTTTCATCTTTTCTCCAGTTGTTCTTCTGTGGCTGTTGTCCATTGCCGCTCTTGGTGTCTACAACATCATGCACTGGAATCCTAGAATATACGAGGCTCTTTCTCCAATATACATCTACAGGTTCTTCAGACTCACTGGAATCGATGGTTGGATTTCTCTTGGAGGTGCATTATTATGTATCACTGGTAATATGCCTCTCTGTTATATGTTAATTTTCTCGGGCATTATTATCTTCAGCAAACCTAATGCATTTTTAACTGCAGGAATTGATATTTTGTTTACTGAGGTTGGCCAGTTTTCAGCTTCATCGATAAGGGTATGTTGGAACGTGAACTCATGTAAACTAGGAATTCATACTTCTCCTCTTTGAGGTAAAAAAGAAGCGCCATGTAAAAGTACTATTTGTTTTTGCAGGTTGCTTTCTGCTTCTTTGTATACCCATGTTTAGTTCTTCAATATATGGGACAAGCTGCATTTCTTTCAAAGAACTTCTCTGCTATATCCTTGAGTTTCTATGCGTCAGTTCCAGGTACATTGTAACTGGAAGAACTAATCTGGACCTTACTGTCTTCGTCTCTTCAATTCATAATTCTTTTGAAGTTTTATTGTCTTCAAAGTTTTGTTGGACTGTTTTGGTTGCAGATGCAGTTTTCTGGCCAGTTTTAGTTATAGCAATTCTGGCTACAGTAGTTGTTAGTCAAGCTGTGTTATCTGCCACATTTTCCACTGTCAAACAGTGTCATGCGCTAGGGTGTTTCCCTCGTGTCAAGATTGTGCACAAATCAAAGTGGATTGATCGTCAGATATACGTCCCTGAGATAAACTGGATCCTTATGGTTCTCTGTTCGGCAGTGACTCTGGGTTCTCAAGATACCACCCGCATCGGAAATGCCTATGGTTAGTCGTTTTTGATGCAGTGGATACATCTAATGTGTGTTTGTTTCATCCAAATTTTTACTTCTTCAAACTTAGTCTGGGGAAAAAGCTCTAAAAAACATACTTTTGCCATATAATTTCTTAGAACAACTCTTCACCCTAAATCCCCTGATTTATTTAAATATAAAAAACCTAATTTCCAACTTTGCTCCTTTGAACTAAGATTTATACATGTTATAGTCATTTCTTCACTTTACTCGGCAACCTTAGCCTAGCGAGCTTCGCACGTAAATCATTATATATGTGATATATAACCATGGCATACTTCCATTATCAGATTATACATCTTTTGTTATCGAACATTATATGCTGATTGATTTTCCATTATAAGCTAACACATTCCCAACTTAAATTTTGCAGGGATAGCATCAATGACTCTGATATTCATCACCACATCCCTAATCTCCTTGTCCATCTACTTCGTATGGCACAAGGGTCTCGCTCTCGCCCTTTCATTCTTCATCCTCTTCGGAACAATCGAGCTGACCTTCCTCTTCTCATCCTACATAAGAATCCTCCAGGGTGGATGGGTTCCACTTCTTCTCTCTTCCATCTTCCTGTTCACCATGTTCGTGTGGCACTACGGCAGCAGAAAGAAATACTTGTATGATCAAAACCACAAGCTTCCCATGAAATGGATCCTCACTCTTGGTTCAGATCTCGGCATTGTAAGAGTCCCTGGTATAGGTCTCATATACACTCACTTAGCAAACGGAGTCCCTGCCACTTTCTCCCATTTCCTAACCAATTTACCAGCATTCTACCAAATCATTGTCTTTGTCTGTGACAAAACTGTCCCTGTTCCTTTTGTCCCACAAAAGGAGCGATACCTTGTTGGAAGAATAGGCCCTAAATCCTACAGAATGTACCGTTGTATCGTCCAAAATGGGTACAAGGATGTTAATGAAAACGAGAACGAGTACGACTTCGAGAATGCTCTGATTATGAGCATTGCAGAGTTCATCCAGCTAGAAGCAGAAGGCGGAGGAAGTGGGACACCCGACGGTGGGTCCATAGGGGGTCGACTAGCTGTTGTCAAATCTTCTGAGAATTTTGGGAAGAGATTTGGGATCTCAAAGTCTAACGGGTTTGAAGGAACCAGCAGCAGCTCGTTGAACATAACCAGCAGCAAGTCTGCAACACTGCTGAAGCTGAAGATGATGTACGATGAGCAGGAGTCACCTGAGGTGAAGTTCAAGACGAGGGTACAGCTGACGTTGGTCGATACGAGGTACAAGGACTCGTTTGTGAAGGAAGAAGTGATGAGACTGATGGAAGCTAAGAAGTTCGGTGTGGCGTATGTGATAGGGCATTCGAACAGCAAGGCGAAGTGGAACTCACCGTTCTTGAAGAGGTTCCTGATCAACATTGTGTACTCGTTTTTGCGGAAGAACTGTCGCGCGCCTTCGATAGCTCTGTCGATTCCTCAGACTTCGTTGATCGAGGTTGGTATGAACTACACTCTGTAAGTTTCAGAACTGTTGTTCTATACCTGTTGATTCCAGACAGGTGTATGTATGTGTAACACTTGTTTGTTGGTTTCATTGAAGTTCTGGTTTTGTGGAGTTCTTTGCATTTTGTCCATCCACATCAATTTGAAGAATCATCTACAGTTATTATATGATGTATTGATAAATAGCAGCAGGGGACTGGTTGGTATGTTCCCCTTTTCAAGAGCGTTTTATTATTTGAAAAGACACGAGAAGATAATGCAAGCTCGAGTAATCTCAAATCTGGCAATAATGAAACGGACAAGGCTTCGTTTGTCTAAACTTTTTTTCATTCCTTGTCTCTCTTTGAAGCAGAAGTTCAATAGATTAATGTGTATTTTTTTTTTTTTGGATAGTACAACAAGGAAATCAAGCAAAATGAGGAATGCGCCAATCACGTTTTCTATACAGTAACATTTTTTTATTACATTCCGACTGAATGGCTTCAATTATGGAATTAAAATTATTCATATGAAAACTCGCAACGGATAGATAGTTTACTTATGAGCCATTCAATCCGGATTAGAATTCGTCATTTAAGTAAGATATTTTCTAACTTGTCACTAATAATGTTCGGTGAAGTTATATAATCCGCATTGAGGAGTTTATATTTATACTCAATTGAATTATGATAGTTGTATAAAACCATTCTAATTACGTATTTGGGCAAAGTATACTGATAATGAAATTTTTTAGGTAAAACCATAAAATAGTCGCGAAATAATTTATTTGTTCCACGCGTGACGCGCCTCCATCGCCTCGTTCTTGTTGGAATGGATCAAGTTACAAAAGGTTGAGTTTTTTTTTATTTTATAAATGGATGCAGTGCATCTCAGCTTTCATTCACAACCAAATGAGACTCAGAAAGTCCTTGACAATCATACGGGAGGAAATGACCTAAACCAGAATCAGAAAACTGGCACATCAGGAAAGCCCAAAGCAAGAGTATGCCCCCTACTAGCCAACTAGTCCCCGCATTTGTTCCCCTCTCTGTAAATGGGCTATCGAGACTAACCTATCTAGAGTAAGAAGATCCTTGAAGCGATCAATAATAGCGGTCTGGTGATGATCCGGCGCCTCACTACTCTGTAGTAGCTGAATCGTACATTTGGAATCAAGTTCCATGCGAACTCGTTGGTGACCGGTATCCCAAACTAACCGAAGTCCTTCAACAGCGCCTCTCAATTCTGCTCGGGTGATAGAACAAATCTCCAAGTTAATAGCAAAAACGCTGTAGTGTAGCATCCTGTATGATCTCGAATCAGGCCACCTGCCACGACGTGACTTGAGTCAGGACGGACGAAATCATCTGAATTGAGAGTGATTTACAGGAGGCGGCTTCCAATATTTCCGGCCGAATGTGCATTTTTCATGTTATTAGGATTTATAAATAAATAACCGAAGAGTATAATTGACGAATAAATAGCACAAAAGAGGATCTGGTTTCCATTGTTTTTCTTTTGGCCAAAGGTTGACCATATTTCCGACCGAAAATCTAATTTCCCAAACATCTCGGGCTACAATACCACGCTTCCGAATTTAATATCACGAGAGAAAAAGGAGAAAAATGCAAAATCTTTTACGAGTTGCCAAACCAGAAAACAACGGCCACCACAATTTCTTTGCAAATTCCCCTTTCTTTCTTCCGCTCTACAGCTGAGCTTCCAGCTCATCCTTTTCTTCCCAATCCGAAGCGCATTTCTTCTCCAACTGCCAGACGCGATCCTAATCATCTATCTCCTTCCATTTCTACCTTCCTTCCTTCCGCCTTCCTCCGTCCCTCCAACCACCGCCACCACGACGCCCGAGCTGTACCCATTAGGGCTTTCGCCGTTCCTTCTTCCCCTCTGATTGCTCGAAACAGGAAATTTCCAACTCGCCGATTGGAGTTTGTTCACTCTTGTGATGCGGATCAATTTGGGGTTCTAATTGGGGGTTCCTAAATGTTGAGCTATTGCTGCTCTCAGTCCCTTTCTCAGCGGCCGAGTCTCGTCCCTTCCTTTTCCAGGCAGTTTAGGGCTCTTAATCGCCCTGGGTCCTCGTCTCTTTCGGCCAGGAATCCCCGGATCCTTGAACCCAATTCCAAGCTTCACAAGAATGTAAAGTTTCTTCTTGTAAAGCTGCGTTCTTTCAGCTATTTGCTCTTAGCTGATTGGGGCTTTTTTCATCATTCAATTTTAGCCGAGAGATTCTAGCTTGTAGCTTTCTGGGTAGCTGAGAAAGGAGTACCGAAGTTTTATTTTCATGTACTGCATGATTATGCGACACAGGGTGGTTTGCCTCTGATTGCTTTCTCTTCTGTTTGCTTTCTTACAGAAATGGAGGATTTCGTGTTTTAGACATGAGGATTTTACCCCTGCGAATCCCAAGTCTGATGGCGTTGAGCACTTGCTTCCTGAGGAGCCGCTTAAGCAAGAACCTGAACTCAGTAGTTCTTCTGCTCCGGTTAAAAGGGATTGGATATCGAATCTTAGAAAGGTGTATTTTTTCCTCCCGAGTTTATGAGAACGATTGATTGCAAAAGTGGCTTTTTATTGTGATTTTTAATCTCCATGCCTGTTTGATTTTGATGTGCTAGTACGGGACAATCGGACTGTAATTAGTGGAAATGTGTTTGGTGACTTGGTTCCTATTTCTTACCAATGCATCAAATTTCACCTTTGTGTGGTTCTTCCTTCTAAATAAGGAAGGAGGATATAATGTAGAACGAGTTGCTTTCAGAATTTAAATTCAATGATAACTTGCTTAGGATTTGCTTTCTTCAGATTGCTATTTCGATGAGAGTAGGAATAAGGATACCAACCTGACCATGAATGTCTATACACTTCAATGGATGTTTTTCCAGATTAACTATCAAGTACAAGAGTAGTTGAATGTATGTCTCGTCACGTTTCAGAACCAAGAGCTTCCTTTTATATATGCACTACTTCCATGGGAGAAGTCAGTGGCAACCACTCTCCACATTTGTGTTTTGAAGTAGGAATGGGATTATAACAACTACTTTGCTCTGTTCCCAGGTGGTTGATGTGGTGCAAAGGGCAATTGGAAGTCGGTGGACTGTACCATGGACTGCAGAGACCATAATCCAGGTAAAATGTCTTCAACCTATTATTATATGAATCGTACTAAAAAACTAAACAACTAGATGAAAAGCTTTGAAGCTCATAAATTGACAAGTTAGAGAACCATATGTTGGCAATGTCTGGTCTTAGAATCTCTTATCTCTCTTAACAATACGCTTTTTAGGTTCATCATAGGCCATTTTTCTCCATTCTATTCGTCAAACATTTCCACTTAAGGCATTTAGAAGCAACCATTCATCATCCTCCTCAGGCTATTTATACTAAACTTCATTTTGGTGATGCAGGTAATGCTTCTCTGGGTAGTCACATTCTGGTTTATAGGGTCCTGGGTTGTCCCCTTTGCAGCCCATATGGCAGGCGTCAACAAGGAATCCCTAACCTTCAGAGGCCAAGCCTTATTCAGCCTTATCACCGATGCCACAGAAGGTCTCGCTGGTATAGCAATCCTCCACCGCTGCCTTTCAAAGTTCCGCCCTCTTTCCTCCGATTGGTTTCGGTTCACCCCGAGAGGCAACTGGATGCTCGATGTCGCCCTTGGATGCCTTATGTTTCCCCTAGTCAACCGCCTCTCCCAGTTCAACCTCAGCCTCCTCCCCATACTACCCTCAACACCTGTCACGCTCTCTAGCGTTGAGCAGTCGATCGCTGCACGGGATCCCGTGGCAATGGCTCTTTATGCCATAGTAGTATCGTTCTGTGCACCCGTGTGGGAGGAGATTGTATTTCGAGGCTTCCTCTTGCCGTCATTGACCAAGTACATGCCGGTTTGGTGTGCGATACTGGTGAGCTCGGTCGCATTTGCCCTGGCCCATTTTAATGTGCAGAGGATGCTACCACTTGTGTTTCTAGGGGTGGTGATGGGGATAACTTTTGCACGATCAAGGAACTTGTTGCCCCCCATACTCCTGCATAGCCTGTGGAATGGTTTCGTGTTCTTAGATCTGATGAAGTAGGATGGTTCTGAGTTTCATGATGCTCTTTGCAAAAGGTATTGAGCATTTAGCATTCATATTGATGGCATATGAAGAAGGGAAGGGTTTGTTATCTCGCCACGGAGAAGGGGGTGGTGTCAAGTGAATGAAGAAGAAGAAGAAGAAGAAGAAGAAGAAGAAGAAGAAGAAGAAGAAGAGGGTGAGAAGGGTGGAGATTTATACGACCAACAGCAGCAGAATGCAAGTAGAAGAATTTGTATTAACAGAGGTGGATGGATGATGGATCCATACTATTTGTAGAAGAAGTAGAAGTAGCAGTGCAGAATGTATCATGTCTACAAGCCTGTAATTATAATGGAGACAATTAAGTTGGGAAATATTCAATGGAAACCCCTGAAAAAAGGGGGGGAAGATTTATCCTTTCGAGCTCCATGACCCTTCCAAAGCTGCGTAAATGCGTAATGATAGAGAGTTCTTCACCGCAACTAAAAATTCATGGTTTGCAAAAGTGCAATAGAGAAAACTAGTAAAAGGTTGTCAGAAGTGGGATTTGAACCCACGCCCTCTTTCGAAGACCAGAACTTGAGTCTGGCGCCTTAGACCACTCGGCCATCCTGACTGTTTGTTAAATTTTCGTTAATTTTATATATTATTAACTTAATTTGTTTTGTGTGTGTGTTAACAGCCACTAGAACTGTAATTATAATTTACATCTAGTGGTGAGAGGTGTTTTTTTCAATAATGGTTTTCTGTATTATGCATGCACCTTGTAAAACCTAGGGATGTAAAAAAAAAAAAAAATGCAAACAATTGGGTATTGTCCAAATATATGGCTCAAGTAGTGTTTTTTTTGGCTAATGTATTTCCAACTGTTTAGCTTGGTCTAAATTAGACTAATGATATCGAGTAAAAAATATGTTACTCAACCCTAATTTTGGTCTTTGTTTTCCTTTGTGAAGAAATAAACAAAAATGTGTAAATATTAAACACTAACACTTAATACGGGTATGAGATGAGAATAGTTTACGAGATTATCATTATTGATTTTTTTTTGTACAATCATCTGGAACCAAGCAAATTATCAAAATTGGACCTAATCCAAATCCACCCAAACCCAAATGAGTTCACCATTATTAGTTAATTTTAATTTTTAGTGTTTTATCTCTATATAGCTATTCAACATAAGTCTCTTACTCATGCGGACATAAATGTATCATTTTTCTTACGGCATGGAGTATCATTAATTTAATGATGAGAATTTTATTACAAGAGTGATATGTATTTGTTCTTTTATATTAGCTACTATATGAAAAATTCGAATCTGGAATCACTATATTCAAAATCAATAGTAATACTAATACAAGTACAATACTATTAAGGTTTGCTTAATAGTTAGACCTGTGAAACCCGGCTACAATAATGCAAGTAGAAGCTGCTGATCATGAGTTGCTTTCTGGCGCCTGCCTGCGCCCGCTCAGTCCAGTCTTCCTCCATGCCGATTTCACGTGCTTTCCGATATACGGCCAAGCTACCGCCGCCCGGCCTTACTCCTTAAAATTTTCCTTTTCTTCTTTTGTCAGGCAACTTCCCGCAACTTGATACCCTAATTAACAAGTTGGCTGCTGAACTTTCACCACAAATTACCCCTCCAAAATGCTCTGATTAACTAAAAACCATTCCTATTTGTCAAACCATATTCGTTGTTCTAACTCAGAGTTACGTTGATGGGGGAAGTTTAGGTTATGAAACTTGTATACTTCACTTAAGTACTTATACGAAGGTGTCACAATTCGCGACAACCTCACTCACATTTTGCATTTATATCTTGGATTATTCATATTGAAGTTGTAAGGATTCGAACACACCAGGTATCGTACATAAATATCCTTAGAGAAAACGAATTGGGTGGTGCATGAATCGGTTAATTAACCACAGTTACTGAATTCCAGTCTGCTACGTACCTAGCTAAGCTTGCACATAGAGCAGAATCAAATTGGTTGGGAAAATATATATAATCTAGTTTATGTGATGATTCATGCATTGGATATCCATTGTAACGAGTGGTAGCTGAGTGCTGACACCAGCTTGCTACCATCGCATGCATGATAATTGATCATATCCATCTGATAAATAACTAGACACTATTACTGAGATGTGAAGTCATCCACGTGAATTTATGCTCTGCCCTATCTAACCTTTGGCTCACTGCTCAATATTGACAAACGGATATTGTTGGTTATTATGTATTTGCAGTTTGCCCGCTGGGTGCATGTTCCCTTGGAATCGTCAGCTTAAATATGAATACCATTATATTTTACATGCAAAGCAAGCAGCAGATTAAAGGAATAACCAACACCAATTCACCATTGATGGCTGCAATACTGCATCCCAGCTAGCCGCTGGCTTTATAACCAAAACTCAAGGGATCAGCAAGTGCAAGAAACCGGCCATTACGATTTCCTAACCTTTTCAGTCTCAAACTACCTAAACTAATCCTGCACAATAATTAGTTGGTCCTAGAACTTTTACAATCGTACAAACTAGTCCTAACACAATACCAAAGCAAGGGAATTGCTATTCGTCGCCCTAAAAATCCTTATTCGTCGCCCTAATTATATTAAATTTACTTTAATGTCCCTAGTTTATTTTGTTTGTTTTTCAAACAATTAAACCCTAAAACAAACAAATACACCCACTAGTTGCCGGAGCCGGCCACCTCATCAGAGGCATAATCATAGACGTTATCACTATATGAAGAAAGAAGAAGAGCAGAAGATGATCACATATTAGTTTACCAAATGCATCACAATTTATTTAATTATAATCACCAACAACTTCTGTATAGCATGAGTCCTTCAACCCCCACCAAAAAACAGACAAACAGATAGAATTAGTAAACAAAATATTGGCTGCAGAATATAATTGGCCGACGAATCCTCTGAAACAAAGCAAAGAAGCTCTCAAAGAAAGGTTGTTTATTAAATCATATGATTCTCAATGGGCCTAATTGTTTATTAATCATTCTTCTTCGCCCTCCTTCTTCCTCCTGGTCGACAGCAACCATGCAAAGCAGCGGTTGCGGGGAGCGATTCTGGCGGCAGCAACGGTGACGGGGAGCGACTCCTGGCGGCGGTAGCGGCGACGAGGAGCGAATCCGGCAACAGGACAACACGACAGAAACAGTTCTTTGGTCGGCGGCGGATACCAGTTCCGGGGTGGATGACGACTTTTTTGCCCGAGATTTTGAGAGTCGGGTTTGGGGATGGATCGTTTGATAGGTTTAGTTTGGGTTTGAAATTAGGGGTATATGTGTCAATTTAATGTGATTTAGGGCGATTTTTTTCAAATCTTAGGGCGACGAATAGCAATTCAGCAAAGCAATTCTAGGATGATCTGAATCAAACTAGAGTACAACATTCTTTATTCGTTCTTACGGAGAAGGATTCGGGAAATTTCATATATATCTTTCTCCGTTTCTCGTAAAGGTCGTTCCTCTATAATTCGGGATGATTTGCTAAAAAAATGGGGACATTTAGGTCCTTCCCCAATCAAAGTGTAATAGTGAAAAAAAAGTTGCTGATTGAAAAGTGATTAAATGCAAATAGGATGACCAAAAGTGTAATTCGCCATTCGAGCGCGAATATATAACAGAGCCCGCGCCAAAGGGCTGAAAACCGCGGGGAGAGCGACACGTAACGAACCTCTCGTTGGACACTCATCACTCTCTCACTGCTCCCGCTCCAAAACCGGAGCCAGAACAACCGCCGCCGCCGCTCCCCTCCGCCGTCCGCCGCAGGAAAAAAAATTAACAAAAAAAAAACAGAGGAAATCAAAATACCCATACCACGGTGTTTTTTTTTCTTCTTTTTTCTGCCCCCAGAGATCCGCCTTCTCCGCTAATTTCAAATTCCACCATCTGTCAGCCGATCATCATCATCACTAAATGCCAGTTTTCCTTCTCTGTTTTGAAATCCCTACGAAATCAGAAACCGTTTTCTGAGGCTAATCGCGTAGATCGGTCAATCTCGTCACCCCCATTAGTTTCTATTTCCCGTTCTTCTTATTTTCTCGGGAAAGTGTCCCTCTCCAGTTTTCCCCCTTCGCGGAAACCCGTATTTCGTTTTCTTCTGCTCGAGACGGTCGATATGGAGCAGAAGCAGTTTCTGTTGTCGGCGTTGGGCGTCGGCGTGGGAGTAGGTGTGGGGCTGGGGCTGGCGTCGCCGTCGATGAGCAAATGGGCCGGCGGGAACGCTTCCGCGGCGAACGTCGTGACGGGAGATAAGTTGGAGCACGAACTGTTGAGACAAGTGATTCATGGAAGAGAAAGCGGCGTTACCTTTGCCGAGTTTCCTTACTACCTCAGGTCGGTCTCTCTTCTCTCCCTCAATTTTTCTGTTCCCCTTTTTTTTTTCCATTTTACCGTTCTCGTTGCTCGGTTCCCCGTTTTCCAACAAATTCGCGAACTAAAATTACGTAGTTCTATTAATCTGTGATTTTCCTGCAACAAGAAAGAAAATAATTTTACTTGCTCTGTTCCTTGGAAAGAAAATGTTGCGATCTCGTTTGCGAGAATATTAATTGTGATACACACCTGTCGTCCCTAAACTACTAATTTACGCGATATAATGATAATACGAAACGATGATATTTACAATATTTATTCCGTATGTAATGCGTGGATGTTAATCAGTTTTATTAATTTGTGTTAATACCTTAGATCTGAAGTTTGTTACCCAAATTTTCAAATTACAAGTTTGATCCACTATTAGGGTTCACTAGGTCAACATTGGAATCTAAATTTCGTATCTTCTGATGTTTGATCGTTGTGGCAGTGACCAAACCCGAACATTGCTCACAAGTGCTGCCTATGTCCACTTGAAACATGCGGAAGTTTCAAAGTACACGAGGAACCTTTCACCTGCTAGTCGAACTATACTGCTCTCTGGCCCTGCAGGTTACTCGCATTTCCCTGTGTTTGGATTTTTGTACATTGGTTTCACATTTCTAACCGTAGCTGTTGATTACTTGAACTACAATCTGCGACTGTGAAGAACTTTACCAGCAAATGCTTGCCAAAGCTTTAGCCCACTACTTTGATGCTAAACTGCTGATGTTAGATATAACAGACTTTTCTCTCAAGGTGAGAGCTACCTCTCTGCATTTCACATTTCTCTGAGCTTTAACTGGTGGGTGGTGGTGTTGATTTGCTTACAATGAACTTTGTTTGCTGCAGATTCAGAGCAAGTACGGCACAAGCAAGGAAGCTACTGTAAGTTTCTCTGGCTCTCTTCTATGATCAAATTCCTTTTCCATGCTTCCGTGTTGATGGTATGTTCTTGATGACCTTTTCATCTTGCATTTGCATGTTCTAGTCTTTTATGAGAAAGTCAACTTCAATGGAGCGGCTGTCTGGTTTCCTGGGATCCTTGTCCATACTGTCCCAGGATAGGGAACCTTTGGGTATCTTTCTTCCCTTTCTCACTCTGTCATTGTTTTACTAGTGCGGTTTCTTACCCCAGATCAAGATGGTCTTCTTGTTGCAGGTTCTGGTACTCTACGTAGGCAACACAGTGGAGTAGACCTCTCATCAGCAAGGTAGCAAATACACGAGATTGATCTATTGCTTAGCTGAAAATATGAAAAGGGTTATCTCTTATAACGTTTCAGTTGGTCCTTATGTTATAGTTCGGTTTAAATCTTGTCCTGATGATACAGAGGGATGGAAGGTTCCTCTAATCTCCCCAAGCTACGAAGAAATGCCTCTACCTCTAATATGAACATGCTAGCCTCACAATCTGCTTCTGCTAATACAGGTTTTTTTTTCACTTTGAACTTCTTAGCCCTCAATTGAATATATTCTGGTAAAAGTGTATCATGCAATATCACCTACTAACTTCAAAATTTTGGGTTGTGTTGTTTTCCTGAAGCAGCTCCTTTGAGGCGACAAAGCAGCTTATCTTTCGACGAGAAGCTTCTCATTCAGTCTCTCTACAAGGTCCTGGTCTACGTCTCCAAAACCAGTCCCATTGTGCTCTACCTTAGGGACGTGGACAAGTTCTTGTCACGTTCCCAGAGAATCTACAACCTGTTCAACAAAATGCTGAAGAAGCTGTCTGGTTCGGTGCTGATCCTCGGTTCTCGAAGCGTGGATCTCGAGAGCGAGTACAGGGAGGTCGACGAGAGACTCACCATTCTCTTCCCTTACAACATCGAGATCAAGCCGCCAGAAGATGAGAACCAACACATCAACTGGAAGTCCCAACTGGAGGAGGACATGAAGATGATTCAAGTTCAGGACAACAGAAATCACATCATGGAAGTTCTCTCGTCCAACGATCTCGATTGTGATGATTTGGATACTATCTGCATGGCTGACACGATGGTTCTTGGTAACTACATTGAGGAGATTGTTGTGTCAGCTATTTCGTATCATTTGATGAACAACAAGGATCCTGATTACAGGAATGGAAAACTCATCATCTCATCTAAGAGGTAAAATGGTATTAAGAACATTTTTCTAATGGTAAACTTATGTTTGTTAGAGAACTCAACTCTACTGGGTGTTTTTTTTTTCTTCTTCTTCTGAAAAACAGTCTGTCTCATGGATTGAGCATATTCCAAGAGGGCAAGTCTGTTGGCAGTATCAAGTTAGAAGCTCAGGCTGCACTCCCAAAGGTAATTTAGTTAGTTTTATGTTTTTGATTCTTGAAATTATGTAGTTTGATTCAGTGCAATGTGAACAAAATTTAGTGAATTTCTAACTCTCTAAGCTAATGGTTAAAATGACTGCAGAATGAAGCGAAGATTGAAATCAAAGCTGACGCGGTAGTACCAGAAAAGAAGGCCGATACAGGGACACCAGGAAAAGGAGCCAAACCAGAAAACACTGCTCCACCGCCACCAAAAGCTCCAGAGGTTGCACCAGACAACGAATTCGAGAAGCGGATAAGGCCAGAAGTGATACCAGCAGACGAGATCAACGTAACCTTCGCTGACATCGGTGCTCTAGAAGAAACCAAGGAGTCACTGCAGGAGCTGGTGATGCTTCCTCTGAGACGACCGGACTTATTCAAGGGCGGACTCCTGAAGCCATGCAGGGGAATCCTGCTCTTTGGACCCCCTGGCACGGGCAAAACAATGCTCGCCAAGGCCATTGCTCGAGAAGCTGGAGCCAGTTTCATTAACGTGTCGATGTCTACTATTACATCGAAATGGTTCGGCGAGGACGAGAAGAACGTCCGAGCACTGTTCTCGCTCGCATCGAAGGTCTCGCCTACAATCATTTTCGTGGACGAGGTTGATAGCATGCTCGGGCAGAGAACCAGGGTTGGAGAGCATGAGGCCATGAGGAAGATCAAGAATGAGTTCATGACTCACTGGGATGGCTTGGCGACGAAGCAAGGTGAAAAGATCCTTGTTCTTGCTGCGACGAATCGTCCATTCGATCTCGATGAGGCTATCATCCGGCGTTTCGAGCGCAGGATCATGGTGGGGCTTCCATCTGTGGACAACCGGGAAATGATAATGAAGACCCTGTTGTCGAAGGAGAAGGTTGACGAACGGCTGGATTTCAAGGAGCTGGCTGTGCTAACTGAAGGCTACTCTGGGAGTGATCTAAAGGTGTGTAGTAATATATATCTGTCACGGTTGATACAACTTCTTAGCATATGTTATACATTTTCACCGTAGAATCATGGAGATTTTAACAGTTTATGATATGACTTTTATTTGGTAATGCAGAATTTGTGTACTACCGCTGCTTATCGACCAGTTAGGGAGTTGATACAGCAAGAGAGGAAAAGGGATATGGTAAGTTTCTCATTCCATTTTTCCTTTCTCCATCTTTGGCTCATAGAAACCAACTTGGCCGGCATCAATACTGCATATCTTATTTTGGTATGCAGGAGAAAAGGAAGAAAGCTCCAGAAGGACAAAAGAATGCAGAGGAAGATACAGAGTCCGCTGCAAAAGGAGAAAAGGAGGAGAGAGTGATTACCCTTCGGCCGTTGAACATGGAAGACTTCAGGCAGGCTAAGAACCAGGTAGGTTAATTTCCCTCTTCTGTTTTCCTCTGCTCGACTGTGAAGAAACTGAGAAACTATACACAGCCATTTAATTTTTGCTGATCTATGGTGTTGAAATGCAAATGCAGGTGGCAGCAAGCTTTGCATCAGAAGGATCGATAATGGCGGAGTTAAAGCAGTGGAATGACTTGTATGGTGAAGGTGGCTCGAGGAAGAAGGAGCAGCTCTCCTACTTCTTGTAAAACTAATGGTTTATCCATCCACTAACCAGAAAAGAACTAGGGGGCTAGTTCTGTGCAAGCCAAGAATATGGCTTTTTTAAATACTGTAAAACATTTAAGAGTTAAGACTAGTATGTATGTATGTATATAGATGATGAATGTATTCAGGAAGATAGAAAGGTCAATCAGATAAAAGTCTGCAGGCAGCTCCCTCACCTTTCGGGGAATAAGATGAGCTGAGCCGTGTCAGAGACCAATTTTGTTTGCTGTTCTTCTGTTGTTTTCGTTTTCGTTGTTGTTGTTGTGTTAGAACTCTCTCATAGTTATTTGTTCAAGCATTTATGGAACTGAACTGAACTCTGCTCTCTGTTCAACTTTGGGACGAGAATCATGCTTTCTGTTTCCAGCAGAAGGTAGTACAACGTCCAACTTGAGTAAACAGAATAGTTCCTGTTAGTTTCTCAGGAAGCGAGATGTGGATACGTAACAATTACATCAAGCCTGCCCCTTTTCACCACAACAGCTCAAACAGCCGGTGCTGAACTCTAGGCTGTCGAGTTCTTGGAACAGGGACTTCACAACAGAAGCATGAAAAATGGAACCCACAATTTCTTGAAACGACCATCCGCGCAACTCTGGCCTCGACTCTCTGCTTTTCGTCTTATCTAGGTGGAAAAGCAAACAGGCCACATGTGGTAACTGTTCCTTTACATCAACCCTTCCCTCTTCTGGCAAATCCAACTTGCAACTTTCCCCTTCACCCAACGGTCAACTTACCTTCCACAGTAACACCAACCATTTACCAACAAACAAAAACAAAATAAAAACTTGAACGAGCCAACCAATAGGCCAGCTTACAGATAGATTATCAAAGTTTCATTCTTGAGAATACCAAAACAGGGGCTCGTGAATACAGAGAAGAATTAACTTCATAATCTCATTCTTGCACAAATTACATCCTTACCTTCAACACCATGATCTTTAGATCAAAATTAGGACGACAGGAGCACCACGTGTTGGATGGGAGCTCTTCGTGTCTAAAACACATAGAGCGGCTCCACCAGTTGAGCTAACGCACTGCCGGCTCAGCTGTAAAGGAGCCCAATTAAACTCTAAAACCCAGATTGATCATCAGTTATAATGTGAAGTGAATTCAGATCTGACAATGATCGAAGCACCACTAGAAAGTAGATCCCCAATGTACAAGCAGAGAATTTCAGTAGCAAAAGAGGTTTACCAATCAAAACTACAAGCTGCTTAAAGCATAAAAGTATAAGGCAACAGAAGTATTACTTCCCCACGTTCTCTCATTCCACATTCTACAACCCAACAGACCAACCAACCTAAAAGGCAAAGGTAAACAACATAGGGGGGAAGAAATAAGCAGGGGATGATGATCTATGCAGTAGTACCGACCAGAGTTTTCCACAAATAACTCCCTTCACAAAATACGGGCTAACAAATCTTGTGTCAGGAACTCAGAACTCCAAGGAACAAAGCACACAATTTTAGAACCGCCCCACTCAAATCATCTAAGCCTTCTTCTTGTCCTTCAATGGGCCTTTAGGTATCTTACTTAGCACCTTCGCGTCAAACACTGCCCACTGTTTCTTGATCTCGATCCATGCCTTCTCACCAAAGTCATCCACCTTGTCTTCATACTTCTCATAGAACACTGGGACTGTGTGGAGAAGCACGAAAACTGCACGCGGGTAACAAATCACGACATGTTCAGAACCCCACGACATGTTCAGAACCCCACGACACATATGGTGATTCCTAAATCACTTGCGCGAAAATCAAAGCATGGTAAGGTGAGTGCGTTACCTATGTAGAACAAAGTCAAGAAGTTGCAGCAGCTCCCCACGATAGACAAGACCCACAATCCAGCAATTATCTGCTCACACATAAGCAGTCCTATAGTTAAGTGGCCGAAACAGAAGTTGAAGCAAGCTAGAACCCAAATGAAGCGAATAAGAACAGAGCACGTAAAAGAACAGTGCAAACATGATAACTTACAGCCAAGAACTTCTTCAGATCCCTTCCAGATGCAATTTCACGAAGAGTAGCCAACCCACAATTGATCTCGTTCCTAAGCGCAGCAGCAACTTGCAGAACTGGGTCTTCAGGGATGTGAACTTGTGGAATGCGTGGAGGGGTCCTGGAGCAAAAACAACACCACAGTCAGCTAAGCAAATCATGAAATACCATCCACAACCCAAGATATTCATCTGAAGTATGTAGCATGACAAGGCCATACTTGTTAATAAAGGCGGAGGCATTAGACCACAGAAACAAAACAGCCAGTGCAAGGATCAAGGCATGGCAAACCAGCGTAAGAAGGTGGTACTCGAGCAATTCAAAGAGCACCCACGCAGCAGTTGCGCCACCAAGCACTCCACCGGAGATCTTCTTGTTCCTCCACAGGAAAACATCCGCAGCTATTTACATGAAAACACACTCATTTCAGATGAAATTGCCCAATTCGAGCTATTTTGGACTAAGGCATATAAAAAGCAAGGGAGCAGTTGTTTGTGGGAGGATGATTAGGGCAAACACAAGGCAAACTAAAGCCAGCTTTTCAGACGAACTAATCGCATCATGGATCCAAAAGGTAAAAGCAAGTAAACGTAATTAATTAACCTTAAAGCAAATGACACAGATCTAAAAGTACAGAAAAGGAACCAGATCTGCTCGTCCACAACTACCGTGGGCAAGGGAAAATCAGTCTCCAAAATTTCAAGCTCAGAGCATGACAATCAGTACCTTACAATTCACTACAGCGGGCTAAAATCACAATCACCTTTCCAGAGATCCGATCAAGCGAATTGAAGCTCGCCTCCAGAATAATTTCGATGCACGAAGCATAAAAGATGCAACACAAGCACTGAGCATTGGAAATGGAGGAATGATAATCGAAGAACCAGGTGGGATAAGGAGGAGAACCTACGTTTTCCACCACCGAGAACCTTGTGAACCGGCTTCTCGCGGCCAAAGAGACGATTGATTTTGGACTTCATCGACGACGGAGAAGCCGGCGAGGACGATTTCTTGGGATGGTCGTCGTGATCGGAGTCGGACGACGACGAGGACGAATCATCGCCTCCGTGGATCTTGTCCGCTATCTTCTCCATCAGTGACTCCTCCTTCTTCTCGTGATGCTCAGCCATGGCGATCGATTGCTGCCAAAAAACCCTTCAAAAACCCTAAGAACTCTCCCGAAGCAGCAGGTAAAAGAGAGCGGAGAACACGCAGCAGAAGTGAATGGAAACTTTCTCTTCTTCTTTTCCTTTCTTTTCTTTTCTTTTCTTTTCCTTACCTCTGAATCTTTCTCTCGCTATATACTTGGCGAAACGAAAGGCGCCTGGCGTTTTTCGGGCACGGATTCGGATCTCAGCCGTTGAAATCCAGAAAATTGATCTGGACCGTCGATTGGTTCGGTGGGGACCCGAAGGTTCGTAAGTGGTAGCGGGGTGGGTCAGGTTACAGGTGGGAAGAGATCAAATGCATGAGGCTTTTATTTTTATAAGACCGAGGATTGACGCCGTCCAGAAAATTTTTGGCCGACTCCGTTAACTTGCGACGTTGAGAGCTCCACGTGTCTTTTCGTTTGTAAAGGGGAAGTAGCGCGTACAGCTAGGGTGCACCGGAATGACTCCAGCTACCCTATAGGCTCCTGCCACGTGGTGGTTTATCTTTCAATTATCACCATCTTTTTCATTGGCTATGATGGATTCATTTTGATACTCTTCTACTTCATTTTCGTTGAGGATAAAGCATAGCATGGGCAGAGAATTCCAAAGACTTAATCGCTAAGGAGAAAGAGCCCTTGAGAGTGATGAATCTTAGGACACAAGAAACAATAAGCAAAAGTCAAAATGAATCATAACGGATGACTTTCAAACCACCCAAAACATGACTCTTTGCTTAGCTCCTAGTGCAATGGACACACCCACCTCCTGCAAGTATTCATTTGCCGAAAATAAACGAGGAAGAACGAAAAACAAGATGATTATGTCTCTGAATCGGTTTAATTATAATCCATAATGCAAAACTCATATCTCTGCCCGACTTGTGGTGATTGAATACAAAAAGACTCTTTGCAGTTCTAAGTACCACAGATGTTCAGGTCATGAAAGCAACCCAACTTCACGTTTTGGAAAGATGATTGATTATAGAAAGAAAGCTGGAGAAGTCAGGAGGAGGAGATCATGACAGTGACTCAAAGGTAGCAAGATGGACCTTATATCCTTTGCCTGATCAAGATGAAAATGCAATGAATCTAAATCTAACCCATTTCACTGTGTAAGTGAACCGACCAATCACGCGAATTTATGGATTCATATCTCTTCCAAATACCCACCAAGGAAATGTGATCCTTTTTCACCCCCCAAGTAGGTCCGGGTATGGGGGACAAGGAACATTGGTTCAGGTCATTCTGGTATCCGCCACAAGGAAAATGAAGAAATCAGTATGAAGACAGCAAGAAAGGCCTGAAATAAGGAAAAAAAGAACACTTTAGAAGAGCTACTTTTGCTTGCACAGGTAATAACAACACAAGAAAATGGTTTTGGTGGCCCTCACTACTCCAGGTTCCAAGATAATAAGAAACAACCAAGTGCAGACAAGTAACAAAACTATTCCTATGAGTAGGCCCAGTTGAAATGGTTTTTTGAAGATGATTGCTTCTTTATAATTACAGACAGCAACAATGGACTTAAAGAAAAACCTTACAGCTCAAGTCATAATCACGATGTGAGGCAAGAAAGTAACAGGCACCTAAGCTACCTTTTTTCTCACCTTTGCCAAGCTGGTCTTGCCGGTAATACATGCTGGACTTCCAAGGTATGAAGCTCTCGAACTAAACAAGTATGCACACAAAAGGGGAAAATCTCGGGGAATAGATAGGCTAGAGATGCAGCATGTCCTGCACTAACTTTGTCCATGGATTTGAAACGATAGGGATCGATAGTACCCAGGATGGTAACCTTGGAAAAGGAAATCCAAGTGAGTGGAGAAAAGGGAAAGATGATGCATAATGTGTTGATGAGGTATTGAGATGTGCTTTGTGTGGCAACTTGAACGAGTTATGAAGTCCGTTCATTGACAGCACCAGCTGAACCACAACTATCACAGTGATGATGATATCAAAACAGCAAAGAAGAAACTTTGCAACTCTGCTACTCAACTTGCCTTTTGCTTGAGTTTTAACTTTTGAGCCCAATTGAGGTTGAGCATTATGGCTACCTGGTGGCTGGTGATCGAAATCCAAACTACAACCCTTCGAAACCTAAGAAGTAGCTTCACTAAGTACTAAAATTTGCTGTGCTTGATACTTCCATTGCTATTCTAGGCTGAACTTAAATGTAGACCAGCACCATAAAGCTACCACACAAAATCATCACATATACAATCAGTGGAATGAGGGAAAATCTTAGTGATTGGTAGAATATACACTAGGAGCAGAAGCAACACAAACAAACCCACCCAAGTCCCAACTGAACTGGCCTTCTAAGTTCAATCTGCCAGTGGGAACCCTACACTAAAGCAGAAGGACCATCCTAACACATCCCATTTCAACAGCCAAAAACTACTAAATTCGCCCCCGTAGATCATTAACGAAACTCTGCTGGGGGCATTGCAACTTGCAGGCAGAACTGTCAAACAACAATCCTCCAAGTTTACAACTTTACTAATCAATCAACCCACCCATTGTAGGAAATTATGCCAATTCACCAAAACAATCAGCCTAAAGCAATCAGGACCGCATCTGTAGAACAGCAAGGAAAGAACTATGATAGGCTGAATAAATGAATAATAAAGGGCCACAAGCTGATCATTATTCACATACGGAAGGGAAAACCAAGTTATGCTGTAAAGTGCACAGGACAGCAAGGGAATGAAAAAGTAAGAAGGGGTTAACTTAGCTTTAGCTAGCTCGCTTGCTGCCATGTTTTACTGATCTCCAACATAAAAGCGAGAGCCACCTTGAACTAGATGAAAGTAAGGACCCACTACGCCGTGATTTCGAGGATCGCCGGCCACCGGCGAACGGGGGAAGGGAGGGAACTGGGAGTGTTGGGTTGCTATTTGCTAACCGTGTAAAAGTCCGTTAGGTGGTCTAGAAAACCCATCTCTGGAGAGACGCTCAATTGGAAAGGAAGTGGGCCGATTTAGTTCGGGATTCCTTCCGAGAAATGGGAGAGCCTGCTTGGCCCAGTTGAAGGTGATGGACCAGATTTGTAATTGAAGGCCCAACTTAGTCTCTAGGTAGCTTAGGGCCCATTGTTTATTGCGGGCCCGCGTTTTTTGCTGTTCAGAAAAATATACAACAATCAGTTGAAAACTTGAAATTGTATCAGGATTCAGGAAGACCTGAGGGCTAGCTAGAATGAATCTTCACTTTTTCAAAAATGTGTATTTAATTTTTATCCAGTTGGTCATACCTGAACGTTGATATAGTTGATGTCATTGAGATTCACCATGCAATGAGTGTGATTTTTGGTTTTTTCATAGATTTTACTAGCAAATATCTTTGAGTATCTAATAACTTCTTTTTTTATGACTAGTATCTAATAACTTGTTGCTTGGTTGCTCCAGTTCATAATCTAATTAGACAGAAAAAGAAGTTTAAGTATCATACTCATATAAAATATTCATTCCATCCAGTATTATTCACTTCTGATTTAATATAGTTCTTACTTCATAGTAGTGGAGTCATAACTCATAAATTTAAGTAAGAAGAAGTTGAAAAACAAAACTCGAGAAATTATAATTCTAATGGTTCAAAAGTGGCTTAAATCCAACAAAATATTATATTTCTCATATTTAAATAAAGAATTTCAGATTAAAAGAGTTATGACTCTTTATCCTACCATTTATTTAAAATGATTGTTGATCTCAAGGTTCAAACTCAAAATATGATGAATATTTTCATCATCTCTTGGATTACTCTACCTTTTGTTTAAGTGGTTGCACAACCAAGTTTATACTTTTCATTTCTTGCTAAACAAATCTATTGAACAAGCCATGAAAAATTTCACGAAATTGATTAAAAAGAATATTTTAAATTAAGAAATTGACATTGAAAGAGATATAATCCCTTTCAGTTATAGACCAAATATGAAATCGATGTGATTATATACGTGGATCCGAATTGTTTCTACACGTAAGATATATAAATAAACAAAATAGTTAACAAACATAAATGTCTTTTTTATTGGCGAACAAGAATATGCTCGAGTAGTAATACCATCAATTTTGAACATGAAAATCACATATATGAATACCTTTAGTAGCAACTAATAATAAAAAAAAACAAATACACCTATAGTCCCTTATAAAAAAAACTTTTATTCTCCTAAATAAAACTACATGAACCTTTAATCTAACTATGTATGACACTTTATTAATCTTATATGATCTTCACACATGCAGCCGAGAAAATATACGACGTCCCCCGAGAACTAAGAACCAACCCGCCTTTCACACCACTCCAACACACCTTTTTATTCCCTCACAAGATCCCTGTACTCTTTCACCGTCGCAACCGAAAATGGAAACCCACCACCACCCACTTCTCTCCTTCCTCCTCCTCCTCCTCCTCCCTTTCTCCTCACACTCTTTGCCTCTCTCAACCAACAACCGCTGGATCGTCGACTCGGCCACCGGCCAGCGAGTCAAGCTCGCCTGCGCCAACTGGCCCGGCGCCGCCGAGACCATGCTCCCCGAGGGCCTCGACCGGCAGCCGCTCCCCAACATCGTGGCCGCCATCCGCCGGCTCGGCTTCAACTGCGTCCGGCTCACCTACGCCACGTACATGGTCACCCGCCACGCCGGCGACCGGGTGGGCCGCACGTTCGACGGCCTGGGCCTCGGTTCGGTTAAGGACGAGATCGCGAGGTTCAACCCGCTGGTCGTGCGGATGACTCACCTCCAGGCGTTCGACGCCGTTTTGGACGAGCTCGGCAGGCAGGGCGTGATGGTTGATATTGATAACCACGTCAGCAAGCCGATGTGGTGCTGTAGGGAGAAGGACGGGAATGGGTTCTTTGGCGACGAGTACTTTGACCCGAAAGAGTGGCTGCTTGGGTTGACCGTCCTGGCCCGACGCTACGTCTACAAACCTCAGGTGCACAATCATGTTAAGACTTTTTACGTACACGTAAATTGTTTAAATCAAACGTCAAAGTACACGCACGGAATTAACTTTGTTATAATAAACAAAATCAAATTAACAGTTGGACTAGTAGAATCAGTAAACCATATACAATAGTAGTTATGGTAATTCGATTGGACGATTAGAAATGGGTCGAACGGTTTTTAACGGCTTGGCGTGAAACCAAATAAACTATCCCAATTTAACTGGTTTATAAGTACATTATTTTAAACACAAATATTTAAAAAAAATGCATTAACGTAAGCTAAGACCTTCCAACCTTAATCACTAATTTTATTTATGTATATTTTTTTCATTTTTTAGTCTCTTGTCGGATTCATTTGGTTCACTATGAATTGTCACTCTTATTACTCACTTGATTCTAATAGAAATTTATGATTTCTTTTATGAGATAGTTTGAATTCTTTGTTAGAATTTTTTTCGCAACAGATTATGGTTTGTAATAATTTCACTCCTAATTAAATTAGTATATTATACAAGTCTATTTATATGTTACTCAACAATTTTATAACGGTTAATGATTGAACGGACAACCACTCATTTTTACGGTTCCGCCGCTCCGAATTCTGAAAACATTTTGGAAATAAAACTTGTGAACAGGTGATAGGGATGGGGCTGAGGAACGAGCTGAGGGGTGAAAGGCAGAGCGAGTCCACGTGGCGGAAGTACGTAACCCTAGCGGGGAACGCGATCCACGTGGCAAACCCTAACGTGCTGATATTCGCCGGAGGGATAAGCTACGCCTCCGTGCTGTCCTTCTTAAAAAAGAAGCCGCTGAGCAGCAACTTCGGGAACAAGCTGGTGTACGAGTCCCACTGGTACCCGTTCACGGCCGGGCCGGAGAAGGTCTGGACGGAGAAGCCGCTCAACCAGCTCTGCCGTGCCAAGATCGACGGGTACGTCAACAGCACCGCGTTCTCGTTCACCGCCGGCGGCTCTTCTTCCGTGCCGTTGTTTGTCGGCGAGGTCGGGATACCTGGGACGGAGGTGAAGAAGTCGAGCGACAACTTTTTGTCGTGTTTCGCCACGTGGGCCGCGGAGAATGACCTGGATTGGGCCTGGTGGGGATTGCAAGGCGGGTATTACTTCCGGGATAATAGGACCGGAATGGATGAGTATTTTGGGGCCTTGTCTTACTTCTGGGACCGGCCCAGGAACCCTTTCCTCTTGAACAGGCTCCGGTTGATGCAGCTCAAAAACCAAGGTAGAGAGTCACTTTCTCTCATATATTCTTTTTATCTTTATCATATTTTGCAGCATATGTTATTTTAAGATAATGCTTAATATTTGAGGTTGTGAGGAGAGGACATAACAAAGCAGTTTTTATATTTGATACTAATAATTCAATATTAGTTGGTTTATGAAATTATATAATAAGTGATTTGTCTTTGAGGTCACAAGTTCAAGTCCTTACAACTCAAAATTAATCGTTATATTAAAGCATATGTGATAAGTTGCGTGCAAACTTCAAGGTGATGAGTTGACTTTCGTTTAAGGTAACGTGTAAGAAATTTGTTAAATACCTGAATTTCTTCCAATAATTCAAATATTGAGACTACTTAGTTTATAATTCACTGGAATAAATATTAATGTTGAGTTATGTATGTTATGTTATAGATCCGACTTCACGAGTGGGGAAAGCGTACTTGCTGTTCCACCCGCAGACAGGAGACTGCATGATCAACAACAACCTTAGGGAGATCTACGCCGGGCACTGCGGGCGGCAGAGCAGCCGGTTTCTGTACGCCGGAGACGGGTCGCCGATCATGTTGGCAGGCAGCAACTACTGCCTAAGAGCCGGCGGGGACGGTGTTAGGGTTCAGCTGACGACGGCGTGCAACGCGGCGGAGAGCAAGTGGTGGAGGGTGTCGAGCTCCAAGCTTCATCTTGCGGCGAAGGAGGAGAAGACGGGAGAGTATGTTTGCTTGAATCGGGATTCGGTTTTCACGTCGGATGTGTTCACTAGGAAGTGCGTGTGCCTGGTTGGGTATGAAACTGGGTGCATGAATGGAGGGGATTTGGAGCCTACTGCTCAGTGGTTCAAATTGGTCGAGACCAATGTTCTTTATATTAATTAAACTGGTGCTTGTCACTAGCCCATAGAGTAATATTGGTCTCCGGCCAGGGAGAATAGAAGAAGCCCTAGTAGTTAATGGAAGCCAGTTCTGGCTCAAAAATAGTGAGTTTCCCTTTGATTTTGGAGAGTTATGAATTATGATATATTTGATCCTCAATTATATGAGAAATTTTACAATGCTATATAGTATTGGTGCTATAGGATTTTTCCTTTATGGTACAACTTAAAATTGTACATTTACGTTATGGTACAACTTCAGATTGTACCTATACTTTTTGTACAAATTCTTTTATGGTACAACTTGAATTTGTACTTTTATGTGATGGTACAAATTGTTTTATGGTACAACCTAAACTTATACATTTAATGTTATGGTACAACTTTAAGTTGTACATTAAAGCACCAATACTATATAGCATAGTAGAAGTCCTCTCAATTATATATCAATGTTTTCCTATCAGAATACGTGTACTAGTTTTTTTCCCTAACATAATTTTTGTTAAAAGATTGCTAATATTCTGTTGAACGGTGACTCAATTACTCGTTGGACACACCTATTAGGCGTTCATTCAGTAAAAAAAAAAAAGAGATGTAATTACAAATTTATCATTGTTATTTTGATCATTCGTTTTTTTAGTTTCGATAAAAGATAGGCCGATTTGTTGATTTTTAATGCACATTATATTATAACTGCTTGACTGTAACATATATTTGTGTACATTGTCGGTTTTCACTTTTCACACAGCTTAATGATCAACTAAGAAGAATATTTTCCATATGATTAATCAATCAAATAGCTTTATCACTACTGCTTCTTATTACATTTATTTATATAAAAACAAATAAATTGGTCATACATAAAGTGTAATTTGCTATATCCAAATCGTGACATAGGCAGACGATGCACGCGGATCTTAAATGAAAAGACGAAGAATGAACAAGAGTAGGCAAGCATCGAGAATTGTTCTCGTTGAAATTAAATATACCACTGTTACATGACTTGAAAGAGTTAACAAACGTGGAAAATCCACTATGAGATACCAACAAATGAAACAAAAACCAAAGCAATCAATCAAATGATTCAGACTCCAACACAAGGAGATTGAGCAAAATAAATAATTGAATTGAGAAAGCAAAATCAAAGTAAACAAAAAAATACTAATAAAAATTAATAGCCACCAGCGGGGGCTTTGTTCATGGTTGGCTTATGCTCCGAAGTATAGAAGAAAGGCCCAACTGAATATAACTTGAGGTGCTTATCTTGCAGAATGCGATGAGAAGACAGTGGAAAACCGTCGATTCCTCTGTTCACATTGCTTGGGACTCCACATCCCTCCATTGGAGATTGCTCGAGGAAAGCCTTGCAGTTCTCCCATGAATTCTTCTTGAGATCTTTGTTAGAAGGTAGCGTCTTGAAGAAATAGCCCTTGGCATTCGTTGGACTGGATTGACATGACACTGGAGTCTTGTCATGATCATATCCTTCCTCGTTCACTTTCAAACATGTGATCGTTACTACGGCTCCTGATGAACGGTTCAAATATGAAAAATCACAACAACTTTTAGAATACGATAAATCACATGATGAGCTCGATGTTTTACGTGGGGGCGAGGAACATCATAGCATTAGGTGTAATAATTAATTAAGTTACCTTTGATGGGGACATATCCGGAGGATGATTTGCAGATAACTATCCCTTCAACCGCGGCAGGAAAAGCTTCTTATCTGGCTTTGGGATGCTTAGTTTGGGCATATCGTAGTGTGGGTCTGCTTTGTAAGTAGGCTTCGAGTAGAAATCAGGCACGATTTTGGGTTGAGGTTTTGAAGCTGATTCTTCTGGTTTAGGCATTGACTGAGCAACTGGCTTCTCGTATGATCCAGACTGAATTTTGGGTTGAGTTTTTGGAGTTTCGGAGCTGGAGGAGTAATAATCGGCGGCGGAGGCTCCCACGAGTATCATGGACAAGAGAAGGACACAAACTCCGCCGACGAAAGGGTTAGAAGCCATTTGGACTCTTCTGTAATATAATGTGAGACTTATTGGTGTTGTTGTGTTGAGAAGAAAGCAAAGAGGAGAATAGTGGGGAGTGTGATGAGAGACCAACATTTATAGGATGTTGGTTTCGATTATTGGTAGAAAGTTGAAATTCAGTTGAAGACGTGACATGTGGGAGGTAAGTTCATGCGACGTGAGGAGCAAAAAGAAGTCCAGAGACCCCATGAGAATGCATATATACATATAGTGATGATGAGTGGCACGTTTGAACTACTGCCTAAGAAGTCCAGAGACCTAATGATGAAAAGTTCGATGTTCTAAAATAAATTGGTTAACCGCACCATGAAAAGGTTAACTGGTTAGGGTTAAAATTATCTTCATGCATCAATTCCATGTCGTAGAAAGTGCTCTAAAGTCTAAAGACAACGAAATCGTCATTGCGCCTGAAAGGTCGACACGACAGTTGGTGTTGTCGACCTGTTGATCTACACATATTTCACCAACAACTACCTTAGATGCCCCAATATTTTTTCTTATTCGCCAAACTCAAAGCCATAAATTTTTGCTTGCACAATTTTAGAGTGATAAATTAATATCGTAGATTGTTATTTATAGAGGTTTGGGTTGATATAAACTTGAGTTAAGTGGTAGCCATTAGCCAAGTCCTAATTTAGTATTGAAACCTTCCTAGTAGCGGAATCATGGTCCAATACCAATAAGATAATGGTCAACCGGTGGATGACTATTTCTCTTTGTAATGGTACAGTTATTTTATCTAGTCAATTGTTTTCCGGAAGCAATTAACGATTTTTGTTTGCAAAATATTATGATCATTGTTTTTTGAATTCTAGGTTATGGTTAAATCGAACATATTGTTGCCCGACCACCAAATGGAGTAATTTAATAACTTTTTAAAAATTTCATTGCCCGCCTACTCTAACCCACTAAGACACCAACCCAACCCAACGTCTGAAGGAGAGTAATTAAGCAAAGCATTGAGAATTCTTCTCATTGAAATTGACACGAAACCGATACAAATTAATCAAATGAAAATCAATCCAAGCTCCAACGTAAATTTTGTTGCTAAGATCACATAATTGAATCAGAAAGCAAAATCAAAGCCAAAGAAACAGAAAATGAAGGAAAATTTGTTGAGCACATAACCCAAAACTCAGGGCCATGCAAAGAAAAAAATTAGTAGCCACCACCGGCGGCGGGTGCTTTCTTCACGGCTGGTTTAGGCTCCGCAGTGTAGAAGAAAGGCCCAACCGAGTACAACTTGAGATGCTTCTCTTGCAGGATGTGGTGAGAGGATAGCTTGTAACCATCGATTCCATTGTTCACATTGCTTGGGACTCCACATTCCTCCATTGGAGATTGCTCGAGGAAAGCCTTGCAATTTTCCCACAAATTTTTGGCCTTGTTGCTAGAAGGTAGAGTCTTGAAGAAATATCCCTTGGCATCGGTTGGACCGGTCTGACACGACACTGGAGTCGTTTCATATCCTTCGTCGTCCTCTTCCAAACACGTAATCCTCACCACAGCTCCTGAAAATTGTTCAAATATCATTAGAATGAAATAATTAGAATGAAATTTAATGAACTTAGAGTAGGTATAATGTAAGTTTACCTTCGATGGGGACATATCCAGAGGGTGATTTGCAAATTACAGTCCCTTCAACTGCGGCAGGAAAAGCTTCTTCGGGTTTTGGAATGTTTAGTTTGGGCGTCTCATAGTGTGGGTCTACCTTGTAATTGGGCTTCGAGTCATGTTCACTAACTGACTTGACTGGCTTCGAGTCGTAGGACTCTGTTTTCGGGTCTTTTTCCAACGCAGGCATCCCTGATTCATCTGGTTTGGGCACCCATTGAGCAATTGGCTTCTTGTAAGATTCAGTGTGGAGTTCGGGATGAGGCATGTCGGTGAAATGGAAATCCGGCTTTTCGATAGGCTCATTGTGTTGAAATTTGGACTCGTCGTAGGACTCTGACGACTTTGGGTCTTTCTCCAACACGGGCATCCCTGATTCTTCTGGTTTGGGCACCCATTGAGAAACCGACTTGTTGTCGGATTCGGAATGAGTTTGGTGATGAGGCATGTCGGGGAAATGGAAATCTGGCTTTTCGATAGTCTCTTTATGTTGAAATTCGGGCTCGTCGTAGGACTCTGACTTTGGATCTTTCTCCAACTCATAAATCCCCAATTCTTCTGGCTTGGACACCGATGGAACAACTGGCTTCTCGTAAGACTCGTAGTGGACTTCCGGGTGGGACATGTCGGGGAAGTGGAAATCCGGCTTCTCGACATCTCCACTGTGTTGAAACTCATGCTCATCGTAGGACTCTGATTTTGGATCGCTTTCCAACGTCGGCTTTCCCGATTCCTCTGCTTTAGGCATCTTTTGAGCAACTGGCTTGTCGTAAGATGCAGACGACGGAGCTTTGGATTGTGGTTTCGGAACTTCTCCGGCGGCATTGGAGCTCGGGGAGTAGTCACCAGCGGCGGAGGCCCCCACGAGTATCATGGACAAGAGAAGAACATAGAAATGGCTGACAGCCATCTCGACTTTGTTATATGGTGAGAAATTGGTGTTTTGTGGTAAGAAGAAAGAAAGGATGAGGGGATGGTTGGGAGTTTGATGATTTGCCAATGTATGCTGTGCCCTCTATTTATATGGGATGGAAGTAGCTGAGACGTGCATGATTCAAGTTTGCTACCAATTGATGATTGAACCAACTATTGGTTTTCAGGCTGTTTTAATGAATCATGGTGATAGAGAGTCGTGACACATGTGGGAGATAATTGAGTGCTGCGACGCGACGTGAAGAGCATATACTAGAGTCTAGAGACTTACTAGAGACCACCTGAGAATGTGAGTGGCACGTTGGAAGATTATGTGGGGAACAGATTCGTCAATCATTTCTATTTCATTGACCCAAATCGCAATTTTGAATTGACCTGTTTTACCTAATTTGTTTGGCTTGTTTTGGGTAGGGGTGAACACACAGACCCGCAAACCGACCTACCCGTTCAACCCGACCCAACCCACCCGTATTTATCGCTAAAATGAAGGTTTTGGGTTGGGTGAGGGTTTTCTTTTGTACAACCCGCCTCTTTACACAACCCGTAGAACCCGACCCAACCCGTGTTCCAACTATTAGTATGAGTTCGTATCTAAAAAATATTTATGTCGTATATAGCAATACTTATGAGAAAATTAAGATATTTCGCCATTTTTTTCTATCATGGTCTCCCTAATCTAATGCATTCTTCGACTTAAAGTTTAGACATAAATTGAATATAGTTATGATTCACGTAATCCTTTTTCTTGTGTACAATTTTAATAGAATAACATATTATGGATGCATTTGTTTATAACATTCTTAGCCTATTTCAACAACTATCGTGAAAATAACTAGACATATGTTGAAGTAAATCACATTTTATTAAAATTCAAACAAAATTTGTGAATTTTGATACCTTTCACCTCGGTTTATTAGTTTGAAATTTTAATTAGTTCTTTTTATTCATTTGAATTTTAATTAGTTCTAAAATATTTTTACGATGTATAATAATTATATATTTTATGTTGGGTTGGATTTTTACTTAAAAATATCGCCAACCCGACCCAACCCAATTAGAAACAAACCGTAGGGTTTAAAGTTTTTTGGGTGGGTTTGGGTTTGATAATTCCCAAACCGTAGTGCATGGGTCGGGTGATTAAAATGTTTAAACCCGAACCACCCGACCCATGTACACCCCTAGTTTTGGGCGTGTCCGATTCGCTCCGTAGTCGAAGCGGGGCGGGTATGAGTATTCTCATCGACCCGATCTGCTCTGACCCGCCCCATTCTCGACCCGTTCGTGTCTAAATTACATGTAATCTTAGTCAAATTGCTTAGGATTTTTCTTTTATTACATAATATTTTACCTATAATAAAGTTGTAAATTAGTGAAAGCTTCAATTTCTCCAATAATTTTACTACATTTATCATAATATGATTTGTTTTCTTTATTTTATAATGAATATTTCTAATGTTTTCCATATAAACTGCATATTCATTGGATCGACCTGCCCCGACCCGCGACCCATAATAAAATATCTTACTTGAACCCGACCTGCCACAGGCAAATATGAGTATCGAGATACCCGCTCCGAACCTGCCCATTTTCATTCCTACTGTAATGTTTATGCGTCTCTAGACGATGCATGGGAGGTTTTTATTATATAATGTCATCGCTTAATTTGGTGTTTAGTACTATAGCCCATACGAAGGGAGCCCATTCTACTTTGTGTTGCATTAAACCGAGTAGTAGCCCTATGAGTGAACTAAGCTCGGCCCTAAACTTACGGGGAAAAAATCCCAAAGTACACTAGTTCTTAAAAAAAATTCCCAAAATACATAAGTTATAAAAAAAATTCCAAAAGTACACATGTTTGAGCATCACAGTTTTAGACAAAAGCGGTGAAGGTCATCACCGCTTTTGACCAAGACGGTGAATACTTCACCGTTTTAAACTAAAACGGTGACGTATTCACCGTTTCAAACTAAAACGGTGAAGGGTTCACCGCGTTTGTTAAGAACGGTGAATACCTCACCGTTTTAAACAAAAACGGTGAAGCCTTCACCGTTTTAGACTTCCACGGTGAAGGCGCTGACGTGGACTAACGCGGGGTATTCACCGCGTTAGACAAACACGGTGAATACCCGTGTTTGTTTGCGTCAGCGATACGCGTCGCTGGCGCGTTCACCGTGTCCGTTGGATGCGGTGAGGCGCGGATCGTGGTTTTCTTTCCAGATCCGATGCCTCACGCTGAGCCACGTCGCTCGATCCGCGCCTCATCACCGTGTTCGAGAAACGCGGTGCCTTCACCGTTTCTGACGGACGCGGTGAAGGCTGGGAGAATTCAATTCTCGGCAGATCCCTTCCCCCAACTATAAATAACCCTTCCCCTTTCACTTTCAACTCACACCACAAACATTTCACTTCTTTCTCCCTCAATTTATCCGCTCTAGTCTCGTTCTAAGTATGCTCTGTGGTTGCGGCTAAGTCCGATCTTCCACATCAGAAAGAATTACTAGAGTTTGACCCTAAAGCCCCCGTCCCGCTAAGTTCCCGTCCCTTACAAATCTAAACCCGTCGAACCTCTGTCCGGCTTCCGCCAATAATGGACGAAGAGGCTCTTCGTGTAGGTTTTTGGTTTATGATTTTTTTTAATCGAAACAATTTGATTTTTTTTTTATCAAAACAATCTCTGATTTTATTACTTTTTTATAGATGGGTGTCGAGATATACGATCCTCGATTGTATATCCATTATGGCCCAAGGGATGCGAGTCTCTTAACCGATCAAGAAGCTCATCGCTCCCGTGCCATTTGGGATAACAATCCGGTAATTTGATGAACTGACTTGCTTTATCTTATTATTTTCTAATGTTTTATTTTGCTTTATTTAATCTAATAAATTGATGTTTTTCCTATTTTTTTTAGGAATCTCTTGTTCCCGTGGTTCATAAAGGGACCAATAACTTGCCCGCTTGGCATCCAAGGTTGGAGCCCTATATAGCGAGGACCGGTTTGGGAATGTTGCGCCATTTCTTGCGGATTGAGATCGACAACGATCTGCTTACGGCAATGGCGGAACGATGGCGTCCCGAAACCCATACATTCCACCTTCCGGAGGGGGAAATGACGATCACCCTCAAAGACGTGGCGATCCTCACCGGGCTTCCTATATCTGGAGATGCCATCATTGGTTCCACGACCAAACCCGGAAGAGGTTGGGGGCCGCTCATCCGTGATCGTTTGGGCTTCGACATGCCGACCACCACACCAATTCAAGGACGGGGGCATCCACCGTTGAATGCGGGGCAAGTGTCGGTCCCGTGGCTGGTATCTCACATCCAGCAAGAGGTGGAAATCAATGACGAGACACCGGAAGAACAAGTCGAGCGCTACGCCCGCATCTACCTCATCGGTTTGGTGGGTGGATTTTTGTTCCCCGACAAGTCCAACCGGTGGATTCAAGGCATATGGTTGCCATTGCTCACCGGTGACTGGGATGCAATTGGAGAGAAGAGTTGGGGATCGGCCGTGCTAGCGGGCGTATACCGGGAGCTGTGTACTTGCTCGAAGGTTGGGGCAAAGCAAGCTGGTGCTGCGATGTTCATCGTTCAACTGTGGGTATGGGAGCATCTTCCAATGTTCGCACCTCTCGACCCAAGCACCCTTTCTCTTCATATTTGCAGCCCGCAGTTGCCACGTACAACCCTCTGCATCATGCTTGCATATGACATGTAGTTGTTTACTGTCAGAATATTTTACCTTCCACTCGAAATTGCGCCTCAACGCCTCTTCTGTAAAAGCATCCTGCACAGCGTCTTTCGATGTGAACGCCATACCCACCTCCAAATTGGCCGTCGGATTGTACACTGGCATAGGGACAAAGTCGGGGGGATCATTCTGACTATGTAAAAATTGAGTTGGAACCTGTGTGTAATATGGCGTGGGTGCCTCACGAAATGCCGCCTCATCCTCGTTATCATCAGTATCTTCCTCCTCCTCGCTCACTGATCTCAAATCTTCCTCAGTATCCTCGTCGCTCGACTCGAATGGATAGCTCGTGCCAGAAGGATCAACATGACCACGATCACCAACATCGTCCTCTCGCTCATGTGAAGTACGCCCTGATCGAATGGTATTCTCGATTTCAGACCACTCTGGCCCCCAAGAAGGCCATTGAACACCATCGGCCTCAACAAATGGGGCTGGTCGAGGAGGTTGCGAGTATTCTTCCGATGGCACCCATCCTGCACTACTACCTCCACCGTAGTTGATTGAACCACCACCCTCCCCGTAACCTCCTGTATAACCAGCGCCTTGGTAGTTGCTCGAACTACCACCCCATCCGTACCCTCCTGCAAAACCATCATCATAAGAATACGGGTGAGTTTGAGATTCACCGACCGCCTCGGTCTCAACATACACCTCTGCAAGCCGGACTTGGTTATCGCTTAGGAACTGTAACATCATCGTAACCGCGTCATCATCGTTTATGACAACTTCTTGGAACACGACCCCGCCAGCACTCATGTCTGGATACCGGTAAGTAATTTTGCCAAGTCTCGTCTGTCCGCTCGTACAAACCCTTTATGCACAAATATCACAGAGTTCTTGAAAATTGAATCGGGAATCAATTTTCAGCATAATGGATTCGCCGTCCTCATAATCAATGCCTATGTCAGAGTTTGTCACCCTTCCATTCCACCGAATAGTAAGATGAAACTTCTTGAATTTACCCATATCTACAATTTACAATAAGTATCTATTAGCTTAAAAGACAGTAAAATTAACCAAAATCATATTGTACAACTAATATTAAATCATACCATAACTAACGAAAATAAATTCAACTAACTAACAACAACATAATACGAAAATTAAATCATACTATAACTAACGAACATAAGTTCAACTAACTAACAACAACATAATACGAAAATTAAATCATACTATAACTACTAAAAACATAATTAGACTATAATACGAAAAGTCTCAACATACGGAAAAATTTCTGTTCTGTGTATTATGCTCGATTTTGGCTGCTGAAATTTGAAGAAAGGGGAGTGGTTATGTTTTTACAACTGCTGGTGGTGTGCTATATATAGAAAAATCTGCCTACTATTCACCGTTTTTGTCAAAAACGGTGAACACCATCACCGCGTTTGTCTCAAACGGTGAATAGTTGGTAGCTGCGACCTAATTATCACCTACCAGGGGTGGGAAACGTGGGAAATGATCACCGCTTTAAACTACAACGGTGAAGTGTTCACCGTTTTTAACCAAAACGGTGAGGTGTTCACCGTTCTTAACAAACGCGGTGAACCCTTCACCGTTTTAGTTTGAAACGGTGAATACTTCACCGTTTTAGTTTAATACGGTGAAGTATTCACCGTCTTGGTCAAAAGCGGTGATGACCTTCACCGCTTTTGTCTAAAACGGTGATGCTCAAACATGTGTACTTTTGGAATTTTTTTTATAACTTACGTATTTTGGGAATTTTTTTTAAAAACTAGTGTACTTTGGGATTTTTTCCAACTTACGGTAGGGTTCTACAAGCTTAATTATTATGTATATATGCAAAGCAGTCAAAATCTCGATTTAAATTTTAAGGGCCCGTTTAGTATCATTTTGTTGCTGTTGTGGTTGCAGTGGTGCTGTGTAAACAAATGTGCAACCACAACAGGAAAAAAAAATAGAAAACACAAACTTGTTTAGTTGATAAATCTGAAAAATCATGAAAGCTGACAACAAGAAACAAAAACGCGTTTAGTTACTACATAGCTGACGTGCTGTTGTATAGCTGACGTTGAACTCAGTGAGTGATAGCTCAACCCCAAAAGTCGAACCTTCTTCATGTTCATAATTTTCATATTCATGAAATAGTCCATATCTTATTATTAATTGATGGAAATTGGGGAATTGGACCCTTTGGTGTGAACGAAAACACTAATCCATGAGTGTTCTAGTGTTTAGGTGGATTGGGAAGGTAAAGTTGTGCTTATACAATGTGCGAGGGCAATGGGAGTGCAGAAATACGTGTTCTATTCAATCCACAATTGTGACAAGCATCCCGAGCCTGAGGTTCCATTCTTGGAGATCAAGTATTGCACAAAGAAGTTCCTCAAGGACTCTGGATTGCCTCACATCACCATACAATTGTGTGGGTTCATACAAGTAAGATGGACGACATTCATAGCGCTGAGTAGGCCTGATAATCGGTGCGGTTTCGGTTTAACCGAACCGATTTGTCGATTAACCGCCACCAATAAGTGGCTGAAATAGGCAACCGAAACCGCCACCGATTAAGCAATCGGTTAGCCGAAACCGCCAACCGTAACCATCGGTTCGGTGAGTCGGTTAACCTTTAACCGAAATAAACGAGAAAAAATAAAAAGAATTTGCTCGTCCCCATTCCCCAGCCCACATTCTCGATCCTTCTTTCCCATCTCTACTACCCTTCCCTCTCTCCAAAAAAACCAGATCTCTCTCTACGTCTCTCCTCTCCATTCTCAAATCCCAATCTCCACCTCTCTGCCTCTATGGCCTCCTCTACCCACTCCAAATCAACAAAAAAAAATCAACATAAACTTCAGGGGAAGTAACATGCACGGCTACCAGCGCTGAACTTGCACGGAGCAGGTCCTGGATTTGGCCGGATTTCTCACTCTGCTGGAGGACAGTGAGTTGGCAATCGACGCCGACGAGGGGATTTGAGGAGGTAACTGAGGGCGGCGACGACGAGGAGGCTTTCTCGTTCCCAGATTCGGAGGCCGGTTGACTTAGATGTGGAGGGCGGCGGTTGAATTAGATCGGGAAAGCTGCATGCTGCCCAACACACGTTCTCTCCTCTAGCTTTGTCTTTGATGCCCAATCGTAGGAAGAGATGATGATGGGAGGAAGGATTGATTTGAAGGAAGAGGAAGAGAGCGGATCTCTAGATCTGCTATTTGAGAGAGAGAGAGAGAGAGAGAGAGAGAGAGAGAGAGAGGAAGGGGGAACGATTGATTTGCAGGGAGAGAGAGTGAATCAGGGACAATTGTAATTTTATCTCCATTTAGAGGTTGAGAATGGTGGAGGGGAAGGAGAGCAAGGGAGAGAGATGGGTAGGGGGAGTGCTGTAGTGGGGAGGAGACGACTTACATTTTGGTGACAGCGCGGTTAGGCGGTGCATCGCCAGCGGTTTCGGTTATAGCCGACAACCGATCTATTTCCGAATAAGAGGATTTCCTCCAACCGAAACCGCCAACCGAATACAAATAGCGGTTATCGGTTAGCCGACTAACCGTAATTTTCGGTTTGGTTAGGCGGTCAACCAAAAACCGCCAACCGTTTTATCACCCCTAGCGCTGAGGAATGAGCAGATCATTGGGAAGCTCCTGACGTTTGGATGTTGATAGGACATAGCTCGATTGACATTGATAGCGCCGAGGAATGAGCATATCATTGGGAAGCTCCTGACTTTTGCTGGTCCTCTAGCTTGGAAGACTCAGGAGGTAAACAAGAAGGCGACGAGCATAGAGGGAGACGGAGGATTGGAAGAGGCCGCTGACAGGGGAGGGGCGAGTGGAGAGGAAGAAGTGGTCGTTGAGGGAGAGGGTCGGTGGCAGGGAGTGGCAGTGCGAGGCTGGGCGACAAGAAGGGAGCGGTCATCGACCTTCCTCTCGAGAGGAAGAAGTTGAGAGGGAGGGAATACCTGGGCGACGACTTGGCTATAATGAGGAGATGGTTGGCCGATTTATGGTTTGGGGTGGGGTTGGGGATATATATATATATATATATATATATATATATATATGGTTCAGGCTAGCGTACGTCAGTCGTACATTGTACGCCCGTCGAGTTTTACTATTTAGAGCAAGAATTAACCGAAATTTGGGGCATGATACTATACCCTAACCTCTAATGGATAAACCCCAGTCCCTAATTCTCTAACCCAAGCCACGAGATTCATTTAATCTAAAAAATAATAATCGATGGTTCTGATTCAGCGAAATATATTAAAGTGCAAAAATCAAGTGTGAACACAGGCGTACAGCGTACGCTGACGTACGCTAGCCTTTGCCATATATATATGGCAATATATATTTGTTTAAGATGAGACTCGAACTTAGGGCTGGTTTAATGAAATTAGAGTCCCAACCAGTAGGAATCTCGCCTGAAACATGTTTAGAAATCATATCCAAAGCAATAAATTGTTGTTTCTTCAATTTGGGCCTGGTTGTGTGAATCTGATTCGCAACAGAAATAGAAACCCAACTAAACATGTTTTTTCTCCTTGATTTCTCCAATTCTTAAAAACACAATAGAAAACAAAAACAAGCAACAATACTAAACGGGGCCTAAAGTTTTACGATTTTACTTACCTGTTTCGATTCTGATTTCACTATAAAATCTATATATGGACCTTAAAATCCTACACTATTCACGATTTAAATCTTTAAAACTTACGATTTTACTATTCAAATCTTTGGGTCAAATTTACTTTTTTCCTCCGGAATTTTCAAAATTACGCCTAATTCCTTCTCCTCCACCTACATCATCTAGTTTTCGCACACTAACTACCATTGACTATTATTAATTCACATCAACGTATTAATCATAATCGATTCACCACTTCCCAACATTATCCTTGATAAATCAGAATATTAATCTTGAGAAATTATCATTGTAATTGTTATGTGTTGTTCTAATTGTTATGTGTTGTTGTGTTATTAATGATTTGTCTTATTAATATTATTTCGTCTTCATTTTTATATGAACCTTAAAATCCTACGATTTTACGATTCCGATTTTACCCCTTTTTCGATTTTACTTAAAATCCCGATTTTGACTGCTATGTATATATGTAGTATGTAATAGACCATTAGAAGTTAGATTGGATGAAAAAACTTAGGACTGTGCCTGAAAGGTTGATCCGGCAGTCAGTATTGTCGACCTGTTGATCTACACGTATTTCACCAACAACTACCTTTCATGTCCCGTCATCTTTTCGTCTTCACCAAACTCAAAAGCGACAAACCATTGTTTACACGATATATTTTAGAGTGATAAATTAATAATACAAACTATTATTTATAGAGGTTTGTGTTGTTATTAACTCAACAGAGTGCTTTAATTAACCCACACCCAAATCGAATAATTTAATAACTTTTTTCAATTTCATTTCCCACCTATTCTAACCCACAATGCATGATGCACCAACCCAACCCAACATCTAAAGGAGATTTATTAAATTAAAGCATTGAGAATTCTTCTCATTGAAATCGAAACGAAACCGAAACAAATTAATCAAACGAAAACAATCCAAGCTCCAAAGTAAATTTTGTTGCTAAGATCACATAATTGAATCAGAAAGCAAAATCAAAGACAATGAAACAGAAAATTAAGCAAAGAAAATTTGTTAAGCACATAACCCGAACTCGGGGCCATGCAAAGAAAAAATTAGTAGCCACCACCGGCGGCGGGTGCTTTCTTCACGGCTGGTTTAGGCTCCGCAGTGTAGAAAAAAGGCCCAACCGAGTACAACTTGAGATGCTTATCTTGAAGGATGTGGTGAGAGGATAGCTTGTAACCATCGATTCCTTTGTTCACATTGCTTGGGACTCCACATTCCTCCATTGGAGATTGCTCGAGGAAAGCCTTGCAATTTTCCCACAAATTTTTGGCCTTGTTGCTAGAAGGTAGAGTCTTGAAGAAATAGCCCTTGGCATCGGTTGGACCGGTCTGACACGACACTGGAGTCGTTTCATATCCTTCGCCGTCCTCTTCCAAACAAGTAATTCTCACCACAGCTCCTGAAAATTGTTAAGAAATTATTAGAATGCAATCATTAGAATGGAATATAATGAACTTAAAGTAGGTGTAAAGTAAGTTTACCTTCGATGGGGACATATCCAGATGGCGATTTGCAAATTACAGTCCCTTCAACTGCGGTGGGAAAAGCTTCTTCTGGCTTTGGAATATTCAGTTTGGGTGTTTCATAGTGTGGGTCACTAACTGGCTTGACTGGCTTCGAGTCGTAGGACTCTGATTTTGGATCCTTTTCCATTGCGGGCATCTCCGATTCTTCTGGTTTGGGCAACCATTGAGCAACAGGCTTATCGTAGGATGCAGAATGGATCGTGGAATGAGGGATGTCAGGGAAATGAAAGTCCGGCTTCTCGATGGGCTCGTTGTGTTGAAATTTGGGCTCGTCATAGGACTCTGATTTCGGGTCTTTTTTCAATGTGTGCATCTCCGATTCTTCTGGTTTGGGCACCCATTGAGAAACTGGCTTGTCGTCATATTCGGAATGAGTTTCGTGATGAGGCATGTCGGAGAAATGGAAATCTGGCTTTTCGATAGCCTCGTTGTGTTGAAACTTGGACTCGTCGTATGACTCCGACTTTGGATCCTTCTCCAACTCGGGCATCCCCAGTTCTTCCGGTTTGGGCATTGATGGAACAACCGGCTTCTCGTAAGATTCTGAGTGGACTTCCGAATGAGTCATGTCGGAGAAATGAAAATCTGGCTTCTCGACATCACCACTGTGCTGAAACCCATGCTCAACATAGGACTCCGATTTCGGATCGCTTTCCAACGTTGGCTTTTTCGATTCCTCTGCTCCTTTAGGCATCTTTTGAGCAACTGGCTTGTCGTAAGACGATGCAGACGGAGCTTTGGATTGCGGTTTCGGAACTTCTCCGGCGGCATTGGAGCTCGGAGAGTAGTCCTCACCGGCGGAGGCTCCCACAAGTATCATGGACAAGAGAAGAACATAGAAATGGCTGGCAGCCATCTCGACTTTGTTATATGGTGAGAAATTGGTGTTTTGTGGTAAGAAGAAAGAAATGATGAGGGGATGGTTGGGAGTTTGATGATTTGCCAATGTATGCTGTGCCCTCTATTTATATGGGATGGAAGTTAAGTTGCAGGGTAGGGAGGGAAAGCTAATTAGACGTGCATGGTTCAAGTTTGCCACCAAACCAATTCATAGCCATTGATGAGGAATCAATTATTGGGTTTCAGGCAGTTAATGAATCATGATGGGAATTAATTAATTGCATGCGACGTGAAGAGCAGACACTAGAGGAACCCCCCGATCGAGAAAGTGAGTGGCACGTTTGGAAAATTATGTGGGAACAGATTCGTCAATCATTTCCATTTCATTGACGCAAATGGCATCACATCCTCTAATGTTTATGCTATCTGGATGCATGGGAGATTTTTTTTTATTAGATAATGCCATCGCTTAATTTGGTGTTTAGTATTCTTAGCCCACATCGAAAGAGAGCCCATTGTAATTTGTATTGGCATTAAACCGAGCTGTAAAGCCCTCTAAGTGAACTAACATCGGCCCTAATCTTATGTTAGGGTTCAAGCAGCTTAATTATGTTATGTGTTCACAGACTCATATATCGTGCCATTGAATCTTTTCTCGGGATGAGATACGGTGACAACCCTCTTAGGAGTTGTGAGATTCACAACCCACTCACTAACCGTTGGATACACTCTCTCTCCTGTCTCTTTCTTCTTTTTTTAAGTTGATGGTTATGATTAAAAGAAGGGTATTTTTGGAAATGAAAAATGTTGACACACCCAATCATTCTCCCTCCCATATAAATAAAATAAAAACCCTAACTCCTCCCTCTCCCCCTCATCTCTCTCTTTCCCTCCTCCCTCTCTCTAGACAGCACTACCGCCTCTCTCCACCCACCCTCATCTCTCTCTTTCCTCTCCTCCACCTCTCTCCGCCTCCATGGATGAGATCTCATCCCCATCACAGCAGCTGCAGCAGCTTCCCATAAGCAGTATCAAGGAGAAGCAGCCCCCCCCCCCCTCGGGCCGGCAAGGAACCGGCCGCGCCGCTGTCCTCCCCCCCGCCGCGCCGCTGTCCTCCCCCCGCACCCCGCCGCGCCGCTGTCCTCCCCTGCCGCCACCATTTTTATGTCGCCGCCACCGCGAGGTCAATACTCATCCCTATTTTTTTCCAGATCTGATAGTCTCTACCGGTACCAATACCACTGGTAGCACTATTGGTACCAATACCACTGGTAGCGTTATTGGTACGCTACCACTACTCACTGGTACCAATACTAGTGGCTCCCCTATCACCTGGTACCACTATCATCTTTTTTTTGTGTTATTTGCTACTGGTACCGCTACCAATGCTAGTGGTAGCTACCAGTGCTAGTAGCGTTGTGTTATTCTCTACTGGTAGCGTACCACTAGTACTGGTACATTTTTTACTGGTACCGCTAGTACTGGTACATTTTTTAACGTACTGGTAGCGTACCACTAGCACTGGTATATTAATTACCAGTAGACTAATAGATTGGTACACTTTTTAACGCATTGGTACATTTTTTCAGGTTGCCAGAGGGAGTCTGCGGGAGAGAATTCGCCGGAGAAAAATTTTGTCGGTCGATGCGGAGTGGCTGCTGGAGAAAGGAAGAGAGAGAGATAGATAGAGATATTAATGTATAGGATTTAAATTTCAGAAAAAAAATTGTATTTAATATGGGTTTTTAATTCCCAATATAATTAATACAAAAAAGGTAATTAATATATTCCTTTTCTTCATACCCAAAATACCCTTGGTTGTGAACCTGACAACCCCCAAGGGGGTTGTCACCGTATCCCGTCCCTCTTTTCTCTACTTCTTCTTGTGGGTTGTTTATTGTGAGACGAAAGCCAATCCATAAACTTGAATTTGCACATCGTGATTGTGACTTGGCGTCCTTGAGGAAATGTCATTTCACAATTTGTTTTGTTGGCCTTAATCTTTTCTCTATGTCTTTTTGCATGCTGTTTTTATTTTTGAAGTTTTCACAAGCGATCAACATACATTGTGCTTTAATCAACTGTTAATATTGGGGGTCGTGGAGATTTGAACCACTTAGCCAAACTAGCTCTGATAGAATGTCATAAACTAGTTGGTAACAATAACTCGATTTGTTGGAAAAAGGTTATGTTGGATCTTCTTATACCACAATCTTACAGAAGCTAGGTTAGATGAAGAAAAAAAAATAGTTTTGTCCCATCGAGCACCATGTACGTAAATCACGTAGTAAATCTCATTTTGTTCCATTTAACTAACATGTTTTTTTTTCCGCCAAGTATGTTTTTGGTCAAAGAATCAAAGAGAATCCATATAATATTGTAACAAACACAATTATCCAAAGAGAGATGGATTACGGAAATGAGCAGATTTTACAGTCTAAACGTAACCTATCTAATATCCACATCTAAACAATATCCCCTATAACCACGTACGTCGCTGAACCAACCTATATATACCTATATAAGCTATAGCTAGATAATTGTTTGATTAGTAACTAATTAAAGATCTTATTAAGATGGCTAAACCCTTTAAACCTCTTCCCTTTCTCTTCTTCATCATCTTCTCCTTCCTAGTCCCCACTTCACTCCCACTCCCGCTCTCAACAAACAACCGATGGATCGTCGACTCTGTGACTCGGGAGCGAGTCAAGCTCGCCTGCGTCAACTGGCCATCCCACTTGGAAACCATGCTGGCCGAAGGCCTCCACATGCAGCCGCTCCCGCGAATCGTTTCTTCCGTCGTCCGAAACGGCTTCAACTGCGTCCGTTTCACCTTCGCCACCCACATGTTCACCCGTTTCGCCAACCGCACGGTGGCCCAGTCGTTCGACGGGCTCAACCTGACCGAGGCCAAGGCCGGGATAGCCCACTACAACCCTTCCCTCCTGGGCCTGACCCTCGTCCAGGCCCATCAGGCCGTGGTGGACGAGATGGGTGCCCAGGGGCTCATGGTGGATCTCGATAATCACGTCAGCAGGCCCAGCTGGTGCTGCTCGGCCCACGACGGGAATGGGTTCTTCGGCGACAAGTTCTTCGATCCGCGGGAATGGTTGGAGGGCTTGAAGATCGTCGCCAAGCTCTACAGAGATAAGCCTCAGGTGGTGGCAATGGGCCTGAGAAACGAGCTCAGAGGCCCACGCCAGAACGCCCGCGATTGGTACTACTACATGAAGAAGGCCGCAACGGAGGTCCACAAGGCTAACCCAAACGTGCTTTTATTCATTGGAGGGCTGAAGTACGCCAACGACTTGACTTTTCTGAAGCAAAAGCCGTTGGGCTCGACGTTCGGGAACAAGCTGGTTTACGAGGCCCATTGGTACCCTTGGAGTTGGGAGAAGCAAACCGTTTGGACCGAAAAGCCGCTGAACCATCTCTGCCCGTGGAAGCTCAATTACTTCATTAACCAGACCGCTTTCATGAACACTCTGGACCGCAACCCGGTTCCGATTTTTGTTGGGGAAGTCGGGACGGACCAGAGAGGGTTGAACCGGTCGGGTGACTACTTCTGGTCTTGCTTCTTGTCTTGGGCAGCTGGGATGGATATGGATTGGGGACTTTGGGGTTTGCAAGGGAATTACTACTTGAGGGACAAGAACAAAACCAACGCTGAGGAGACTTTTGGTGTGTTGGATTACTATTGGGGCCGGGTCAAGAACCCTTATTTGCAGAACCGGTTGGGTTTGATCAAGAGCAAGGTCCAAGGTATGTGTTACTATATGAAGTATTTACATGTGAAATGGTTTATGAATGATGAGATTTATGACTAGCTAACACAATAACCTGTAATTACACGGTCCGAGTTGAAATTTAGTGGGATCTCATTCATGCATAAGTTTCTGAATTCAATTATAAATTACAATTTCTTCAATATATCCAATCAAATAGTCATTCATGAGATTGTCAGTTATTCAGCTATGCGACATACTTTTGTACAAATCATTAGTTGAAAATTGACCTTCCGATTGCTAGCTAGCTAAAATACGCATTAATTTCTAAGTTGAATTTAGACCTGACAGCTAAACTTTTATGATGAACTCGTAATTTTTTTGTATTATTAGAAATATTTCGATTTTAGTTTCGATCTGGACCGAACATAATTTTGATGATGATGACGCACTGCAGACCCAACATCAACACATCGAACGTCCTACTTGATGTTCCACCCACAAACAGGGAGCTGCATGCAGGCCGCCGGAGACAGAGAAATCTACGCCGGAGACTGCAAGGCGAGCAACATAAGCAGATGGATACACGACGGAGATGGGTCTCCGATCAGGCTACAGAACCGGAGCCACCTCTGCCTAGAGGCCGCCGGCGATCTACAGAGAGTTAAATTCACAACCAACTGCAACAGCCCACATAGCACTTGGACAAGGATTTCCAACTCGAAGCTTCTGTTGGCTGCCAAGGACCAAAATGGGGACTATTTGTGCTTACACAAGGAATCTCGTTACACCAACAGCATTTTCACTAGGAGGTGCATGTGCCTTGGTGATCGTGGTGATGGTGAAGATGGTTGCCTTGAGATTGATTCTGATGATCCTGAGAAAGATCCCACCAGCCAGTGGTTTCAACTCGTCGAAACAAATGTTTAGTAGGGATTTTTTTTTGGTTAGACAACAATCTTGAGTAGGTTTTGTTTGGTCACGGAAATATTTAGCAAAGATTTCCTAAGAATAGGGGGATGTGATATGGCATGTGCAATTATTTCAGGTTGGATAGTACTCTGGATGGTTCAGTTCTTGGCACTTTCTAATGGAGGGTTGTTGCTTAATTAATTGGAGAGATTCTTCTGGTAGCTTAACCCAAATTCATATCTCTATTTATGAGACGTTGGCTAGTCGGTCTTAAATGACCAACTTGGCTAGTTGTTAATTGTTATGGCAGAGGACAGAGATTATATTGGGTTTGTTGGAGTTTGGTTTAGTGATCATATCGGGGTTATTTTGATCGCTTCTAGCTTTATTATGGTAATCGAAAATGCTAATAAAAAAATAATTGTTGCAAATTAAAACATGAGGAAGGTGATTATGTTCATACTTAATGACGACAGTCGAAACCAACTGAATTTAGTTGTTTTTTTTTTCTATCCCCCTATTGTTGCATGCATAACACTAGTGTAAATTAACATAAATCCATCACCCAACAACATTCTCATTGAACACTATTTAAAAGGGCAAACCTTAGTGATAACCATCCACTTCTTTGAAATCGAGATAAATAATTGACACTAACATGGAGGTAATATAATTGCACGGCCAACCCTGCACTAACGCGTAGGGATTACAATAGGGTGTTTGGGATGGATTTCACTAAATCATTTTCATTCTTATTTTTCAGATATTGAAACTCATACTCACCTCATATTTACAGTTTTGGGGTACCCATTTACATTAAAAAAAAATACGAGTTTTACGTATTTTCACATTGACTAAGTGGGATAATCGAGACTCGCGATTGCAGGTTTGATTGCAATCCTGGTAGGAGGGTGTAGGGGCCAACATTGAAGGCTAACCGATGCATCCGAAACTAGAATATTGTGAGCTTGATGAGGGCCTTAAAATTCCAACAAAAAAGCAGGGCAGATAGAAAACAAAAGGGACCTCAAATCTTCTTTCCCATTTTAAATGGGGATCGTCCAGTCCAGGGCTTATATAGCTTTTGATGGTGTACTGTAGGGTGCGAAATTAGAACAAAAGTGGGAAGTGAAGCAGACAAGCAATAAAACTGGGGCCATCTCGTATCTCTTCTTTACGACCCAGAAAAACAACTACTAATTAAAGCTCGAGAGTGGCTGTGGGGCTTGATACCTAGCTAGGAGCTACAAAATGCCAAGCCAATTCCAAAGAGGGTAGAAAGAAATGCCAAAGTTGTTGTTTGATATCAGTATAATTGATCTCTATAATCACTACTCTCAATCGCATTTTCTCGTCAGTGGGTATATAGAGTTACGTTGCACATACGAACAAGATTGAAGAAAGAAGCAACCATATGGCTTTTACTGTGTCCTTTTGTTTTGTATTATATCTTGGGTTGGGTTGGGTGGGACTTTTCCCAAGTTGGGAGTATAATAATAACATGGGTCACATGATTTGTATGAAAGAGACAAAATTTCCTAAACCCTAGCTAGCTTTTAATCGTTGCCTTACCAACCGGGAAATCTATATTGATGCGACCACTATGGTCATGATGATGAGCTACCATTGCCTTTGATGCGAATCACTATTTTCTTCTTGGTTTCAGCATTTTAGCTCATCTAAAACTAAAATCAATTGTACAGTCGAGACGATAGGAAAGTATGTTCATCTTGTTTTATGAACAACGTCATTTAACAAGATGGTTCTTAGTAAGAGGAATGTGGCGTTAAATTTCATAACATCCCTGTTCCTCTTTTCCTGCGTATAACAGGGACTCCGAGGTTTTAATTATTATACAGATTATCGATCTTGCCTTGCGCAGTGGTTGTGGTCGTGGGAAAAGAAGAAGAAGATGGCCTCACTGCTTGCATGTGTGCCACGGCTACAGCCTCTCCCACCAAATATCAAGTCTTAGCCACGTAGCCTGCAGGGTTGACTCCACCGCTGAGGTCCTCTGACCTTGTGCTCAAATTATTTTCTGAGCCATATATATAATAGCAACAGTAATATAATACAGTATGACACCTGGACCCTAGATCAGGCAAATAAATTGTTCCGGTTAGTCTGAAAACGTCCACTGGCGCTTGAGGCATAGATGACGATCACATGAGCTCTTCTGTTCTTCAACCTGCATGCACCTCCCGGCCGACGAGTTTCCGACCAAGTTGAAACCCCCGATTGTTGTCCATGTCATCATTTCTCACACTAATTTCAATGAGATATTTTTTTGCAGGTATATAACTCGAATAAATTGATTTGTCGCCGATTGGAAGTCACGGGAATATCACTGTCAGGTCAGTGAGTCGGAGTTCGGAGGCGAAGAGTCGGGTTAGGGGCTCGGAGGAGCAAGTTGTAAGAACTATGGGCATTTAGGGTTTCGAATGGAGTTATAGTTTGAGATTAGTTAGAAGATAATTGAGAATTTAGGGATCTGAGATTAGGAGATAGAATTGGAGAAAAGGAAGATAGATGGTCGACGGCCTAAATTAATTCGGACGTAATATTCAAAGTATATATATATGAGAAATAAACTAGAAAACTTAATAATTAACCTTAAATTAACCCTATCTTTGCCCACAAACCCGCCTAACTCCTAAAAAAACTCTAATGATAACATTTCTAACACAATGTTTCCCCAATGGGGTTCGGAGGCAACGCCCTTAATCCATGGTGTATAGCCTTGTAGTTGTTTGGGTTTCTGTGTTGAACCTGATTTGCAATATTCTTTATTGGATTTAATGGGGTTAGGTCATTGAAGAAGTATTATATATACTTCTCATATTTCTCTGTAATATGTAATTTCATCAAACACAGTGAAGCTTGCTTTCTCCCGTATGTAGACTAATTAATAGGGGTGGGCACGTGGGTGGGTAATCCGCGGATTGATATCGATCCACCCGCAAATAACCCAACCCGCACGCAGTGGATGATTGATGTGGGTGGATTGCGGATTGATAAATCTCCCACCCGCACTTATGTGGGTGGGTGGTCGGTGGATTGACCCGCATCCGATTTGTACATGAAAAATGTTGTGTCTTATAGTATCGAATATTCATCATATTTTCGAACTGCACTACAGTCTCACTATATACTTCAAAAGGTGGAGAATAAAGAATAGTTTTGACTACTATTATTGGTTATTGTGTTGTGCAATATCTATTAGATATTGGATATTGGTATGCAAATTATTGTTAATATCCATTAAATATTGGGATGGAAAGTATAAATTATTAATTGTATAAAAATCATAAATTATTGATACAATCTTGCTAATTTGCTATGAACTCATTATAAATGCTAGTCCAATTTCTTAATGGCTAGTTGGAGAATTGCTTTTGTGGGTTGACCCACGACCCAACCGCACGCATCCGCCACCCACCCAACCCAATCCCGCAGAAGTATGTGGGTGGATTGCGGGTCACAATTATTCCAACTCGCTAGTAAGCGGGTGGGTCAATTTGAAACCAAAACCCACCCAACCCGCCCATTGCCCACTCCTACTAACTAACACACATTGAGTTAGAGAACGACATAAATTTCTATGTTATGTAAATTCATGTGTCCTTTATTTTCTTGTTGATCGTTGTTTTACTTATTATTATCGATTGTCCCAGTTCGTGTGTGTGGCATTTTTCTCATGTGTCTAATTTTGCCGAAAACGGAATGAACTGGTCAACTGATCATTATCTCCTAAAAAGAAAGTTAAGTGACCATTTTGTTCATGATCCCAAAATTGAGTGACCGTATATGTGATTCAGATTAACCCCATGAATTCGCTCCTCCCATTCCCAGGGTCCCACAAATTTCCCATGGTCAAAAAAGGAAGAAAGGAAGGACCAAGGAGGAGAGTGAAAACAGGGGAAAAGCAAAGCAAAGGAGAAAAATGAAAATGAAATGAGTCACTCCCATTAATGCAAGCAGAGACTCCCACGCACAAAATTATACAAACACTTTCCCTTTCCCCCTCTCTTTCTGACTCGCACTCGCATCAGACTCTGCTCTCTCTCACTCTCTCTCCCTCACATGTCCAAAACCAGAACCTGCAACTGCAGCACCACCACGCCATCCCTCCTCTAGTCCCTCTTTCTCTTCCCCATCTCACATTTTGCAGTACAACACCCACCCCCATCGTCCCAATTACTTCGCCATTGATTGCTCACTGCGAAGTCAAGAAAAAAAACTAAAAAACCCCACTCAATCGCCTTTCTTCCTTCCTCCTCTGCTCTCTTCTTCCTTTCCCCTGTTTTCTCCACTCACTCTACTGCTCTCCCTTTCTTTCTTTTTATAAAGAGACCCGCTATCAGCTCCGCCCTTCCTTTCCCCTGGTTTGGTTGCTTCCCTTTTCGTCATATTCTGGCTCTCCCGACTATGGAAGCTTTCACCTTGCTCAAGTACTGGCGCGGCGGCGGAGGAGCTGTCTCCCTGCCCTCTCCTTCCCCTCCTCCCCCTCCTCCTCCTCCCACTCTTCTTCCCGCCCGTCACAACACTACCACCATTGTCACTTCCGCCTTCCCCGACGACAATGCTGCGCCGCCGCCATCCACCGACGAGGATTCCAGCGCCGCCGGCGACGATGGGCCTTTCTTCGACTTGGAGTTCGCGGTTGGGGAGGTGGGAGACGACGATGGCGAGGAAGAGGAAGAGGGGCAGAGGAAGGGGGCTGATTCCTCCGCCGATTCTGATTCCGACGGCGGTGGCGACGGAGAAGAGGGGGAGTTCGATTTCACGCTCTCGTCGGCTTCCAGCTGCAACGACCGTGCGGACCCCACCGGCCAACTGGCACTATCCCCTTCCGACGAGATGTTCTTCAAGGGAACGTTGCTGCCGATGATGGAGTCTTCCGACGCTATGAACCCTAAATCTCAGAGGATCCCTGTCTCCCTGCTCAAATCCGCCACCAAATTCAGGGTTTTCTTGCTGGGATTCAAGAAATCCAACAAGGCAAAAATCCCCGGTGAACAGAAATCGGCCGATTCCGTTGTAGATGTGGATACAGCGGCGGCGGAGCAGCAGAAAGAGGAAGAAGGAAATGGAAATGGAAATGGAAATGGGAGGCAGGGGAAGCTTTTCACCGTCAAGTTCAAAGTCGAGGATGTTCCAATTGTGTCTCTGTTCACCAGAGACAACAGTAGTAAGAGCGGCAACAAGTCATCGTTGCAGCAGAAGGAACAGAGTGGTGGTGTTGGCGATAACAATTCCGGCGACGCTTCTTCCGCGGCGGCGGAAGAGAGGCAGAGGTTCTCCAAGGAGGCATTGCAGAAGTACTTGAAGAAAGTGAAGCCTCTCTACGTCCGCGTTTCGAAACGGTACGGGGAAAAGCTTGGATTCTCTGGTCAACTGAGTCTAGGTTCAAATGTTGCTAAATCCTCGGCGGCGACGGCGGAAGCGGTTGGGGTTACTCCTCCTGTTCCGGCGATTCTGAAGGCTTCCCCGTCGAAGTCGTCCTCGTCGTCGTCGGAGAAGGTTCAGCAGGAGGCTGGAACAGTCAACTGTGTGGGTCAACAGAACGTGAAGGGAGCAGCGAAACAGGGGAATTTGCAGGCAGGACTAAGAGTCATGTGCAAGCACTTGGGGAAAAGCCGATCCGCTTCTTCCGCCGTGGCGGCGGCTCCTCCTCCGCCTACGGCTGCAGCATCGAATCGGAGAGACGACTCGTTGCTGCAGCAGCAAGATGGGATTCAGAGCGCCATTCTTCATTGCAAGAGATCCTTCAATGCCTCTCGAGGTAAAAAAAAAAAATTAATAGAGTAACTAAACCCGGAAATTTTGGCGACGATTTCTGTTGAAAAGGGTAATAATAATTTGATGACTCCTTTGTGATTCCCATTATTAACGCAGATTCAGAATATTCAAGGTCGGCGAGCGGGTCATCTTCGTCGCCTGAGAAATCCGGCGAGTCGTCGGGGAAAGATTCCGGTGGTGATGATGGGAAAGCATCAAGTGGGCCTGTGGTCCGATAATAATACCACAGCCTAGGAGTTCGCGTAATCAAATCAATCAGTTAAATATGGATAACTTTAAGTACATGTTTTTGTCTCTGTAAATGTGCCGCGGTTGTTTGAATTAGTTGTTAATCTATAGCTTTAGTGCAGTTAATTTAGGTGATTAAGTAAAGTGAATAGAGAGAGTAGAGGAGGTCGTACTGCTGTGCCGATTGTAATGTCAGTGGCTTAGTAATTAGTATTCTGGAGACCAAATGTTTCCAGTGCAAGTTCAAGTAAACCAAAAGGCTCTCAATCTCTTATGTATGTAGCTTGTAGCATCATAATTCAGTGAGGCAAGCGTGCCGATAGAGGTTGAGATCAGCGCGTACTAACACCATCACAAGATGCGAATTTCAATCCAATACATCAATCCATTAAAAATATCCACCTAATCCAATCCATTTAAATCCAATCCATTTTATCCAAATCCAATTGGATTGGTGGATTTATGGATTGGATCCATGGATCATTGGCAATTACGGTTTAGTACCTATAATTTTTATTTTTTACATTTTGGTACCTAAAATTTAATTCTTTATACGAAAAATATCATTGGAAATTACGTTTTGATACCTAAAAATTTTCATTATGACATTTTAGTACCTAAACTTTTTACATTTTACATATTGGTCCTTGGTTGAGGATATCATTTGGATTCATGGATAATCCACCAATCCACTTGATCCAATCCATCAATCCATCAATCCATTAGATCCAATCCATTTGATCCATGGATCCACCAATCCAATCCACCAATCCACCAATCCAATCCATTTGCCACCTCTAGATGCGATCTTTGTCATCGCACGCACATTTTATTTATAACTGTGCTAATGCTTGCATCTAATGTATGAAATCGCGAGACCGAGCAATCTGGTAATATTGACTCGTGTTAACCCCAACCAACCCCAAGAGCATGCTGGTAAGATTCAACAAAAATGGCAATGCTCGAGGACCATCAACCCAACCACCACAGGAAAGTGAGGATAGGGTTTCTTCTGCATTGATGTTGGTTCATACTTGATAGTTGTGGGGGTGGGGAGTGAAGTGAAGTGAAGAAGAAGAAGAAGAGGAGGAGTTGGGGGGTGGTTTGGTCAATTCAAGTTAATTGCAAGGATTTGTGTCTTTTTGCGGTCAGAGATGGCAGGAGAAAGTGGCAGTGCTTAAACAGTAAAAAAGTAAGAAAGGGTTTTGTTTTCTTTCTCTCGACAGAATGGCAGAGGAGGGGCGGGAGGGTGGAGAAGACAGACAGAGATATAACAATACAGACACCAAAAACAAAGTTCAGTCCCTCCCTCTCTCTGGTTTAGCAAAGCTTGTTCATGGAGATTTGGGATTTCTGTTGAGCTGTTTTTAGGGGGTGTTTGCTTTGATGTGATCAGTGGTCCAATGAAGTTATTTGGTTGATGTTTCGGATCTCGATTTTGTGTGTGTGTTACTGCAAAGTCCGGTGATCAATGATTCATAATAGTTTCTCAGCTACTGCTGACCATGATGCGTCCCATCCACACAAGGCAGTGAAACAAAATGATTCAGTAGTAAAGTTCATTACAATTGTCATCTAGAAATCCAAGGAAAAGTTATTTTGTCAATTTAGGTGACAAAACACCTAATACCAGTTTATTCACGCATTTTTTTTGTTCATTCACGCTATTTAGTGCGTATTCACGTAATACTATGCTTATTCACGTAAGAGTGTAAGTTATTCACGTAAGTGTATAAGTTATTCACGTAAATGAAAAATCAGACTTTTTCCCCTAATAATTTGTATTGGCTATATTTTAAGGAATTAAATTTGGATTCTCAATTAATTTGTAAAAATATATTGCACTTATCATAATCTACACAATGACATCCATTTTGATATATTTCAAAGTTTAAAATTTAATTTTACAATGGCGTGAATAAATAACAATACATGTGAATAAATACCAGGTTGCGTGACTAAACAATATTGGTTGCGTGAATAAGCAACACCTCTTACGTGAATAACGCCAATATGGCGTAAATAAATGGAAAAAAAATGCGTGAATTAGGTGTTTTTGTCACCTAACGTGCCAAGAGATTTGATTCGAAATCCAATTGGTGCAACATTAAGTAGGATCACCAGTGATTATTTCGATAGTAGGTTAGTTGTTTGTTCGCTGTATTTGGATTTGATTATTCTACTAGTAGAGATTTTTGCAAACTCTGATTTACATTGTTGAATGATAACCTTGTTTCCACTGTTATATAATGTATTATGCAATACATAGTCGTTAGATGCATATGAATTGATGACAACACCGCCTATAAACTGTACGAACGCGATTTAAATAATTCAGGTAACCAAACTGGTTGTAGACTTTAAGACTTGCAGTAAGTTTGCAAAAAAGTTTGGTTGTCGTTTTGAGTACGAAAGGATTCCAGTAAATGGTGGGTGGGGGTGGCGATGATTCCTCGTTTTTTTACTTTTTGTAACATATAATGGAAACTTGCTTTAGGAAAAAATTAGGCAGCGGAGTTGGACAAAAGAAATGGCAGCTCCATGCTCCTACGCTCTTTCTAGGTGCTTCTTTACCTAGCTTTCGTGTTTGTGTGCACAATCTGTTCATATTGTTGATTGGTGCAAATTAATGTATTTCCTAGCAGTGGTCTTACTATTGATAATGGGACATGTCCTTTATTTTTTTTACAAAAGGGATTACTTGCATTGTATTTTGAAAAATCGATTACAAGAGAACCAACAAAGCAAGTCAAAATCAGAACAAAGGACAGAGAAACTCAAGCACATGGATCATCAATCTGTGCTTCAGAGATACAACAAGAAGAGCACAAAACACAGAAAGAGTATCCCAAAAATGGATCGGAAACACTTGAACCAAAAGCAGTAAACATCGAAAGCTCTCTTGCAATCAATTCAAACAAAGTAGCACCAAGCGCAATCATCTCGTCTGATTCGACCGAGTCCATGACGATTGAACACAATGTCATTTTCTGCCTCCTAGGAGTCGCTCAAAGACGCTCAACACAGTGAATCTCGAGTGAGGGATTACATGGCGGTGAACAAGATTGAGGATCGAAATGCTCTGAGCTGAAGAGGCAGGGGAAAAACGAGGCACCAAGACTTGGTCAAGGGAAGAAGAAGAACCCAAATCCCCATATCAAAGATCCGAAACCACGAGCAGCAGGGCTAGACACCGCAATCCATCCTCAATAGCCCACCAAGATGCAGAACAAACCACCTGGGAAGAAACGAAGGGGAAAACCAGTGAATCGATTCACCACGCAAGTTGATAAATCCACCATCAAGAGGGAAGACCCAAGATGCATAACCCAGCCCCCCGAGGAGAGCAAATCCCAGCAAAAAACCCAAGAACAGGGCAGCGAAATCCCAAAATGGCTAGAAAACCTAAAAGCTGGAAGCCTGGAACAAGAGAGTGAAAAACATGAAAACAAAGACAAGGAAGCTGAAAATGGAAGCAGGCAGAAGGGAAAGGAGTCGGGCCACCGCCGGTCACCAAGAGATGCCGGCGGCAACCCTTGGAGATTACACCGCCGAGGAAAAAGTTAGAGAGGGATGAGAGGAAAAATTGAAATAAAATAAGAGAGAGAGAGAGGGGTTTGCTAGTTTGCTTTTTTTTGGGGGGGGGGGGGGGGGGTTGGACACGTCCTTTCGATGATGATTCGTATGCACGCTTACAAACTCGTATTGAGCACTAAAAACGATAATTAATAAGAAAAACTTCTTATGTCATTCACTCAAACGTGAATGACACTAGCAATATCAAAGCTATGTGTCATTTACGATTTCAATGTTCAATCTATAATATATATATATATATATATATATATATATATATTTGTTGGACAAACATTGAAGAGTGGCAGGATACGAGCTATTGCCTCCCTGTTTCTCTTCACCCTTCTTAAAATCTAAATTTCAATAAAAAAAATTATACAAATTTACAATATTTACTTCGATTTTGCTCAATCTAATTCCTGATTTAGACATTGCACGTACGTTAAGCCAAAATTGAAAAAAATGCTTACCACTAATTGTCGCTCCAGTTTTGCATGTTGGTCATTGAAATGTCTAGATCCATTTTTTTTCATATGAATCCCCATCCTCATCAACGTCGAGTATGCTCATATAGGTACCCGAGAACATCTCTCACCTAGGTTCTCAATTAGCCTCCTTCCAAAAATTATTGAAGGACTCTGCGTCTAAACTACAATTGGATCCTGAAAGTCAGATACTACTATTAGATCCTTATTTTGGATGATTTCATATAGTACCAGTTGGTTATTTCCCAGAACTTTAGCGATCCACGAATCAGTACCCAAGCTCTAGAATGATTACCCAATAGTCCCCGCCCTACCAAATGACCAAGTAAACACCCTTAGCTAAAATAAATTTCGCCGCCGATTGCAAACTCCGTCTAATGCTCTGGTAACAGCTCATCAATTCACCATCCATAAAACCAAATCAAAACTGTTGTCGTTACCTCGATCTAGCTCCCTCTTCAATCATCATACCCCATCGTCGTCGGAGCCGGAGCCAGCCATCGTCCATGCCCAGACAAAATGCCCCAATTACTAACGAGGTTCTCCCGTCTTCCGTCGCTAGATAGATTCCACGTTGGACGGCGACAGACTTTCTCCATGATACCCGTCGTCCACAATCCCGTCGATGTTCCCCGTTATTCCCCTAACACACACAACACAACCACACACGAGGAAGTTAGTGGGCTTAATATTATCCCCGTCTTCTGTTCAGTTTCGATTTCGCAGCGGGCTGAATTTTTGGTTCGTCCTTGTTTCCTTTCGGCCCAGACTTCCATTTTTCGATAACTGGAATGTTCTTATCTTCCACGAATTGGGCCGACCTGTCTATTTTTTTCCAGCCCAAGTTGTAAATCACTTTTTTTTAATCAAGGACAACTCTAACAATAGGATTGGGAGTATTCTAGATGAAATTTACCAACTCGTTCAAGAGATTGGCCATTGTTCTTTTCGTTTCATTGGTCGTGATTGTAATAGAGAGGCTCATTTTGTAGCTCATCGTTCTCTGTCTTTATCACCCCGCATGTTAATGGGGTTTGATTTCGTTTCCTGGCTTCGTAGTCAATAGGTCTCTTGGTTAGGGTCTCTATGTATCTTGATTCTGAATTTCACCTCGAGGGCTGAGGAATCTAATGACAAAAAAAAAGTACCACGTGGCCACATCCAAATTGATTAGTTTATTTAATTGCTATATGCATTCTTTCCTTCTAAATTACACACTCGACATTAATACATAAATATTTCATGTTTGTCATTTAAATTGTTATACGAATCGGTTAATCGCTAGTTAGTGACCATCAATCTATGTTAGACTCTGTTCACGCAGTCATATTTTTAAGGTGGTAAACTGGCCGTTAAACTTTTCATATTATTCTATTCCCGTGAGGGTAATTTCTCTCATGTCATTTTGCATTTGTCCCTAATGACCGTTTGGCTTTCGGCAAATGGGGAAGTTGAAGAAGTCTGACCTCTTCAAAGATACGGTTTTGTTTTGGAACGGAGATCATCGACCGACATTTTCCGCCGGTGCTTTCTCTTAATCGACGGCCAACTTGTTATCTACATCCCAAACAAAAGGAGGAAGACAAGGGAGAGAAGGAAAAGAATGGCCAAAGAGCCAAGACTCCCAATTGGATCCAACTCTCCTGAAACCCTTCTTTTTTTGTTGTTGTTCCAAATTTGTCTTCTGGTGGGCACCGATAGGTTACCATCATCCATAATATTATAAATAATTCAATAATACAAACAAAACAGCAAGAAGGGAAGTACACAAGGCACGTACAATGGAGAAAAGAAAGAAAGAAAGAAAGAAAGCAGCATTTCCTTTAGCAACAAGACAATTTGCTTACAGCAAATCTATAGCTATTGCACCGCTTCCCACTTCTTTATAGGTTAGATAGATGACTTCTTTTGTACCTTATCATTTGGTAATGACCTTCATGGGTCATGGTTTTTAGGGTCAGAAAAATATTATATAATTAAATCGATTCTATTCATTTTCTTGGTACTCTCTGGTCCGTCTATACTGGTTAGATAGAGTTGAAAATTGAGTTAGATGATTTTCCACTTATTCAATTTTAAGAATATAATCTTGTACGACATCAAGTCATACCAACACATTTAATCGAGAGAAATGAAAACTAGCTATAAAGGGTTTGGTGTTTATAGTGCAAGCTAAGGAAGGAGGTGACTCTCTTCTCATTGGTGTTTCTTTATGAGAAAAAAAAGGACAATAGTACTACAAATTATGGATGTTTAAAAACACATTTATGGAAAAACAGTTCCATTGTATAATTCTTTTATATTAGTGGGGAAAATTGATTGGGCTTTACCAATTCCACATCGGCCTTCCTCTTGCATAGCCCTAAACAAATAAGTAATTACTAATTAAGCATTATAAGCGGAAAAGTCAACCAGTTGAACATCACAATCAGTCAAATTATATATATATCAAGAACATGTCTACCTTCATTGTTCCCATTACCAAAAGAAAAAAGTGGAATTAATGTTAATTCTTTCCTTTTCACAAGGCAAACCGCCGATTAAGCCATTACATCTTTTCTTGAACATCTAACCACCGATCATTAATGTTAGAAAAAAACCCAAATGAATTAATTAACAGACGGGGTATAATATAACAACTGATTATATTATCATCAAAACTCAAAATTAAAAAAGAAAAGATTGTTAAAAAAAAAGCTACATAATTACGAAATAATATACTGTGCGCAGCGACCAGCTGTGACTTGTCCCGTGGCATAGTCGTAATTAACGGCACATATAGCTTTCACCACCATGTGCTTTTTCGTAATTATCTTCACATCCCCGGGAATCCGCGTTACGCAGCTCATCATCAACGTCCCGGATTCAACGTCCTCCCTGAGCTGCGGCACACCGGATAACTTCTCCCCCGAAATCTCCACCGCCACGCTCATATGGACCGTCCCCCCCGCCTTCGCCCTCCCCGGCGGCGTCGCCGCCTCCCCCACCACCGTGTCGCCGTAGTAAATCGTCGCCTCCCCGTGTCCGAACCTGAACGCCGCCGCATTCGGGTTCCTCACCTTGACGTCGGCGAGAACTGTCGCGTTCCCGACGGCGGCGGTCCCGTTGCTGAGGCGGAGGCTCTGAGGGCCGGTGGTAGTGAGTCCGGCGACGGCGACGTGTGGGTCCTTGATTCGGAAGGCGGTGAAGAGGAGGATTAGGAAGAACATGCCGGCCATGAGGACGAAGGCGGCGGAGCAGCCGCAGAACCTGAGGAAGGTCCGGTGCGGGAGGATCTGGTCGGGATCTGGGCCGGAGACACGCCAGGGCGGGTGCGGAGGAGCTGAGGGCTTGACTTGGGCGGCGATTTCCAAGGTCGTCGACTCTGGGGTTTCTGGGTTAATCGACATGGTTCTGTTGGCGGAGAGATTCTCAGTGGAAAAGGAGAGGATTTTGGTCAGAAACCATAATACGAATGAAGAAGGAAGGAAGGGAATTGAAACTGGGATTTGGGGGTTTTCGTTTTCAGTCGTCTTGTCGTGCGAGTGAGGACTGAGTAGAGGAGAAGAAGTAAATTGGGGGAAGGAATTGGGAATTAGGGATTTGGGGGAAAATTGGGCGGCTGGGAAAACAAGCTGAACTTCTTCATCTTCTCCCTTCTTTCTTTCTACTAATCTTCTAACTGTTGATTGCGTCAAGAAAAGAAGCGAGGCAGCCGGCCATGTGGTGGTGAGAGATGGGGGTAAAAATTGATTATCCAGTACGCGATTGCACGAGTTGCACGGCAAATTACTCATTTGACCACTCCAGAAAGACTAATAAATAATTATTAATAAATGTACTTTTTTGTATTTCGGAAACAAAATACGTACCGTAATTCCTGTTTTCTGTGAGATATTTCCACCGCAAGATGACTATGACTTTTTTTCCTTTTTTATATATATTTTATTATTTTTTTGCCGGGGAAAGGTGCATTATTGATCGGAAAATAAATTGTTGAATGTATTTGGGAATTTTTTATAGAGAATTAAATGGGAGTTGAAGCTCGGCAGGCTTAGTTGTATTGGTTTATTTTATTTTCCCCCGTTATATTTGAAAGTAATTTTTTAATGTTTGTAGACATCAAACTGACAGATTGTACAGAGCAATGTAATTTTGACATTTTTATATGTAGTGTACGATATACGTACAGCTTTCATCTTATTTTAAAACGGGTGATGTGTAGACATTAATTAGATCTGACGTTTTTCCTACTGGAGTGGAGATGGATGGGTTTGATTTTGAGAGTGGGTTGCTTTTCATATCCATCGTTTACAACGTTTGTTGTGAGTTTTGGTCATTTTTTTTATGGTTATTTTTTGTCAATTATTAATATTACCAGTAAATGTTTTTTTGTTCGTTATGTTTTTTCCCCCTAAATTTTTTATCTCATGAAAGTAATATATTGAACCCGATATTTATTTTGTAGATGGATATTGGATGGACCATTTTTTTTTATCTTAGAAGATGGATATATCATTTTCCTTCTTGCCAAAAGGTAGAGGAAGGATGGAAGATCGGCTTGGTTTGTCGGAGACAAAGGCGGAGGTTGTATTGTCGAAGGATGAATGTGCATGTATGGTGCTTAACCACTTTCTTACACGCTCCCTCAAACAAAAGCCGACTCATGGGGATTGAGTTTGCACAGGTCCGCCATACCATGTTCTTGAAAGACAACGATTAATATTGGGGGTCGTGAGGACTTGAACACGTGACCTCAAGGACAAACCAGCTCTGATACCATGTCATAAACCAGTTAGTCCCAATAACTCGAGTTGTTGGGAGAATGTTATGTTGGATCTTATACAAGCTCATGTATGGTGCTTAACCACTTCCTTACAGAATGGAGGTATAATTTCTTTAAATGCCAAATTTGCAAAATAGACAATTATGTATTTAAATTAGGTGATGTTTATTGACTTTAAAAGAAGTACATATATTATTTTCTTAAACTAGAAATTAATAGTAGTACTCTTCAACAGTTAACAGTAATTTCATGTCCAGGGAATAATTTATACATGAGTTGAATACTCTTTATGTTACGAATGATCTTGATGTATATGTAGGGCGGAGCCATAAATTTGAATATAGGGGGTAACTTGATTCGTTATAATTGAAGGAGAAGGGCTAAGACCCTTACTGATTACTCTATTTCATAAATTTGTTGCCTATATTTCACATTTTGGATGGGCTATAACCCCTCCTTACTTCAACTTAACTTCTCCTCTGTGTATATGTCTTATTGTATACCGGCATTCGATTCTTATTAATGTTCTTAGAATTAAGATAAACCAAGATATCTTCAAAATTCAATCACGAATAAGTTCCTCTATTTAGTTCCTTATATCTCTACATCCCAATCTCCAAACTATCCCTGTTTCATTATAATCTGAACTAGCAAACTGAAAAAGTCGAAAATGAAGAAAATCATGGAGTCATAGTCCATTATTGAACTGTTGGTGGTGGGAAAAGGAACTTCAAACCGATGAAAACAATGTGGAAGTGACTAAATACGGGAAGACTTTGATTAAGATAGTTCACAAATCTTCCATATTAATATATATAAATTTGAAGTTTGGTTATTGTTGTCAAATAAATTACAAATTAGTCACTGTCTAACAGATTACAAATTAGTCATTATAATGTATATTTTACATTTTTATACCCAACTTTAATTTAAATGTAAATTGGTCTAATGTTTATATTTCACTTGAATCCATGAATTCAATCTACCAATCCTTTTGAACCAACTGTTGAATCCAATCCATGATACCCCAAATTTAATTATGATGTAAAATCATTGAACAATTATGTTTTGTTATATAACTTTTATGAGATTTTCGTACCTACAATTTTTTAAAATTTACAATGGTGTAGATTTCACTTGAACTCATGAATCCAATCCACCAATCCTTTTGAACCAATCCATGAATCCAATCCACCATAAAATAAAAGTATAAATTTAATTTGTACCTTACAAGATGTTGTATCACTCAATCGTAAGAGAAATTTCAACCATTTTATATTTTCTCATTACGTGAAACATTAAATAAATGATAAAAGAGAGACGAGTCTAAAAGATTGCAAGAGCGAAGTAATAAACTCATTTAGTATATTTACTGGATACTAAACAAACTTCTACTAACTACATGTAACAAAAATATGTGAGATCTACATAAGCAAGTGTCAATAAATTGCTACAGTGAAAAGGGTTGACTGTTGTATTGA